CCCGGAATATGTGTGCAAAACATGCACTTTTGGAAGAGATGACCTCCTCATCTTTTTATCACGTATCTATAATATTCGTCAATGAAATAGATGTCAACCGTCCATTGCACCTTTTCGTTGCACACGAAAAAATGTACTTTTTCAGATTACCATATCCTGTTGTTTGATGTCTTGGAGCTAATATCAGCTCTTTTTCTACGTTATTTTCGTCGCTGAATTTGTCTCTTTCTCCGCTTTTCAATGGTATTTTCAGATGTTACTAACTCCACCTGGATGATTGGATATTATATGCGAATGCAAATTTGCATTCCTCGGGCACGAAGAGATAGGCCGATAGGGTGGTTTTGGGCGGCGTCCAATCATATCAGCGGATCTGTATATTTTGTGTAAAACGCGCACTTTCCACGAAATAGATGCACTTTATCATGGACAATTTACACTTTAATGCATACTCAAGACCCTGATCGGCCACTGGAAATACACTCGAAATCCTTAAAGATTAGCGTTATACTGGAGGATAGTGTTCAGATAGCGGGCGGATTTCATCGTCGTTGTAGACACCGACGGAGAAACCAGGGCCTAAGTACTGTACTGCTCAAAGAATCGAAGTGTCTGGTTCTTGGGGAGCGTTCAAATCCCCGCGAGCGCTCTCGCGGGCTTTTTGGGATGCTTGGAAGATAGTGCGGTGGATGTACTGTACCTCGCGATAGTACACTGAGGAACTTGCCCTGAAACTTCGGTGAGATCAAAGGCTAACGTCCAGTGAACAATATGCTAGGACCAAGGGGAACAAGAGGAAGAAGAGAACGTGATAGATTTATTACTGCAATAGGATTAAAGATAAAGCTCACTTCGGCATTTGCCCTCTTCTACACAAGCATCAAACCGACAGCTCTCCGCCATGCTCCAGTTATTCGCTCGACGCTTCAAATACTATGCGCTTGTCAACACCTTCATCTGCAGCGTGGGCCTGGGCAGCTACTTGGCCGTGTCGTATGTGGACTCTCTAGCCACGGGCGTGGGCGTGGGGGTGGTTTACGTCGCGAGTTTGCTGCGCATTCTGGCGATGGTCAAGTGGTTCGAGATGGTTTCGACTACGAAGGCGAAGATCCACGGACCCAAGCGCGTGCAGCTCACGCAGGAGCAGAGCGCAGCCATCTACCGACGCATCTTTATGCTCGCGGTGCCCACGGAGTGCATCTCTTTCTGGTTCGCTCAGCAGACAATTGCCGAAGACTCTGTGGATTGGCGGTCGTTCCTGACCGAGTACGCGTGGTTCGTGCCCAAGTCGCTGCTGTTCGAGGTGCTCTTCGACTTGTTCCACTACTGCATGCACTGGACGTGCCACAGCTCGGCGTGGCTCTACCAGCACGTGCACAAGCAACACCATCTGCACCTGCACCCGTGTCCGCTGTCGACGTACGAGCAAGACGGCGTCGATCTCTTCCTCACTAACATGCTACCGTTCTTTCTGGCGTGGAGTCTGAGCTTCCCCTTCTCGGCGTTTCAATTGCATCTGCTGTTCGCCTACAAGACGTACGTGGAAGTGGCGGGCCACTCTGGCCTGGAGGTCAAGGGCTTCTCGTTCCCGCAGATGCCGCTGCTGAACAACGTCACGAGCATTTGTCTGCGAGTGCATGACCACGACCTCCACCATACGCACCCGCGCTGGAATTTCGCCAAGCGCTTCTCGCTTTGGGACAAAGTCTTCGGGACATTCCGTCCGGGCAGACCTCTGACGGAGAAATACCACTAAGCTGCCTACGATTACGGTAAAACTCGGCAAGACGTCAACACGAACGGGCTCACAAGACTTAAGCAAGCAGCGGGATGGCTGGATTGTATAAAACTTGAAGCACCAGTGCTTAACACTAAAAAATAGAAGTACCACTTTCAACTGCAAGACCCCAAGGAGAAGGGCTAGATGGGAGAAGCGATACGGCAGCAGTGTCTTTGAATCTTGGCAGCATCCCACTCCATTCTCGTACATTGCAAGTTACGGAAGTAGACACCAACTATCTACAAAGTCGATATCGAGTTTCGAAACAAGTCAAGGCACGAATAACCTTGTGTTCGGGCATTGCACGAACTTTTCCGAGCGTTCATTCTAACGTCGTGAGAATGATCGGGCAAAACTGCCCGCGCTCTGGAAAGCTGCGCAAGTTGAGCTACAAGGCTCGTACTCCACCAGCATTCATTCAGCATTTTGCTGCCACTACCGCAGACTACTCCGGATTTCCAGCCCCGACATTCGTAAAGAATACGAGCGTGTTCTGCGACAATTACGGCAGTCCAAGCACTTAGGCGCGTTCATCCAAAGGAACGCAACCAACTTTCGCACACGACATGTATTGTGGAAACCGATTAGATTGTCCGAGCGGATTAGCTGATAAAGCAGCGTTCATGAGAGATTTGACTGGTACTAAATCGGGGATCCTTATAGTTGCATATGTCATTGGTAAGGGTATAAATCAGTGTAGCGTTAGTAAAATAGGGATTGCCAGATTACCCGCCAACAATACGCGGAACGACCACTTACCACCACGAGCTGACTGTTTCGCGCTCCTACTAACGAGCAATAGCATCGCGTGCATTAAATACTTCTCTGTGAGCAGTCGACGTGTACTGCTATCTATTTATCAAGTTGTGAAGCCACATATGTGCGCTGTCATTTCTCGTCAGCATTAGCGTTTGTCGGTTTTACCTTAAATCTGCCGCCGAATGCCGAGTGTTCGGGCTGATTAGCATGCAAATCAGTCGTCCGAGCTTTGTAAGCCACTGAGCAGCTAAATCAGCTTGCCACATGGCGTTGTAGGCACAACAGACTGCTCTGTCAAATCAGAGTGCAAAGCTTAGGCTGTCGATCTAATTAGGAGGTCGGATTTAGTAAATCCGACCCGATTAAGCTTAATCATCTGCTTAACCAACCGATTTATATTCCAATTAGACAATGTAATCGGTTCCCACAATACAACTTCGTCTCACATACCGCACCGGCGTGGTGTTTCGCACAGTGGTGGATTAGTTTTATTTTCATTATCTAATACGACTAGTACCAGTACATAGTATCTGTCCAAATCGAGAAGGACATTAAATCGGTAATTGAACCATTCATTCGCTCGTACTCCACCCAGCGAACCGAAGTATTCTTCGTCTACAACGACAAAGTGAGTACAGACAACGACTTACAAAGCCGGCAGACACAAAAAGCCGGCAGACGAAGTCAAGCAAAGCTTAACATAAGCAAACCAGCCAACCAGATTCAATCAAATGACTTCATCTTTGTATACCATCTGGTTTTGTGTACTTTATGCAACACGCCGTGTGTTTTATGACAGTTTTACAGATTTGACGGGAGGGAATTTATCGTTGTTTTTATATAGGAGGATGGCATTAAGCATGCCGGCTTTGTAAGTCGTTGTCTATACCTTCCGTGTTCTTTTGGTCTTTGTGTTGACACCGCTGCCTTGTCTCGCTGTCACGACGCTCGTGGATTTGGTTCCTCTGCGACCCCCCTCGGAGGGAGTTTACTCGAACCAATTGTTCTTTGCGCGGACCTTCGCCTCCTTTTGGCTCGCGAGTGGAGTTGTGTACATGCAGTTCAACCAAATTGTGCCACAACTGCCTCTGTCCAAACACCAAACGGTCAGCTATGGTGCCGTTGTCGCTACCGCATTTCGCATGTAGAGAAACACACCCCATGTCATAGGTTTAGGTTAGTTACTGCACTCGAGCCTAAGAACAATGTAAAACCCACAAACTGGGTCACGCGATTATTTCGTACGCAAAATGGGCAAGATGGTTGGCCTTGTCATGCAGATGGCGCGGAGCGATCTCCTCTAGGATGGCGCTTAAGCTAGCAACAAGTCTCTGCGCCATCTACAACTATGTTGCACAGGAACCACACCACTTAACCAATTATCTACAGCGTTGCTTCTTGTACTACCATCGCTACAGCAGCCGTGTTGTGCGCTCTCTCGAGCTTACGCGGTGGTTTAACCTCGTGCTCCCCATATCCCGCACTCAGGCGCGCCTCAACTGGGCCCACACCAGGCGTGGCTACTAACTATCACTCCGACGAGGCGTATGCCTCCAAGCGCGCGGGGAGGGGGGCAGCGCGACGTTGACGAGCGGTGCGCAGCTCTTCCCCTGCGCTTGGAACTGGTGGCTCAATGTGAATGCAAAAATGCGCAAAATACCCAAATTAGGGGTGTATCTCTCTACGTGCGATCCCACGGACTTTTCTCTCGCATCTCTGATTGGTTAAAATAAAGGTGTATCTCTTAAACCGCTGTAGCACTCTACATGGTACTTGCACAGTTGGAGTGGTCTTTGGTCTTAGTCTTTGGGTGGGATTTCCAGTTCCTTTTACGATCATTACCGTCTCTCCTATTTGGCTGACTTTCCTGTTCCTACCGGTTGCGTCGTGGCTGAATAAAGCTCCCGTAGATGTGGAGATAAAGCAGCTCATTATCAATAGTTTCAAGGTTTTGTTGTCCCAAGAAGCGCTAGTGATTATCTATCCAGTGTATTTTCACCTGTTCGCCATGATTCCAGAGAGTGGGAAAACGCCGTTTGCGCTCCTATGAAGCTGGTGTTGCGGAATATCACAGCCCACGCGTTGAAACACCTGAATGATAAAATCCCGGAAGTCGTAATTCTGAACGTGGAGGTGTTTAGCGCCTTGTTTGTGGCGTATTGTATACAAGACACCTCATCAGTAGAAACCACGCTCATGCTGATGGCCGTAGATGTGCTGCAGATGTGCGCGTCGCTGTTCGGCATTGAGCTACTTATTCGGCGGAGAGCGGATATATTTCAACAATTTGAGATCGAAACTACGGCAGCGAGGCAGATCGCACTGTATACCAACAACTACAGTAGTTAGTGCGCGCCGTTTGGGGATGAGCGTACCACTCCCGAAGTTTATGCTAAAGCAGTCTTCCTCAGTCCGGCCTCTCCAAAATGATTTATCGTGCTGCATTGATGGCGGGCCAATAATGGAAGGCGAGTTAACCAGCATAGTGGCCAAGACATACGAGCATCCTCGCCATGGTACAGACAACAACAGACCCGACCTTCGATATAGTAAGGAGCTGCGAACCGTCTTGTACATCACCGAATTTGTGGTTTTACTGAACTACGTGGAGGTCGTTATCCCACTAATATTCTGTAAGTGCATCTGCTCGCCTTTGTTGATACTGATGCACGGTTCATTTACTGAGATTCTGTATCTTTTGCACAGCTACATACTTGGTCACGATGTATCACCTCCCGAATCGTGTTTACTACGTGGTTAGACGAGGACCAATTACGCTGCACGCTTCTCAATGTTTTGCTGTACTCAGGGCTCCAGCTGGTGTCTCTAGTGGTTCTTCACGTCGTGTTATGGTACCGACTGCATTTATCGGTGTTGCATCAGCTTTCGTTTGTCCTGGAAAGACAATGCGGCCAAATTCAGAACAGACTGATCTTTTGGGGTTTCTACAACGTGTAGGCGTCGCTCCAACAATTCGGTAGGACCTTCAGTAGCTAAGTTGCGCGAAACCATTTCGGCACTCTTTGAAGCTGACCTTCTGATCTTGCATCTTGGTAGGAGCTGACTACACATTCAGTTCGAATGGCTGCGTGAGAAATCGTCGTCAAACTAGCTGCAACAAGCTTGAGTATCTGACGTTTGCGGATCGCAATTTAATTGCATCGTCATCACATCACGCTAAGAGCTATCTCATCTTCGTGTTGTTTTAGTTTGGTTTTTTCCGTGAGCAACATACAGCGATACGAGTTATGGTGAAGTGTGAGCTAGTTCAGCTCGATTGTTGAGCTGAGTGTGGCGCGATGGGTTAGCTACATTCGAGTGCTGATGCTGTCAATGGTAAGATTGAAGCTCATGATAACGTGGATAGCGTCGAAGTGTGGCTATAAGCGCAATGCTCAGCGCAGCGTGTCCATCATTCGATGCACCATATGGACATTTTTATCATCAACAAGATACATTGTCTGCTATCGTCATCATCGGCGGCTTACTTAATGGCCAGGAAGCCCGTTCATGCTGCAATGGCGGCTGCCACGGCGGGACGGAATTTTTTGTCGTTGGCAACAAAAATAACTCAGCTGACAAATCGCGGACCTACGACCCCCCGTTGTCAATCTTGCTGGGGTCGGTTGTTACGCACCCCTTCATCCTTAACTCACTATCCACTAACTCCGCTCGACACATTATTTTATTTTATTTGTTGCGGTTTAGTTGGCTAACTACACCCGATACTGCGCTCTGCTGCAGCCTCGCCTACGGATCGCATGTTGGAACAACACGCGCCCACGGTAGTCGCTCATAACTCCTCTCGACGCAGCGAATACGAAATGATTGCTCGCATACTAGCAAAGACAGTCGCCTTACGGCAAGCCGTGCAAGTCGAGTTGCAAGGTAAGTACTCGACGCAGCGAGTGCAGGCGCTCTTCAAGTATCATGACTACGTCAGCACTCTGTGCGTGCTGCTCGTGTTGCTGGTGACGCCGCTGCCGTGCTTCCTGCTGATCCTGATCGTCGACGCCGTGCCGCTGCGCCCCATCAGTGAAGGAATTGAGTCCAGCCAGCTCTTCTTCGTGCGGGCGTTCGTGAGTTTCTGGATCGCCAGCATCACGGCGTTCGGCCAGATCAAGCACATGTTCCCGCTAGTTCCTCTCTCAAACGTGAAGATCATCTACCTTGGCGGAATCGTTGCTGGAGCTACAGTAAGCGCCATGTACGCGCTCACACTCGTCATTGGGTACCCTCTACCTTTCGGCATCGTGGCTGTCTCTCCAGTTTGGGTCTTCTTGCTGCTGGCCCCACTTTTCTCGTGGATGAAAAGAGCTCACGCTGACCCCGTTGTACGCGCGATGCTGTTCGATCAAGTGAAAACGCTGATGTGCCAACTTGCCCTCGTCTTCATACTTCCACGTTTTCACTATCGTCCCAGAAAACTCAAAGACGGTATTTTCACTCATTTTACCGGTCATGAAGCTTGGGTTACGTGGTATATTGGCGAGAACGGTTGAGCATATGAAAGATGAGGTCCCCCAAGTGGTCATCTTCAATGTAGATATGTTCAGCTCGTTGTTTTCGACGTACTGCATGCAGAATTCGCCGTCGGTGACGACGACTTGTGCTCTGATGGCTGCAAAAGTGCTGCAGATGAGTCTATCGTTCTATGATATCGAACTTGTGGTCCGGCGCATGAAGGCCTTGAAAATGGAGAGTCGTGACGGAAAGGCAGTGAGTGTCCGAAGCAAGCACAGGAACACAAGTGTGGGTTCCGAAGTCGGAGACGAGAGGAAGCCAGGTGATAGCCGGGTTTCGTCGGTGACTCTTTTTGCTCTTGTCCGGGCTTCTACCCGAACGATATCACGGAAAAATTACCCAGAGCAAACTAGTGCTCTGCAGCCTAAAACGCCAAGAGGATTACTCGCAGCGGTTGCGCCTATGCTGTCAAAGTTTGGTGACGATGACCGTGCTGGGCATACAAAGGAAAATGTATCGGATACCACCAGCACGAGCGTCAAGTATCGGTACGTGGTAGAGCTTCGAAAGGTTCTGTACATCACGGAGTTCGTGATGCTGGTAAACTACGTGGAAGTCGTGATCCCAGTCATATTTTGTAAGTATTCTGAATATTTTGCAATGCTCAGCCACTCTAACATCGGTTACGCGTTTTGGATGTACAGCTGCGTACTTACTTGCGATGTATCATCTCCCGAATGGCACCTACTACGACCAAATGGCCGAGATGGACGATATTCGGCTTCGAGAAGCTGTTTTCAACGTGCTGCTCTATGCTGCGCTACAGTTAGAGTACTGAGTGTGGTGTTGAGGCACAGACTGCAGATTTCGGCCTTTCACCAGCTTTCCTTGGTACTCGAGAAACAGTGGGGTCAGATACAGAACCGAATGATCTTGTGGGTTTTCTACAACGTACAAACTTCACTGCAGCATTTTGGTACGACTCTCGATTGTTCTTGTTCAGATCGAAGGTCTCTAAACATTGTGGGGTATTGTTTTTACTAGGATCGGATTATTCACTGCACTTTGCATGGCTTCGGAAGACTACGACATCGACACGTTAGCAAGACTTGACAGCATTTATTTTTTCTATAATGCCAGCACACATAATACCTATTTCAAGAAATTATTGAGCTTGCACAATACAGCAGCTAACTGTGGCACGGTCTGGTGCTCATAGAATGGATAATTACAAACGACTGAGCTGGTATTTTCGCTCTTGACGTACCAGTTCTTTCAGTACTAATGCTGTACATCGTGAAGTCGAAGCTCGCGGTAATCTGGAAGTCCGCGCAGGTGGAGCTCCATGGCGCATATTCTACCCAGCGTGTACAGGACCTCACCACCTACAGCAACGAAATGGGCTTTGTACGCGTGTTTCTGGTCCAGCTGGTCACCCCACTGCCGTGTCTCGCGATAACTGCGTTGGTTGACTTGCTCCCGATGCAGCCTGTGCATGAGAGCGCCGAAGCGAACAAACTATTTTTTATACGCGCATTCTTTTCGTTTTGGCTCGCTAACACCACCACATACAATCAGTTCAAGCACATCGTGCCCCAGTTACCGCTTTCTAACGTGAAGATAGCGATTTACGGCGCTGTCGTGGCTGGAATCACCGTTAGTGTGATGTATGGATTCACCCTTGTTATTGGGTTTCCACTCCCGTTTAGTATCATCACTATGTCACCTGTGTGGCTGTCGCTGTTCCTCCTACCGATGGTGAAGTGGATGATTATCTCTCGCAACGATCCGGTATTGAGGCCTTTGGTGGTCACTTCGTTAAAAGTGATGGTGTGTCAAGAAGTTCTGGTCCTACCTACTTCTACCTCTTTACGAAAATTCTGGCAAGCGGCAAAACGGAGTTTGCGCTTCTTCTATTCTTCTTTTTGTACCTCTGCTTAAACTAATATTTCGAAATGCCATGGCGAAAACGGTTGGATACTTGAGCGATGAAGTTCCTGAGGGGGTCATTCTCAACGTCGAGGTGGAGAGCGCGCTGTTTGTGGCTTACTGCATGCAGAACACCCCGTCAGTCAATATGATGGCTCTACTAATGGTTGTAGATGCACTTCAGATGAGTACATCGCTCTACGATATCGGGTGAGGGGTCCAGCGAATGAAGAGCTTGAGGGAGCGAATAAAACGGAAAGCAACAGCAGGGAGCGAAGGACCACGAGAGTACGATGATCTCGCTCAAGATATACTAGTTCGGATATAAACACTCACAAGACTTCGTATACTTTTCTCCATTCCTTGAGCAAAATGTCTCCAACGGTCTAGCCACTCGGATTACCGGAAGGGGACAATCAAGCCACAAACCGCCGTCACAAACAAGGAGCGATGTAGCAGTATAAGAGCTAGTTCGACAACGTGGAGTCTTCAGTATGTTCAAGAGTTGAAGCGGGTGCTGTACAAACTACGTGGAAGTCATTATACCGCTGATATTCTGTACGTGTCAACAGACAAGTGTGGGGGCTGGTTGATCGCTAACTCTACATTGTATGCTATGAACTGCAGCAGCGTATCTGCTTGCGATGTATCATTTACCAAATCGAGCCTACTACAAGCAGATCGACGACATGGACAACGGACAGCTATGGAACACTCTATCGAGCGTCCTCATGCACGCAGGGCTGCAGCTCGGGTCTTTGGTTATCTTGAACGTGGGGCTATGGCATAAGATGCGTCTCTCCGGCTTCCGTCAGTTGTCATTTGTATTGGAGCGCCAGCGCAGCCCGGTGCAGAACAAACTAATCCTCTAGGTATTTTTCAACGTACAGACAGCATTGCAACATTTCGGTAAGAGCTTCGCTCCATTCTTTTTATTCCAACCATTTCTAAGCACCCACTCATAACAACATGAGCAGCCTCCGTGTTTTAATTATCCCGCTACTCACTCCACTTCCTGGCCTCATTTTGATCACGGTCGTCGACTTGGTGCCTCTACGACCAATTGCCGAGGGAATCCGCGCCAATCATCTCTTCTTTGTGCGAGCATTTGTGTCCTTTTGGATCGCCACCGTCATGACGTACGTCCAGTTCAAGCACATCGTGAAGTCAATGCCTCTCTCGACTGTGCAGACTGTCGGTATCAGTGGAATCATCGCAGTTCTGACTGTATGTGTCATGTATTTACTGGCACTCAACGTCGGCTTCCCGCTGCCATTCGGCAGTATCATGGTATCGCCCGTTTGGTTGCCGCTCGTGGTCCTCCCTCTCAGTTCATGGATGAAAAGAGCTCGAGCTGATCCAGTCGTTTGGCCGTTCGTGATCAACTCGCTGAAGATCATGGCGTGTCAAGAAACCCTCGTTACGATATACCCCATGTACTTTTATCTATTCCGAATGGTCCCAGAGCACGGGAAAACAGGCTTTGCAGCTCTTCTCCCGGTTATGAAACTGGTTTTACGCAACATTGTGGCTAAAACCGTTGAGCATATGAACGATGAGATCCCGAAGATCGTCATTTTGAACGTGGAATTGTTCAGTGCTTTGTTCGTTTCCTACTGCATGCAGAATACGCCGTCAATACAAACGACGCTGGTGCTAATGACCGCGGACGCGCTGCAGATGGCTGCGTCCTTGTACGATATCGAGCTGGTTGTGCAACGATTGAAGACGATAAGAAGACAAATCGGTGTCGACGCATCAGTGAGTCGGTTCAGCCTCAAAACGTCGGAATATCAAGTTGCCCAGGACATTGTCGACCGACATGTTGCTTCTTCCCCGACAAAATTTTCCTCTTTGCAAAAATCTTTAAGGAGACTATCAGCAACTATCGGAACTCAATGATATTGGCAAACCCCAAGCCACCACGCGGGAGCATAACTCGATATTCTTCCAGCTTGACCCAATTTTGAGGAAGGAAAGCCTCTTTGGGCCACATCGAAGAGACCTATCAAACGCATTCAATGTATCCAAGGAGGCGGAATATGTGCACAATCTCCGAAAGGTATTGTATATATTACGGAATTCGTGGTCTTATTAAACTATGTCGAAGTTGTGATCCCTATCATTTATGGTAAGTGAGGCACATGAGTTGAGCCCGCTCGAATTTAAAGATTTTATCTGACTGTTGACTGTTGCAGCGGCGTACCTGCTCACGATGTATCACCTCCCCAATCGCGCGTTCTACGAGCAAATGGCCAGCATGGATTACATGCAGCTCCAGAAAACTCTGTTCAACTTGTTTCTGTATTCGGGGCTACAGTTAGCTTCGCTGCTCATCTTGAACGGACAGAATGCGCTTCTCGGTGTTTCGACAATTGGCTTTCGTACTCGAGAGGCAGTGCAGCCGCGTCCAGAATCGATTGATCTTTTGGGTCTTCTACAATGTACAATCGTCTCTGCAGCATTGTGGTAAGAGCTGCATTTATATCATAAATTCTGACGTAAAAGCTCTAATTGGTTTCGTTTGGTACACAGGCTTTGACTATAGCTTCAAGTTTTCTTGGCTGAAAGCGCATCCAAGCCTTCCTCCATAGGCAATATCATTCTACGCAAAATAGGTGAATAAAGGCACGACGCGTTATATAAATGTATATGACTTGGCATCTACATCAAGTGCTTCTAATTTGTTTGCGTACGATGGCGATGCACTATGTATTAATAGTACTGCCAGGTCCAGCAACATCTATAATGAGACAAAGTTGCGCGTTGCACGAAGAAGCTCTGAAATTTAGAACAGACATGAATTTATGTAGTGTGTGCAAAGCCAAGGGAAAATAAAAAAAAAAAACTTTTGGCCTTCGAAATACAACAACGCCTAACGTTAGTTGCTTACTAAGGCGCATCTCCTGCGCCTGCTTCGCAGCCGCAGCATCTGCTAAGCTACTTCGAACTTAGCAAATAGTCAGTTTCCTGGAGCTTTACCCTGTACGATCGACTTCTGCACACGTAAAAATACGCTGTTGGCTACTATTCGCTTCAACTTCACCATATATTGTTTTGTGTTGTGTCAGTTTTTGATGCAAAGTATTCAGTATTTTATTTAAATGACAGAAGTTAAGGCAACAGCTAGCTCATACAAGTACAGATTTTTTGGTTTTCTACCTGTTTGGGTCGGTCCCACGAGTCCACGTGGCGACCTACCAATTTACACACGTGCTCATGGCAGCATAGTGGTGGTGGATTTCACAGGGAGGGCGGTTAGAGACGACCTCCGACAAGGTCATCGCTGTCGTTAGCCACGATGTTAAGTGACATCAATGTACCTCAATATCAAAACAAAGCATAGTGGTGGTGGAGGCGGTGGTGGGTCTTGACAAATGGACAGAGCTTTGTCGGCATACATGGTGAGCGCAGTCAAACCGTTCGTGGAGGCTCCTCGAGCGCGCAGCAGTGGCCGCTTGCCGCCGTTGACACCGCCCGAGGGCCACGCGGCTGAGTTCTTGCTCAGCGGTGCTCCGCCATGCAAGGGACGAAAGGGGGTCTAGGCTCGCAAGAGCGACAAAGATGACGGGCTGTACTGCGAGTAGTCCACCTGGCAGTAGTCTAGTCATTGGCAATACCACATAATGATATCAACGTTCACATTCCCTGACTAGTGCTGCGATTGAAGTTGATGGCCTCTTCAAGATACTTTCACGTAGATAAGCAGAGGGGGGCGACGACACAGATTAATTATGAAAAGTCACACTGTACCACATCAATCACTTTTTGTACGCTAACATAAAACACCGATTGAGTGCGCGGTATCGTTTTAGTACGCGATATCTGACATTGCCCAATCATAGACATCTATTAGACGGAGACGGGTTCTCATTGGCTAAAACTCGTCGAACCGTTTCAGTGCACGCCCATTTATAATTTTTGCCAGGAAAATATTATAATGTAAAGGTATTTCATTTGAATGGTGGGTAGGAGCTAACTGGGAGTTGTTGCGGTAGCCCATGGTTACAACACAATTTGAGGGACCAAGTCGTGACCATGGTGCTGCGCCGTGGGTGCTACAAGAAGGAGGACCTGGAGGAAGCATTAACCAGAACATGCGAGGGGGAGAAGCTTGCGGCTGTTGCCCGAACGTCACCGATTCCCCTTCGTACGCTCTTCAAGAAGTCGAAGGAGCTGCAGACTACGGGGTCTATCGAGGGAGAGCGCCGCGGACCCAAGCCAGCCCTGTCTCCTGAGCAGGAGGCTGACATTGTTGCGTGGGTCGCCGGTATGCAGCGTGCCGGCTTCCCTGTGGGTCAAGCCCGGGCGAACAAGATCTATGCCAAGCTCCACGGAGCTACGACCCGTGCCGGAACCCCGTTCCACCATTTAACGAAGGGCTGGTGTGGGCGCTTTCTGAGCCGCCACCCCGTGCTGACCACGCGATCTGCGCAGAAGATCACCCGCGTGCGTAACTCGGTCGACGCCGACTCCGTCCGCGACCTTTTCCACGCCATAGCGAAGAGAGTGGTGGAGTTGCAGCTCTCCGCCGACCGCGTCTTCAACATGGACGAGACGGCGTTCATGCCGAAAGGCACGTCGAGAAGGGTGCTGGTGCTTAAAGGGTCGACTAATGTCTGGAGCAAGGAAACCCAAGCCAACTTCCACATGGCAGTGGTTGCAGCAGTGAATGCCGCAGGAGTGGCTATCACTCCGCTCCTTATTCTGCCTGGAAAGCGGATCTACAAGAGGGACAAGACTGCAATCACCATCAAGGGCGCCCGAGTTACCGGTACTTCGAAGGGATTCAGTAACGGCAGCGTATTCCGCTTGTGGCTAAAGCTCTTCGTGGAACAAGCTACAATTCTCCAGGTGCAGTTTCCTGTGGTGCTGGTTCTGGACAATAGCTGCACGCACCTCGATCTCGGTACGTATTGAAGTTGCGGTGCTAATTTCCTCTCTAAAGTGATTTGGATTTACTAATCGGTTTTGGCGGGTTATTGTGTACCAGAGTCCGCTGGAGCTGCGTATGACAAGGGATCATGTTGCTAGCGTTGCCACCGAATGCGACGCACATGTACCAGCCACTGGTTGTGGCTGTGTTCAAGCCGTTCAAAGCCATGGTGAGGGATGAGCTGGAGTCAAAGCTGCTGAGTACTGCCGACGTGCAACTCTCCAAAAAGGACGCAATCCAAATTGCTTGCTCTACCTACGAAACGGCCATCATGGATCGGCCTAACAACGCTGTGAGCGGGTTTAGGTCCACGGGGTTGTTCCCGCCCTCGCTCGTCAACATGACGAAGCGCCTGAGAGTCTACACGAACGGCGGCGCGAGAGGCGAGATCGGGAAAGAGGCATGGCTCAAGCGACAGCGCGAGACGGATCGACTGGAGGCTCGCTCGGAGATCATGACCCTGCCACCGGCTGCAGAGACGGTAGGTAAGAGAGCTAGATTGACTGTTGACATCGAAGGAGAGCTGGTGTCAAACGATGCGCTTTGCTAGAGTCAACCTACTAAACTCGGTGCTCTCGTGCACTAAAATGATCACTGCACTTTGTCCCTCAATATGGTTCACTACCTCAGCTCATATCTTCTGCGATAATTGTTCGCTTACATATTGTAGGCCACTCCCAGACTTATTAATACTTCCTCTACTACGATTAACCTACATGAATAATGCAATCGTTCTAACAACGCCGTAGAAAGAATTTCCCGACAGCATCGAGAACCGTGCACTCAATTGGTGTTTTCAGTTATCTCTATCGATTAATACATTGTCATCTATATAAATTACCAGATATTAATGAATGGCAAAATCGGACCTGTGTCGTAGGCCGAGTCTGTGACCAGGCATTTGTAAGGTTAGTAAAGGTGGTGTGGGCACGGTGGTCTTTGGAAAGCCGAGAGCCAGCATCCGCTATGACGTTACCGGCGCCGGGTATGTGCGAAGATGAAAATCTCAGGCCATAGTGCATTTCCCAGCAGCTCAGCAGACGTATGAACGTTGGTGCTCGAGTGTTCGAGGAGGACATTTGTTTTTGCCACGCCACCGCAGACGTGTTATCGCTGCGAAAGTGCACGTGGATGGGGGCCGTGTGCGGGGTCTCCATTCTCTTGACGCGCCACGCCGGTGCCCATGCGTGTACGGCGAAGGCACACGAGAGTAGGTCGCGATAGTTGATGTCAAACTCGTTGCATGAGGCGGCGTTAAAGACTCGGATGAGGTCTAGTTCGGCCTCGGAGAACCGGTAAGTGAGTACCCGGCTGTGGGCACGGTCAATGGCGCATATGCCCGTGTCGGATGCATCCATTTCAATTGTGAAGTCGGAAGGGGGGTTGTGACGGAAGTATTCTAGAGGGAAGCCATTGAGGGTGGGTGAGTTGAGGACGATTCTCAACCAAGCAAGGTCCTCTTGCATGTGGGGTGTCATAGGGACAGACGTCCATCGGTGTAGTTTGGGTCCTGCTGCTCGTAGGCGTTGGAGAAACGCCTTGGCCGGTCAGACGCAAGTCACGACGTGACGGAGGGAGCCTAGGAGAGATCGATATTGCTTGCGGCCTAGAGCACGCGAATTGTAGGCGTCGGTGACGAGGGCGCGGGCTTTGACGATCTTGTCAGCTGGAAATGAAATTGTACCAGCGCTGGTGTTGAATACTAGGTCCAGGAACTTCTGGGATGTTGCCCAGAGAGTGAATTTGTCGTCGTTGACTGCGGCCGGGCCCAGGATGAGGGTCATGGCTGATCGAAGTGACGGCTCCACGTCTGTGCAGTTTGACCCGACGTCTGCAGCAATGCAGACGTGGTCATCGACCCAGTGGTTGTTTAAAAACCCGTTTGGGTAATACGAATTTGAGATTGTGCCGTGGATGTGGGCGATCGCATCGCCGATGACTCCGTAGAATCGTGGTGATCCTGTCCAGCCGAAACAGGCCGAGAGGTCGATGACGAGGGCGTTGTCTTCGGGGATCGTCCCGGCAAAGAGGTGAGCTGAATGGTTGTGCGTGCCAAGGTTTCGGAAGGCGGCTGCCACATCATCCCCTAGTAGAATCTTGATGCTGCACCCGGGAAAGCGTTCTTTCTGGGCAAGAATCGCCCGAGCGATGGCTGCGCAGTGCTTGTACTCGGCGGTGGGCACTGACTCGGCGTCGGTGTGATCGTTGACGGACGCCCCCGCTGGGAAGGATAGGTCGTGGATGACCCGGCCGGCTACGTCGGGTCTCTGTTGCCCTTGTCGACCACCCCGAAGGGACTCAAGAACAGCTCGAGCCAGAATTGGGCAACGGCACGGTCTACGACGATGCAGCGGCTGAGGTCCTGCTCCTTCCCGATGTTCTTTCGGAGGACATTAAGTCTCTCGGTGGCGAACGGGTGGAATCGTGGAGGGCAGGTTTGGCGGGGCATTGGTGACGTTAGAGTCACAGTTATCCCTTCCTACACTATGGGCAGCAGGGTAAGTAGTTTGGGGTACGTTCTGAAGCTTTGCTGTATGACGGCAGGAACGATATCCTTATTGGGACGATAGTCGGACGCCGTCTGCCCGCGTAGCAGCTCCATTAGGGTGGCAAGTAAGCACTGGGTGCGGCGCACGTATTCAGATACCGCACTCTGTAGTGGCGTGTGTAGCTGGAACTGCTGGCGGCCGCCGGCCCATTCCGCCGTTGGGAAGTCCCTGTTCGTTAGTGATAGATGGACTGCGCTGAACGCCGTCGCCACCGCCTTGCTCCGTATACTTGCCCATATATTGGCCCTCCTCCGTCCCCGGGACAGGAGTTGCTGCACTTGGAGCGGGTAGGTGGGGCACGGAGCGGTTGAGATATACAAGGAAAAGGGCGACCCGTAGCCTGTGCCGTTGCTGTAGCTGCGCTAGTAGGTAGCCTAGCGGATGTGGATGCGGCAATACGCGCGCCATGATGGGGTGCGTGCGTGACCTGATGATTGCGCGGTTCGAGTGAGGCCGCATCGGACGTTGGATTGGGCTCATGGTATCGAGAGAGCGGATCTGCCGTTATGTGTTGTTGGCCAGGGTTGACGGTGAGGTTGGATATGATCCGAGGCATCGCGGTTGCATGGTGCGTTCTAGAAGGTTATGTATCTTTGGTGTGACTGCCGGTATGGTGAGTCGGCCTATGTAGGTGCACGGTGGTGCCACTGAGTGGTGGGTTTAGTACGTTACGTGGGTGCGAAAGCAGATCCACGGGCTCAGAAGTAGAGGAGATAAACAATGCGGCGTTTGTATTAGCGGCAATGGTATCAAGTGTTGGGTCCGAAGCGCCTGTGAGCCGGTAGCGCCTCGGCACCCTCAGGGGCGGCGAGGGCCGTGATGCCTGCAGCGGGTGGTGCCGTACTGCCTGGTAATGTACGATACTAGATCACTGGGTAGAGGGCCATCCCACGTGTGCGTGCGGAATGAGTACGCGCAGCGGTCTCGGGTGCCTCCGGTGCACATGCCGTCGCCGAAGAAGCGCACGTACCGTCTGAACGACGAGGCACCAGGGCTCGGATGTTGTCCGTTATAGCCTGGGGGCGGCTGTTTTGCGCGCGCCGTCGTTGCCCGGCCTGTGGAGGCGCGCGCAGTGGAGCGGGTTGAGATTGGGGTGTGGGTGTGAGATTCTGCAGCACGAGCAGCCATTCGACCGACCTGTACTCGATTGCCTCGGTGTTGGCGCAGAAATCCCTCCATGATGTTGGTGAGTCTTCCGACAGGTGAGCGACAGCGCGACCGAGATAGACGTTCGCATACTGCAGAGTGCGCGTCACGCGTTCCGAGGTGTTAGCCCGGTCGGCCCTCTGATTGTCGAAGACAAATCGACGGAGCAGATCCAGCAGGCGATTCATGTGGGGGTACCAGTGAGTTGCACCAAAGGAGCTGAACCCGCTGAGTGCGAGTAGAATATCGTCGTAAGTTGTACACTCGGCGAGCTATGGCGGTTGAGCTGCTGAGCTAAAGTCCAGCGAGAAGTTGGTGTTGTTCGAACTGCGCTTGAGCCTCTCGTCGTCCGACAGAGGGCGGAAGTGGGAAAGGAACAGGCCTTGAGAACCAATGCGCACGCCGTAGAGACCAGACACGGTAGCGATACTCGAGTCGAAAGGGATGCTGGCGAGGCGACGAATCCACAGGAGCGTGTCGGTAGGGGGGGGGGTGAACGCACCGTCGGGGTGAGACAAGTTTGCGATACTTCTATAGGCGGCAAGGATGTGCGTGACTTGCGATACAACCTCGCTGCGGCTCCGCTGATTGAGCGACGGGAAGCTAGTCGATCGCAGCTCGCGTAGCTGCGCCGGTGGTAATACATGCGTGAGGAGCGCAGGTACAGTCCAAGAGACGGTGCGAATACCGTCAACCATGATTGGCTGTAGCTCTTGGTGGGCCGGCGGCGCCAGATTCATAGTTGGGTTGGCTTCGGCAGCGTCCAGACGCCTGCTCGTGTCAACGACCAGGGCGCTGAGAGAGCCTACTTGAGCTGCAAGACGTTCAATGGCGTTGTCACCCGCGGCTCCGCCTGGGAATCCACTGGGGGCGGTCCCGCTGGCTGCCTGCGGGCCCGAAAGAAATGAGGCTAAGTCAAAGTTGTCGCTAGTGTACTCGCGAGACCCCGAGAGAGCTGTCTGTGCGCTGGCCCGTCCTTCCACCGGCGGCACAGACGACCCAAATGACGGCGGCCCAGCTGATGGTGACCGCGCAGCATAGTCGTCGGCATCACCCCGTGAAGGTAGGCTGTCGAGGGAGATGATTGAGTGCCTTTTGTGTTAGTGATTGGAGGGGGTACCGGGCTGCGCCGCTGGGGCAGCGCCAGCCGCGCCAGAGTCCGCGGCGCGCTTCGAAGCCCCGCGCTGGACTGCCTGCACATCTCGGGCAAGTTTCGCTGCTCGAGCGGCGGTGCCCAGGTTTTGCTTGCCAGCCGCTTTCACCCGTGGCGCGGTAGCCGATGTAGGCGAAGGTGATGGTGACGCCAGTAGATCGTCGAGACCGCAAGGCGCCGGTTGCGCGAGTTTCTTCTTCCGCTCCGCCGATCGTGCGGCACCCTCTCCTTTCCGCTTCTGAATTCTGCGGCTCGCGCGAGGAGTGGTCGAAGTCGAGGACGGGGCCGGCCGAGTGCCGTCCGCCTCAGCGGGCTCCGATCCCGGTGGTGGTGAAGCGGTAGCCGGTGTTTCCACCACGGCCGTAGCCGGGCCGGTGCTCGTGGCCCGGGATGGGGATGGATGAGCGAATGATGTTGCCCGCAGGTGCGTGGGTGAGCTGGGAGGCAACATCGGCACTAGGTCGAGGCTGGAGCTGGGAGGGGGCAGAAGCGAGGAGGAATGACTACTTGCGAGGCTTAAGGCGAAAGGCCGAATGAGCAGTAGCGTCCGGCAGCTCTGCGGCTTCTCGCCCTTCTCGGCCGCCCACCGTCCTCAGATGCCGAGCATGGGGTTTCTTAACCACTGCGCCTCCCCCCACCAGGAAACACTTTTTCGTGCCTGCGTCACGAAACCACCCCCTATTACCGAGTTACGGTAGCACGGCCATGTAGTAGTAAATGTGGTTCTGGATACAATGTGGCATACGCACACGGCGTGTCGGCCTTGTATGCAAACGTTTATACAGTACAACGTACGCGCAGACGTAATGCAAACAAATGAAATTACTCATTCCCTGCTCTTCACACATCACTGCAGAAAATAACCCTTCGTCCGTTGGAACCCCTCGACCGGAATGCCAACGCACACCTAGTTCTTCTCGCCCAGCGTGAGCGCATCTGTTTCAGAATGAATGCTGCACGATCGTCGCACCACGGCCATAATGCTTTAGCTTGAAGACGAAGAATAAATTGATTAACTGAATTGCTGACATGCCATGTTGTAATGGGCCTACTTTGGCTCACTACTTTAGCTTACACGTGTGCGCACGTGTGTGAGGAAGCGTAGCTTAGTTTGAACTAGAGTTAATTATATTCGGGCATCTGAGTATATATTAATCTAAATAAACGATCCAAATAATGTTTTTGGGTTAAAATGAGAACTGCTATATTGTTTTATGCTTTCTGACTTCTGACTTCCTCTAAATGTAATATTCTAGGTTAGGAATCTACCCACGGCTGGTTGGCAAAATTCCAATACTATGCATGTAACTTATTGGCTAAAACATGCTGCTTTCAGCCAATAGGAATCATAAGTCTCTATGGACCACCCGTCGTGGTGATCGTAAATGTATGTAGCATTTGGTGTGTCTACACCAAGGTCGAGAAACACTTTCGAACCTGTCGTGTCTGTTAGAGTTACAAGTGACTGTAGCCACTTGTGCGTGTAACCCTGTTACACCATCCCCCCCTCAAGGTTAGACGCGCCGAGTCACGGCACGTCAATCAGGAAATTGACCATTCCTCAATTCTTCACGTTGGGAGAAAGGAAACTCGAGTTCATTCCGCAATGAGCTCGCCGAAGAAGACCGCCGCTGCAGCAAAGGGGAATACCCCCGCCGGGATAGAGACTCTCTCTATCACTGAGTACTGCGAGCGTTACAAAGCAAAGCGTGACGCTCTTGCTGCCAAGGCTGCGGTGGGGACAACCCAGCCGGAGATTGTCCTCGAAGGTTCCTCTGCAGTCAACGACGCCGTTGACTACGGGAACGGCGACGAGGAAATAGAAGAGGGCGAGGTCTCTTCAAGCAAGCGCAAGGTGTCTATCGACAGCGACCCGCATGCCGGGTCGAGACGCCCTCGTGAAGGAGACGACCCGGACGCTTCGAGTTCGAAGCATCTGCCTCTCAGTCATTTCAGCGGGTACCGCAGCAAGATGTACCATTTTGCTGAAGCGGTCAACAAAGAACACAATGCCCGTGTTCCCCTGGCTGTCCGGGGGAAGACCGAACACGAAGTCCAAAGACATGGACTGCCAACACTCCGATGGAGTTGGTAGTGACTGCAAGGGAGCCTGCGCGAAAGGCGCAGGCTTCACACGTTGACAAACCTCGCAAGCACGGACGTACTTGCGCACCCATTTGTACTGGTGGGCCCAGCAGAAGTCTCGCGTGAGAAAAAGGTATGTGTTCTCACGGCCCGGATGCCCCGCAGTCGGTGCATCGTGATACTCATACATGATCCTGAGTCGCAGGTCATGGTCATTGGGCACGACAACGCGGACCGCGTTGTCGTCGACTACACTGTAGAGTAATAACCCGTCGGGCACCCGATAACGGTGTGTACGAGCACGAATATGCTTCAGCAGCTTCTAACGAGCTTTGTCGGAAGGCGCTGAGCCGTAGGCCAGCAAGAGCTTCGCGTCCGCGTCGGGCGCGAACGCGACCTTCACGTCGTACAACAGTGCCGACGTTGGGGTGCTCGATCGCATGGTATCAATTGCATTGACGTCGGCATCAGTCGTGGCGTAGTCAGGTCGACGCGAGAGCGCGTCGGCCACCACATTGAGTCTTCCGGGTTTGTACTCAACCCGGAAGTTATACTTTGCGAAGAATGAGAGCCATCTCGCCATCCGTTGCGAGATGTGCGGCGACTTCACAGCCGTCCGGAGCGACGCGTGGTCCGTATAGACCACGAACGGTTTGCTTCCGAGTATATACACTCGAAACTTCGCGAGCGCGTACTTCATGGCACGGAGTTCCTTGTCATGCACCGGGTAGTTGCGCTCAGCTGGCTGCAGCTGACGCGATTGGTAGTAGACCACACGATCACGACCCTCGTAATCATGCTGCATCAGCGCACATCCGATTGCGAAGTCGGATGCGTCGCACATAACGTGGAACGGGCGATCTTGGTCGGCCACCGCCAAGATCGGCGCCTCAGTCAAGCCCAGCAGTCAAGCCCTGCTTGACTGCATCGAAGGCCTGCTGACACTCAGCGGTCCAAACCCACTCGGCGTCCTTCTTCAGGAGCTGTGACAGCGGGCGTTCATGCCCGCGTAGTCATTCACGTACTTGCACAAGTACGTGGCCAAGCCAAGACACTACCGGAGTTCCTTGACGTTCGACGGCGTCGGCCACTCATTGATCACTCTGACCATCTCAGGGTCAGGGCAGACACCGTTCTTCCCAACGAGACACCCGAGCACGGGTATCTCGCTCGTCCCGAAGATGCACTTCTTCAGGTTCGCATAGAGCTTGTGCTTGCGCATGAGCGCAAGCAGCCTCCGGAGATGCACCTTGTGCATCTCAGCATCGCTCATCCCGTCCGCAGCCCGGCTGTACACGAACACATCGTCAAAGTAGCTCGGTGCGAAGTCGCGCACCGAGCGCAACAAGTGCGTCACGCACCCGTTGAAGGTCGCAGCGACGTTCTTCAGACCCTGCGGCATTCACTAGTCACTCCCAGAGCATGACGCTCGGCGTGCTCACTTCCGTGAGAGGGATATCGCTCTCACGCATGAGGATCTGATAGAACCCATCGCGCAGATCAAGAGCGCTGTAGATAGTGCTCCTGACCATCGAATCGATGATAACATCTTTTCGAGGTATCGGCGTCTGCGCCGGTATCGTCGCATCGTTCAGCTTGTTATATGCATGAACGATGCGCCAGCCGTCCTGTGGTTTTTTGACACAGAACGTCAGAGCACTGTGCGGGGATTTCGATTCCCGCACTTGTCCAGTTTTGCGACGACTCTCAAAGAAGTCGTCGATCGCTTTGACCTGCTCTCGCGGCAGTGGCCACATCAGCGTGACATAGTACTTCGTGCCCGGCACGAGATCAATCTCGTGCTGGATTCCCTTGTCCTGCGGAAACTCCGCAGGAATCTCTTCCGGAAGTACGTCCGCGTACTCCCGTAAGATCTCGTAGTAGGGACTCGTTTTCAACGAGTCCCAGCTCTGCTGTTCAAAGCGCTCCTTCTTCGTCTTCGCACTGAGAGCGTCCTCGCTCTCAGTGGTGGTCTCCATGAAGAACTGCCTCAGTTCTTCATTCTCGCTCTTCGTTCTCTCGGCGTCCGAGAGAATGCATATTTGCTCGATGCGTCCATCGTGCAAGTCACGCGCGAAGCGCTTCCAGCTGATGACTGGAAGCGAAGTCAACTCCGACGCTTGCGTCGGAGGGTTAGCGAGGGTCATCTCCCTGTACCGGAACCCGGCACAGGTACGCGTCAAGACCTTCAACGTCTCGACGTCCGGCTTTTCAGCCTCCGTCTGCCCGGCAGACATTTCTTGTAGCGTCTCGGCCCCAGGCCGAGACTTGCGCAGCGACCTTCGCATGCGCCGTCTTCTTGTTTTGCGGAGCCCGGCTCCGCTTGGTTCTTGACCTCGTCCAGGCCCAGCCGTGGATAGGTGTTCTTCTGTAATACCGCCGGCGGGTTCATCCCGCGGGTGAGCGACTTCAAGCCCGGCTTGGTCGCCCGGCGCTTCGTCGTGCAGCCCCGCTGCACGACAACATGCAAGTTTTTCCGGTGCGGGACGTTTGCAACCGTCCGCACCGCCTGCAGCGTCGGATCTCGGAGCCGACACGCCATCTTTACCTCGACGCCTGTTATTGGCGGTGCCCTCCATTACGGAGGGTGCGTCGGCTCCCCGAGCCGACGAATCAAATTCACCCAATCCATCGACTCCCGGAGTCGACGGCGTTACGTCACCTTGGCTCTTATTATTGGTCAGCCCTGATCCAATCAGATTCGCGTCAGCCTCCACGGCTGAGGCGTGTGACTCGTCTGCGTCATCCGTGCCCCTTGAGGTCGGAGACTCTTCCTGATTCGCTGAAAAGCGGGTGTCGATCTCCGAGATCAACACATTTTCTCCTTCAGCCGTCGGCGGCGACGCCGACGATTGCTGCTCTTGCGCGCGCGCCCAGGGCGCTCCTGGACAGCGGCATTAGGCACTGTCTCGAGTGGGAAGTCGCGCGCACCTGTCGGTGCGTGCGTAGCGGCAACAGGGCCATCACTCGCTGTTCCGCTGTCGCGACCGAAGCGCACGAGAGTGCGCTTCTCCCAATCGATGACTGGATCATGCCGTGCAAGCCACGGCATGCCCAATACAATGTCAAACTTATCGTCCAGATCCAGGACGATAAAGGTCTCGACAAACTCTTGATCTTCATACGTGAAGCGCACGCGTACCATGCGCTTATCGTTCTTTACGAAGGCACCCGTTGCCAGTCGTACTTCCAACATACTTCGAGGTATCTTTAAACCCTCGAAGTCAAGCCTTGATAGACTTCGCACTCGAACAAAGTTCTTCGACGCGCCAGAATCTACCAAAGCACGAAGAGAGCCGCTTGCTCTCATCGAGTTCACGTTCAGGATGACAAGGTCAGGCTTGTCATCTTGGTTTTTGCAGTGAGAATGAACCTCACTGGGGGCTGCAGTCCTCAGTGTCGCGTGTCCAAGGTCGACACGCGGAGCTGCATTACCAGTAGGGCGCCCCGCGTCTACTGGCGTCCAGCGTTTTTTGTTTGGTTGCGACGGTGCCCGGCACCGCCGCGATAGCCACCCTGCTGGTGCACGGGGGCCGTGCACTCCCGAGCAATGTGACCGATTCTACCGCATTGGTAGCATCGCACATTGTTTCCTTGCGACTGCTGGGGTCCAGCAGTTGCAGCGCTCGAGGGGTCCATGGGTTCTGGGCCTCCCGTCCTCACTATCGGGCGAGGCTGTGGCCTCGGCGCATGTGCATGCAGCTTAGCCTGCCGCAGGCTAAACTCCTCCTGCATTGCAAGAGTGATTGCAGCTTCGAGAGTACTCGGGTACTCACGGAAGAGATAGGTCTTCACAGGCCCATCTCTCAGTCCCTTCATGAACGTGACGACCTTGGTCGCCTCGTCGATCGGATTGGTCACGATGTTCGAGACCAAGTACCGTGCTCTCTGAGCGTAAACATGGACATCATGCTTGCCCTGCTGCAGGAAGAGGAACTCCGCCCTCGACCGGAACTCGTTTTGCGGGGGCTCAAAAAGTTGTCTGAGCTCTTCCTTGAATCACTCGTACGTGCTAAAGCACGTAGGATCCGAGAGTCGGTATCCATATGCCCAACTTCTTGCACGTCCGCCAAGACATGACATGGCGAACGCGACCTTCGACAACGGGTCGACGATGCGTCGAGCCGCAATGGCAGTGTCGAGTTCGAAAAGCCAACGGAGGAGAGGCTCGCCATCTCTTCCAACGCAATTGCTCACGCTGAGCTTCAGCGATTGCGCGCGCGGTGTCGTCCACGACGACACCGTGGTAGACGAAGCAGCATCTCGCTGCTCCCTCATGATGAATCCCAGACCATGTTGCTCTGTCGGCGTTAGCGTACGCAGCATCGTAGCTACAGCCGCCTCACCAATGACTGTTGACAGTCGTTGGAGAGCTTCCCACTCTGGGTCCGACAGGTGGGGACAGTCAGCGCGTGCAACGTGAGTTGCAGGCGTAGTGGAGCTTTCCATGGACACCTCCGTATCCATGGGAAGGTTCTCAGCTCCGCGTTCGTGCAGTGACGTACGAACTCAGGTAGTCGGTCGTTGGACGTGCTACCAGGTGTAATGGGCCTACTTCGGCTCACTACTTTAGCTTACACGTGTGCACGTGTATGTGAGGAAGCGTAGCTTAGTTTAACTTAGAGTTAATTATACTCGGGCCACCGAGTTATCTTGATGAATGCTTGAATAGCTTAGGTGCCGTTCTTGAACTGTTACAAATTTCTCGGTGCACGGGGTTCCTACAGGGGCGCGGTTAGGAAGGATCGCGCTTGCGTACCTTTGAAGTAGCAACATTTACGGAAAGTCCAGTGTGGTTAGCTAGGAAATGAATGCCTACCTTCATACTCTATCACACAGCGCCTTCCTACTCCTACTTCGACCTCTCCCTCTTCGTCTCCCATCTCCGCTCTCGTGGTTTCTCGGCCTCTCGTCGTGGGAGCCCGTGTCGCCCCTCCGGCGCTCATACTTACTGTCCTTCGCTGCTCCCCGGGTCGCCGCTCCTAGCGATCTTCTGTCTTCAACTGCAACCTGCTCCTGCTGCTGCTGGTGACCGTAGCCTGCTGGCTCGCTCAGGCCACCGTCACCCCCAAGCCGTACAGCTGCGCCACCGTCTCCACGCTGTGCGCCACACCACTCATTGTGTCAAGTCAATCGTGACGTGACCCCCCGCTTGATCGCTTCCTGCAGCCCAGTGACAGGGCACCCTGCTACACGCCATCCCCGGCATCAAGATCGTCCTCGATCTTGTGGGTGTCGTCGAGCGCCTCGAACTCCCCTGCAGACAGCCATCACCAGCCCATGGGACCCCCACGCCGTACCCCGTACTCCACTTCGTGTTCCTGCACGTAACGCCCAGCGCGATTACGAACTCGCCGTCGGGTTCGTTCGACGATGAATCCTGCTGTTGGCACCTGCAGCAGCTCGGGCATTGGGGCGGGTCGTCGTGGCCGTCCTCGCCCTTGTACCATCTCCACTGTGGCTCCGTGGTCACCGTCATGCGTGGTTCCGGCACCGTCAGTTGTTCCTCCGTCACCTCGTGGCTCTCGGGCTTCATTCGCCCGATCGTCACCGTCTCCGGCTTCCGCACCACCGTGTACCCCACGATCACCGTCTGCACCATCTTGCGTCACGGCTGCGGCTTCCTGCTCGCCACGCACAGCCTGCCGGCGGGATGCTCGCGCTTCACGCGCGGCACCAGCTTCTTGTCGTCGTTGTTGCTGCGTCGGCCGCTCGTCTTCATCGTCCTGGGTTGCTTGTACAATAATCTAAAAAAACGATCCAAATAATGTTTTTGGGTTAAAATGAGAACTGCTATTTTTGTTTTATGTTTCTGACTTCCTCTAAATGTAATATTCTAAGATAGGAATCTGCCAACGGCTGGTTGGCAGAATTCCAATGCTATATATGTCGCTCATTGGCTAAGAGATGCTGCTCTCAGCCAATAGGAATCCTAAGTCTCTATGGACCACCCGTCGTGGTGGTCGTAAATGTATGTAGCCTTTGGTGTGTCTACACCAAGGTCGAGAAAGTCTTTCGAACCTCTAACAGACGTCGTATCTGTTAGAGTTACAAGTGACTGTAGCCACTTGTGCGTGTAACCCTGTTACACATGTCGCTAGCAATTATAACCTGCAGTCACATCTACTTGGACAACTTAGATTTTCCAGATTCGATTACATTCCTCTGGGTTAACTCACTAGTTTGGGTGCGTCGAAGCCCAGTCATTGCAGAACAGAAATCATTGCATTCCTGTCGAGCTTCAGTCTTCGGAATCTTACAGCTGCGACAGATCTATAATATATACAACTGCAGCTCTATTGTGTGTTCTAGTAGGCTTCAATATCCTCGATCCTTCAGATCGCTATGTGATTGAGGAGATGTGCCGACGGTCCCGTGTAGCATGAATGTCGTTCGATGTCATCCGCCGACGGGGGAAGCTACGAATGTAGCGCGAATGTCGTTCGATGTCATCCAAAAACCTTCCCCAATCGACAGTTCTTCGAACTGCGAGTTCACAGACCTATAGACGTCTTGTATGTAGCGAGACGTGCCTGTATGTCAACCATCTTAACACTGAGTGTTTTTGCTGCTTTTGCAGCTGGGGTGTGGAGTCTGCAATCGTTTTCCTTGTTATAGAGTTGGGGGTATCGTAGATGATTAAAGTGCTTGTTTTTGTCATCAACTTAGACGCTCGGTGAAACTATAGGGTACAGACGATCCCCTCTGTAGTCATGGCGTCGGGGACCCACTTTTTTCCTAGGTGAGGATATTCCTGCCGTCCAGCGACTGGCTTACACTGTTTACTTTAGTTTAGGTTTTGCTCAGATACATTACAATGGCTTATATTTGTCGGCAAGACGCTACGGAGCCAGGTTTCGCCAATCTTTGGCCGCGTCTATTGGGGACGAGCAAATTGCTGGAGGGTACGGCAGCGGTGAAGATTCTGTCGAAGAAGTGCTCGATGATTATGACGAAGTGTGAACGAATCTAGGCCGCTTTATTGCGGAACATCAACGACTTTTTGCTCTTCGTCCACAATCATTGTTGCGGGTGCTCAAATGCAACTTCGTGGTCCACCTCAACCATCTATTTACCAAGCATAGACTATTGTATATTAGGCTAGGAATCACAGGACACATTACGGTAATTTCTCTGTGTGGATCGAAGACTAGTCGCAGCTTTGTGCTGCAGCTAGCATCATTTGCTAATACATATTGCTGGTGCTGATGGTAAATTACTTGTCTGCTCTCTTGCTGCATTTCAGTGGTCGTCCTAAGAAGCCTCTTTCACTCTCGGGAATATAGTGCCTTCGAGTATCGTACCCTAGGTACCTCTGTACGGTACTGTATAACATTAGTAGACGGTATACTATTCGGTATTCTACGTTACCTACATCATGCCCCACATATCTTACGGTATTATATCAAATATACTTTTATCCTTTTCGGTGTTACCGAGGTGTATATCGTTATCTGCGCGAATTCCATCCATACCCGTTTATCGATTCGGAAAATGTTCAGCCCATGTTTTCGGGTTGGAGGGGGTGAAATGGCCCGCAAATCTATCGTGATGCAGAGACCAAATCGGCATCAGTGGCGTTTGAGAAGCATGAACAACCCGCAAACGTAGCCCCGAAGCAAGGCTTAGGTCTACAGTTCCCTGCCTAGCGCTGGGCCGGCCTTCTAAAGGTTTTAAGGACAGGTAGAGCCACATTTAGCAGCTCGATTACCCAGTTCTCAGGGATTTGCAATAGATTTGGGTGCCATGACACCCGTCCTGAAAACCGAAACATGGATGTCCATGATTTCAGCATGTTTTACGTGTTTGGAGATCTTAATTGGTTTTAGTATGCCTTTGTCCCTAACCCTATTCCGAAACATGGGCTGTAGGGCCAGCCTTATCGATTTGAGCAGCCATTTTAGGCTATGCAACCAAACGACTGCTCCAATCCGTACCATATATGTGGTACAGTACCGTGTTCCACCCGATGGTACACCCTGGTCCACACTCCCTGATGCTGTTGGTCCCAACACTGTCCGGTTCCTGACGCCCCGCTCTTTAGTCTCTGTCATCTTGGCGAATGATGCCGCTAGACGCCATCAAATCCGCGGCAGCTACTACAGTAGTACGTTGAGCAGAATAAACGGCATAAAATTGTCCATCTCGCAGCACCGTGGCACAATGAAGTGCTATGGAGTGAATAACTCATTCACAGCACCGCATCAACTCGTGGTTTTCATGACACGGTACTTTATTAATGGGGGGGCTGTATTTGAGGGTACTGTATTCTTATACAGTACCCCCAGACAGGGTCCTTGTATTCGCAGGGAACTCTAACGAGAGCTATGCGTAGGCTGGGATAGCTAAAGGATTTTGTGTGAGGTAAAGCCACGCGATAATTCTGGGAAAATAACGAAAAGCAACAGTTTTCCTAGCTGTGGGTGCGTTCACTCCTCGTAATATATTTATTTTGGGGTCTGGCGATAGCGATAGGCCGGCAGCGTGCTGTAAAAAGAACGAAGCGTTAACGCCCTGGCCGAGCTCGTGCAATTTAGGCACTGACCGGTAACGCCTGCGAGAATTCAGCGCGTTGTAGACAAGGTCTATGTTTTCGCAAGGTTGCTGCGCATTGTCTAGGAGACCATTTTTCTACTAGTATTTGTTTATCCTGAAAGTGCAAGTTCTGCATTGGTTCTTCTCAGACAGATAGTTTAGAAGAAAGACTCTCAGATGCGGTATGCCAATGTGACACAATCGAAAACTATACTTCGGTCGAAGTAAGTAAAGTGAACGCGTGTGCTTCTATTTGGCGTTAGTATAAAACCCGTTTTATACTTAAGTGTCCGGTACAGTAGTTGGCGACTACTTGTGCAACTGCGCGTTGGGGGTTATGCCACAACTGTATGGACGCTTCTAATAGTCGAATGCAGGCAGATGCTGCGGCTGCAAAGCAGGCGCAGAAGATGTTTGCGGATAGCGGTTTTGCCAGCACAAGGTTTGATATTCGAGTCAAGAAGCGCGGTTAGTGGACGATAACTACGGCCATCTACTGCGCCTGCTTCGCAGCCGCAGCATCTGGCCGGTAATACAGGATAGTTTAGTGAGCAGTCCTGTTTACTTTTAAAAACTTGCAAACAATTATTTTGCTCTTCAGAAGTTTTTTGCACTCTCGCTAATTGCGATTTCGATGTCTCCTGAGCGTTATCTGTAACAGGGAATACATTTCGTGACGAAGTAAGGGTTGTGAGGCTGGTACTTGTAAGCCAGCAAGCTGGCCTCCCAGGATACATGTTCTAGCTAGATGAAGCAGCTATGAGCAGATAGTATTTCAAACACGCACCGTTATGGATCAATCAGGAACCGGACGATGTCATCCGATACTTTCGCTTCGCTCCTTGAGCTCAGGACGTCAGAGAGCATGTCTGTGTTTTCAAGGTAATATAGTTAGTTTAAATTACTTCCTCTTGTACTGTAGATGGACGAGCTGCCACACGCTGCCACACCAGATCGGCAAATAGTTTTCATATATGCTGTCGTTTGAGAGACCGACCGTCGGCCTAACGGCTACACGATTAGCTGACTTCCTTGAGTTGACGATGTCGGCGTCGGCACTAGTTCCGGGGTCGGCTCGCAGCTGCTGGGGCACAAATCGGTGAGCTACGGCAACAAGCGTAAGCTAAGAACATCGCCCATCAGCGACGTGGTGCCGAAGACCGGCGAGCAGCGCTGATCTCGGTAACGATTCCTCGCAGCACTCGTATCCAAATGCGACGAATACGGAAATTTCGAAATGCTCTCCATCACTCTCGAGCTTGTCTCGGACTTGAGATTGATGGAGAGCATAGGCGATATTCAGTTAACTTCAGTTATCGGGGCCAGTTTTTCGACTTCAGTAATACCGGCTTCAGTTCCCAAGGTGCTGCCTAATTAATCTGTGTTGGGCTGGCCAGAGCACTCCCTCCGGGGTTACTGCTATCCCAGATTAATACTTTCGTAGTAGGGTGCCCTGTCACTGAGCTGCAGGACGCGATCAAGCGGGGGGTCACGTCACGATTGACTTGACACAATGAGTGGTGTGGCGCACAGCGTGGAGACGGTGGCGCAGCTGTACGGCTTGGGGGTGACGGTGGCCTGAGCGAGCCAGCAGGCTACGGTCACCAGCAGCAGCAGGAGCAGGTTGCAGCTGAAGACAGAAGATCGCTAGGAGCGGCGAGCGAAGGACAGCAAGTATGAGCGCCGGAGGGGCGACACGGGCTCCCACGACGAGAGGCCGAGAAACCACGAGAGCGGTGATGGGAGACGAAGAGGGAGAAGTCCAAGTAGGAGTAGGAAGGCGCCGTGTGATAGAGTATGAAGGTAGGCTAAGCGGGGACAACGAGCGGAGGTTGAGTCGCTCGACCCTCAGTTGCGGTTTATCACTGGTCAGTGGTGAGTCAAGACTAAATACACACAAGTTGCGCCGACGCACAGGTTCCTACGCTAGCTGGTTCTGCGGCTCGAGGGTGGTCGGCCAGGAGCACGAAGGAGTAACAACGAAGGTAGGCGAAAGTGACGAACAGTGCATATGAGGACGACGCATCAAGCAGGCTGGCGGGATCCGTGGGGAGAGACCACGGGGGCGCAGAGTACAGTGCAGTCAGTACTCTGACCGTGAGAGATAACGTCTCCGAGCGTCGGGTCCGTTCCATGGCGGTGACGGACGTTGTCTCGCCCACTTGCATGTCCGGCGGGAGCCACCTGGGGCTTGCCGGAAGCCCAAGGTGTCCATGTAGCTCCCTCCCAGCCGTCCCTATTCCCGAGACCCGCCGTGTCGTTGACGGGTCAGCCGGCAGCTGTCTGATCGTCGTAAGCCTCGCACTTATTGGCAGTCGGCGTTGAACCGTTGACCTAGGTGTGGACGTGGTGACTAGTGTGCTCTCATGCACCGAGGGCGTGTAAGGAACTGGGAATTGGGCTTCGGGTTAAGTCGAGTAAACTACACTTTACAAAAATAACACCTTACCGGACACGATTCGGAATTTTACGTTAATGATACCGAGAACATAACTAGGGCTTCGCGGGGGCTCAGATAGCGAAAATAAAACAGAACAGATATACGCACAGCGCACACGACTTAGGCGCGCCGCACTTGCGGCGCACCAGTCGTCCGTGTTGTGCGTATTATATTATGGGCATCCACAACTAATACAGTGAAGTGTCTCGATAAGGAACGAGCGACATTTAATATTCTTCAACAGACATCAAGCTCGCTTTGTACCCACTATCAGTCAACTGTACTGGATTAGTATGTATTTTACCAATTCAGAGCTTTCCCAATTCAGAGCTTTCCCATTACTAATGGGAAAGCTCTGATGGGTAAAATTCATACTAATTCGGAATGCTAATGGGCAATTAGCATTCCGCCAATCGCCGCTCTCAAACCGAGCCTCGAGGGGAATCCAAAGGTCACGGGCGGGAATCACGAGATACTTAGTAATCGTTGTGAGCGCGGGAATTTGGCCCGGTATGTCTGCACTCCTCATTATTCAACTCGCTCTGCTTCTCACAAGTTCCATGGTGACCACCGCATCCAGACCATTCCAGAGGCGCCTACGTCTAACCAAGCTTCAGTCCCTGCTGATCTGCCACCGTCGCCGCGAGGTCGGTGCTCTCAAAGCCATTGAGTGGTGTGCTGAAGCATGGCGTGATCTGTCGGCCAAGACCATCGAGAACTGCTGGCTGCACTCTACTCTGGTCGCGAAGACCGACATGAACTACATACTGCAGTAAATCAGTACATTTGCAGCTTGTACGTCAAACATTTAATGCTCAATATACCTGCTTCTTTCCATGTATATCAGGTGTTCCTTATCGAGACACTTTACTGTACCAGATAAGCAGTTTCTTAGTGCAATAACCCACTTGCGATAATATCAATTTACTTTCTTACCTCCACGCTGTTAATAATCAAATGCAAGCAAGCTATTAGCTGCAACAGCGCCCTGCCAAGCACTTACCTTCGTGCTGTAACTTCGTCCTGGTTTTGCGTCATCGGGTTGGGCGGAAATGGTTCGAATGAAACTAGATGATGCGATTGATGTTTCCTCACCGATAGAGACCGACTAGATAATTATTTATATGGCCCATTAAGTTTACTTTCATAAAATTCCAACATATGATGGATACTTAAACAGGTGCGATACATCCACGGCTTCATGCGACACCGATTTAATCCTGTGCCGGCTGCGTAGCAGCATACCTTACGGTACACATGCTATCTCAGTATAATTTGCCATGTTAGTATTGAATGATAGTATTGAGCCCCATTTCACTACTGTTGACAAGCACCCAAGCTCCATTCTATTCAAACAAACGGCACTAGCAGGTCTGAAAGCCGGCTACGAAAGCTAGTGCGATCGTTATATTCGCTGCAGTCTTCATTTCATAATTAAACTGTGTGGATCGGCTTTGTGTGGTACTGTGCACGGTGCTGTAATGTTAATGGCTACATTTGCGTAAGTATGATGTGTGCTTGTGTACGTGGTGTGCGTTTGTGCGTATGATGCCGTATTTTAATACCAATTAAAATAAAATGTCGTTCTAATGTTGCCTGAGGTATTTACAAGCAACTTTTTTTCGATGTGAGGCTGTCCATAGGCAACCCGGAGCGTTGCTCCGGGAGGGTGCACAGGTCGACGAATAGTTTCATGGACGATGAAAACGGATGATAATTGAGTAAATCCCAAAGTTGTTTTGTTTTAATCCTTAAAAGCACTACCAGCCCAACTCTCTACTCATTCCGCAATTTATCCCCCAAGCCCTCAAGTTAAAAGTTTCTTTGTTTTTTTTGTTTTTGAATTGATGATCATTATTGTCACTTAGCTAACATCCTCAAGTTAAATGGTCAAGATCAGCGCACCATGCGTCTCTCCTTCGTTCCGTAGCATCTTCGGCTAAGAGTGATTGGGTATTGAGCAAATTGACATGTAAAAAAATGCAGCCTGCAGCTAGACAAGTCATGTTGTTCATCTTCAGCTAAGCTTGGTCGATTATGGCGCAAATTGATACGCCTTCAGCGAAGTCATGACGCTCTGATACTGTACTAGAGCGTTCGTAAGTGTTGAATGCAGGTTTTGGTCAATAATAAAAGATGAGTTGCAACCATTGGTAAATAATGTGCATAAATCTTAGCATTTATCGACGGGTACCCGATTACGGTAGAAATTAGCTTAAACATTACAATTAAGAAAGAGAGACCCGGTTTGGTACCTGGTTGTGGAAAGTTACAAGTTTTTTGCCGGGGCCAAGCACAGGTCTTAGACCTGTGAATACAGGTCTTCTAGCTGTCCTCCCAGGATAAAGCTGGTGGTGCCCTACAGGCTACTACGTAGCCCCCGGTATAAGTTCTCTATTAGAGAACTAATATGCTAAATAAGAACAAATATAGGCATTGATGACTAGCCTCACGAGCGGCATCGCAGCTAGGTGCTCGCGCCTCTGACAGGATCACATATATTTACTAAGCATCCGAATGTCACAGCTTCCTCCGACGAGGAAGTTCCTCGTCTTCCCAGGATTAGATACGGTACAGGCGGATCTGATCCTGACAAGACTCGAAGCTGACAACATAATATTATGCATTCGTATGGAAGATAAGATGGCAACGAAGGGAGAAAACGGTAGTTTAGAGCCCACTTGCATGATGGGTAATCTAAAGTTCCGGGCTCCAAGAACAGCTAAGCGCTGGAGCGTGTTGGCAGCCGCAGTAACATTGCGAGCGCCGCCAAAATGGCCGGAAGCGCTGCAGGGGCCAAGTGGAAGAGTGAGAAGGCACTGCAACAGTCGAAGCGCGAAATCCCTGCTACACTGCAACCGCTCGATTACACTCCTACACCCAAGGAAAACATCGACGACATCCAAATGAGCAAGGTGCGAAGTGCTCACTATAATTCAATGAACAAAACCCACGAGATAACCTGTGCTGTCTGTGTTTATGATGAAATAATGCAAAGAGGCACAGCCAAAGCGGAAAACACGCCAAGTCGCGACCGCATGCACTTGAGAGCTTGCCCGCGTCTCCGCAGGTTCTAGCCTCAAGACAGAGCCTAGTGTAGTCTAGCGAAGCTGACAGGTCGTTTAAATACACGATACGTCAAACGCACCACGACCGCCTTGGCCTCCGCTCTATGCGTCGAATTAATGTTAAATTTTAGTGGAATGCAGACCCCAAGACGACACACAACGCTCATCAGGTCGTCAACAGCGTCCGCTTCCTCTCCACCCTGGATCCAAGAGCGGAAATTCGCGAATGGCTTGGTAACGTGAAGGACGTGCTTGATTGCAGGACTGGACAAGCTTCCGGCTCCCGGGCCATGAAACAAAAAGGTGTCCCCAGCTACTAGAGAGCCCAAGGGTAGCGATGGATTGGCATCGCTCGGAATATTCGCCAACTTCATGGAGCAGTACAGAAGGCACCAATCTACAAAACGCCAAGCGCTCATCAGTTAATAAAATACCGAAAGCCACAAGAAGTACACTACATACCTTCAGTTAGCGAGTCCACAGGCTGTCCACAAGCGTCCATAATCTCCGCTGTGAGCCGTAGTTGGTCATCGATAAACTTCGTGGGGAACTTACTCGACCCCAACAGTTGCGAGTGGGTCTTGTCCATCTCAATGATAGCGTGGATGGCCTCGGCGCGAGCGGATTCAATGCACCGATTGACTGACGCCAGTTTGCCGTCCATACACTCACGAACCAGCTCGGCAGCGCCAGCTTTGAACCCGCGCAGCAGAAGCGCGTACATGTCGATCATCGTCTTCGTGTCTGCCGCCGTCGTAGCCACATCAGACTTTGGTTTGACTGGAGGCGTCAGGTTGATATTCATGCTCCAAAGCCGCTTTGTGCGTCTTGGTAAGGCCATAACCCCTATAGTAGGAGATAGTCAACTCGTCTTACGGATGATACGGGAGCGCAGGCGGCCAAAAGCTCGGGTGCTTCAGCCAATTTATGACAGAGCACGGCGCCTAGCAGACTCGGTGCGCGTAGCTTCATGGAGACACCACTACCGTTGCCACAACAAGATGGCAGATTGTCTTGCGAACCTCGCTATGGATTCCAGACGAAGTCAGCAGGATGAACCCATAAATAGGGACCTGGTGGAACGACGATACCCGGGCGTTCTCAGCTTCTTGATGAATGACTACAGGAAATGGGCAGACACGAACACAGGACAAGAAATCCTCATGCCCTCTTCTCTCTAAGCGAAGCCACGGCTTAGCTTATAGGGACATGCACATCTTACATATCAAACCCACTCCTCTTGCTCTTGAGGTTGGAAGGGGGATTAGAAGTTCGGCCACAAGGCCAGTAACTCAATACACCTCAACGTTATTAAAAAAAAGGCCATAACCCCGCTTGATTCTGACATTAAGGAAAATGAAGAAGGTTGCACAACCAAAGCGACAATGTAGAAGATGATGACCACCGCATCCGTCATTTCCATCTTTGGCATTGCGTAGAACTGCAGGTTTACGCCGATTGAGCCTACGATGCTGCGGAATAAAGCAAGAGAAGATACCTCGGATCAATCTTGAGCTTTCGTTTCTTGTAGCGGGACCACAGCTTTTGAACACGAACAAACAAGTGAGCTCACTCGGTGGCAAGCAGGCTGAGGGAAGCTATTGACTTACAAAGTTCATCGTCATGGCCGCAAACATCCTCCAGACCACCGTCTCGTGTGACGTCACGCGATGGCTCGCATACTTGACGCAAGCAGAGGTGACGCTGAAGTTGAAAGCTGCGAACACGATGAACCCAAGTTCTTTCACCCGCTTCACGCTCCTAGCAGATGAATTAGCGACCTCCGAGCTATCGACTTCACTCTTGAAGGTGTGTTCGCCAGCACTTGATGACTTCAGAAGCGGCTGGTCGTCGCGATTGTTTGCATTACTGGCGCTGTCTTCGATCCCATCGATAACAAAATCGTCTTGGTAGTGTCATTGTCCGGAGGTGGAGCCACTGCAGCTCCTCCATGGTTATTGGCCCTAGATGGTATTAATAACGTTACAACCATTCGCAACTAGGGCTCCGCGAAGGGGGATTTTGGTATAACCCCCCTCTTTATTTTTATTGATTACTTTTCTTGTGAGCTACGGTCATCTCCTGCGCCTGCTTCGCAGCCGCAGCATCTGCCCGGAAATTGGCCTTACGACTGTAGATGCCAGATATCAACTGGCAACGCTGTACAAAATTAAAAAATGCGAGCCTTGCAGCTTGTAGAAGTCTTCTACTTGAAAATGCAAATGCTTACCTCTAGTGCTATTACAGTTCGCCTCAATCGTTCTCTTTACTTCAATTCGTCTATCCGACTGATTCATACCAGTGTCGTCGGTTGCACACCGGTTGGATCTGCCCACGCATATAAACCACACCTTGAACAAACCAAACCATGAAACGTGCAAGAAATTGGTTTGCTCGAAAACTACGCAGATTTCCGAACCAAAATTACCGCTTTCGCTGGTTTGTGGTCAGATCCTTCCAGCTTTCAAACCACGAGCGGGGGTTCGGAGTTATGTAGCGTTACAGGTTTGGAGTTACTGTGGTGCTCATTGGCTACAAAAGGCTATACAAAGATATCGCACACTTTCATAAAGGTCCGCATTTGTTGAAATAAATTCTCGGGCTGTAGAATACCCAAGTATGTCGTTAAAAATTGATGTACGAGCCACAATTAATGAGCACCTTAAGATTCACAAGAGTTTGGCACAGATTTTGAAGTTGCTCGAAGTGAGCTACGACTAGCCCGCATAATATTAGACGGCGTGGGAGACTAGAGATTATCCTTAAAACACGATCAACTTTCCGGGCATTCAGCGTTGTTGACACTGTTCTAAAGTAGCGAATTACCGCTGCTAAGCAACAATTGGATACTCAACAGACCAAGCGTATGCAAACAACGCGTCTAGTTTTTTTCAGATTTACAGAGCATTTCAAAATTGGCGGAGCTGCACTGTTGTTCGGGATCTCATTATTAAATCCATTTACTTCTTGTGGTCATCATTGATGACTTGATGACTCATCAAGTTAACAGTCAATCATGTTGACCATTCTTTTTTTTCTCACGAGCAGCATTGCAGAGAACTTGGTGACTCCCGTGAACTAAAATTTTCGTGTAAATTGAAGCTGGAAATTCTTGTTGCACGTGCCAAGCGCCAGGGGAGGCAGCATCGTAAACAGCTATTGCTAGTTTTGATCCTCAGCCCACGCAAAAGGACGACAGTTGCCCCCATGCCGCTTTCATGAAACCAACGCGGGCCATCCAACAACAACAAAAACTAGCCAGTTCATTTCGTCGTCACTGGCAAAATATCTACTGGCACACGCCTTAACTGATTGTGAGTATTATGCGAGCTCTTTTTGTGACTCAGCATTGAATTCCGTACCCCTACACAGCAGAACGTACTATGAAACAATATTTCCGAACAAATTTCATACCAACAAATGAGAATTCATAACGTCCTCCTCCCAATTCATTACTTCCTCCTTCCTTAATGCTACTCGAGTCACCTCAAAGCAGTACATGTGCTCGTATCCTAAGGTTTTTGATTCACGGGTAAAAATTAAACTAAAATGCCGCGGACAGTTAGAAACTATGATGAAGCTTCTGGAAGATGAGTGCGAGAGCAATATGGACAATCGAGTTTAACGTAGCTCTGAACAGCAATAAGTTATGCTACCTGCCAGCGTCTTCAAGAGTGTCTGCACGAATTCCCCGCTTTATCACGCCTGCACCGTTTTGTCGCGGCCCACCCTCGCTATACGCAGGCGCGCTCTCTTAACAAACGCCGAGAGAGCTGTTCAAGCACCACCCAGCGCTTCGGATATCTCAATCTTGGACGTCACCATTCATTACGTCTCTCTTAGCTCCGTAGTCAGAACGGTTTTTGCTTATCGAGAAGTCACTAACCTGTAACAAGGATAATTTCTACTGATCAATAAGATAATGCACTGTAGATAGCCTATCTATCCCGAGCTTGCAGTAGCCAAATTATGATTTTTTATTTTTTATTTTTATGCGGTTATCGTCGATTGCACTCGCATCAACCCCGCTGACCGGGCCCACTGGGCACCCGGCGGCTAGCCAAATTGTGAACGCGACCTACGTAGAGACGGAACCACTTCGTCTTGAAAGTGCAAACAGAAGCAAGCCGTTGGTGTGCGCACAAACTTAGTTGTTCACGCAGACGAACATCAGCCTCTTTTGATCTTTCTTGAGAGACTTCGCATCAAATTCGCCATTTCCACTAGTGCTGTGATGCGATCTTGCCTACCTGTAAACACATATTCCCATCCAGCGCTCGAACGACCTAACTAAATCCTCCATTCGCTCCTTCGTCCTGGATTCCGGAGCTCCAAGTTGGAATTAGGGGACCGTTCGAAGGTTTGAGCCCGTGGCATCTTAATAAACGGGCAAATTTTGCGTGTAGATCCCCCTTTATTTATCGAGTAAAATTGTTGAATATCTGGATTTATATACTCTCTGACGTCATGTCTGCCTGTGTATATTTTTTTTACCGCAAAAGAAAGTTTGAGGGCAAATGCCCATATTATCATGAGCCGGAGACTGGATCAAGCTAACAGTAAGCTTGCTTGCAACTACTTTATCTTTGGGCGTTCCCGTGGTCGCACTGATCGAAGCGGTTTCTCAATCGCGATAATTGTTTGTCGTGGCCTTGCCGAAGAGCACGATAACAGTGAAGTGATTCTAACCGCGATCCATTCTGTAAAAGCCGCACTGCCTGCGAATGTGCAGCCGCGGTTCAAACCAGCGCGCTGGTTCGCAAAAACGGCATGCTTGGTTTAAAATGAAACGTGTTCAAACTATGAAACTGATTCAAACCTGGTTTGCCGGTAATTTTGGTTTGGTTTAAACTGACCGAGGTCTGGTTTGGTTTGGTTTGTTCTGGGTGTGATATAAACCTGCCCAGCGCGGCACCGGAGTCGTACCGGTTTCAAGATAATATACCAGTTAGATGTCAAGAGGGGTCATCGTTTGACTTGACGTACCACAGATATAATCCTATTTGGTCTGCGATAGCGGCATTACCGGTAACGTTGCTTCCTATCCCAGTACTAGATCGCTGGCGCTTAAACCGGGAGGGCATTTCTCACGTGAAAACATGAAGTGGCTAGATGTACTTGATCGCTGTGGCTTGTTCAGCTGTTGTCTGAAAAATCAAGTGGGGTTCATCTTCATCTTCCGATCGAATGGTCGATTGAACTATACATGAAACTTTGGCAACGTTTTACCTAGGGAATACACAGTACGTGAATATACATGTATACAAAGAACCAATATATGACTCAAGGTCAACGCTTTTCAAAGCTCATGCAAGTATGTGAAACGCGCGACAAGGAATTCATGACTCCCTGCTTGTATCACGGTTTGAAGAAGCCTATGTGTAGCCTAGAAATGACAGTTGAGCTGGTGGTGATTTCAATAGCCTCCTGTTGCGGGCCCCAAGGCTACGATGATGGTGGGGAACGCGTTATGCAAATGCTCAAACTCGTCGAAGTCTATCTTGTAAGGAGCGTTTCGTAGCATGGTTGAAGACAGTGATGGCCAATATTGCGCACGCGCTCGTAAGGTGCTGTAGAGTCCTCCTTCATCCTTACCTCGGCCGTCAATATTGCCAGCAAAATATGAATTCCACAAACCGGTGGGTTCATGTTGATTAAGCAACTGCAGAAGTCCTATCGCGGTGAGTCAATCGCCACTGTATCCTCGACGACAACGACGTCGTCGAGTGTGCGGCTGACTGCTCAGGCTCTCCCCTCTCGTACCACGAACTCCGTGTTGTCCAAGCCGCTGGCTAAGACTTACAGCATGAAGCGAAACCGCAACGAAGGGTCAATCCTCCATGCATCACGACCCGTGAGTGACTTGACCTAACGTCGAACTCCACGGCAGGCAGTGAGTTGGGCGAAGGTTGCCTAAGGTGTCATGGGATAGTACAGCGAATGTTACCTGTAACTCAGTCGACAGTTTTGAACGAAATAAAGCTGGTGGAGCCCTACAGGCTACTACGTAGCCCTCCCGGTATAAAATGTTTCAGCTAAGGTTTTGTGAGCTATCTGCCGCCGTGAGAATTTAAGAGTGGGCTGAGCAGCAAGAACCAACGCAAAACGAAAATCCTTTCCCCCAGGATCGTGGTCGTAGCCGCGGAGAAGAAATGTGCACGATAGTACTGTGGGCACATTGTTGAGCAGAAAAGATTTGAAAAATCTCCGCAAATAACCACCGTGTGATAAATGATTGCCTCCCCGACTCACGGAATGAAACGCTTGTCGCATCTAGCCAGCATTGATAACCTTGCATTGGCGGGGTCAAAGTACATGCACACAATATTCCACAAGTTGTCGATACCTTTTCAACGGCGTAGCGGTATCCGAGCCTAATGCACTACGATGGTTGCCGCGCCGACAAACCCTATCAGAGCTCCACGCATACTGAACAATGTCACGTGAGGGATCTCATCGTTTGGGTGCACAACCGTCCTCGCAAGCACCCCAACTACAATGGGGTAGCGGTCGCTCGTGACTAAATACAGGTGGATCATTCCCAAGTCACTGCTGTTTGAGCTCCTCGTTGACTTGTTTCACTTTGCAATGCACTGGCTGGATTGATGATTAAACTGAGAATAGGATGATCTTTTGGGTATCTACAATGTGCAGGCCTCCAGCACTTTGGTAGGGTTCAAGTACAAATGCATGGCTAACCGCTTAACTGACTTGCTGAACTTGTGTGCCAACAGGATTCGATTACCCTTTTAGATTCGAATGGCTTCATGAAAATTGGCCGTCAAACTAGTCGCAAGAAATATCCAAGTCTTAGATGGATTGCAGTGAAAGAGTAATAATAACCAAACGTTCTCTTCTCGTGGAATTATCTAGTGTTGTGTTGTGTGTTACTGCTGGCATCGTCGATGCCTACAACTGGCGTCTCCGCTTGTTGGGTGGGTCGGCTCCATCCTCGCCCTCACTTGCGTCATTATTGTCAGCTGCCGAGTCGCCGGCTTCCTCCTCGCTTGACGATCCGCCGTCGCTGAACGAGTCATCTGAGGACACGGATCCTCTGCGCTGCGAGGGACCCTCCGTCTCCTGAGTGAGCGCTTCTTCTTCAACAGTAGCAGCCGCGCCTTCGGTATTTGCTATGTTTGTTGCTACTGCAGCCTTGGGTGGACGAACTTGCGTAGTTCGAGCGTGTTGAATAGTCATGTCCACCGCCTTCTTATTGAACAGCTCGCGGTTGTGCTTAAAGGTGTCAGCCTGAAGGTAGCAACAAACCCACCAAAACACTATCGTAAGATAACAAGTCATCATTCAACTGAACATGCAGAGAAGAGGTCGTACAATCTCCGGCATCAGGCCGTCGTCCGCGTTAGGCTCGGACATCAGCAAACGAATAGTAGTCAGCAGCGTACTGATGTTCACGGACGGCAGCCAAGAACCCTGCATGAAAGAAAAAAGAAGTAAAAATCTTAGTAAAAATTCACAGTTCCCCACACCTTCCGTCCACCACTCCATTCGATCGAGACCAACCTTTGGCTGCATTTTCAGAGTGTCGAGGCAGATGCGCCCGGCATCGTCGATGTTTGGGTGGTAAATAGGAGTGATGAAGCGGACTTTGGGCGGCTCAAACGGATACCTGTCCACCAATAAATAAAAAATAAATAAATAAAACAGTAGTGTCACTACAGAGCCAGCGCTCGATCATAGTCGTCGACGAACTTTTCAGGAATCTCAATCTCCAGCTGGAACACGCCCTTCTCGTACGGAGACCCGTCCGGGCCCAGAATCTCTGTTAGCGTCACAACAGCCAATACCAACAAATATTAATATAGAAACCATTAAAGAAAATACTTGTAGGACTGGTTTAGTGTAAATGGAACTTCACGCACGGGCCTCGAGGAGGTCGATTTTGTCGTCTTTGGGCCACGCGCTGACGCCTGCCGAGCGTAAATTACGCATTAAAAGATCAAAGATTAGGTCCGCAGACACAGAATCGCTTGCTGGTCATGGTCGTAAGGTTGCTGCGCGCACCGAAGGGCGGGTCGCTCTCCAGCATGGCGATCTCCTTGCGCATCCGTCCGCGCATCGCCGCCATCGCCTTGCTATAAAACGCTGTGGAATAAATTCAAATGGCGCTCATTGGCTAATAAGAAATCGCGATAGGGCTAGGTGCGATTGTTTTCAATGTAACTTGCGATCTTCCAGCAGCATGGACGACCTGGAGGAGCTGCAGCTGCTGGGGCGTGGAGGCTACGCGAGGTGAGTGAGCACGCGACTTAGCATTTAATTTATAGATAAACACAGTAGTAGTTAGACTATTGCATGTGTTGAATTGGAACAGCTCACTTGGCAATTGATACTTTTTTTTGGCATATTTTAGCGTGTATCTTGTCCGACGAAGTAGTTCGTCCGACCTCTACGGTAACTTGTGCTTCGATCTTGTTTAAGCAACTATTTTATACTAAGGATCTGTACAATCTTTGCAGCGTTGAAACGTATTCCGAGGTCGAAGATTGTCTCGGAGCAGCAGAAACTGCGGCTGGAAGCGGAAAAATTCGTTCTGCTGCACGCTACGAGTCCGTTCCTGTGTCGAGGCTTTGAGAGCTTCGCGACGACGGCGCAAGTTGCATTTCTGCTGGAATTCATCGACGGCCGAGCGCTGTACGAGTGCGTGTGGAAGTACAGAGAGACGGGGAAATTCCCGGAACACGTCGCCAAATTCTTCGCAGCGCAACTGGTGCTGGCGCTGCGCGATCTGCACGCTCAAGGGTTCATTCACCGAGATCTAAAGAGTGGAAATGTACTAGTGGGGAAGGATGGGTTTATCAAAGTGATTGACTTTGGACTGGCGAAAAAGCTTGTCGGTGGAGCTGATGGAGATCCCACGGAGCGCACTCAGTCCATGTGTGGGACGCATTACGTCATGGCTCCGGAAGTGTTTTACCGTGAAGCCTACGGGTTTGCCATAGATTGGTGGTACGATTCAATTGATCATAAGCGGCGGTACCTCTACATTTGCTCACCTACAGCATTACTTTGCCGACAGGAGCTTGGGTGTCGTAATCTACGAGATGGCTGTTGGGCATCCGCCGTGGGAGTATCAGTGCCCGGCCTACAGTACCATGGACGAGTATTTCCAGCTAATAAAGCGCGTAGCAAGCTCGGCTCACAATTACTCAGAAGAGCGACTAGGCGATGATCTGCGTTCGCTCGTGAGGTAGGCGGATATCACCTACGCTGATATTTTCTCTAATTCTCGTGCTGATTAATGTTTTGGGGCTCAAAATTCTAGCGGATTACTGAAGCTTAATCCTCGCGAGCGTCTTGGAAGAAATGGAGCAGCAGAGGTATGAACTTTTGGATAAAGCAACTGCACGGGCGTCAATCCTAACTAGCGAATTTGATCTATAAAACCATAGGTCATGCACCACGCTTGGTTCCACGATATCGAGTGGAAGTTGCTGGAGACGAAAGACGGATCAATTGCTGCACCATATAACCCAGAAGCTGACTACAACCCAGCGAGAGTTCGCACACCTCAAAGAGTCGAGAGCTTGTCTAGTGCAGAAAGCATTGATCCCGAGGACAATGCGAAGTATTTCGCTGACTTTTAGCGAACTACTACGAGGGCTACTCTCATCCAACCTAGACAATCTGCCTAACGAACGATTGCTGGGACTCGCGCTCTGCCGTGGCCTTGATATTCGTCGCCTTCCTGTCGTCGTTCGCAGCAGTGACGTACTCGTCAATGAACTGGGCAATGCAGGGGTGGAACTCGTAGCGTCCACCAAAGAAGTCGACGTAGTTGGTGCCGTCGAACAGATAGCCTTCGGGCAGGGGGTCCATCGCCTTTATCATACCACAACAAATTATATCAGTGAACCAGGGTAATAACGGCATGTTTGACTCAAACTTACATGTTGTCGCTGAATCTCGCGCTTTTCTTCCAAGCTAATCGAAGCCTTGGAACGAACTTGGTTTGGTGAGGCTTCAGCATGAGCGTAGCAGTTCAGCAGCATCTCGCGAAGTTTATCCGCATTCAGTCCCTGACCAGTGACTTTCATCTCCAGCGATGGAAGACTATCCGCCTTGTTGTTCAACTGGCTCGAGTCGGCCCAGAGGCGAGCGAAGGTACCCGTCGAACGGTACTCGTACACGCACCCAGGCTCATCCTTGAACACAACTTGCCCTTCCACACACCAACACGATCGCGACTGTCCGTTGGAGAAGACACCTTCGACACTTGGAGTCGCTGATGAGCCAGTGGACGAGTTAGCAACTTTCTCCACCGCGATCGTCTGAGCAATACGAATTCCTTTCGTACTCTTGTTCCCAGCGTTGTCCATGGGGTAAACTCGGTCCATGGACTTGGTTAGTGTAGCAAAAGGTGTCATCGTCCTTGCGATTAAGAACGAAAACTTGGATCGGTCCATCCCGGGAACGATCTCGAAGCGGAAACTCACAGGAGCTTGTTCATTCTCCAGCTCAGCCACGTAGCGAGTGTAAATCGGCGCTGCGTTGTTACTCGACGAAGAACTCTCCCAGTCAGGGAAGTGGGCGTTGCGGTACTGCTTGTAGTACGCACTCTCAAAGCGGTCGATAGCCAGCAGCGGCGTTAAAGGTCCTTCGAAGACGTCATGGGAGAGGACCATCACATCGGCAAAAGGATTCACGTGGTCCATGTGGAAGCGCAAGCGCTGGAGCACGGCCGGTTCAATGTCAGCGCTGTTAGTCAGCACCAGGTGAGTGACAAACCCGGCCTCCATTTGGTCGAACACTTTGGGGAATGGTGCTTGCGTGGCCAGTGGATCAGGAAGGTAGACGTTGTTCGCGCTCACGCAGTTAATGACAGCTCCGATCTTGCTGGAAAGAGAGGAATCGTGGACTCCACGTCGAATCGCACATGCCACAGTAATCGGATCGACGTAGCCCACAACTGTGAGCATAATTCGCGGGTGAAGGCTCAATGTCTTAGCGTCAGCCTTGATCCGATCCAGAGCTCGACTGAGTTTGTCCGAGATCTCAAAAAACCCGGACGCCTCCATCTTCTGCTGCTTGGACGGGTCTAGATTGCGGAGATCAACGTCGACTGTGGCCCATACAAAGCTCGCGGACGAAATCTTGCAGATGGAATCCGCCATCGCCGCGACGCCACTTCCAGGGATTCCAAGCATGACCGTAACTGGAATACAAAGTCTGCTGAGGTCGTCCGTGTTGGGCTTCGGTAGCGTCGTAGCAGCTCCAGGATCCTTTGGGATGAAGTCCTGGGGGAAGAAATCGTCAATAGTTCGAGCATCCTGGCCGACAAATGTCTGCCTCTGGACAAGCAGCTCGCAGGTTGCCTTCACGTGAACTGGGACTTCAAAGTTAGCGACTTCACGGTCTCGAGGGGTTTCAGCGTCGAACTGCTCGCTGAGGTCGCTGGCTCGGAAAATCGGAACGTTTAGTGAAGCCGCAGTGACTTTCCAGGACTCGAGCGCGCGGAACACCTCGTCCTGAAAACGGGTGCCCGACTGAAGAGGGATAAAGAGTTCTTGGGATGCGAGTGAGGACGGCAGAGCTTCTGATAACTGCATAACAATGAAGTTTAATCAGTTTTGGATTACGCTTCTGCCACTGTATAAATTGTGAAGTACTTACCGGAGTATGATCATTGTCCTTGAGCTCCATCTTCAGCAGCACCAGCTCTTCATGAGGCGACGGGAGGATGGTCAAGCTCTTTACATTCCGCTCAATGGACACCACGATCGGGTTGAAATAGGGGCTTGCAAACACCATCCCTCCAGTGAAGACCCTCCAACCGCCGTGGACGATCGGCATCAAGTCGCTGTTGAGAAGGAGTGTAGCCTTCGACGACATTGTCGCTTGGGTTGTGCTACCTTCTCCATTTTCTTCAATGTCAGAATCAAGCGGGGTTATGGCCTTGCCCAGACGCACAGAGCGGCTCTGGAGCATGAACTCAGACTGAAGCGTGCGCATCAGGTCGTCAACAGCGTCCGCTTCCTCTCCACTCTGGATCCAAGAGCGGAAATTCGCGAATGGCTTGGTAACGTGAAGGACGTGCTTGATTGCAGGACTGGACAAGCTTCCGGCTCCCGGGCCATGAAACAAAAAGGTGTCCCCAGCTACTAGAGAGCCCAAGGGTAGCGATGGATTGGCATCGCTCGGAATATTCGCCAACTTCATGGAGCAGTACAGAAGGCACCAATCTACAAAACGCCAAGCGCTCATTAGTTAATAAAATACCGAAAGCCACAAGAAGTACACTACATACCTTCAGTTAGCGAGTCCACAGGCTGTCCACAAGCGTCCATAATCTCCGCTGTGAGCCGTAGTTGGTCATCGATAAACTTCGTGGGGAACTTACTCGACCCCAACAGTTGCGAGTGGGTCTTGTCCATCTCAATGATAGCGTGGATGGCCTCGGCGCGAGCGGATTCAATGCACCGATTGACTGACGCCAGTTTGCCGTCCATACACTCACGAACCAGCTCGGCAGCGCCAGCTTTGAACCCGCGCAGCAGAAGCGCGTACATGTCGATCATCGTCTTCGTGTCTGCCGCCGACGTAGCCACATCAGACTTCGGTTTGACTGGAGAGCGCACGAGCGCGTCTTCGTCCACGACCTTCTTGCAGACTTTACCCGACGATAAGAAGTATGTGCGGGCGAACCGCACACCCGTGAACGGATCTTCCGCCTGCACGACCATGTGCGTCGCAGGGACGCCCTCCTTAACCCCAGTGTTCGAGAGGAAAGCCTTCGACGACGACTTCTCCGTCAACGAGCTCGTCCTCGCCCCGAACAGCACTCGACTGCCTCGATTAGGCCCTATCTTCAGTCCACGAGCACTGTACTGCATCGTGCCGAACTCGTAGAAACTCAGCAGATCTTCCCCCAAATCGCTCTCGGACTTTGCGTTGCGTACGTCGGGACTCTCTGCATGGTCCATCTTGAGCAGGAACTCGTCAAAATGGTGAGCCAAGAAGGGTTGACTCTCCTGCACTACCCTCTTCGCGCTAAACCCATCCAGTTGAGCCATGATGTCCATCATCTCTCGTGATACGTTCACCACTCGGTGGTTCATGGTGAAGAAGCCCTGGGCGGTAGATTCCCCACCTTCTAACCCGTACGACTGGACCAGAGGCCACTTCTCCGGAATCATGGAGTCTTGTAGATCGGTACCCTCTCGGTCCACCCCAAAGGGAACCCCCACCGTCTTGACCCCCGCCATCATGCTCTTGAACGCGCTGATCTTGCGTTCTTCCTGTTCGTCCGGCTCCATCCCGTCGTGGACGACGTACTCCGTCACATGGCGCCACTTGGAGATGACCGGTAGAACCTTCACCGCTGCATCACTCTCCGACGAGTAGAAGATGGACACTCGCTGCGGACAGATGAGTAGAATGACGTCCTCCAGACGCTCGTGCTCCTGCAGTATCACCTGCTCACCCAGCAGCTCCTGGCCCGAACTGCCGAGGAAAAGGTACTTGATCGCGGCTTGAGACGCCTGCGAGTGGAAACTGTCCACGCCCCCGATGATCAAAATGCCGTCGAGCTTCGTGTCGGACGAGGGGCACAGCGCCTGGATGCGCTGCAACCGGTCCACACTGTCGCTGCCTTTGAACTCGACCTTCTTCCAGCTCATCGTGGAGGCGAAATCTCGACTGGGACTGATCTGTGCGTCGCAACGCTTGACAAAGATCCCTTCCACCTTTGAAGAGCCTCTCTCTCTCCGTCACACGTCACAGACTCGCAGCGGATCATCATGCACAATAGGCCTGGCAGAACCAGCATGGATAACGGAATCGGAGCATTTCGAGTCACATTGGGTGGCTAACACAAGAATGGGAGGGTGTAGCTGTTGAATGTAAATGAATTGGTGAGGATGACACTGACTGCGCGTAGCTCTCAGCACCGAGTTGCGTGAATGTTGCTTCCGATAATATGCTCGAGGTACTGGTTTTGAGTCGTGCTTATATTTTGCTTGTGCGCATTTTTTAAGATTTTGCTTGCCATGCGAGGAGCGCATCGTGTACACGCACGGATACTGGTACGCCCAGATGCCGCACGTGGTCGCTCCACTGCCCGTGGAGGACAAAGGGCGCTGCACAGCGGGGGACCCGGGTCTCAAGGGGTTCCTGACCAGGATGGACCTGCAGGGCAACATCGCCCACCTTGGCCGCGCCAACTGGGAGCGGCTGTTGAAGCTGAAGGTCCGCCAGCAAGCGGCCCAACGCCGAATGAGCAGGTTCGTGGCGAACAAGAAGTACCGCAAGCGCCACCACCTCGGCCGCCACACAGGCCGAGAGTGGAAGCAGTTCGTGGCAGCTCGTCGCGAGTTCTACACCGTGACGGCCAAGCTGGACAACTACGTGAAGGACCTTCATTACAAGGCAGCTTCACACCTGTGCCACAACACGGACGTGATACTGCTGCCCAAATTCTCGACTTCGTCCATGTTGCGCCCAAGTGCTCCGTGGACGCACGCGTTCAACGACCAGATGAACACGCTGGCCCACTACCAGTTCCGGCGGAGACTGCTGGCGAAGTGCGAGGTGGCGGGCAAGGCCATGGTGCTATGCTCTGAGACGTCGAGCCGCATCTGTGGCCGCTGCTGCCGCCTCTACCTCACACTGCGCAACGAAGATGTATTCCGGTGCCCCCACTGCGGCTTCCTGGCTGGACGAGACGAGAACGCGGCCTATAACATTCTGCGGTTCGTGTGCGCGGGCTCTCTCTCGGTTTACGCAGTGAATGGCGTAGTGCAGTTGTAGTTGGTAGTGTAGTTCTCGGGTTACAGCGAGCATGGCCCCGCCGACGTGAAGCGCTAGGCTTGGCGGGGTGAGCCACCCCCGGGTGGCAGACTGTAACACAGAGCTTAGCAGCTAAGTTTCCTGAGTCGGGGAGACCATCATTTATCGCACGGTGGTTATTTGCGGGGGGTTTTCCGCTCATCAATGTGCCCACAGTTCTTATCGTGCACAATTCTCCTCCAAGGCTGCTTCCGAACCTGACCGTGGCCCTGGAAGAAAAGGATTTTTGTTTTTCGTTGGGTTATTGCTGCTCAGTCCACTCTCAAATACTCACGGCGGTAGCTACTTCACAAAGCCTCAGAATGGTTGTACCGTCAAGGGCCGATAACCATGGTGGGGCTGCAGTGGCCCCAATTCCACCCGACGACACCGCCACGAAGACGATTCTGGTGTCAGACGGGATCGAAGGCAGCACCGGTAACGAAAACAGTCGCGATGATCAGCCGCTTTTGAAGTCTTCGAGTGCTGGTGAAGAGACCTCCAGGAGCGAAGTTGCTGGCAGCTCTGCGGGTGGCAACTCGTCTGCATGGAGCGCGAAGCGGGTGAAAGGACTCGGATTCATCGTGTTCGCAGCTTTCAACTTCAGTGTCGCCTCTGTTTGCGTCAAGTATGCGAGCCATCGCGTGACGTCACACGAGACGGTCTTCTGGAGGATGTTTGTGGCCATGACAATGAACTTTGTAAGCCAATAACTTCCTTCTGTTTGTCCATCAATTTAACAAGCGCACTCATTGTTGCTCGTGTGTAATAGCTATGGTCCCGCTACAAGAAACGGAAACTGGAAGTCGATCCGAAGTATCGCCATTTGCTTTTATTCCGCTGTATCGTTGGCACAATAGGCGTGAACCTGCAGTTCTACGCGATGTCGAAGATGGTGCTAACCGATGCAGTGGTCATCATCTTCTTGAGTCCGATCTTCACCTTCTTTTTGGTATGAGAATGAGCGAAGACATCTGCTACTCACTCGTAGAAACTGATGGCCGCTGTGTGGATTATTCCTGCAGGGAGCTGTGGTATTGAAGGAGACGATCGATCGTATCGACTTCGCGGCAGCCATTACGGCCTTCCTGGGTGCGCTGTTCGTGACAAGGCCAGCTTTTCTCTTCGGAACAGCGGGAGATGCTACGAAGCCTCCCGTATTTGCGGTTCTCTGTGCTCTTGGCGGTGCAATGACGCAAGCGATCGTGTACGTAACGCTGAGAAAACTACACGCGGTGGATCACCTGGCCGCCATTCACTGCTTCTTCGCGTTCGGTACAATCACGTCAATCCTGACAATCCTGTTTGTTGGAGTGGTAAGCTTATCAGCTAAAACTTTAATTCTGCGACTGCTGTACGTACAATCTGACCTGTGTTTGCATATTCAAACAGGCCGTCAAAGTTCCGATGAATCCGAGGTTCTTGTTCTCGGTATTTGGTAGTGGCTTCTTCTCGTTCGTTGGACAGATTTTCCTCACGAAAGGATTTCAGATCGAGAAGGCCGGTATCGCGTCAGTCATGCGCTACTTTGACGTGGTGTTCGTCGTGGTCATGGATATCGCGATATTGGGAGAACGCGTGAACGCTTTGAGCATTGTCGGTGCAGCAATCATCATGAGCGGAGCGTCGCTTATAGTGCTGCGTAAGGCGTACAAGAAGTAGCGCTTTCGTGTCGAACTATTGACGCAAGGCTGACAAACACCATTTGTTTTCATTCGTAGCACCCAACGAGCGTCGTGTGTCTTCTTGGGGTCGGCATTCCACAGGAGCTCACACTAAAGCATTAAAACGGTGCAAATGTCGTTGCCATCATCGGTTACCAGCAGAAAAATGGGCCATCTCATCAAGGGGATTGGAAGAACAAACTGCAAAAACTGAAAATAGAACTCCTATTCTTGCAGTCTTAGGTATCGAGTGTTCCGAGAAGCCTGACGAATGTCATTTAGCGATTGGCACGGGGGTTGGCACTTGCCATTGCCTCGGGGTGCGAGATGGCTCCAAGCAACAGATCGGCCGTAGTGCGGCCACTGCCACCCGATGCCCCACGCAGTATCCCCGACCCGAAAGGAAAAGCTGCAGATGTCGAGAACGAGGACCAGCCGCTGCTGAAATCATCCATCCCAGACGACCCGGTCTCCACGAGTGAAGTGGAGGATGCTGATGTGCCCGTCAAGGCCGTCGAAAACACCCTTTGGAGTATGAAGCGAGCGCAAGGGCTCGGATTCATTGTCTTCGCGGGGTTAAACTTCAGCATCGCATCGATCTGCATCAAGTATGCCAGCCACCGGGTGACATCCCATGAAACAGTCTTCTGGCGGATGATTGTGGCTCTAGTCCTCAATTACGTAAGTGGGTTGGCACCAAGTATTCACGAAAATTTATTAGCTACTCACGTTAATTGCACTGTGTTTTAGGTTTGGGCTCGATACAAGAAGCGAACTCTGGTGGTCGAGCCAAAGTACCGCGGTCTGCTGCTCTTCCGCAGTATCGTGGGAACTGTGGGGGTGAACATTCAGTTCTACGCAATGTCGAAGATGGTTCTGACGGACGCGGTGGTACGCGATAATATTTTAACGGTGAATTCATGTTTACTAACCCTCGCCTGCAATTTCGCTATAGGTGATCATACTCACCAGCCCAATCTTCACCTTCTTTCTCGTACGTTTGTAACGATGGTTCAAACAAAATGCTAGTTAACGTCCGTCTATTTGATCAGGGTGCTGCGGTTCTTGGAGAGAAGATCAATCGAGTTGACCTCCTTGCCGGAATTACGTCATTCATAGGCGTCATGTTCGTGACAAGGCCCGCCTTCCTGTTCCCGACCGAAGTCGTTAGCGCTCAAGCGCCCATGTTGGCGATCTACTGCGCCATCGGTGGTTCGCTGACCTCTGCGGTGGTCTACATCCTGCTGCGACGACTAACCAAAGTGGATCCCTTGATCGCTATCCACTACTTCTTCGTGTTCGGGACATGCACCTCGATCATAACGCTCTTGTTGCTCGGCGTGGTAAGTCAACGACTCATTACGAATTGTACCTGATCTAGTCAACGAGTCACTGATCAAATGCTGGCTATGGCGTGCAGTCCATGACAGTGCCACTTGAGGCGACATTCCTGTTCGCTATCTTTGGTAGCGGCTTCTTCTCCTTCATCGGTCAAGTTTTCATGACCAAGGGATTCCAGCGAGAGAAGGCGGGCATCGCTTCGGTGATGCGCTACTTCGACGTTGTGTTCGTGGTAGCGATGGACGTGCTGATCTTGGGCGAGCACGTGAACATTCTCAGTCTCCTGGGAGCAGGGATCATCATGGCTGGAGTGTCGATGATCGTCCTGCGCCGAGCTCGTGAGAAGGAGTAAGACAGAGTTTAACAGCACACACAGAAGCAAAAGACAGCTATCCAACCCCCCAAAACCAACACGAAGCTTATTAGGTTTTGCTTATTAATCTGTAGCATTCACGACGACGTACCCATATTGCCAGTGCTTGTAGAAGTCGGAATTCAACGGCGGAACTCCAGCAACTTGCTAGTCTTGGGTTCGGCTCGTACGTTTCGTTGTCGCTTCTTGAAGCGTTTCCGCTGCGAATTCTTGCCGCCTTCGTTCGCTTTTCTGTTCGTTCTGGAGCATTGAAGACGAGATTCATATAAAGTAAGTGGGTGCCGACCAGGTCGTTGAGACGGCTGAAGTGAGCGTTTTCCATCGGCCCCAAATAGCAGCTAGCGTGATCCCTCTAGCGAGTATTTGATGCGTGTTCCGATGGTGTTTACACAGGCTCTGGATTGGATGGACGCGATAAGAAATAGCGCAATGCCTGGACTTGAAGACGGCGATCTTGTCTTCATGCGTGGCCGCCGAAACTTTCGATGAATGATGCTCATGGCTCGCTCGTTGCTATAGTTGGTGCTCAACTTGGGCTGAGCCATCGCCAAACCAGTATCACTTCGGAATTATCTGCCACTCGAGTTGGCTCGACAACGTTCTCCGTCGAATGAAGCTTCGACAACCAACTAACAATTGAAGGCGACTCAACAGTGCGCATGCTTCCTCATAGCAGCGCACGTGGACTGGCGGTAGTGACCCCTCTACCGCCCAACCTTGTCAAGAAACCTGTAGGGGATTCCCCAACTACTGGAGATAACGAGACCACCCGTGACGATCTCCCGCTGATGAATTATCAGCTCGACGAGGGCGAGGGCGAGATCGTCACCATCGTTCTCCCGTCGAGCGCCAAAGCGTCCTGGAGCTTGACGAAAGTGAGGGGTCTGGAATACATCGTCATCGCAGCGTTCAACTTCAGCATCGTCTCAGCCTGCGTGAAGTACGCAAGCCACTACGCCAACTCCAACATTATCGTGTTCTGGCGCATGCTGATCGGCTTGGTGATGAATTGCGTACGTACCAGTTGTAACGTTAGAATTCTCCCAGAACTTCACGGATTCACCCGGAATGTTGTTGTTCACAGCTCTGGGTGCGATACAAGAAGGCGAACCTGTTCGTGGGGAGGAAGGATCGATTCTTGCTGTTCTTCCGCTGCTTGGTCGGAACGTCCGGCACCACCTTGTCGTTCTACGCCATGTCGAACATGCCGCTCACGGACGCCGTGGTTATCATCTTCACCTCGCCAATCTTCACCTTCTTCCTGGTACGCCCGCATCGACCCCAAACATCGTTGCAGCTCGAGTCCTAACACTGTGAAATGTGTGCGTAGGCGGCTGTGGTTCTCGGAGAAGCTATCGACTACGTGGATCTCGTCGGCGGAGTCACGTCGTTCGTCGGCGTGCTGTTCGTGACGAGGCCGGCGATCTTGTTCCCGTCGCACGCTTCGGGCAGCAGCGCGCCGTTCCTCGCCATCGTCTGCGCCATGGGGTCGTCTCTGTCGTAGGCCGTCGTGTACATTACGATGCGGAAGATGAAGGACCTCGACAACCTGCTCGTCATCCAGTACTTCCTCATGTTCGGCGCCTGCTACTCGGCCTTCATGCTCTGGGCGCTCGGAGTGGTAAGCTACTGACTGCACTGTAAGAACGGCTTGAGCTCATAGTGCCAATGGTACTAACGCTTCTCCTTTACTGCAGACGCTGGCGCTGCCGACGGAGCCCGGCTTCCTCTTCTCCATCTTCGGCTGCGCCTTCTTCTCGCTCGTGGGCCAGTGGTTCCTAACCAAGGGCTTCCAGACCGTCAAGGCGGGCACGCGTCCGTCATGCGCTACTTCGACGTGGTGTTCGTCATGTGAAACAATTGGCGGGAACCCGGGTACCCATCGGGACCCCGGTTCCCCCAAAACTACCGGTACACATGTATGAGCAAATGCATTGAAGTGTTGGTCTATGACCTACATAGAACGCAGCTGAAGCTCAGTAGGGGAACGGAAGGTTAATTTACCTTCGCCCTCGTCCTGTGTCTCTCCACGAAAATCCAGTCGCTTGCCTGGTGCAGCGGTACAGTGCTTCCCGGTCTCATCGCTATCCTCCTGCTCATGAAAGATAAACTTGGACATGGTAAGGTATGTTATTTGGGTCTATTCAGTACCTGTGGCATATTTTGAGGGTAGTCCTTCATCGACAGCACTTAGATATGAGGGTTTAACTTGCCCCGAGGGTGCCAATATGGAGGCCAAAAATTAAATAAATAATTCGCGATTTGGTCGGTATCATTGGCGGGAACCCGGGTTCCCGCCAATTGTTTCATGTGTCTGGATGTGCAGGTCCTCGGTGAGACCGTGAACATCTACAGCGTGCTCGGTGCCGCTATCATCATCAGCGGAGCCTCCGTCATCGTCATGCGCCAGGCGGTGACCAAGAAGTAACTTGCAGCTTCTTATTTTATAGCAGGTTATCATTACTCGAGAATATAATGCAATTGATCCAGTGTGCATATTAATCCACTCAATAGCCCCTAATATCAGTATGCACGGTCATATCAGGATAGACAGCAAAGTTCAGATTCCAGGTGCGTCAGACACGCAACGAGAGTTGTGCACGATGCGACTCCAGCATTCAGGGTTGTGAAAATCCCCATATTTTTGCATGCATTTGGCGTTAAATTGAGTATAAAAACTAATAAATAGCGCTTAGTCAATGGGTGGATAGGTTTTATGAATATCCCTAAAAAGCCCGACCCCGGATGACTTGGGGTGGGTGGGTGGAATAAATGGTTTATTCCCAATTCGAAAAACCCCATCTCGCACATGATCGCTTCACTGCATAGCGAGCTCAAGTCCACGAGCAGCTCGGGGCCAATAGTGCGTGTGCAAGTGTCGGGCGACGACGAGAGCGTGGCGAACGAGGCCCCAAGTGCCACCGAGTCGAGTCCGTCATTGATCAAAGTCTCAGCGGCTGCGTCATCCACAGAGTACGGCGGCGTGCGAGGCTGGCGCTCGCCGCAGACGCTTGCACTGGGCTACATTGCCTTCGCCGCCTTCAACCTGAGCCTCATGCGCGCCTGCGTCAAGTTCGCTAGTCGCCAGGTGACGTCCCACGAGACGGTCTTGTGGCGCTCGACGGTGGCGTGGCTGCTGAACCTGGCGCTCGTCCACCGCAGAGGCGTCGACCTGGCGGTGGCCCCCAAGCAGCGCAACATGCTCTTCTGGCGCTGCTTCTTCGGCACGTTCGGCATCAGCATCCAGTTCTACGCCATGGCGCAGATGGTGCTCACGGACGCCGTCACCATCATCTTCACCAGCCCCATCGTCACCTTCATGCTCGTACGTCGCTGTTGATTTGGGGTTCTCTGTAGTGTTGGTTACTGACGTTTGTTGTGGTTGTCAGGGCGCGCTGGTGCTAGGAGAAGCGATCGAGCGACTGGACTTGCTGAGCTGCTTGGTGTCGTACGTTGGTGTGGTATTCGTCACCAGGCCGGCGTTCCTGTTCGCGACCGACGAGGAAACGAAGGAGGTGCCACCGCTGGCGATTATTTGCGCGTTGGGCGGGTCCGTCATGCAGGCGTGCTCGTATATTGCAATGCGCCAGCTACGCGAGCTGAATTATGTGGTGATTAACCACTACTTCCTGCTCTTCGGGCTGCTTTATGCGCTGGTGACGCTGTGGTATTTCGACGTGGTGAGCGAGCGTGTTTGTTGTGATCTGGAGGAGGAACTGGACTTTATTTAATATCTCTGACGTGCTATTTTGCAGACCTTCACCATGCCCAATAACGTTCCTCTCATGGCCGCGCTGTTCGGAAGTGGCGTCTTTGCTTTTGTGGGCCAAGTCTTCCTGACCATGGGCTTCCAGCAGTCCAAGGCTGGCATCGCGTCCGTAATGCGATACCTGGACGTCGTCTTCGTGCTCATTTGGGACATCGTTCTACTCGATGAGCACGTCAGCATGTACAGCGTAATCGGAGCCGCCATTATCATCGCAAGCGCTTCATTCATCGTTCTGCCCAAAAAGTCTGGAAGCAAGACCAAACCCAAAACGGTCGAGTGGTAAATCTGAGGATGGCATCGTAGCTGTCTCTAAGTTATCTATGCGTTTGACAGCACCAAAATGAAATGACGATGATACTGTACTAGCAAAGACACCAGTGTATTCGTCTCGCAATACCTTGGGAAGCTTTAATGCGCAACTGGAAGTTGACAGCCGGACACGTGCTTGCCATCTTTGACTCACTGCAGGAGACACGGCTCCATAAATTTACAAATACCTAGCACTGGGTGTATCTATCGCTCGCGTACCAGTCGGATGACTTGCACGACATCAGAAACGAAAGAAGAGGGCATACACGCTGCACGTTCGAAGTATGCAGCATGCGTCCTCTCTCCTTACACAACGGATTTGGAGGTCCACTGGGGTTCTCGCGACACGCTGCCGTAGCTGGCGCCCCACCTGTCGCTGCCGTCGGACGGCGACAAGATCGGGTTCGAGCGCGGGGTCATGGACTGACGCATGGTAAGCTTATAATCCGGGTACTCCTCCATCTGCAGCACCGGCACGCGCCACTTGGCCATCACGTCGGGCGTCCAGACAAACACAAACACGCCAACACAGAAGGCGGCGATGATGTGGCCACAGAAGGCTGCTGGCACCATGCAGAACGGTGCGGCGCCGGCGTCCGGGATGATCCTCGTCCAGAGCACGTAGACGTTGTAGATGGGCAGCAGCACGCGGGCCACGAACCAGCACACGTAGGTCAGGTAGAAGAAGAACTCGTGCGCCTTGCTCTTGCCGTAGCCCAACTGCTCCATGAAGGTGGTGATGTTGAGCGGGATGACGGCGAACTCGACCATGAGGAAGAGCTGCAGCAGGTACAGGTCCATGTCGCAGCCAGAGTGCATCGTGTAGATCAGGTACGGCAGTCTGCACCAGCATCAAATCGCCATAAATTAGACCATGAGCGACTCAAGTGACGCAATACCGGGACTGGCAATGACGTACGCAGCCACGACGTGGTGCACCACAAAGACCCGCCAGAGCGGCACCTGCCACAGCACGAGCACGAACAGGTCGAACAGGAAGTAGCCGCACGCTGCAGAGTCCACAGCAGCAATGAGTCAGTCGACATGGATACACAGCAGCACCGCTGGAATATGTTACTACAGCAGCCGTACAGAAGGAGAAGAGCGTGGAGGCGAGGTACATGGGCGCCTCCTTGGTGGGCAGCAGGTCTTCGTCCCAGCGCTGCGTCACGAAGCTGTACGTCATGCCCGAGGCGATCACCAGCGCGTGGATGGTCGAGTTCACTCTGCAGCATTAGGAAGGAAGAGAGAGAGAAAGAGAGAGAGAGTTAGATACTGTACATCGACGCACGCCTTGATAGGCATCGATCGATGGACGCGCACCGAGAGCACCAGTCGCCCTGCTCCGGGATGGAGAAGTCCCGGTAGACCTTGAGGAAGCGGTCGGACAGGCGGTTGGCCACGTGGAACACCAGCGCGAAGAAGCACATGGAGCCCAGCAGCACGTGCATGCTGTGCATGGCGTTCATGGTCTCCATCAATCGGTCGGGAAGAGCTCTCGCGCGTGCTCAGCCTGTCGGCGAATGGCGGCACGCACCAGCACCAGCTGCGCGCTGCGTATCAGTTGTGCGGGAATTGAGGCAGTCGGCGCTTTGCACCCCATTTGACCCAAATTTTGGGGCGAAAGTGAAGTGGGCGATAGAAAACGGGCCCCTGACTCTTCGCCAGCCAATCAGATCGGTGATAAGAGCAGGACGAGGCAAGGATGTGCGGCGGTTTTGGGAGAGGTACCGCCACAAAGTACGTCAGTAGATGGTACTATGTATTATTAAATGACAAAAGGTGGGTTGAATTATGGTGCTCAAAATGGTAATGAGATCGACCAATATTTCATTTGGGCTATTTTTCTTGAAGAACCGATTTCTGCACAAAAAGCGCAAAATGAACGTGGCGGGCAGTCACAGAAAGCATCGAGTGCGGATGCAGTGCTTCAGTTGGAGGGGCAGCAACACCGCGCCAACAAATAAAACAGCATCGACATCGACAAAGTCCATTGCTTACCGGAAGACAGTTTGGCCAAATGACGGTTGTCACTAACTTACCTGAGTTTTCTGGACACCTCGAAGTGTCCGTGTCGGCCTTCGTTCTCACAATGCAATAGCTCCTGAGAGCATAGTTCCAGAAAGCTGGACGCTTTACAAGCAAATTACAACCGGTTCTGGGACTATTATTGCTTCAAGCAGGTAGCAAGTAGGCTTGCATTATCGAACGCGGCGCAAAATGGGGCTAACATTATGGAGATACAGAAGCGATACATGTAGCAATTAGAACGGCACCGATGGAGCACTCGTTCGGTCCAAAAACACGCTGTTGAACTTCATGGAAAGCCTTTCGTGTCGTGGAAACAAATGGAGCGCTATCGGGTAGAATGCCACAAGGTGTGAAGGTACCAAGTGGTTGTTGACGAACTTTGGTCAGGTCTCGCAGTTGAAATTGACTTTCTGAATGCAGATTCATCGACTAGAGATTGAGTACCGTAACAAAGTCCAGCCTGTAGCCCAACACAGGCGGTGCGGTGCGGTGGGCGACTCATTAGCACTTCGGACTGACTCAATTCGATATCAATGACTTCGACTACACTTGTAACCTTATAAATCAAATTTAACGGGGCAAACTGTATTACTCAAAATTCAGCAATCATACTCATGGCAATCATACTCATGATTCGTTTGAGTAAGTTCATATTCGAAAGTTTGGCGATCTTCCATCGGTTCAACTTCATCGATGGCACTGAGGATTGACGGCGGACTTGACACCGAAACTCTTTGTCTACCTTATCAAGCACATTGGTCCTGGAACAAGGTTGTGCTATTCATTGAACGTCCACTTTGAATATGAAAACACCTACACGTACGCTTCAACATCGGGCCGCTCTCCCATCTCTAGCTCCCTACGGACACGCGCACTCACAGTTCTCCGAGAACTCCTTTCCGTTCGGGTCCTCGGGCACGTCCAGCGTCGGGTTGCGGTCGAAGAAGCCGTCGGGGCGGAAGCTGAAGCCGGCGTAGTCCACGGGCATGACCGGCCAGTCCTCGACGCGAGGGAAGTGCGTGAGGCCGAACGTGTGCCAGACCACGATGTCCTCGCCGTCCACCGACCGGTTGGCCTTGGCGTACGCCGGCAGACCCGAGTAGCCCGGGTGCTGGTTGGGCGTGTAGCCGGCGGCCCACATCTCGTCGCGCGCGTACTGCGTGACCCACAGGTGCTTGATGGCGTACTGCGCGCGCTTGTTGATGGAGCTGTCGTCCGCCGCCAGCAGCAGCGGAGCGCCCTCGGGGTACAGCACGTAGCCCGTGGGCCGGCCCAAGCGGTTCAGCTTCTCGCTCGAGGCGATCAGCCAGGCCCGGCCCAGCTTGTTGTCGGCCTCGCGCTGGGCGTCGCTCTCGCGCTCCAGACGCGTGGCCACCCGCTTGAAGGCGTTGCCCACGGGGTTCTCGGGGCTGATCGGCAGGCGCTGCACCTCGAGCTCGTCGACGTGGCACTTGTTGCCGTCGATGGCCACGTCCAGGCGGGCGGCGAACAGGTGCTGGTGGCACGGCGCGCCGAGGCTGTGAGGTACCAGCGGTACCAGCGCCACCAAGCAGTGCTCCGCGGTCGCAGGCGAAGCTCGCCAGCACAGAAACCGCTGCGACTGTGGGAGGTCGCTACCTCTCGTTGCCCCGCGCGGCAGCGGTTAGCAACTGACAGACGCAGCACATTAGCAGCTTCAGCAGCAGCAACAGCACCTACCAGCATAGCAAAGCATAGGTCGGTTAGGAAACTCCTTCAACACGAGCAAGGGTCCCAAGGCGGCGGCGCCGAGCTGCGCAGCAGCTCGGCACTCACTTCCGCATTCTCCAGCTGGAGCACAACCAGCTCCGCCGCCTTGGTTGTTCCCGCCACGGCATTCTGCCAAGGCAACCTCAGTCTCCTACCTTCCGTTCGTCTTCTGCCCGCACCTTCGTGCTGAGATCAACTCTGCTACGCCTACAGCTCTGCAGACAGCAAGTACACGACTTTCAGCACCTCTCAGAGGCGAGGCGCCATCTCGGTGGCGAAGTCGTACTCGCCTCGGGCCGGCCCGACGAGAAGACGATACCTTGCACTCGAGCTCGATCTTGCCGTCCAGGTAGAAGTACCAGTAGAAGCCGTAGTCGTAGTTGCCCACCGTCACGAAGAAGGAGATGACCAGCCGGCGCTGCCGACGCACCGTGCCCTTGTTCGTGACGAAGTCCGTGTGCTTCCAGAGCGTGCCGAAGTCCTCCTCGTGGATGCAGATGGCGTTCTTGAGCAGCATGGGCTCGCCGAAGGCGTTGGCCACCGTGGCGTCCAGGTACTGGATCTTGCCCAGGCAGTCGCAGCCGAGCACGAGGCAGTTGGCCAGCCGCCCGAACTGGTACTCGCCCGCGTCGAAGTAGTTCTGCCACTCGTGCGTGGGCTGCGGCTCGCCGTAGGGCACCACCATCTCCGAGATGGCCGCGCGGTTGAGGATCGGCCGCTTGGTGCCGCGGTCGGAGAACGAGACGTCGTGCAGCGTGAGGCCCTCGCGGCCGTTGAAGCCGATGCGCACCTCCCAGTTCTGCCACTTGAGCACGTGGTTCTCGACCGTGAAGCTCGCGCCCTCGGGCTGCGTGATGCGGAGCGGCTTCATGTCCGTGCGCATGGGGCCGGACAGCTCCGGGGAGAGGTAGTCGCCCGACTCCATCGGTACGTGGTCATAGCCCGTGTCAACGAGGCGGAGCACGCGCTGGTTGGTGAGGTCGACGTGAGCGACGACGCCGTCGATCGGGTGGGCGAACATGGAGTGCGTGTTCTCACTCGCCAGGAAGCTCAGCACGCGGATCATCCGGCGACCGACTTCTTCCTCGTAGCCGAACACTCCAGTCGACAGCGGGAGGTGACGAACAATGCTGAGGTCGGTGATGCCGCGCTTGGCCAGAGCGGCAACGTAGCCCGGGTCAGCCATGGTGATGGTTCCCGCCAAAACGAAGTCTTCATCAAGAATCGGCCCCCAGCCGTCGGTGGCCGGGTTGAGCTGGCGGTTGTGAATGACCTTATGGGCCGGCACGTTCACGACCATTTCGCGCGCCACGTTCGTCGTCTTGTCCAGCACCAGCACGCCGATCTCACGAGGGACGTCCTCGCCGGCCTTCCAGCCGTCGAGCGTCTTGTGGTCAGGCTCGCGCAGCATCACATACGAGTAGCGGAAGTTGGGGCCGGCGTAGCCAGCCTCGCCGACGAGCTCTGCACTTCCGCAGCGGTGAGAGGGTCGAGCGGGTGGATGGCCATGCCACTGAGCTGGGGGGTGTTGGCGTGGGAGCACATCTCGAATCGTGGAGGAGGTGGCGGGCGTGTAGGAAATCCGAAAGTGAGTCGTGAAGTGGAGCTGGATGCGCGTGAGCCCCATTAGCCGCATTCGAAGCTCGAAGCCCAATAGAACGAAGATACACTGCAGTCAATGCAGCTACAGTGCATCGAGCGGAGGTGTTGGTTTACCAGCTCCCGTGGACGAGCATGAGAGCAATGAGCGAGCTCCGGTAGATTACCAGGCACCGGAAGCGTACCACAATCGGCCCGAGGACACTTTTGCCAGTCGACGAGCGCGTCGTCGGCACCACAGAGCCGGGCGGAGCGACAGAACCGCTGCGAAGCAGGTCGATGTTGAAGTTGCCTTGACACAGGCGTGTCCTGGCAGGAACGGAATGGGGGGGGGGGTCTGCAGAGGGAGCAGTGAAGGATCGATCCAGGTGGCGTCGGACATGGCATCGGGAGGACTCTCAAGCCAATCTTTGGCGCCGTCTTGTGGTGAGCCAGCATTACCAGGGCTTAAAACCGTACCATCAACTTTCCGCCGGGCTGCTTCGAGTGACTTGAGAACATGAGGTGAGTCACCTCGGGTGACAGAGGAAAAGTAAGAGCACTTACGCTGCAGCATAGCAACGTGGCTGTAATCGAGTTGTTGCTTGGAGGCTCCGCGCAAGCCTCAACGATGGACGTGTCCAAGGTTCACTTGAGGTCTATATGAACCTCGAACTCGAATCTATCAACCACTTCGACCAGCACAACTCGCCCGATTCCAGCAGGAGTGAACCATCACTAATCCAATCGAGCTAATCATGCCGAAGACGCAACAAGTTCGGCAGCTAAGCCGCGAGCGCTGCACCTATGCTGCCGTTTAACACCAAGATGGCTACAATTGCAGGCCCAGCCTCCAATTTGTTCATGTAGCCACTTCCCTCACACACTAAGGCAGCGTCCCGAGTCGATTTGCGATGCAATCCCAGGACTTGTTTCTGGCCCTTCAACGCATCTCGATCGCATCACCAGTGCCATGGTCTCCGATGTTCTACCTCGATATCGTATTGATCTTAGATCTGGCTTGCTGCCGATGCGTCTTGCTCCGAAAGTACAGCAGTATCCACAGTCTGCAGCGGTAACTCCTTCGGCAGCATCACGGGTAGAAATCTCTATGAATTCTGTATCGAGGAAATGCTCAACGCTGATGGTCCTTGTCGTACCTGCCTTCGAGGTTAAAGCTTCAATCGCTGCATGGAGTGCCTAGATAGGACTTGAGAGTCACCGAGTTCAGTTTTCAGGGCTGCGTCCATCGTGACGCAGCTCAACCTGCCAATCCGGTCCAATCGAAACAAGAGTGACGCACAGCGACGCTCACTAGCAGAGGTTGAAGCCAACTCGAGAGCCTGAAGAGTTGCAATTGTTAAAACGTTGCGGTGCTCAATAGCCCCGCCTCAACATTATGTTTGATCACCCGTAATTGTCCGCTCTCACTTTCCAATTAGCAGGCGATCGCTTCAATCACTTGTCCACAATGGCGTCACCAGCCGTACATCCATCGGTCGACGGTCTTCTCGCCACCGAAAACGAGAGTCATCGGTATGCCAAGACACCGCACTTGTGGGCCCTCGGTGTCGGTACTGTCATCGGCGGTGAATTCTACGGATGGCAGTCGTCGCTGATCGCGGGCTTCAACGGACTCCTCGTCATTCTGGCGTTCGTGACGGTGCTCTACACGCTGCTCACCTTCTCCATAGCCGAGATGTCGGCCTCGATCCCGTCGGGTGGTGGCCCGTACGTGTTTTCACTACACGGAATCGGCCCCAGGGCTGCCTACTTTGCAGGGCTGGCTGAGACGGTCAGGTATCGCCACGGTCGCGACCACTTTTTACAGCATTTTCCTGTACCTGGACGCACTGTTCGGTCTAGACACCAACTACGGCCCGCTATGGTGGATCGGCTTCAACGTCATCTTCATCTCGCTCAACATCATGGGGGTCGAGGCCACGTTTCGAGTGCAAGTTTTCGCTACGATGCTGTCCACCGCGATGCTCGCGATCTTTTACTGCGGCTCCTTCAGTCAATTGGACTACACGACGTGGGTCGTGGACCAGAATTGGGAGTGGACGACATGGAGCGACTCGATCCAAGGCCTTTCGTTTGCGTTGTGGTTCTACTTCGGTATTGAGGAGATGCCCCTCGCTGTGGATGAGACTATTGAGCCCGAAAAGAACATGCCGCGCGGAATTATTTGGTCCATGGTGACGCTCGTGATCTTGGCTGTTCTCACAATGGTATGCCAGTGCCTGATCTACCCGGGAGCTGCCGCCATGTATGAAACCACAGCTCCGTTGGTGACGGGGTACAAGAGCGTGTTCGGCGACAACAGCACCACCGCCGGGTTCATGTGGCTCACCGTGATCGGTATCATCTCCAGTACGCACTCCTTTGTGTACTGCATGAGCCGCTTGCTGTACGCCATCGCGTCGGACGGATACTTGCCGCAGTTCCTCACGAAAGTGCACCCCACCCGTGGATCCGCGTACGCTGCGCTGATCACTGGAGGTGTCGTGAACCAGATCCTCGCCATCAGCCTGTTCTACATCGTCGAAATTGTGGACTTGGGGAGTGTGCTCATCAACCTCGCGCTGCTCGGAGCGCTGATCTCGTACTCGTTCCAGTTGGTGTCGTTCATTATGCTGCGCATCAACCAACCGGATGTCCGCGGCCAAACCGCAGCCCCTTCGGTATTGCTGGTGCTGTGGTCTGCTTGTTCTTGTGCCTCGTGTGCTTCGCTGCCATCATCTACAGCGGCACGTCGAGCAACAACTTTCTCAGCGCCGTCATCACTGCCGTCATCTTGTTCGCCGTTGGCACGGGCCACTACTACAAGTCGGTTCTCCCGCGCCTGAACAGCGAGAGGTTCAACCAAATCTCGCCCAGGCCGTCCAAGAGTCTGCGGCAGAACCTCATGAGCATCCGGAGCAACGTGTAAGAAGTCCAGTATTTTTCTAGCAGAAGCTGTGTGCTTTGCTATGCATAACATTCAATGAATCAGGCAATTGTTTAAAGCTCGTAGTAGCCGAAACTTTCCAGTACAAGATGAAACAGCCCTTGTGCTTGCCTCTCTCTACCAGTGACTAATACACTCCACTCGAAATCCGCACCAATTGTTCACATTCTTCGCGGTTAACTGCGCAGTCCGCCGTCGAATTGTCGACAGTCGCTGGATCACAATGAAGCGGAGCGCAGTTTAGTCTTGAGTGGTTCCTGCACCAAGCCTAAGTCCAATGGTTTTGTCTAATAACAGCCTCTCTCAAAATATGCGCGTTTCTCTACTTTTGGCCTCCGGAGATTTGTGCTCCGCTTTCAAGACGAAAGTGGGGTTCAAAGACCAAGGCGGGAACGCAACCACAAAGCATTGAGGATGGACCGGTTAACGAACTCGCATCATCTCGTGGATCCGATTCGCAATGTTGATGATTCGCTAAAGGCGCTACTTGGCTGCAACGGCGACTGGGGTATCTGGAGTGTCATCCCCTCTGCAAACTTACTCAGTCAGCTCATATGAAAGAAAATAAGAAATCTAGTCAACCTTTTTTTCTGGGAAAGTGCCAAGATGGTGGTGGACGAGAACTACGCAGACGCAACGCCCAAGTGAGCGACCTGCAGTCTGCAATCTTCCACGATCGACGGTACCGCGAGAGGGTTTCAAGTCCACCGAGCTGCTTGCAGCTCCGCTTGGTATGGAAAACGACCGGGGGGTGGCTGAATGACGACAATATCAATGCAGTGCTAGCAGGGGAAATTGACCCTGCGTATATCACGCTATCTCCATCTCGGCGTGTCTTCGACGACGACGGAGGGTACTTGAACACGGACTGGAGTCCAAGCGATGAAAAAATCAACATTTTGGTGGAGATTCCGAAGCTGGCTAAAAGTCGCTGGCTTTACCTAAGCCTCTTCGCCTACGTTATTGCGGTCTGCAGGTTCCTGTCCGCCATGTTCGAATTGAAGAGCGACACCCAGCTGCCTATCTTCAGCTTAATTGTCTTCCTCGCCTGCCTCAGCGTTAATGTGGTTGCCCTCATCATCCCGGTTAGTTTTATCCCTCGCATCGTCGAGTTTGCTCAAGGAGCAAATTGGGTTAGCTCAACAGGACCCAGCGATCCACGCGAAAGAGTCAACCTGAGCGACAAGAACACACTGCCTACATACTCCTTGAGCTCATCAAAAGTGAAGTTCAAAGGTTCAATCCCAAGCATCGGACTCTAGGAAATTTAGCGTTGCTCGTCACCAGATATGTGGGAGTTGACACATAAGACACAAACAGCATGAATCGAATGTTGCTCTCAGTACTGATACGAACTTCCTCAACCACGAAATAGACAATTTGCTCCTCTGAAGTCCGCTGCATGGCGTCTCCACACGTCGCACCAAACTTTAGCTTGAACCAGGACTCAAATGTGGCCGTCTCGGGCACTCCCACCTTTGAAGAGCTGAGAACCAGGTCATCTCGGCTTCTGGTCACCAACACGCGACGAACTGAATCCGCTAAGGTCGTTTTACCCGTCATCGGTGGACTTCTGACGAGCACGACTCCGATCGAGAAGATCGATCAGGGAGAAGCGGTTTAAAGGCTTTAATTGTCTTCAAAGGGATACTCTGTCAACGATTTAGTCGTGCTTTCAACTGCCGACCGGCAATCACATCGGGATTTGTGCGGCAGCTATCGACGAACTGAATCAGATCTACGACTCCTACGAGAAAAGCTACGCGTTGCCCCCGTCAGCGAATTCTGGATTCATTTGGTAGAGCAAGGTTCTGTGCACCATGACCACACCGACATCACCTTGTTCGAGGCTCTAAACGGCACACGTGCAGTGAAGATCTTGAACAAATTGGTCCCGGCAGTGCTCGAGGTTCTAAAGCGTTTTCTCTATAAAGCGGTCGACCCACTAGACAGCGTTGTCAAGAGATGCATCCGTACTGACGTTCTTGTCGAGACTTTGAGGGGAATATCGAGCTTCCGGTACCGGTCATACGGCAATATATTGCCGCTAAATGCTTCAGCTATATCCATCGGGCACACCATCGCCCGGCAAACCTACAGGATCTGATTGTGCGCACGATCCGAGCCATCGACTATGACAAGATCCGCAAGGCATTCGGAAGCAGCTTGTCCGCTGGTATTCCATTGGAGCGGGCGTGACACATGGCGTTTTACTTTGCTGCATACCGCTGCGCGCCGCGCGACATTTGGTGGTCTCTGCGGACGTTGGTTCGACATTTGACTTTCCTGGTTTGATCGACTTTACGGTTGATTGTAGCAAAAGGATTTTGGGGGATTGAATTGTTGCGACAGAACTACAATTTGTACGAGTGCAATGCGCGGTTTGGTGAAGATGGGGACTACGCGTCCCTCGAGTTAAGCGACTACTGCTTGGTCGACTTTCGACTGGATTCACCTGATACATGCGAGTTCCTTGCTTCCGATCTGGAAATGCACGATAAACTCTTTATCATGATTTACAACGCCGACATGACGAGTGCGTAGCTACGGAATGGTGAGTTGATTTGGAACGTGCACGGATCTCCTGTCGTTTAACCACACTAGTACTTCTTCCGGCAACAGAAACTCAAGTACGATAGCTTTTTTTTCTTAATGAACACATTTTGATGTTACACGTACACAACCACTGGTATGGAGTCACCAAGGACTGGCAATTACAGCTACGCTTCCTACACGTTACTCTGGATGCTCATGAGGTTCTGCCGCAGACTCTTGGACGACCGAGGCGAGATTTGGTTGAACTTCTCGCTGTTCAGACGTGGTAGAACCGCCTTGAAGTAGTAGACTGTCCCGATCACGAATATAATCACTGCAGTAATGACTGCGATGAGAAAGTTGTTGCTCGACGTGCCGCTGTAGATGATGGCGGCAAAGCACACGAGGCACAAGAACAAGCAGACCACAGCACCAGCAATACCGAAGGGGCTGCGGTATGGCCGCGGACGATCCGGTTGGTTGATGCGCAGCATAATGAACGACACCAACTGGAACGAGTACGAGATCAGCGCTCCGAGTAGCGCAAGATTAATCGTCACGCTCCCCAAGTCCACAATCCCGACAATGTAGAACAGGCTGATGGCGAGAACCTGGTTCGCAACGCCCCCAGCGATCAGCGCAGCGTACGCGGATCCACGGGTGGGGTGCACTTTCGTGAGGAACTGCGATGGCGAACAACAAGCGGCTCATGCAGTACACGAAGGAGTGGTTTCCAGAAATCATGCCAATCACGGTGAGCCACGTGAACCCGGCAGTGACGTTGTTGTCTCCAAAGACGCTCTTGTATCCAGTCACCAGCGGGGCTGTGGTCTGATAAACCGCTGCAGCCCCTGGAGAAATGAGTGAACTGCACACAAGCGTGAGGATGGCCAGGATCACGAGCGTCACCATAGACCAGATGATTCCACGCGGCATGTTCTTCTCGGGCTCAATGGTCTCATCCACAGCAAGGGGCATCTCCTCAATACCGAAGTAGAACCACAACGCGAACGAAAGGCCTTGGATCGAGTCGCTCCATGTCGTCCACTCCCAATTCTGGTCCACGACCCACGTCGTGTAGTCCAATTGACTGAAGGAACCGCAGTAGAAGACGACTAGCATGGCTGTCGAGAGAAATGTCGCGAACACTTGTACTCGGAACGTGGCCTCGACCCCCACGATGTTGAGCGAGACGAAGAGGACGTTGGTGCCGATCCACCATATCGGGGCGTAGCTGGTGTTCAGACCGAACAGTGCGTCCAGGTACAGGAAGATACCGTACGTGGTCGTTGCAACAGTCGAAATGACCTTGACGATCTCGGCTAATCCAGCGAAATAGGCGGCTTTGGGGCCGATTCCGTGTAGTGAAAACACGTACGGGCCACCGCCCGACGGGATCGACGCCGACATCTCGGCGATGGAGAATGTCAGCAGCGTGTAGAGCGTCGTGACGAACACCAGAAGGATGAGGAGCCCATTGAAGCCGGCGATCAGCGAGGACTGCCAACCGTAGAATTCACCTCCGATGACAGCGCCGACGCCCAGAGCCCATAGGTGCGGGGTCTTGGCATACCGATGACCCTCGTTCTCTGGTGTCAGAAGGCCGTCGACGGAAGGATACACAGTTGGCGACGCCATTCAGAGCAAGAAGAAGTCGAAGCGATCACCGGCAATTTGAAAAGTGAAACTTGGAGCGCCGGGGTGCCGTTTTACGCGGACTTGTAGTGCAAGGCAAGCTTGAGATGGGGCGAGGAGCAACGTGAAGACAGCCCATGGAGCGTTTAACAGGCCCCAGTTGGCTCAGCCAACTTGGCTGTGCTCTGGCTGACTTGCCCGCTCGAAGCAACTCGCTTCAACGATCGTCATCCGTGTTACACGTTGAACTTTGACTTGGTACAAAATCCTCCCTAGTAGGGTTCCAGCAGAGGTAAGCAGTCCCAACTTGGAGCAACGAACGAAAACAAGTATTGCTGTACATGGTGCTGCGCATTGTCCTTGATTCCTACTATTTGGAGCATTTCACTAGCAGCTCACCACTGCCTCAATGCACTTCTACATCAAATACCATGGAAAGTTGCTGGTTGGGGCGAGTTGAGCATCACTCATTATATTGGGATACCGGCGGTACGGTGTAGTCCAGTGGCAAGCGGATCAAGTTGCCGTTGGGCAAGCGCAGCCAACTTCAAGTTTGTATCCCTGGCATCGAGAGCGACAGCGATGAACCGATCGGTCATCGAAAGCCACATTGAACCAGGCCACGGATGTTAAACGGGAGCATAGGCACAGCGGGCACGATATTCTGGCGTAATTAGCTCCAGTGGATGATGATGGTACCTCTCGATCATTTTTGAGCAGCCCCAGGGCTGCTCTCACAAGGCGTACTATCAGCTTCGCGCATCTCGATTCTAGCTAAGGCTGAAATCTTGGGGGTGCTTTTCAGTTGTGAGGATTGGGAGGGATTTGAAGGAAGGCCTTCCCATACATGCCGCGCTCTCAAGGTAGACCGACCGGTACACGTCGAACTCCAATTTAGGGGTTCGGCTCCAAGCAACGAATGGAGATTGCCATGTCGTGGTTGTACTGCAGCGTAAATGCACTGCGGCAGGGGACTTGATGAATGCAGAAAGTTGATGGTACGCTTGAAGTTCTACCCATGCCGGAGATGCTGCTAAAGGATCGAAAGCGCGGCGCCCTGTCCGACGCTCTCCATCACCTTGGGGCTGCATTCGCTTCGATTCCAGTCTGGATGCAGCTCAACGATGCACTGCTTCGAGTTGATGGCCAATGCAACTTCAACGTCATATCGCACCGGCTCTGTCCGCTATCCGATCCTGATCGAGTGGCAAAAGTGTCCTCCGACCGATTGTGGTACGCTTCCGGTGCCTGGTAATCCGCTTGGTTCATGATCACATCGTGCATGACGCCGACCGGGTCAGCACCACTCAGAGCCCCCACCGGAACATGCAGCGGTGCGTCACCTTCGACGGCCTCTCCTATCTGCTTGGTTCGTACGTAAAACCAGCTCTCTCGTTTGGCCAAATACTTGGCATTCCTGGCGTACGTGGTCGATGCGAGTAAATAGTAGAAGCACACAAAAAGTCTGAAAAACACACATCCTTAGGGGTAGGTCCGCCATATTAGAAGGCGGTAGTGAGCGGTTGCGAGGAGCGTAGCCATAGCAAACCCGCGCGGGGTGCCCGCGAAGCAGGGCCGCGCGGTATTTGCGGAGGCGGGCCCAGCGACGAGCATTCCAGCGAGCGGACCCATTGCCGCAACTCGGAGTTAGTTTTTCTACTGCGGGGGTCTGGGGGAGCAACCCCCAGAATGCTTTTATTAGAAGGTCCCTGATTTGCTGTGTGTTTTTCACGCGTTCTCGGTCGATGCGGTCCGCGCTTGACGGAGACCGAGCTGGCCGATGATGGTACTCTCCACCAGCGGTAATCTAAAGAACCAATCCAACGGGACCGATGGGCAGCAGGAAGACCGGTCTTCATCAAATCTCCTCGTGCTGTATAACGACTCTGGCCCTCTCACTTCAAAGTGCGACTGCTACATGTACTTGTACAGGTAGAGAGAGCACTGCACGCTTTCAGCCGCGCTACAGGACTCACTTTCGGATTTTCCGCGTGCCGCGCATTCCCCAACTTCCTCAACGCAGATGTGCTCCCACGCCAGCGCGCCCGAGCTCAATGACGTGGCCGTCCACCCGCTCGACCCTCTCACCGCTGCGGAAGTGCAGAGCATGAAGCAGATCGTCGGCGAGGCTGGCTACGCCGGCCCCAACTTCCGCTACTCGTATGTGATGCTGCGCGAGCCTGACCACAAGACGCTCGACGGCTGGAAGGCCGGCGAGGACGTCCCTCGTGAGATCGGCGTGCTGGTGCTGGACAAGACGACGAACGTGGCGCGCGAAATGGTCGTGAACGTGCCGGCCCATAAGGTCATTCACAACCGCCAGCTCAACCCGGCCACCGACGGCTGGGGGCCGATTCTTGATGAAGACTTCGTTTTGGCGGGAACCATCACCATGGCTGACCCGGGCTACGTTGCCGCTCTGGCCAAGCGCGGCATCACCGACCTCAGCATTGTTCGTCACCTCCCGCTGTCGACTGGAGTGTTCGGCTACGAGGAAGAAGTCGGTCGCCGGATGATCCGCGTGCTGAGCTTCCTGGCGAGTGAGAACACGCACTCCATGTTCGCCCACCCGATCGACGGCGTCGTCGCTCACGTCGACCTCACCAACCAGCGCGTGCTCCGCCTCGTTGACACGGGCTATGACCACGTACCGATGGAGTCGGGCGACTACCTCTCCCCGGAGCTGTCCGGCCCCATGCGCACGGACATGAAGCCGCTCCGCATCACGCAGCCCGAGGGCGCGAGCTTCACGGTCGAGAACCACGTGCTCAAGTGGCAGAACTGGGAGGTGCGCATCGGCTTCAACGGCCGCGAGGGCCTCACGCTGCACGACGTTTCGTTCTCCGACCGCGGCACCAAGCGGCCGATCCTCAACCGCGCGGCCATCTCGGAGATGGTGGTGCCCTACGGCGAGCCGCAGCCCACGCACGAGTGGCAGAACTACTTCGACGCGGGCGAGTACCAGTTCGGGCGGCTGGCCAACTGCCTCGTGCTCGGCTGCGACTGCCTGGGCAAGATCCAGTACCTGGACGCCACGGTGGCCAACGCCTTCGGCGAGCCCATGCTGCTCAAGAACGCCATCTGCATCCACGAGGAGGACTTCGGCACGCTCTGGAAGCACACGGACTTCGTCACGAACAAGGGCACGGTGCGTCGGCAGCGCCGGCTGGTCATCTCCTTCTTCGTGACGGTGGGCAACTACGACTACGGCTTCTACTGGTACTTCTACCTGGACGGCAAGATCGAGCTCGAGTGCAAGGCATCGTCTTCTCGTCGGGCCGGCCCGAGGGCGAGTACGACTTCGCCACCGAGATGGCGCCTCGCCTCTGAGAGGTGCTGAAAGTCGTGTACTTGCTGTCTGCAGAGCTGTAGGCGTAGCAGAGTTGATCTCAGCACGAAGGTGCGGGCAGAAGACGAACGGAAGGTAGGAGACTGAGGTTGCCTTGGCAGAATGCCGTGGCGGGAACAACCAAGGCGGCGGAGCTGGTTGTGCTCCAGCTGGAGAATGCGGAAGTGAGTGCCGAGCTGCTGCGCAGCTCGGCGCCGCCGCCTTGGGACCCTTGCTCGTGTTGAAGGAGTTTCCTAACCGACCTATGCTTTGCTATGCTGGTAGGTGCTGTTGCTGCTGCTGAAGCTGCTAATGTGCTGCGTCTGTCAGTTGCTAACCGCTGCCGCGCGGGGCAACGAGAGGTAGCGACCTCCCACAGTCGCAGCGGTTTCTGTGCTGGCGAGCTTCGCCTGCGACCGCGGAGCACTGCTTGGTGGCGCTGGTACCGCTGGTACCTCACAGCCTCGGCGCGCCGTGCCACCAGCACCTGTTCGCCGCCCGCCTGGACGTGGCCATCGACGGCAACAAGTGCCACGTCGACGAGCTCGAGGTGCAGCGCCTGCCGATCAGCCCCGAGAACCCCGTGGGCAACGCCTTCAAGCGGGTGGCCACGCGTCTGGAGCGCGAGAGCGACGCCCAGCGCGAGGCCGACAACAAGCTGGGCCGGGCCTGGCTGATCGCCTCGAGCGAGAAGCTGAACCGCTTGGGCCGGCCCACGGGCTACGTGCTGTACCCCGAGGGCGCTCCGCTGCTGCTGGCGGCGGACGACAGCTCCATCAACAAGCGCGCGCAGTACGCCATCAAGCACCTGTGGGTCACGCAGTACGCGCGCGACGAGATGTGGGCCGCCGGCTACACGCCCAACCAGCACCCGGGCTACTCGGGTCTGCCGGCGTACGCCAAGGCCAACCGGTCGGTGGACGGCGAGGACATCGTGGTCTGGCACACGTTCGGCCTCACGCACTTCCCTCGCGTCGAGGACTGGCCGGTCATGCCCGTGGACTACGCCGGCTTCAGCTTCCGCCCCGACGGCTTCTTCGACCGCAACCCGACGCTGGACGTGCCCGAGGACCCGAACGGAAAGGAGTTCTCGGAGAACTGTGAGTGCGCGTGTCCGTAGGGAGCTAGAGATGGGAGAGCGGCCCGATGTTGAAGCGTACGTGTAGGTGTTTTCATATTCAAAGTGGACGTTCAATGAATAGCACAATGTTGTTCCAAACCTCCATGTTTTGCGTCTTCTTGATGGTCAAGGAGCTATTGCAGTCGTCACTCTAGATGCGAAACAGCAACGTCAAGGCCGCCGTCAATCCTCAGCGAGAGTGCCATGCGGTACGTGTAGGCGAAGGGATCTCTCGACGTCCTCAAGTTGAAGCGGCTCAGCAGGGCAGCGAGCGTGATCTTGATCTCGGACATTTGCGAACTTCATGCCCAAGCACGCATGCGGTCCACCGTAGAAGGCAGAAAACTTGAATGGGGACACCGGTGTGATTCTCTCCGTAACTTGGTCGATCCATCGTTCGGGCTTGAACTCTTCAGCGTCAGGACCCCACACAGTCTTCATCCGTCCAATCGTGTAGTGCGGGATGTGGACCGAAGTCCCTTTGACCAGGAACACTCCGTTAGACAGCGTCACATTCCGCGTCGCCGTTCAGCCACTGATCGGAGCGACTGGGAACAACCGCAACGTCTCTCTAATTGCTGCCTCAAGGTACACAAGCTGCTGGGTGTCCTCCAGACTTGGTACAGTTTGCTTACCACTCGCAAGGTCCGGCATCTTGCCTCGAATTCTTGTCCAATACCTTCGGGTAGCGGTTTATCATTACGACAAACCAGGACATCGAAGTCGACGTGGTGTCTTGGCCAGCAGCAAGAAAGCTAACGAGGAAATCCCGCTGCTTCTTGGGGTCAAACGGTGCGTCCTTCCCGTTATCAGCCGCGTCTTGATCAAGATACAAGGAGATGAGATCCATACGAGAATCTTTCTCATCTTCTTTAGCCTCAACTTGGTCTCGCTGGGCTTTTTCTTCAATGGAGGGGGCGATGAAGCCGCAGATCATGTCATTCACGCACTCCATATCCTTTGTGAACTGCCGTTCAGCTCCGATGTTAAGATCACGTCGTAGTTTCCAGAACCAGCTCGGCTCCAGAATCCGCCCAACGATTCGAGCAGAAGACCGTTGCAGAGCTTCAAGCATTGCAATGATCTTTTCCGTCTCCATCTTGTGCATGTCAATCCCAAAGCCGACCTTGCAGAAGACATCCATGGTGAACAAGTCGAGCCTCCACTTCAGACTCACCACTCGATCGATAGGATTTTCCTCGCTGGCTGCAGCATCCAGACGCTTCATCAACTCCTTGCACTTGTCCGGAACCACCACATCCATGTTGTGCTGAATCATCTGCGTGGAGATCAATCGACTCGCAGTCTTGCGTTGGTGGTGCCACAACGGGCCGCTGATGGCAAAGACTCCTTGCCCGAGAACGTCCGTGGTTGCCTCAACGAAGAGCGGATTCCTACCAAACGCCTCGTACTGAATCTTCTCAACGTCCTCGAACGCTTCGGGGGTGCAGACGAACACAGTGGGGGCCTTCCCAAGAACGTGCATGCACCAAGGTTTGCCTTCGTATTTGCGGCACGTGCTGAGAGCCCAATTGTGGAAACGCCCGGAATGCTGAACGCGGATCAAGACTGGCAGATAACCAGGAGGCTTGGGTAGATGGAGCACGGCTCGGGTTTGCGCCGAAGGAGTCACCAAATAACCTAGGAGGAGTGCCACACATACTATTCCAAAGACCCAGAGTTCATCGTAGCTCACCACCATCTTGTGAGGAAGGAGATTTCACCAAGGTTGTGAAAAATAAAATCCTTTACCGAATGTTGAGAACAATCACACCGTTAGATTTGACAAGACCGTTAGCACAATACCTACGTCGAGTCGCACATTTTCTCCGTGGTTTTCTCATCTTTTTCATGCTTTAAGTCGAGACACGACGACGTCAAGCGGGCCCTTGATCTGCAGTGTAATCGACGAGCGGTAGGTGAAGTCGAATGGGTCCTTCACTGTCTTGAAGTCGAACTGACTCAAGAGCTTGGCGAGCGAGATTTTCACCTCAGCCATAGCGAACTTCATGCCCAGACACACGCGTGGACCACCGAGAAATACGCTGAACTTGAAGGGCGACACCACATTGACCTTGCCCGTTGCAGGGTCAATCCATCGCTCCGGCTTAAATTCATTCGCGTCTGGACCCCACACAGTCTCCATGCGTCCCATAGCGTAGTGCGGCATCACCACCCGCGTGTCTGCCTTGATGACCGTGCCTTCATACAGACGCACATCTCTCGTAGCTGAGCGGCCCGTGATGGCAACAACAGGGAAGAGTCTCAGCGTTTCTTTGATCACTGCCTCGAGGTAGACGAGCTGTTGGATGTTTTCCAACGTCGGAGCTCTCGTTTCCCCACTCGCGAGGCCCGGAAGCTTGGCCTTAAGTTCCTGACGCACTTGGTCCAGCACTTTGGGGTATCTGTTCAACATCAAGATGACCCACGACATTGTCGTTGCTGTGGTCTCTCGACCGGCAGCCAGGAAGCTGATGACGAAGTCGCGCATGAGCTTCAGGTCCTTCTTCGTGTGCACGCCCTTGGTATACTCGACCGCGGACTTCTCAATAAACAACGAGATCAAATCCTTCCGCGAGCCTTTAGTCTTCTCCTCAATGGAGCGCGACATCACGCTGTAGATCAAATCGTCCGTCATCTTGATGTCCTCAGCCAACTGCTTCTCCGGTCCAACGTTGAGCCAGCGCAGCAGCTTCCAGTACCAAACGGGCTGCTGGATACGCTCCAACATGCGCACGGACATCCTATCGAACGCATCGAGCAGCTCGGCGTTCTGGTCAGACTCGACGCCGTGGAGATCCACATCAAAGCCGACTTTGGCGAAGACGTCCATGGTGTACAAGTCCAGCAGCCGCTTCATGTTCACGACTTGGTTCGCCTTACTGATCTCATCGAGGCGCTTGACCAACGCCTCGCCCTTCTCGGGCACGACCACCTCCATCGCGTACTGCAGCATCTGCGTGGTGAACAAGTGGCTCGCAGTCTTGCGCTGGTGCTGCCACAGCGGCCCACTAACAGCGAAGATGCCGTGGCCCAGGACGTCGTACATGGCTGCCGAGACAAAGGGGCTCTTGTCGAACGCGTCGAACTGGGTCTTCTGGATGTCCTCGAAGGCTTCAGGGCAGCAGACCACGACGCTGGGGGTCTTGCCCAGGATACGCAGACACCAGGGCCTGCCCTGAAACTTGCGGCAGTAGGCGAGGGCCCAGTCATGGAACTTCCCGGATTTCTGCGCCCTGACGATCTCCAGCGTACTGCGCAACACGGGGATATCCCCCTCGGGCGTGGGCAGATGCTTCACCGCTCGATCATGAGCCGACGGAGTCGCCACGTACACGAGCAACAGCGCCACGCAGGACGCGGCCACCGACGCGGGCGAGATTAAGGCCGTTATCGCCTCCAGTTTCATCGTTCAACGGGTCGAGACGCTAAATGAGACCAAACCCAACGTGGGGTCAGAAGTGGTCGGGCCACTTCAAAATGTGTCATAGTCTCACTTAGGCATCGGTCGTCTCTCGTTCTCTATGCATGCGCTCTAGTGATCGCGACGTCTACGGGGCCCTTAACCTGCAAGGTGACGGACGGGATGTAAGTGAAGCCATCTGGGTTTTCCACGGTCTGGAGGTCGAACTTGCTGAGGATCGTGGCCAGCGTGATCTTCATCTCGGCGAGGGCGAAGCGCATGCCCAGACACATGCGCGGGCCAGCCAGGAAGGCTGTGAACCTGAACGGAGACACGTGGAGCAGTTTGCCTGTGTCCGCGTCGATCCAGCGCTCAGGCTTGAACTCCTCTGCGTCTGGCCCCCACACCGTCTCGAGGTGGCCCATGGCATAGTGCGGCAGGATAACACGCGTGCCGGCCTTGATGACGGTTCCGTTGTATAGTGTCGTGTCTTGAGCTGCAGTGCGCTGCATGGCCGGCGCCACCGGGTTCAGACGAATGCACTCGCGGATGGCCGCTTCCAAGTACACGAGCTGGTCGATGTCCTCCACACTGGGCGTCTCCGTGTCGTCCATTCCCAGTTTTGGCAGCTTGTCGGCGAGCTCGCGTCGCACGTTAGCTAGAACCTCTGGATGGCGGTTCATCTCGATGATGAACCACGTCATCGTGAGTGACGTCGAGTCGCGCCCAGCGAAGATGAAGACCATGGACATATCCCGCAGCATCGTCGGAGTCATCTCCGTATGGTCGTCGGCTGCGTACTCGACGCTTGCCTTCTCCAGGAAGAGCGAGACAAGGTCTTTGCGTCCGCTGCATGAGGAACGTTTGTCGTTCCCCTCCAAGCTGCGATGAATGACGTCGTATACGACCCCGTTGATGAGCTTCATGTCCTCGGCCATTTGTCTCTCCGCGCCGACGTTGAGCCAACGCGCGAGCTTCCAGACGCACATTGGCTGCTGGAAGCGCGCCATGATACGCCTCGACGCGCGCTCGAAAGCCTCCATGAAGTCGCAGTTGCCGCCGGTCTCCAGCCCCTTGAGCTCCACGCCGAAGCCGATCTTGGTGAAGATATCCATGGTGAAGAAGTCGAACACGCGCTTGATGTTGAGCGTCTCGCCGTTGTCGGCCGCCGCCCTCAACTTGACAGCTAACAACGCGCTGTGGTCGCGCACCACGTGCTCCATGGCGTGTTTGATCATGTTCATGGAGAAAAAGTGGCTTGCAGCCTTGCGTTGGTGCCTCCACTTGCTGCCGTCCACTGTGAAGATACCTTCACCCAGCAGATCGTGAGATATCTCGGCGACGGCGGAGCCTTTGACGAACACGTCGAACTGCGTCTTGAGGACGCCCTCCATGGCCTCGGGCGAGCTCAAAATGACTGCAGGCGGTCGACCCAACACGCGCACGCGCCACGGTCGTCCGCCATGCTCGCGACACTGCTCCAGGATCCAGTCGTAGATCCTTGCGCGCTGCCTGATGGTCAGGTCCAGCGTGTTCTTGAGCACCGGCAGCGTACTGCGGGGTGTCGGCAGCTCGCACACCGCTCGATCCTGCTCAGTTGGGGACGTGAAGTACGCGACGGCTGCAGCCACCAGAGATGCCGCGATGGCGAAAGGCAGCACCATGTTGGACATGAAGAAGAACGGGAATGTAACGATATCACTACCAGGAAGCATTTGATCCCTCGTGAGGATGGCACCGCTGAACCGAACGCGCACTGTGGACAGCGCGGGCATCGCGCGGAGTGTTGCTTATCTATGGACAGAGCTCTTCGGCGATGAAGGTGCTGGCAGGGCAGAGCAGAGCAGAGTGAATGGCATTGATTGAGGAAGGACGCAGCTTGTTGGTTTCCAGGGAATGTGCGACGGGTGACAATGAGGATTGTTGTTCCAGTGGTTTGACGCACGATCGCTACGATGGAAGGGGTAGAACAGTCCTTCGGCTCGAGCTGGTGCTAGCGGTGCGTCGAGGAGCAAGGCATTCGTGAATTTGCTTACTGCTGAGTTTCAACCTTCACCATTGCTGTCCTGTTCGCAATGTGGGGTCCGCTGGAGCTTGCGCTGAATCTGTCGCTGACTTCATGGGGAGTTTTGGTGTGTTCGTTGCTGCTGGGGTGGCACTTCTTGTCGTCGAGGAAGCAAGCGCGAGCGCTGTCCAAGTTCACTCGCCCTGCATCGACTCTCCCGGTGCTCGGTAACACGCTCGACCTCATGTTCAAGCACCGACACGACATCCACGACTGGATGCTGGACGAGTGTCGACGCTGTGAAGGACGTCCGTGGGTGCTGGCTGCTGTTGGTCGGCCAACGACGGTGGTACTCTCGGACGTTGACGCGTTCGAGGACGTCCTGCATCGCAAGTTCGACAGCTTCGGGAAGTGCAGCGCGTGGCTCGTGAGCGACGTGTTCGGCGACGGCATCTTCGCAGCGGATGGAGTGTCGTGGATCCACCAGCGCAAGACCGCCAGCCACCTCTTCTCTCTGCACATGATGCGCGAGAGCATGGAGCAAGTCGTGCGCGAGCAAGCCACAGTCTTGTGCGAGACACTGCGGGCTCACTGCACGGACAACCAAACCAGTACTTCGCCTCAACGTGGCGTTCCAGTTAACCTCAAGTACACCATGGACTGGTACGCCACCAACGTGTTCACGCGCGTGGGCTTCGGTGTTGATCTGGACTCGCTCAGCAGCCAAGAACACAATGAATTCTTCTGTGCCTTCACGCGTCTTCCGATTGGAATCCATCGTCGCATTCAACAGCCAGGATGGCTCTGGAGACTCAAGCGAGCGCTCGACTTGGGCGACGAGAAGCAGCTGAAGCTGGACATGGCGCGCGTCGATGGCGTCATCTACCAAGTGATCTCGCAGTCCATGGAGTCAAAGTCCGACACAGCTCCAGTGGAGTCCAAGCGCCTTCCCGACTTGATATCGCTCTTCCTAGCTAAGGAGACCAACGAGTACCGGGACCGTGAAGCAAAGCAGGACAATGGGGCGGTAGCCACTTGCCGTGTGGAGACGACTCCGAAGTTGATCCGAGACATGGCGTTTAACTTCACTGCTGCGGGCCGAGGAACCACGTCGCAAAGTCTGCAGTGGTTCATCATCATGATGAACCGGTTCCCGGGCGTCGAAAGGAAGATCCGCGAGGAGCTTCAAGCGAAGTTACCGCAGCTTTTTGAAGAGGACAGCACGCCTCCCAGCATGAACGACGTCCAGCAACTAGTCTACCTGGAAGCCGCCATCAAGGAGAGTCTGCGGCTGAACCCTGTGGCTCCACTCATTGGCCGCACTGCCACGCAGGACGTCGTCTTCAGTGATGGGATGTTCATCCCGTCCGGAACGCGTGTGATTATCCCGACGTTTGCTGTCGCTCGACTACAGTCGATCTGGGGGGAAGATGCTGCTGAATTCAAGCCTGAGCGCTGGATTGACCCTCACACGGGAAAGTTGAGGGTCATTTCGCTATACAAGTTCTTGGTGTTCCTGGCCGGCCCACGGTCATGTCTTGGAGCCAAGCTGGCCATGCTCGAGTTGAAGGTTGCGCTCGCGACAGTTTTGAGCAAGTTCCACCTTCGAGTGCTGAGAGACCCCTTCGAAATCGGCTACGACGCCTCCATATCGTTGCCAGTAAAGGGCGACGTCCTCGCGATTGTTGAAGCCGCTAAGGTCGGGAATTCCGCGGGCGCTGCGTAGTGAGGACTCTTGAGTTACGTCTCGGTTCTTGAACGTCTGCATATTGTGCTGCAAAGATCTAGGAGTACAAAGTCACACACTTTAACGTCTTCAAATGATCAAGTCTCCTACAAGTTTGCTCAATCTCATCGACATTTCTATCCTGGCCCATCCAGACGAACGCAGTAGTCGGATAACTCGAGTTACCACATGAATCGCGCCGTGGATCCATCGCCCCAGGTATATGGGCGGTGCATGAAAATGTACAGCGTTACCGCATTGACAGCCATGTACGCAGCAGCGAAAACCCATTGGTGGAAGGCGGATTGCTGTGCATTTTATTAAGTTTGTTAGAAGGTAATCCCAACAATGGCATTCGAGTTGGGAACTTACGTTGCTCGTGTTCAAGTGGAGGATAATGAACGGAACGCAGTAGTAACGCGGCCTGCAAAGAAACATGAGTTAGAACAGGAAAGCAAATGGAATTACGCTGCTTCAAATTGCGTACTCGACCAGGGGTGACGGAATGAGGACCAAGCAAACGGCAAGCGCGTACACAAGTTTCCACAACGGCGATCGTCTTTGGCCTGCAAGAAAACATCAGAACATCGGTGATGAGAAGAAATGAAAATACAATAACTGGAAGTAGCAAACACATACCCAAGTCATTCCAGCATCGCCAGCCGAAGAAGAGGTATGCTGGGGTCGGGAGGAACTTGGCCAACTTGTGCTTCAGAAAGAACTTCCGCCACACGTAGAATGTGTAATGCCGGTTGTCCGCCAGCATGAACTTGTGCACAGGGCTGAAGCGGTAAACAGTACCGACAGTCACTGCGACCACGAAGATGATAAACAGGAACCCCCGGAACGACGAAATATTCCGTCGAATCGACCCAGCAAACCTCCCCAACTGGACTGGCGCAATAAGGCTAAGCCCGAAGCCAGAGGCCGCCACAACGATGAAGTACAGCACTTGGGCTCCGTGGAACGTCACCTCGTGGTTGGATTTGTCACCTGTGCAGTAAAAGTTAGCATTACGAGTTTCAGCAAGGCAGCAGAGAACTTGTGGGATAACTTACCCACGACGATGCCCCCGTTTGTCAGAAGAAAGCCAATGAAGCCCGCCACGGTCACAACGAATGGCCAGACGATTTGGAGAATAGACGGTAGGTTGGTAATAACAACACTGACGAAGTTCAGGAAGACCCGAAGAGAGCTGCATACACCACATCATAAAGTCATTCACCATACCCATAACGTATTTAAACCGTTGTGCTTTATACCTGTGCGCGGTACCAGCACCACTTGTGTCGTCCTTGAGTGATCTAAAAACGAATGCAACAATAATATTTACAAAATCTGAATTCAAGAAGCGGCACAAATGCAACGCACCCGTAGATGAACTTTGCGTGTGCCAGCTCCACGCAGCGAACCACAACCGTGCCTGCAACAAATACCACCCAGACAATATTCGTCTGGCGGAACAGCACCGCCACCGCGCCACTCTAATCGACATCATACACCGTCAGAAATACCACCCTGCCAGATAAACCCCGCAACGCGCAGGTATATCTTACCAGTGAACTGAGCATGAAGTTGCCTCTCGTTGGCGGGTACTGCAGCAAGTTCACTTTCTCCGCCAGTAGCACCATCAACAGCACAAAAAACGTCGCACCTCCGTCCGTGTAAAACAGGAACGCAAAGAAGAAGAGCGGCGGGAACACCGCGACCCGCAGCGCGTGCAGCAGCGCATTTGGGTCTTGCGGCGCTATGTGGCGTCTCAGTAGCACGCACAGCACCACGTTGCCCAAAGCAAACAACACATTCACACTGCGCAGCACTGACACTGAGCAGAATTCCCCGAATCCCAGCGTTGCCGCCACTTTGGCGTACAGCGTCGACGCCAAGTAGAGACCTGGGAACGTCGTGATCTTCGGGTCCCATTCGTCTACAGACACCATACAACGTAAGTAAATTAAGCACTCAAGTGCATTGCAGCAATGAAATACCCACCGTAGCGCCCTTCGCAGTACTTTTGGGCCTGCGGGATGTGGAAAATCTCGTCCTGGAGGTGAATGATACAGTCAGAAGAGGGTAGAGGGGCAATAAAACCAAGGATTCATCTACCATGTAGGGCTCCGGGACGGCTCTGTTCACTGCGTTCAGCAGCCAGGCGAAGAGCAGTCCTAGGACGGCCAGGACAAGCAGCATGGAGGCTGGGGGACGCGGGAGGACGGCGCCATCGCCGCTGCCGGGAGCTGCAGCTGGGGTCGCCATGCTCGTCGGTTGTGGCGCTTGCGGATTGGCTGAAAATGGTGTCCTGAAACTGTCCACCTTGAAAACTGTCCACTTCGGCTGAGAGGATGCCGAACGAGAGGTATATTATGACGGAAGACAGGATTTCCTTCCCGTTCACTGTTTTAGACCACGGTAGGGTCCATGTTGCGAGGAACAGCCGATGCCGTGACTTGGATCATGGCGGGCAACTTCTCCCCCATAGGGTGGCTCTGAGAAGAAAGCGCACGCACAGAACCCCCGCCGTGCGACCATATAGTCCTGCGGTCATACTTTGCGAGGCTTCGCCCCCACGCTTTGGGCCGGGGCGTTTCCACAGGCGCGATCTCATATCCGTAACCCACCGTCCCCCTCCGCGGTCTTCCGCTAGCCACTGCCCGTTTTATTACCGAAAGCGACTGGTCCCACGCACTGTTGCCAACCCCCCATTCAATCATAAATGGAATAAAACCCCCTCTCATCACACAGCATTTCCCAACCAGAATAACCTTCCTAAGCCAATACATACTACCCACCGTACCAAAATCTAGGTACATCCCTTACATCAAGCATTCTCCCTCATCTGCAATTTCGCATCCATTACTATCCAGAAATCCCCCGGCCAGAAAACGGAAGCTTTGAGCTTTTGGTCACTCACTACCCAAGCGTCCGCCTCGAAGCTCAAGCTCAAGCTCCCCAGCTCGAGCACGATGCCGGCCCGTCCCGCGTCGAGCTCCGCGCCGGGCTCCGCGTCCTCGAGCCCTGGCAGCAGCAACTCCGTGGCCGCCATCTCGGGCGGCTTCTCGTCCGCGCCCATCAACCCCGTGGTGGCCAGCAGCCACAGCCGCCGCCACAAGGGCGAGAGCTGGCGCTCCAGCAACGCCGGCGACTCGCAGAACGAGAACGCGGCCAACAGCGCCGACTCGCCCAGCAGCTCCGGCACGCAGGACGAGGACATCCGCTCCAAGCCGCGGCCGTCGTCCGCCGGATCGCAGGGCAGCGGCCCCAAGGACAGCGACAACCCGATGCAGAGCCAAAGCCAGAACCAGTCGCTGCCGTCGCTGTCCTCGGGCAGCGCGGCGCTGCTGCAGCTGCGCGGCAGCGGCAACTCGCCCCCTTCCAGTAGGAACAACAACAGAGGCAGTAACAGCTCGGAGACGAACAAGCTGCCGCCGCAGAGCGGAGCCAACGCCAACACCGGAGGGCAGCAGAGCCAATCCAACGCCTTCCAGCGATCTGGAGGACCTTCTAGAGGCGCGCGGGAGGAGGGCAACCCGCTGATCCCCGACGAAGAGATGAACGGAGACGACGACGGTGCCGCGGGCGACGCGGAGGACGAGGATCCGTCCGCGCCGCCGTCTCCGCATGACGGACGCGAAGTGCGCATCATGTTCCACGGGCGCGAGGTGTTCGCTGAGGACCTTATCGGTCTGCGCGTGGCCAAGACGTTCGCTGGCCACGGCCGCTTCTTGGGACAAGTAGTCAAGTTCGACAAGCGTGTCTCGCTCTACACTGTGGTCTACGCGGACGGTGACGCAGAGGACCTGACGGTGGACGGCACGCTGCAGATCCTGATCCAGGACGAGATCGAGCGCGCGGATCCGTCGCAGCCCCCGCCGGCCATCTCGCTGCTGCTGAAGAAGACGGAGGGCGGGGCGTCGCCCGCTAGTCCCGATACTGGGGACTTTATGATGGCACCGCCGAGGCAAGCCAGCGCTGCGCCTCGACGCGCGCGTATCCAGGTCAGCGAGCGTGAGGCGCAGTTTGTCATCAGTCTGTTCGAGAACCACGCGCTGCCCAGTCTGGTGCGGCAAGGGTGGCGCGTGCAGACCAGTACCTCTGGAAGGGGCGAGACGCGCTTCGTGTCGCCTTCAGGAGAGATCTTCCTGTCTGCGCTGGACGTTGTCGGGTACATCGCCTCCGAGAGCGAGCTCCTCACCGCGTGCTTCCCTGCTAACGTGCACTCCGCTATCCTGTCGCTGTTGCCCCGTGAAGCTGCACCCAGCTCGGCAGCGTTTACGGACACGGGAAGCAACCACGGCAGCACTGGAGGTGCGTCGAGGAAACGAACGACGTCAGATTCGCCTAGCGCGGAACAGTTTGACGGCAAGAGGACGCGACAGGCGCGCGATGACGCGTACGTAGCCGCCGGGATCCCGATGCGTGCGGGTATGGGGCGTGGTGCTGAAGCGGCGCTGAACAGAACCGAGGAACTGAATCGACGTGCGGAGGCAGCCAGCCGTATTGCTGCTTATCGCGGACAAGGTATGGGTGGGCGCATTCGGATGTCTGGAGACCGGCTCGTCGGAGGTGAGACGACGAGTGAAGCTCGCATCCAAGCCCCGCCTGATCTTAGAGGATATCGGCGAGTTTCTAGCCGCGATCCCACGCTGGAGAATCCTTTCTCCTCCCGTTGGTCTGGTGTTGAACCGGCCCCCGGTCGGGCAGAATCGGCAGAGTATACTCGCCGGTTTGCGGACTCACCGGGCTGGCGAGAACGCGGCGACGCATTCCTGTCAGATCGCCAGCTTGAAGCACACCCTCGCAATCGCATTCGAGCAGAAGGCCGCTACATTCAGCGATTGAGCGCGCGGGCCGCGCCGGAAGGAACTGCGTCGGGCACGCCCACAGGCTACTACCGGGACTCGACGGGCTCCTCTCCTGGCGGCCAGGCGAGTCCGATGCCGGGTGGTCTGGGATATCCTCAATACCCAACGATGCGAGCAAGAGCTGCAGACTACGGCCGAACATCCGCAGCCCCTCGACCTCGCGAGACGGCAAGCTTCATGTCGCCCACTGACACTCTGGGAGCTAGCGCAGCATTCTCCATGGTGGATGTCGACCGCATCTCTACGTCTCGACCAGGAAGTGCTCATGGGGAGCAACCGCGGGGTCGCTCCCCACGACAGGCTGAAGCTCAGCAGGCATACCTCCAACACCGCTGTACCAACAGTGGCCACAGCTACCGCGGCAGTGAAAGTCACTATGCTGCGGAAGCCTCGAACGAACCTCAAGGCGAACAGCACAAATCGAGTGCGAGTGGCACATCCAGTGCCCCCAACCAGCAGCAACAACATGAGTGAGACCTAAAGGCCTGAAATGTATCATCGACACAGTGAAGTCGTGTTTTAATCTTTATTCACGTTGTGAACGTGGTAGAACTCGAGGTTCCTCTGCTTCTCTTCTTGCATGGCGACAGACTTCGCCTCACTCAGTGCAGCGACCACCTCGGACATGCGCGTGAACTTCCATTCAACCAGTCGACGAGTCAACGCGCGCAGCCTTCGTGTGAACGAGCTTTCGCCAAAGTCGCGCGTGTACTGTCGACACAAAGTCGTGATCTGAAGCACCACGCGCGTGTGCACCTCGGACAAGTGGGCAATGGAGTCAGCCTCGACCACCACTTTGCCACTGATCAGGTTGCGTTGTTGCTGAGTTCCTACTAGCGTCACCGCTCGCTCAAGATCCTGCAGCCATTGGGGCTTGACTTTCGCAGTGTCTAAGCTATCCACACGAGCGTGTTTGCCAGCAAGAACGCGAGCTCGGTAGTGTGCCAAACGAGCGAACTCGCTCACCTCGTCCAAGTCGAGATCTGCGAAACCTGGTTCCCGACCGCAGGCGGCAACAAAGTCCTCCGTTCTTGGTAACTGCAGAGGATAAACGTCCAACAAGCTGGTACTGGATGACCGGGTCATGCCTTGCTCGTCTCTAGCAGAAAGCTTGGTAGATTGAGCAGATCGAGGCCGCTCATATGTCGGATCCGCGTGGGTTGAGCCCTTGGGACGTCTAACGAACGGAGCCACAACAGTAAGTCAAAAGACGAAACGTGTGTAAGTTGGTGCAAGTACTGGAACGTAGACTCACCTGAGACCTCTGGGACTGCGTTTCGTAGGAGATTGCTTACAGAATTCGCTGGACTTCTTCATTGCAGCGCGAGTCGTAACATATTCGCGCCGTCTTGCGGTTATCGAGGTCTCATCAATCGTAGGTGCGTTATTACTGGGGGCGGTGGTGTCGACTTGTCGCTTTATATCCACGTTTTCGGACCGGGTGTCGATTCCATTCGCATTCGTCTTTTTGCCTGGCTCCGTGGAAATATCGCGAGACGGTATGACCTGAGTCTTCTTGCGCATCGTATCACTCGTATACGGCTTTCTTGTCGGGGAGGGAGAAGTGGATGAAGGTGCCGACACTTTTCCACGAAGTCCGGTTCGAGTTTGACTTCGGGGCTGGCGTTCTCGGGTAGATGGTGCTGGGTTTCGCACCAGTCTCTTGTTGCCTTTACGCTTTGTGCGTGATACGGAGGACGGGGCTGATACTGAAGCGCTAGTACTGCTCTGGGGTGGGTGCAATTTAGCCCAGAGACATCTCCACCACCGTGCTATCCGACCAGCAGGCCCATCGACCCAAACGAACACGACGCGATAGATTGCTGGACATGAAACATAGTACAGCTGACGCAAGCGATAGAAATTCGAGTCTCCATAGCAAGCTGAGAGGTGGGCAGCGCTCCCATTGCGACGACGAAACCATTGGGCCAGTGACCATGCAACCGAGGTGCACAAATTCATGTGAGCGGTGGGGCCTTGTGGACCCACGAACGACATCAGTGAAACCAAATATCGGTATCGAAAGCGAATCGACGGTACGAAATCGTTTCCAGAATCTGCAGCCATGGCTTGGGCATAGAAATCTGCCGCAAACACGCACAGATCGTTGTCGAAGAAGCGATCGGCCATTGCCTCCCACAGCTTGACGTTGTTCTGGTCGAAAACACTTAGAAGAGGTGGCCGATAGAGTTTCTTCCGCCAGAACTGTGCTGCCTCAACGGATCCACGCTGTTGATACAGCCGAGCCTTCCGTGAACAGAACCGATAACTAATTAAACGATGCTAAGAAACAACAGTTGCTACAAAACTTACAATGATGCAGATCCCGTCTACCAGTGAAAATGGCGGAGGCATCGACTGGTAAAGACTCTGTCCGCCATGATATGCGTCAAAATCTTCCAAATTAGGGCTGAGTTTCTTTCCAACTCACCAGCATGCAGTCGATACTAGCATCCAGTTGCTGGACAGCTTTTAGAAGCTGGGCAATATGCAGAACTGCACATTTATAGGATGTGCTGGCTGACTTTGAGATTTCTAAGACGCTTCGTAGCGCTATCGTTGCTTCCGTGTAGTTTTCCGTCCGCAAGCACTCCCTACACGAGAAATAGAAACATGCACGTAAAAAAAATCTTCACCCCAAGTTCGGGATTCTTGACTCTACAGCTGCAATACAACAAACCTTGCATAGCTTGTCGCGCTATCCACAACTCGTGAGGTGTCGCTACCGTCGTCATTGCCGCTGCTCTCATTATCCTCCGGGGCTAACGCACCATCACCGTCTTCACCTGTAGGCGGCAAGCTTTCAAGAATGTTGACATTGCCGCCATCGTTGCCCATCAAGTTCATTCCGAACTACACAGCTAAAAAGAGCAGCAAGAAGCAATCCTAAACCAAACTTAGCATTCCCGATGAAATGAGCCCGAATACGAATAAAGAAACTTGGATTTGATACCAACAGCAATTTATCCGCCCTTTATATTCTTCTCCTTCATGGCGACCCAGAATTCGTAGTAACCATCATACCATTTCCTGATCTCTGAACCCTTTGGTTCGTCGGGGATTTTCAGTGCGTGGAAGGCGTCGCTAAAGTCGACTCCTTTCTCCTTGTAGAGTTTTTCGTACGACATTTTCTTGCCGTAGTACTTTTTGATTTGTGCGAGTTTCTTCGCGTACACATACTCATCCCATGTGGAACGACTCGACATCGCCTTCACAGCCTTGATGAAGCCTGCCAAATCCCTGTCTTCGCTATCCGCGTCGACTTTCTCCTCGTAGCTCCGCAGAAAACGTTGGTCATTGCGATTCGCGTGAGGGGCGACGGCTCCAACCGCCTCGTTCTTCTGAAGCTTGTTCGGACTTGAATCTGTTGTCGTGGGCAACGCTGAGCTGCTCGAAAGGAAAGCGCCCACCGCCATTAGCAAAACGAGATACGTCCGCATGGTTGCAGCCCGTTGGGTTTCGAGGGAAATTGAAAAATGGAGAGCCACGAACGAGGCTGGTGGCGGTGCCATTCACATCGCTTTGTTGATCGTGCTCGATTCTCTGTCCTGTTCATCTGTTCACGAGGGCACGAATGCATTCGGAGCCGAAGCCATAGGGTGATGTACCTTTCGGTCATTTTGCCGAGTCCTACGTAGGACTTTGGAGGTCAGTTAATCTGAGGTTGGCGGTCTCTAAATCTGACATGCAAATCTCGGACGAGTCCGATGAGCGGTCTCCCGGAGTCTCCGTTCAATGGACTCCGGTTGGAGTCCAAGCCAAGCAAGCTTTGTTTAGAGAAGCAAGCAATGCCGGAACCCGCGAAGGCGAAGGGCGGAGACTGGAGTGTTTAACGTATCGACTGCATCGTGTTTCCCTAAGTTTATTTTGCGGTTGACATACGCCGTATTAGAGTCAGCTCGTATGAAAGTGGGTTTACGCGTGGCACTCCAACCTCTGAGCATGAGTCAATGTACACTGCAGCTGCTGGACACTCAAGCGAAGAAACTGGGACCGCAATCTACAGTAAGTCACTGCTCGGAGGAACAGCTCGCCACCGGTAATCGAGAGAGTACATGCCGCACTTGTGCTCGACACCTGCCACAAGACTTGGCAGGAGTCCTTCGTAAGACCTCAAACCCCGAATGCCGTGAAAATGGGCGACATTTGGGCTTTCGGCTGTTTGTAGGATCTGCGCAAGTGCTTCCATCGGACTAGCAATTCTTGGTCCTAATTCCCTACGAGGGACCTGCTAATCTGCTCCGATAACCTAGCCCCATCTTAGTAGGTAGCTATTTTACTCCGATTCGCCAAAACAACTGCAAAGCACAATATTATACCGCAATTCGCATGTGGAGAGCTGCACCCTATGTTCACCCCGGTAATGTTGATCTGTATAATCAATGATTTTGGCAATACAGTCGTCCCCGGGCTAGTCCCGGCTGTATATTTTAATGTACCTCGCACAGGAAGTACAAGCAGTTCTCAAGATTTGCGCGCTATTTCTGCAAACATATTGACTTAGATGCGTGTACAGCGAGACCTACTGCGACAAGTGGCACGTTGCATCAATACCACCACCGTATTCTTGAGCTAAGCTTGTAGTAACTCAGTACATACTCATCTATGTTCAGACCACGTGAATCTTGTTGATTCGCAAACATCATAAGTACCACTGTGGCGAATAGGCCGGGGACGCCTGTATGAGGCGAGATTTGCTGTATTTATAGCGACCACCTGCTAGATTTACGATAAATCGAGGTGCATAAATGGGTGGAAGCCTAGAGTTACGCTAAAAGCGCCACAATTGCAGTTTTGAGAAAGTGCAATTGTGGCTGTGCAGCTGCAATTCTGTCGGTTTTTACCCACAAGCACCTACACACACGGCAATTATGCATAAGAGGGTGGATGTGCTGGGGATCATGGACGGTGGTGTACTGGGCCTATGCATGGCTGCTGACAGGCCCTCCCAAGTCGATATATATATGAGGAGGTGGATTTATGCATAATTTTAGCAGCTCGTGTATCTTTTTTCACACATATTTAGGAGCAGGCTTTGCCATATTTAGCGTCTAAAATGGTCGGCAAAATAACTCCAAAGCACAATAAAAGTATCATTTACAAAATTCAACATGTTGTATTGTGAATCCCGGCCAAATGAATCGGGTCGGTTTTGGGGCCCCTGTCCAAGTCATTTGCCGAATCGCCGGCCAACAAACATATGGTTCTGTGCCCGCATGTCAAGGCCAATCCGTACTTAGTAGGGAGTCAAGGGGGCATAGCCGGGCGACCATAGTCTGGCGATCCGCCCCGATCGGAAAATTAGAGTAGAACTCACAATTTAAGTCACAGCTGTAATATTGTGGTTATATCTTATTTGCCGGATATAATAATTGGTCTGATTGGATAAAAATATGTAGATTGCTTCATATGATTGGTCGATGTAGGTGCATCTCATAAGTGGGTGCAGCTCTCAACATGCGAATTGCGGTACACGTATGTCTGGATGAGCACATTGATTGGGAAGCAATCTTCACCTCTCAAGGCTGCTCCGTTCTTAGCGGACCGGTCGAACCCTGTGCAGTTGAAGCTATTGGCCGGACCCCGGGATCCCGCATCATGTACCGATGGCGACCGGAATTATTTATTTTTATCGGCGGGGCAGTGATAATATATACTGTATAGGTTGTGACAACTTTGTGATAATTTTTCGAGTTTAGCTAGAGCTCATTTCACCTTCAAGCATCTAGCATCCAGTATGAAGTCTAGGCGAACTGGAGGTGCAGAGGTTCCTCGGCGCAAACGTGATACGTAAGTATTGAAATCGTCGTGACCACAAAGCTGCTGCATACGACCAAGCAGATTCAAGCTCACGGCTTGAAGCTAGCGCCTGCTACAGCAGCAGCGGCGTCGGGCACGCAAAGTTGCGAACTCTGCAGCTCTGTGCAACTCGAGAGTCGATGCTACAAGACATACATAGCATAGATACATACACTTGAATTTACCGAATATACCGGTTGCTAATGCGGGGCAAGCGGGGACCCCGGGGTCCCGCCAAACGGACAAATTTTGTCCAGCGCATGACACGTGCATGCATACATTGCATTTGGCACGGTGCTTGTAAATGGTAAACTTATGCTACCGGCTTCCCTCGTACTAGACGCCTAGGCGTTGTATTCGAGGTTGGTCAACAATCCCGAATCTGATCGGACCCTCGAACTGAAGCTATAGCAAAATAGAACGCCTACCCAAGCGTAACACAACTCAAGAATGTCAGCCAAGAAAAAGCGTAATAGCTACAGTATCGGATTCAAGCGCAGTGTTGCTGGAGAGTACAAGAAGGGTGTCGACGGTTTTGGGTTTGCCGCCCTTGCCGCAAAACTCAAGATACCCTCGACGTCGATAGTTCGGAAATGGGTTGAGCAGCTGGGCGCCTTAGAGGCCACTACCAACCTTCAGGGATTTTAGATTTCTTGAATACAACGCCTACCTTTTGCATCCTTCAGTTTCACTTGAATATAACGCCTAGGCCTTTTATTCAAATAGAACGCCCACTGTGCGCGTTCTATTTTTTTAGAACGCCCAGGCGTCTACAGTAATGTGCGTGAATACCGGACGGGTCTACAGCTAATACCCTTGTATAATTCATTATTATGGGCTTACGATGTGACGAGATGGTGATAAGCAAAGGTACTGAGCTAAAAATCCATTAAACTCGTGATGTCGTATTCAGCGGTAATTTGAATATTGGCGCGCTTTCGCCACTTTGATTTTCTTTAAAAGCGTTCACTTCCTCATTTGCGATCAAAGCCTCAAACTACCAACCAAGGTATCATCCACTGTATCAAGAGGTTTGACATTCTTACTGCTTTGATGTGGTGTGAGGACGCCTGGTCGAAGGTTACTGCTGATACCATACAGCATTGCTGCAGCTGGCAAGAGGAGAACAAGGAAGGACTTTGCAGCATGGGAGATTGGTGGACTCTCATTTGTCCAAATATTTCAAGCACCACCAAGAAAATCGGCATCAAGCCACCAGAACCCCAGAAATTCGGCACAAAGCCATCAGAAATCCGGCATCAAGCCCCCAAGAACTGCGCCCACCGTGGCCAAGTAGGCACTGCCTATAATCCAGGTCGCTATAGTTAGCAATTAACGCAAATAGAGGATCTCTTCACCACCATACAGCATTGCTGGTATCACTCGGGCCTTATTAACAAGGCCGCCATCAATTTCTTGACGAACTAAATAATATCAATACATTCATTTTTCTTAACGAATTGGATTCAACTTATACTCTTGGAGACCTTATATATATCAGGCGTCCGGTATTCACGCACATTACTGTAGTACGAGGGAAGACGGTAGCGTGATAAGAGCGTGTTCGCTAGGTAGCTGGAGATGGAGATGACCTCTCATCAACTCTATTTCTTGTCTTTTGATTGGTCAAAATAGTTTAGTTCACAACGTGACAACTGGAGAATTACCCCGTCTCCTTCTCCAGCTCTGGGAGCTGGAGAAGGAGAAAGTAGCTGGAGATTGAGGCAGTTCAGCCGCACACACAATGAACGAAGAGGAAGCTGTACTGGTTGCTACATGCTCAGCTGTCGCACAGGTTGCAGTCCTCCTATCAGGAGAATCCGACGATGCGCCGCAAGGCCCTAAGGAACAGAATCGTACCGTGACCTCACTGCACTTTGAGCCCATGCTACAGTCAGCCGCGTATGCAAGTTGGTTTGAAGACAATCTTCGCTGCACCAAGCCAACTTTCCTACGTATTGCTGGTTTACTACGAGATCAAGGTGTTCTGTTTGCTGCTGCCAAAGTACGGCAGCATAGCTTTGAGAAGAAAGTTGCAGCCGTGTCAAAACGAGCCCGCAGCAGGGCATCAGCTGCTGCAGTCGTCCACGCAAAGGAGGGTTGCTTCGTAGCGATAGACGTTTCACCAGTATTGGCCTTCTTCTTCTGATTCCCAACGCGGCGATGTGAGTCTTGGTTGCGGGCTGACGCAGCTACAACTCCGAGCGCAAAAAGCTGGCTGGGTGTCTCTGAATGCGGCAGCGCCAGCGCCAGCGAGGAAGTGCGGGCATCCAGCTCCGTTTGAGTAGTGGCCGGTGTCGCATACACAGTCTGGGCAAGAGCAACATCAGAGACAGGTATGTCCAAACTGGCAGTAGCCAGCACGAGGTCGCCACTGGCTGACGGGAGCGGAGGCGCAGCTCTCGGAGCGTCATCGGCAGCTTGGTCCATCTTGCCACGCGTCCGGTGTCTCGGGCACAGTGTTCCCGGAACAGCAAAGTAAGGAGAAGGAGAGCGAGTCGCACTGTGATTGGCTAATTTTACCTAGATGCGCTCTGTTGTAGCGAACAAGCTGGAGATGGAGATGCACCAACTCCCTGCAGATATCCATCTCCAGCTGCGTAGCGAACACGCTCTAACGACAGCTCCCATTTTCTTCATCATCCGGATACTACTGAAGTTACGTTGTCTCCTACAATACACTCATCGTGAAAGAAGCGGAGCTCTATGAAGCGTTCGTATTCAAGTAACAAGTCCTGTGGTACCGGCACACGTGTGCCACGGCAGCCTTGCTACCATATACGGTACAGTACCTTTCTGGTTTTTAATGGTTCTACAGCGTGATGAATGGAGTTGAATGATCTTTTTACACAATTGTCGGAGCTCGAGTTACGGCTAAGCTGCAACACGTGCAAGACGGAGACACCAATTCGACCGACTGTACTCGACAGACACCACTTCAAGACCAGGGACCTGCGCCACCAATGCCTCCAGGTCTCCCTTGCGATACACGTGGCAGTATCGCTCGTAGACCACCCACCGCTTTTCACGATCAGCGCGTCCATGGGACCCTGCACCGCCATCGACCTCTTCCTCGCTCCCCTTTTCCTGAGCGTACTTTTGCTGCAGTTTCCACTCCACCATGACGTCCTGCTTCTCGAAACGCCGCTTCGAACGCTCATCCTGCTCAAAGGCCCAGGCGACGATCAACACCTCGCCACCAACTCGAACCAACCGCGCCAGTTCACTGATAAGTGCAACACGTCGTTCCTCCGTGGAAATATGATGCATCACTGCAATGGACAACGCCGCATCGAATGCCCCCGACCTCAGCGGGACCTTGAGTGCATCACAACCCAGCAAGTTGCTGTAATTGGCGACAGGGTCTCAGTTAGCGAACACCTCACGCCCTCAAGATGTCACATATCAATTACGCACCAGTCACTCGACGCTGCAGTTTGCATCAATGGGATGCTGCGATCGGCTCCGATCATGCACAGCGAGGGGTTCACCCGCAGGTATTTGCCATTGCCACAGCCCACGTCAGCCACGAGTGCACCAGGCTCCAATTGCTCGAGGAATTGGGTCACTTGGGGCCACGGATGGTGTCGCGTGTGGCTGAAATGCGGCGCAATGAGGTCGTACACCTTGTGCACGTGCTCGCGCTCGAGCTCCGTCGGAGCCAACGGACTGCAGGACGGAGCAGCAGCACCGGCAGTTACGGCGGCCATCGGATTGGGAAATGGCTACACTTCAGTTTTTACAAGACATCACTATTTTCCCTCGATAAAGTGACTGGTAAAGTAAACTTCAAGTTGCCTTGATCTTATCTTACCGGTATGCATTATATTCAGTCTTTACGTAGGTCGGAGGCGTGTAAGGGCGGCGCTGGTGGCGCGGGGAGCTCTCGCAACTCGCTCCTGGAGATACGCACAACCTTCGCTCCAGTCCGTTCCCCACTGGTTCGTGCGGTGCTGCCTCGACTCTGAGACGCTCGAAGGTAAACTTTGGCGGTGGCCAGGTCCTTCATGAGCGAATCATTGGCGTCCTCAAGCTGCTGGATGCGACGCTGCAATTGTCTCTCACGCCCAGTATCGGAGGAATCGTCGCTGTCAGACTGCCGCTGCTGCTCGCTTGACGACCGGATAAGCTGCTGGAGCTGAGCCTGCATCTGCTTGGCCTTCGACTTGTAGAAAACGACGTGTTTCTCCAAGTCGGCAATGTACTCGTCCTTCTTCTGGCAGCGGACGATGAGCTTCTGCCACTCGCCGTCCTTAGGTCCCTCGCCATCTTCGTTGTTAGACGGTACCAGGACCTTCGGCTGCATCTTCTTGAGCTGCTCCATGGCTTCGGCGCTCTCTCGCTGCTGAGCTGCCAGCCGCCGGTCAAACTCGTCCCGTGCCACTGCTAACCCGCTTTCCAACTGGCTCAGCGCTGCTTCACGCTCGCTCAACAGAGTCTGCAGCTCCTGCACCTCGTTCCCCATCTCGCTCACCCGCATACGCAGTCGAGCGACTTCATCCAGACATTTGCCCATGATGGTAGCTGTAGCACCAGTAGGGTCCACGCCGAGCTGTTGAACCAGTCCATTAGCTAGACCGTCAAGTGGAGACTTGGCATCTCTGCTTTCAGACCGCTGCTTGATGGCGAGCAGATCGTTGCGCGCAGCCACCAGCTCTGCGTCTTGGAACGCGATGTGCGAGTCCAAGTCCACGATCAGCTCCTCGAGGTCCTGGAGCTCTTGCTGCGCCTCGCTGTCCAGGAAGTCCGCCTTCTCCTCCTTCTTCCGAAGAGCAGCGAGTTTTTGCTCGGCACGCACGCGCAGCTTCTTGAGGCGTTCGAGTTCCTCCAGCGACTTGGATTCGGCCTGCATGCGCTCGTCTAGTGCGTGGAGAGACTTGGACAGGTCCGAGATACTTTCACGTACGCCCAGACTCTGACGCATCTTCTGCATCTCCAAAGCGTTCACACGTCGAGCAGCTTCGGTTCTGCTTTGCTCCGCGTCCTTCTTGCCCTTAAGCAAGTGAACCACCTCACGCCGAGTGGCGTGATACTCGATCAGCTCCTTGACACTGCGCTCAAAGGCCGAGATCACCGCTTCCTTGTCGATTGGCCCGTTGTTATGGGATCTCCTTGCAGTTGGAGGTCGACTTGATTTACTTGGAGCTGGTGTACCAGGCCGCTCATGGTCAGCTTCCTTCGCGCTAAGACTCTTGGTGGAGACAGTGGTTGCGGCCTCTTCTTTCACTTCGCTGCGCTTGTCGTTAAGTACCGAGTCTTCTAGGACTTGGTTGTCGCGCTTCAGTGCTTCGATTGAGTGCTCGGCCTCGCTAAGTTGACGCTCGTAGTTCTGCCGTTCCAGAGCCCAGCGCCGGGTAGATTCTTCACGGGCGTCCAGTAGTTCCTCCTGTCGAGAAATAAGTACATACAATGCCATGTAAGACAACACTGTCTCCCTACACACTCCTATCAATGAATGCAGCCGCCTCTCACCGTACATTCTTCTTCTGTAGCTCCTCGAGTTTCGCCTGAAGAGCGGTGATCGTCGTTTCCAACTTGCCAATAGCTTCACTCGTTCTCAAGCGAGATCCAGACGTAAGACTGCCTCGACTACTGTTATCGCTTCTGCTACTCGTACTATTGCGTGAGAACCCCGAAGCTCCGCCGCTTCTGGATTTGCGTGGTGCTGAGGGCATTCTGGGCTCCTCTCCACCATTTTCTTCATCGGGATTGTCCATTACCACCTTGTCTTCATTGCCATCGTAAGCTGCAGTGCCTCCACGACGAGAAAACAATCCACGCGACGACGATACCGTCTTCCCACTGCTTGTAGAAGGCGTGCGAGAGCGTCGACCAGAAGGTGAATCCGTTGTAGTGTGGCTTGAAGACTTGCTCTCCGACTTCTCATCAGCCAACGACATCCGCGATTTCTCTTGAGCATCACTGGGAACCTCCGAGTTGGTCCACAACTGCCCACCACGCTCGAGCTCCTGCACGCGTTGAATGAGCTTCTCGTTCTTCCCCTTCGCTTCAACCAGGAGCGCCTGAAGTTTTGATATATCCGTGTTCTTAATCTCGAAAATCTGTTCGTCTCGTGTCAAATTCGCCTTCGCTTCTTTCAGTTCATGACGAAGCTTCTGAACCACGACAGATTCTTCCAATTGTTGAGCGCAGTCCTCATCCTGACTCGCAGGGTCGCTGTCTTTCTCACTTCGACGTCGAGACGGTGAAGGCAACAGCTTCTTAGCACTGATCTCGCTCAGGTTTGCCGTCTGGATGGAAGCATTGAGCAGCTTCACGATCTCGTTCAGTCTCGCCTGGACCGGTCGACCAAGAGACTTTATCTCGCGCTCCATGGCCACCAACAGAGTGGCGGCTTCCATCGAGTACGAGCGGATACTTTCAATAGCGTCGCCATACAGATGCACGCACTTGGTCGCTTGTGCTAACTCCCGATTGACGGTGACCAGCTCCCGCTCTTGATCCACGTTCTTCTCCTTCTTCCCCATTGACGAAGACGGGCGAGACGGAGGTCGCGAGGGCGGAGCTCCAGCTTTTTGCTGCTTTAGCTGCGTCTGTAGATTGGAGATTTCTTCCCGCATCCGTAGCATTTCTTCATCGTTACGCAGACGCTCCTCCTCGCTCACGATTTTATCGTTGACAATCGGTTTATTCTTGATATTTTTCGCACGGTTCGCATACTTGAGCGTGTTCAGCGTTTCTTCAAAGTTCACACTAGCGGGACTCACGCAGGCGATCATCAATGTGCGGGCGTTGCCTCCCAAACTGTCCTGAAGTAGGCGAGTCAGCTTTGAGTCTCGATACGGCACGTGCACAGCTCCGCTTCCGCTTCCAGCGCTGCCAATACGACGCTTGTCATCGCCCAATGCGCTGATCACATTTCCCAGAGCCAGAAGACCCTGGTTAATGCTCACGGACTCTTTGAAGCGGCCCGCTACAGCTCCAGTGCGTTTGGCACGCTCGGACCCCGCCAAGTCGACGAGGTGAAACTTTGAGAACCTCCGCGTACCGGACGTGAGGTCGCGCTGCTCCAACAACAAGCTGAAAATGGCGTGAGAGCGACTCGATTGTTCGTTCATGAGCGTGCTTCCAGTGACACGTGATGCCCCTCCAACCACGAGATGCCGGAACACTGCCTCCTTCGAGTCTGCAGGTTCCGATTTCACCCCCGTGATCACGATGTTCCCCTCCCCGTCCTCACGAATTGCCAACTGCTTCGACGTTGTCTCGGGATGCAGTAAATCTCGCAGCTCTTCGTTGTAGATTTCAACGTATTCCACGCGCAGCGTGTTCTCAGTTCGACGCTGGTTGTCGCTGTCCTCCTCCTGCAGCTGCAACTTCTTGAACACAGCCTTGATAACCTAAAAACCAGCAACAATTCGGTTAAAGACTTGCAAGAAAAAAACTATAAGCATAAAATTTGTTTTACCCGTGGGATGATGCCCTGTAGCTCTGCGTTCTTCTCACGACCTCGAGCGTCGAATCCTGAGCCTGCCATGGTGTGAGTTTTACCCGTTCCGGTCTGGCCATAAGCCAGCACTGTGGCGTTGTAGCCTTCCAAGAACCCTTGCACCAGCGGCGCAACACATAGTCGATACGTGTCCTACCGCACACGTAAATTCGGTTTAGAGTCATGATTCCGCTTAATGTGAGTGTTTTGAACTTACCGTTTGCGAGCTCGTGACCCCGAGGACATTGTCGAAGGTGAAGGCTCGATCCCTGCCGACGATCAGCTGCTGGGGTCCCTGTTTGGTTCCTGCACTTTCACCTCGGGACGATCCAGAGCTGCTGCTGGACAACCCGTCGAACGAGGCGGCGATGCGAATGCAGCTCTTGGTCTGCTCCTGCTTCTCCTTGGAGCTGAGAGGCCGGATCCGCACACAAACCTTGACCGAGTCCTGCTCCTCAGCGCCTCCACGACGGCTATTCTCCGCAGTCATGAACTCGGCAAACACTCTTAGCAGCAATATATGGGGGAATGGAATGGCAGGAAGCAGCAGTGAGCAGTTGGCTGAAAGACTGGCCATATTGTCGTTACCCCCCACGGGCTCTTCCAGGATGGAAACGTCCATCCATTTGTTTCATCTGGCTTGGAAGCTGCAAGGAATCGCCAAAGTTAGACACGCCTTATGTAGTAGTAGTTTGCTCCAACGGTATCAATACAACACACAATAATCGCTGTTCTTGATGACCCGTTAGTTCAAAAACGTGTCTTTGATGGGTATTGACTGATTGACCTTGACTACCCAACTGGCATGTCCGCCATATCTCGACACTTGACATTCAGCCATGTCGGGCGTCAGCGTTGGTAGCCGCAAAGGCGCAAGTCCCCATGATTTGGCTGCAGGAAGTGACAATGAGGGCACGCCTCCATCCGACGAAGCTTCTGAGCCCACTGGCTGCACCATCGGCATTGACTTCGGCCGTACAAAGTGCGAAGCTGCTGTTGTCGCTGAGGACGGGAGTGCAGCGTTGATTCCATTGGAGTTGCTAGCCCCAGAAAAGTGTTTCTCGCTGCCCAGCTACGTGTCCATGGGGGCCACTGGTGAGTGGGAAGTCGGGTTGCAAGCGGTGAGTCGTGCTAAGGCTGGACACCCGTACACCGTGTACGACTTGACCATGCTACTTGGCAAAAAGTTGGACGCGCTACGACAGCGAGACGTTGAGCGCTGGGCGTTCATTCTCCGTTCCGGTGTTGCTGACAAAGCTGTGGTAGAATGCCCCACCAAGAGCAATACCCCTGATCTGGCGTACCCTGAGCAACTCGTTTCCAAGCTTCTGTCCACGATCAAGCAACGTGCCGAGGTCTTCACTGGAAAGCGCGTCACTGGTGCCGTATTGAGCGTTCCAGCAGCGTACAACCGCACGCAGCGTCAGGCTCTTCGGGATGCGTGCAGTATTGCTGGGATCCCTGTCGAGAAACTCGTGATATCGTCATCGGCATCTGCTGTTGCCCACGCAGACTCACTCACAGACGCAAACAGTAGCGAGAAGATGGCGCTGGTAGTGGACTGCGGCGGTGGGAGTTTAGACGTTACTTTGGCTCGAGTTCGTGCAAATGCGGCCGAGGACTCATCTACGGGGATCGAAATTCAAGTTGAAGCGACAGCGGGTGATCTCGAAACGGGAGGCGAAGCTCTCACCGATCAGCTCTTCGACCATTTCTACCAAGAAGCCAAGGCGTCCGACACGTCCACGAAGACATCAAGCCCAGCATTCTCCCGCCGTCTTCGACGTGCCTGTGTCTTGGCGCAGCGAATCCTCTCCACATCGCAACAAGCAGCAATTGATCTCCCGCCTTGGCTGCTTCGACGTGGAGCTCGCGGGTCAGGATCAGCCACTGGAGCGGTCGCGGGGTTTAGTAGCAGCATCTCGCGAGCAGATTTTGAGACCTTGTGTGGAACAGAGCGATGGAGTCGTCTACCAGATACCGTCGACCAAGTTCTGGCGAGAGCGAAGGTGAAGAAAGAGGATGTCGACGTGATTTTGGTCGCTGGAGGTGCCGAAATTCCGTGAAGTGCTTGGAGACTGCTTCGCGGAGCACTGGAGCCGTATCGTGGACCTACCCAAACACACTGTCGCAGTCGGAGCGGCCTTGATCGCAGCTCAGAACGGTCGACACTCGTTGCTCTACGAGCCCACACCGTTGGCACTAGGTATCCGCAGTGCCAGTGGAGACACACTGGTTGTGGTACCGCCCAGTACCCCGCTGCCAACGCGACAATCGCGAGTCTACTACGCCAGTTGCCAGAGCGAGATCACGTTCGACATCCTGGAAGGCTTGGAGCAACAAGCGAACCATAGTCCCGGAAACACCAGCAGCTTAGAGCATTGCATGGGTTCCGTGCCTATCGACAAGACTCGTGCATCTGCTCCGTTGATATTGAGGCTTGAGATCGTGTTCGAGGTGGACGTGACCGACCGCTTGGCGGTTGTGGTCTCGGACAACTCAAATAATCGCACGACGCGGTTGGTCGTAGCTGGGGATGAAACGTGTCTCTCACCTGAGGCCATTGCACTGGCAAAAGCTCATCTGAGTGAAACTCTGAAGAACTCTGGCGACGTGGAAAACGAATCCAAACCCGCACCTCCGTCGTTGGCGTTGACAATTTCTCCACAAAGTCTCGCACCTGTTGAAGCTTGTCCAATTGACTCCCTGCGCTCCTGCGTAGCTGCGTTGGCACCTATGGTGCAGACCAACCGCCCCAGCGTCTGCATTCCACCTGGAGACGTGTTCATCCTGCGTTCAAGAGTTGAACACGCGAGCGCGTGGCTAGCTCAAGTCGATTCGAACGCGCTCAATACCGACCAGCAACGACACATGGCGCGCGAATATCTCCGTCAAATCCGCGTGCTCCACCTCTCGAGCACTGCCAGCAGCGCCTTCTCTCAACTGCGTCAGGAACTGGACCTGCTCAACTAAAGCAAACAAAATCAAGCAACAGGGAATGCAGCAGGCGCTAGCGAGGTCACATATCTATCTCGATAAGTAGGTGTTTATTAGTGCGTGACTGCTGCTCATACGAGGACACAGCGACCGCAACAAAATCTCACACTTCTTCCGTTCGAGTCGTGAATATCTTGTCTTCTCTGTCCGAACTCAGTGTTCCTCACTTTTGCACGTCAAGCTCCGTGTTGATGAGGTCCACGAGCTTGTCCAGGTCCGCCAGCCCCTTCTTCACGTCGAACGTGCGCAGGTTGCCCAGCTTCGTGTAGAAGTCAATGAGCGGGGCAGTCTCCTGGTTGTACACCTCCAACCTGAAAAAAGCGAAATATAAAAAATCGTCAGTAAAAAAGTGGAAACGAAAAAAAATGAAAAAGTATCTAACCGCACCTTTGCTTGACAGTCTCCGGGGCGTCATCCGGACGCTGCACCAGCGATGCCGAGCCGCAGGAGTCGCACACTCCCTCTACCTTGGGCAGCAGAGGCGGCATGTAGTACTCTCCCTCGTTGATGAAAGCCACGTTGTAGCCGTGGCCACACTTGGTGCACACCCTAACCAGGTTAGACACACACAGAGAATAACGGTTAGCACTAGCCTAAAGATTTAGCACCAGCTTAAACTTACCGTCTGCCACTGATCTTGTCCGAGAGGATCCACTGCGGTAAGTCGATGTTCACCACCAGGTCGAGCTTCGTGACCTTCTGGAAGGCTTCGGCCTGGGGCACGTTGCGCGGGAATCCGTCCAGGATGAAGCCGCGCTTAGCGTCGTCCAGCGCCAGCCGCTGCTCCATCATGTCCAGGATGATCTGGTCGGGCACAAGAGCTCCGCTGTTGTTGTATTCCTATCAAGAGGGTAGCATCAAGACCGCGGTTAGCACTAGCCTAAACGGCAACTGCAAATTGCTGGAAGATCACCATAACCATAACCGTCGGCTCGGTTAGCACCACCTCTCTAACGCACCTTGATCTTGGCGCCGAGCGCCGTGCCCGTCTTGATCTCGTGGCGCACCAAGTCCCCCGTGGAGATCGTGGGGATGTGCAGCATGGGCGCGATGCGCGAGGCGTACGTGCCCTTGCCGGCGCCGGGCGCGCCCAGGAACATGATCTTCAGCGTCTTGGCGGCCATGGCAATGCGTTAGGTGAATCCTCTCTAGCCTGACGTCAGTTGGTTTGTGAGCCGCTCGTCACGCAAAAAACGCAACATGTCACTAAAATGAGGGGTACCCCCGCTTTTCACGGGGGTACCCCTCTTTGCCGGTACAAAGCGCAAGTGAGGCGACCGATTACGAAGCATCATCTTTCCCGTCGCCAACTTCAACGCTTACCGTGCACAATGTCTCGCCTTGCCTTTCCAGGGACATCGAGGACACGCAAGTATCGACGCTTTGAAGAAGACGGCGAGAAACCACGACAAATAGTTTGTTAACGTAACTTAGGTAAAGATAAAAACTGCCATTTCGACTTGCTTGGAACGACTCCAACACTCACGTAATAAAGAGTTCGCCTTGAGCTTGACTTTTTCTTGTCGGCCAACTGGGTCAGAACCCCCAAAACCCGCGGCGTGCGTTGGCTTGGCCCATTTCTTCTGCTTCACCTTCTCCTTCGTTTAACCTTTTGCTTCCGCTCCGCCTTCCGCGGCAACACCAGAATCTCCAACTGGAGACAATGTTTCCCCGCCGCTTGCAACAGCTTTCGCAGGTGCTTACTCTCCAGTGGCACGAGTGTCAAGTCCAGTCGTCTGAGTCCCGGCATCTCCACGAGAATCTTGTCCCAGTCCACGTCCACTTTCTCCGTCTTGGCGTCTTGGTGGTTAACAACGTGAACTTCGGCGTTCCGTAGCCGTGTTCCTCCTCTCGGCCGATGACAACTCGGAGGTCGCACACGGCGCCACCCCCAGCTGCAACTTGTTGCTGAATAGCTGTCACTTCCTTTTTAGTCCCTTGTTTGAGGCGGATCTCAATGGTTTCTTGCTTGTACTGCGTCGTCAGCTGTTGCACTAAGTGCAACCAGCTCTTGGACACCAGCGCCACTTCTTCGAGGCACTCGCCGGGCGGAGAGCGCGCGCTTGGCAGCAACGACTGGTCGTAGTCGCTCACCGCGAACTCCATCACCAGAGAGAAGACGGACAGGGGCAACGAAGCCATCAAAGCAGGAGCCATGGCCGACGGCTTGATACGTTTTCCCATTTTGGGGCCAAAGTTCAAGCTATTCACTTAGGTACGATGTATATTTTGCCTTGAAGTTGCCTAATCTTTTTATAAGAAAATACCACAGTATTTTTGTAAGAAAAACTAAAAGTTTTTTTCCATTGGGACTCGATAATGCTGCTCGGTGTCTACCTGAAGAGGTAGTCGGCGAGGTTGATGGTGTCTCGTGGCAGGTTGAGATCAGGGGGCTCGTAGTCTTCGTCGTCGGGGCCGTTGATGAACAGGTTGTTGCCAAAATGGTCACGACTCCAGATGAGCGTCAAGAGGTCGATCCTGCTGAAGCTGTCTCCAGTCTGTCCGGTGATGTGGGTACTTGCTTTGAGGGACGGATGCTGCTTCTGCACGCGCTCCAGTAGCGGTCTCAGTTGGCCGCACATGTAGGAGCCACTCCACTGCTTGTTCAGTTTGGATTTGTACGGGTTGGCGAGGTACACCTCGAACTTCTGCCGGCGCGCGGCAGCGCCAAAGTCCTTCTCGCTGACTGCTGCAAGCCGGCGTAGCAGAGCGATCACCACGGAGTAAAACCTCGGCACGCTGCCTTGCTGCCCGCCGATACGAAGATCAATCTCGAACGTGTTGCCAGTGCGGCAATTCTTCTCAATCACGAGACGCATGAAGTCGAAAATTCCATCACCAGTACACATGACGGCCAAGTTGCTCTCCGTCAGCCCCAGGTATTTCAGCTCGGCCAGTTTGAATAGCGTGACATCCGTGAACGTAACCGTCTTTTCTTCGAAATTGGAGCAGTTTCTGATGGCAAGCCTCCGAAGGAGAGGGCAATGCGTGACCACTGATCCCCAGAACTTGTCTCCATACTCGTCGAGCGTAAAGAGTCGAGCCGGCGTGGGGTTGTACTTTTGCGAGTCGACCTCAACGATGAGTCGGCTCAAACCGGGGCACCCTTTGAAGAGAGCGCGAATGTTCTTCGCATCTTTGCCGTGGCAGTTCTTGATCGCGGTGGCAGTAGCGTGATCGCAGTGCTTGAAATACTCCTTCCAGGTCCATAGTAAGTTCGCAGTCAAGGTGAGCTCCTTCAGCTGCATCTTCGGATATGCGCCAAATGCACTGAAAAATGGATCCGCAAAGGGCATCGCAGCCCAATGGAACTTGCGCAGGCTCGTGCAAGTCTTGCTGAACTGCTCCCACGTGTCTAATGACATCATCCACTTGTCATCGCACCTCACACCATTATACCCATGGAAAACTTGCTCGGGTCCATCCAAATACTCGACGTTGGGGCAGAACTTCATCACATTTTCCAAGAACTCAGTGATCGATCGGTGTCTCTCCGCTTCGTTCCTAGTGGGTACCGTCAGTTGCTTGAGTCCACCACGTCCGCCTTTCACGTACATCTGCTCGATGGCCTCATAGAGTTCCTTCATCACCGTCTCGATCTTCTTCCCCTTCACAACCTTGTTCCCCTCCTCCCTGCGTGGCAGAACGAGAGCATCCAGTTGCAAGCAATGCTTCCCTGCCGCGTTCAGCAACAATGGCAAGTGCTTGCTCTCCAACGGGACCAACCTCAAGTCCAGCCTCTCCAACGCCGGACAGTTGGCCAGAATTGCACCCCAGTCCACTTGCGCCTTCTCAGTCTCGTCCCTCAGCTCCATGAACTTGTTCTCTCCATAGTGCCATCTCCCCTTCCGCCCAATATGCAGGCGAAGGTCGCGTATGAATCCTCCCCGAACGAAACTTTCATGTTGCAGCTTCGCCACCTCCTCTTCCGTCCCAAATTTAAGGTAAAGGGTAATGGTTTCTTGCAGGTAGTGCGCAGTTAGTTTCTGCACCGCAGCTCTTGCAGACCATCGCCACCTCCTTCAACAACTTCCAGGGCGGACAGCGCCGAGTCGGCAGCAGCGACTCCGAGTAGCTGTAGTAATAGAACTCCATGATGTGGGAGATGACAGACCGCGGCAGGGACCCAAGCGTGGCACGTCCGACGGGGGCGACGTCTTGAGCCGCTTCACCTCCGTCATTTTGGCGCCGAAAGTTCAAACTTTTTGACACGCAAACAAATTACTGTAAGTACGAATGGCTATATTTTTGTGCTGAAGTGCATATCCTGCTATTAGCCTGACGAGTTCTCGCGCAGCCATGCAAACCTAAATGTATAATCGGATCCTGTTATTGAAAACACACGAGTCAGTTGAGAACGGCCCTGCGGGGTTAGCTGCATAACGCAAGTATAGGGTCTTACCGAAGTGCTGCAACGATGCTTGGATGTTGTAGAAGACCCGCAAGATCATCCTGTTCTGCACTTGGTTCCACTGCTTTTCCAGTACAAATGACAGCTGATGCAACGCTAAAATCTGCAATCTACAGAACGAAGAAAAGTCGAAAGTTGCTAACATAGTCATGATATTGGAAGAGAGCTTGAACGCGCTGCGTAGAATATTTGCCTTGCAACTCGACTTGCACCGCCTTCCAGAACGCAAGGACCTTCGCTGCCACGAATGCAGTCATGCCGAGAACGCGAACTTGGTAGGCTAAGGAAGACGAACTGACAAACTTACTATCACGTGTTTTGCTATCCACGATGATCAAGCCCCATGAACTAGATATGTCTTTTGGATGACGTCCAGAAGTAGCGCCTTCGACAAGAAGGTAAGATTTAAAAGGGTCTTATGCGAAGACGTTTCTAATGCGGGACTGCTACCCAACGTGGCAGATATGCGTTAGTGCGAATTGTTTCCTGAAATACTTCGCTGAAATTCCACCGTAACTTCGTTGTAGGCATCCTGTTTACTGCACATGCATCCGATACATTCAAGCGTATTTTGAGCTCCAACAGCCATACTCTTCATTCATTCAAGCAGACTGACCTCCTTGGTGTGCGCAGATCACAGCAACAAATCACGAACTTTCACGAAACAAACAAAGACGACGTTCTTATCGCTCTTTCCGTTCATTTCCTTCCTGAATGTCAAACGACTTCATATTACGTTTTTTCCGGATTACCGTCCAACGCATTCCAAAATCACGATTTTTTTACTTCAGTCTTTGTAACAGCTACGTCGAAGAACGAGCTGGAACCTGAACATTTAATCAACATCCTGATTGACGTGAAGTAGGGACATGTAATGGTGACACAATGCGCGGGGCCACACGCAAGAGGACCATAAAGGTGCTTGCATCACCAGCTGTAGAAATACTTGCAATCGACGAGGCCCGGGCGTGTGCTTCGATCCAATCAAACTCGGATTGTCACGTGCCTACAACCTACCGTGTTCGAACAGCGGCATCAACTGCAACTAGCACCTCGTGCTGTGTCTTGTTAGCAACTTGCTGACAAGATGATTCTAAGTTTTGGTTAGCAAATTTCCGCTGACAAGATGTATCTACATACTGCAGAGTTCTATGGATCAACTTGCTCTGCCGCGTAATGTTGTTGCTTTGAGCACTCACTAGCCATAGCGTGACGGTGCCGACAGCGGCCTACACCTGCCGGCACAATCTATCATTGGTTGAAAGCCTGAATTTTTTTGATTGGTCTAAAACGGCTATTTTGAACCCTTCTCGCATTTTCATTTCGTGGTGAAGGTCATAATGGCGGCGCTCCTGAGCGCCCCGTGACCTGCGCTACGCCCTCCCCTCCAGGCTTCGCGTGCGTGTCATGCGGGCGTGCACAGGCGTGAGCAGGTCCCCCAAGTCGGTTCGTGGCAAGCCCGGCACGTCGGCGTGCTCAGCCTGTGCCCTCGGACCCAGTCAAGAGCGAGGAGGACTAGGGCACCTAGGACACAAGGGCGAGGGGCAGCAGGCACCGGGGGGAGGGCACCAAGAGCGCGGGGAAGGCGAGGAGCTCAAGAGTACGAAGGACAGCTGAGGCTCCACGGGCACGACGGACGGACGGGCGTCGTCGTCGTCGTTGGCGGTGGCGGCGGCGGTGGAGGAGGTGGTGGCCGAGGAGGGGGAGGAGGAGACGGTGGAGGAGGAGGAGATGAAGGAGGTGGAGAGAGTGAGGCAGGCTGTGATGACGCTGCAGAAAGGATGGAGGTTGAGCAGGAGTCGAAGAGGGGAGGCAGAGCGAGCGGCAGTGGAGGAGGAGGTCGTGCAATGCATCAAGGAGCGTGGCGGTCACCGCTGAGGCAGCCGTGGAGGAGAGGGGATACGACGGAGCGGCTGCCGCGTATTGTAAGGAGAAGGAGGGTGCGGCGGAGCTGAAGGAATGAGTGGGCACGGCTGAGGTGAGCGCGCGGCGTACTCGAGTCGTCAAGCCTGCTGGCATCCGTGGACAAGGGAGAGTGACTGCAATAGAGAGCGAGTGCGGCGGGGACGAAGGCGCAGTTTGCCGGTTGAGGAGCGGGTGGTCTGCGGCGAGGACACAAGGAAGCGTGCGAGGAGCTGGTGCGTCTCGTGGCGCCGCAGCTGGTCATGCAGAGCTGCCACTGCGTGCGGGTGCTTTGTGTACGGTTGGCGGGGTGGCATGTTACTGGGACCTGCCCCGATGCCCTCCTAGCTGGAGTTAAACCGTTAATACTAATTAAGTATCTATTTATTCAAGTGTTCCATTGCGTCACCTCCTCCTACATGTACATCTCTACGATAAGAAACTTGCAAATACTACCTTGCCGTTCTGCTAACATGTAGTACTAGTACTTAGTAGTGGTAAGTTCATGAAAGAGCATCGCCACGGAAACTCGGTTGAGTTTGAGAAGCTAGCGGAAGCGCCACTACAAAACGCGTAAAGCAGTCAAATTCATGCTATACAAACTTTACTGATTGCAACATCGAATTGCGTTAAGATCATTGGATTTGCCAGCCGTGTACATGGCATGTACTCAGGCATGTCAGGAGGGGGTATTGTGGACAGAAAAAGAACGAAATACCCCATTTAAAGTTGCCAAGAGTACCCCCTCTTAACTAAGGGAATGCAGGCGTGGAAGCCAACTTGCACTGCGGTCTCCAGCGTCTGCAGAAGGTTATCCATGTATGCAACGAGGAATAGGCCAAATACATGGCTAATAACACTCTTAGCACGTCGCAAGCGGTGTCGAATCCAGTAGTATCGCTCATATGTAGATGTAAGTCGGGATCGTACCGCCTAAACTCAAGTTGAAGACTCCATTGGTGGCTAGTTGCTCACTTGAGCGTCAAGCGCCGAACTTGTCAATCATTTCTAAACTTGCCAAACAACGGCCAACCCACCAACGCCCATGCCACCCACTTCATCTTCCAAAGCTGCCGGAACCTCCAAAGGCCGTGGGAAGGGTCGCTATAAGCCGACTACAAGTTCAACTCAGGCGACTCGAAAGCTGCGCAGTGTTAACGACGCACAAACTTTGCCAACCAAGGTGAAGCTGCCAGCGCGTCAGCAATGGCTTCGAAAGTATGAGAAGGAGCTATGCGTTCGTCCGTTCAACTACGTGATCTGCAAATTCTGCGAGGTGTTTGGACGGGAAGATCCGCCGGACGAGCAAGCCGATTCCGCGTTCGATGCGTTGGTGAGGAGCGCGAAAAAGAAGCGCAAGAAGATGGCTAAAGCTATGGTGTTCAAGACGTTTCGCCGCGACCATATCATCCGACACATGCAGCTCGAGCACTCGAAGCAGTGGTCTGCCTTCCTTGCTGTCACGGAGGACGAAGAGCGCGAAAGCTTTTTTCTGCCTACCCGGATCGAGGACTTCCTCCCGAGACACCCTCAGATTTCGTTTGTGGTTCCGAGCGGAATTGCCTGCCTCATCGAGCGTCTGTTCTGCAACCGAGGTGATACGCCACACGGCTTGGTGACCGTGGACGACGAACCCGGAGAGGTTGAAGTCTCCAACGACTTTATGGAGGCCGAGACGGATGGATACGTTCTAGTAATCCGTGATCGAGACCAGTTTGAGACCATTATCAGCTGCAACAACGCGGGAGTAAGCTTTCGTGCCATTGCTGGTTTGTTTACCACATTCGGAACCGCGCTGTCCAACATGAAGCTTGGATCCCCCTGCAGACAAGTAGTAGGGCAATCGGTTCCCCATGTCGTTGCTCTCAACCTCTCTGTTATCAGCTCACTGCTCAGCAAGAGCTGGGGATTTTCGCTGATGGTTGATGGCGCAACGCACAACAAAGAAGGATACCTGGACGTGCGTGTGTCGTTTGGCCTCGTGGGTAAAATTCACAACATCCACCTCCTCGCCATCCCCATTGGCGATAGCGCCCACACAGGCGAGAACTATGCTGAGCTTGTCATTGATCTACTAAAGGACATCGGTGAAACCAACCTGCTCCCTCAACTGATCGGTATCTCGACGGACGGAGCTGCAACGATGCTAGGCCGCCACCAGGGATTCTCGACGCGACTTCGTGCTGCTGCTGAATTCTTTGGAAACTCGGCCATCACGATCAATTGGTGCGGGAGCCACCAGTTGAACCTTGCCGTAAACGCGTTCCTAAAAGTACTCGACAGAACGGTGAACTTCAGGTCGAGGCTGGGAATGGAGATCTCGTTTACACGGAGATACGAAACTGTACGCTTCGCAGTGGGTTTATGCCCAAAGTATGCAACGACTAGTTGGGAGTCGATTCATGACACGTGTCATTTCCTGGCCAAGCATTACGAACAACTCGTTGCTGCACAAGACGCGAAGAACTACTCGCGGTCGAGCAGCGCATGGTGGCTGTGTCTATTTGTTGTGAGCGAGCTGACTGAGGACATACGAATGTGTTTTCGCAAGCTGCAAGGTAAGACTGTCACTATGAACGAGCAGTACACCGCTCTGGATGAGCTCGTGAACACGTTCCAGTTGCAGTACGAGAGCGACACCGAAGACGGCTCAGTGAATGTGGACAAGACCAAAGTGGCCAACCACCTCAAGTGGTGCTCGTACAATTCGTTGGCGCTATTTAGCAGCATGGACGTCGGAGTGCAGAGAGACGAGAATGCCACAGAAGACCAGACCCACACTGCGATGGATGGTACCGAACTGGACGACGCATCCCCCGACGAGCAACCTGATCAAAACGACGTCGAGTATGAGATCGATCCCGCCCCAGCTTAAGACCCTATGACTCAGACTGAACTTGTTGGAGCGGTAGCTGAGGCCATCACCGTTTTCATCGAAACCGTGTCATGTATCAAGCTCGACATCAACAGAGTTTACCGCGAGGAACCTCCTACTTCTCCTATCGAGATAATACAGTGCACGGATCGCGCCTTCCGTGCACTGCTGGCAGCTCACAGCCCCAAATTGAAGGCTCGATTTGGTGCTACGGCAACAACCGATATCTGGAACCAAAGGAAGCAACTGGCGCACTACTTTAACAAGAAGTCTGAAGGTCGCCGCCGGCTTGAAAGCCCACAAAACTCGTCACGTGAAGTGACACTCGAGGTTGTCTGGGAGAAGGCGGCCTCGTTCGGCAACTTTGAACTGCTGGACGAGTTTGCTGTTGGACTCGCTAGCATTGCGCCAGGTACCCACACAGTAGAGGGGGACTTCAGCACGCTGAAGCGTACGATGGGTCCGCATCGCGGCCGACTCAGCAACTACGCAATGGAAGGTGAGTTGCAATGTCGACAATACTTTGAGCTCATGAGTTTGGCGAACAAGATGTCCAGGTACCAAGCAGCTGCCTAGTGTGCGTTCCTCTCCAAGCCACACTCTAGCGTAGACCACCACGTTCACATTCTTATACATTCTTGTAGCGCCCCTTTCTAGCTTTCAATACACAGCGATACATTACTGATCGGGCTACCCCTTTTGAAGCCCCCAGGAGTACCCCGTATATCTAAAAAGGGCATTATTTGCAAAATGCCCCCTCCGGACATGCCTGCATGTACTACATGTACAACTCAACAGTCAACATTCTTAGCGAAAATAACTGGTTGGTTGTCATCTATGGATAAATATCGTGACGGTGCCGACACATATGATTTTATACTTATCCACTGTATGGTGGCCATGGTCCAATCAAATGGCGATGACCGATTATTATCGAATGAGTAGGACGATAGATGGTATTTTATCCAATCGTCAACGTTAGGGGTAGGTGTATGAGCCGTGCTGACGTATAACGTAGGCATGGCTGTCGAGATATGTTATCCACCTATAGTAAAGTTAAGTAATTAGGTGATTATACACATATTTTGCACGCCTTCTGCACCCAAAAGGATGTCACTATTGCGAAATAGGATCCTTGCACAGCGCGAGGTGGCGCACCCTGCATACACATAACGTACTCTGTTAGTGAATAGTGTCTCGGTGAAACTTAGAGGGGCAACTTCTCCACTGTAGATCGCAATAGGATCGAGTACAAACACTGCCGACGTTAATGCTTGCGATGACCTACATGTGAGCCCGTGTTCCACTCAGTTAACCTCGTAATTGGATCTAGAGATGTATGCAGTTGCGCAACTCCCAGACGACAAAGGAACCATTGAAGGCGCGTCATGGTGTATTCGGCCCAGCCGGAGACGAAGCCATTGACAACATGGCTGGCGCTGACACTCAAGTCGCTTTCTGAGCGCAGTCAACACTTGCTAGGGCGCCTCAGGCAAGCTACTCAGCTTAAATCAGCGTCCATCCCTTATTTTGTAGTTCATCCGGGGCATGGACATCCCATCGTTCAGGCAGACTCACTGCTAGCTGGCCTACAGTGTAGACCAAAGGTGTAGACTCTACATCATCCGATAGCGGAGCTCTTCCAAGTGAAAATCATTATCGTACTTGGCTGTTTGTTTGAGTCGCGGATACAAGTTGATTGAGGCAATGGCCACGTCTGAGGTCTGGAGATTTCATTGGCTTCACCAAAACTCCTTTTGACCAATCAGCAGAAAGTCGAGCGGAGGATGTCGGCTCGGACGTCGACAGAAAAAGACGTCGGGTCAAGGTCAAAACCCTCGATCTACTGGCCAGACGCATCGTCACCCTGTGGCGACTTATCTCGTTAGGAATGGCCCTTACACCCGGTACACCCACGACCTCCACCCCATCAACATTTTGTCGTGTGCCGCGAAGTGTGAGCACGTCCAGTGAATTGGAAGACCACCGCCTCGCCTCACGTACAAGCTACAGGGGAGGGGGTCAATGGTTCATTCCGAGTTCACTTCTCAATTCTCCAAGCCGCCCCATAATACAAGACCAAGCCAAGTCAGGCTCCTACGCGGAGATCAAGTCGCCCGAAGTCGAGAGCAACGAGACGTTCGGTCAGCATGAAAACGGCGCGCTACGTGCCGCTCGAGGCTCCGTGTCGGTGTTCTCGTGGCAGAACCTGGGCATGGCAGCGCACATGGCTGGCATCGGCATCGTAACCAGTACGGTCAGCGGCGTGGTGTACGCGGTGCTGAATAATTATTTACACATGTCCGCCACGCTGGTCGCGACCGCTGTTGCTCTCATCGAGTTCCAGCGCAGTCTCCGCGTCTTCACGGGCATGTTGACCGACACTTTCCCGATCTGCGGCTACCGTCGACGCCCGTACACTGTGATCGGGTGGGGACTGTCGTTCGTGTCTTGCCTGCTCATGGCAATTCTTCCCTGGGCGCTCCGTACTACGGCGACCAGGCGATCGCTATCTTGGACCCCACCCGAGCAACTTGCAACGATCGACTCAGACGCCCCCAACCGCGGCATCAAGATGACCGTCCTCATGATGCTTGCCAACTTTGGCACAGTTCTGGCTTACAGTGGATTCAACGGTGCTCTGATTGAGATCTCACAGCAAGAACCGGCGAGCATTCGAGGCACCGCAGTGGGGAACTGCAACGTCGTCTTCTACTTTTTCTCCATTATCTCCGCGTTCTTCACTGGGTTGGGACTTAACAGCGAAGACTACGGCGGTACATTTTGGTGGTCCATTGGATTCAACGCCGTCATGGGCGTTTGCGCCGGGATGTCGCTCCTCGTGATCCCCTTCACTTGGTTTTGCATCCAAGAGGAGAAAGTATCATCCAGTCCGGTTTCCAAGTCCGTGCTCGTCTTCATCTACGAGCTGCTGCAACAGAAAATCATCTACCGGTACATCGCGTTCCGGTTCTTCTACAACGTGTTGGCGCTGTTCTCGGTGACGACGTCAAGCGCCATTCAAAGTACGTGGGCTGGTGTGGAACCGCTCAACAACGGCATCGCGACCATGCTCGCTGCCTTCCTGACGATGGTCGGCACGTACTTGACCAAGAAGGACGGGCTGGCGTGGAATTGGCGCCACATCATCATCGTCGCACAGATTCTCGTAGTGGCTCTCGATGCCATCCCGACAATGTTCACAATGTGGGATGTGTTCCGCAGTCAGTGGTTCTGGCTTGGAGTTCCGCTTCTTGAGAAGATCCCGTACGCTGCAACCGACTTTGTCGGTGCGTTATTCATGCTTGAGGTTGATAGCCAGGGCTTCGAGGCGACGTTGTTCGGGCTGGCCGTGACTTCACAACGCGTTGGTATTCCGTTCGCAACGGTTCTCACCAAGACGGTCGATGGTTACTTCGACATTGAGCGCGAGTACATCCAAGCGGACGACCACCACGTGCGCTCTCAAGTCACGTACGCGTACGTAATCGCCTACGCGGTCAACTTGCTGGCGATTCTGTTCGTTATGTTGTTGCCGCGCCAGAAAGATGAACTGCACCGGATGCAGCGTGAGGGAGCGAGGAGCAAGGTCGGAGGAATCGCGGCGATCAGCGTTCTAATCTTTGCGCGGGCCTGGTCGCTGATGACCAACATCTTGAGCTTGTTCGACTCGACCAAGTGCTTGCGCATTGCGGGAGGAAGTGGGGGCTAACAACCACTCTCTGTTCGGAGCAACTTCTGTTCTCATTCGTGTAGGAGATCTTCATCTCACTTACGGTAGTTGACCAAATTTGAGTTTTGCTCTGTAGTCGGGGCTTTCAGCTAATACATCATCACCCCTTTCCAGTTTATGTTCATCGCGCACGCCAACATCGTCATGCAGCCCAAAAGAAACCATTTTTTTCAATAAAGTATCTTTTCACTTCAAGTACAAAACCCTTCAAAGCACACATGCACATATTCCATATCCCAGGTTTTGCATCGCCTGCTTCCAGTATTGACAGACGCATCCCAACTTCGTTTTTTGCGCTCTTCCGCCCAACCAACGGACACCAACGAACTACGACCAACCATGTCTGCCACCGTGATCCCCTCGGTGGGGCCATCGATGGCTGAACACCTCCACGGCCTGCGCGGCGGTGCTCGACCTGACTTTCAGGAACCACTCCCCTCGCCTGCGCAGCTTCAAGAGCTCTTCGACCATCACCGGGCTGATGTTCCCCTTGAGGACTTCCTCCGTCGGGTGTGTGAGACTCGGCCTACTGGCACGGCCACTGCCACCTTTCCATTGATGCTTGACTCCGGCAACTTCTTCCAAGGGGTGTCGATGCCACGCATCATGGACTCTCTTATTCGGGACAACGGGAACTCGGTTCTCAAACGTCTACTGCTTGAGCATGCTTTCGGCGCGATCGACAAACGCCGAGATGGCGGCTTACGCATCCTGGTTCGCACCAGCGAAGCGCAGCAAGCTTTGAATGGCGAAGAGGTATCGATCATGGGGAGGAAGTTCCGGATTGGGCTAGAATCGCCTCTGGCTCAATGCTTCTTCCTTGATGTGATCGGCCTCACTACCGCGGAGGAGGCACTCAACGTGTTCGGGTCCCTCGCCTCTCGTGGGGCTAAACCTGTGCACTTCCGAGCTGCTGCCTACGATAAGGTCTCCGGCCTTTGCTCTACAACGTGGCGTTTTTACTTGCCGGGGGAAGAGGCTCCACCAAGCCTCTCCCGCGATGGGAGTCTACGCTCCTACGTCCGTGTGGGGAGGAAATCCTACCGATGCTTCGGTAAGAATGACGCGTCTGGGGGCCGACCTCGCCGTCAAAACCCACCGGGGGAAACCCCGGCACTGCGTGTGCATCAGCGCACGAGAGAATCAAGTGGTGACGACGGACCCACGGCTGCAGCCACCGGAAACGCAGCTGCGGCCACGCCAGCTCCTTCAGATCCAGGACAGACTGTCGATCCCCAGGAAGCTGTACCGTCGAGTCACTCACCCCAGCCTGAGGAGGGTGGTGGGGTACCGACTCAGTCGGCAGACTCGCGCGCACGCTCCATGTTGGGCAGGGAGGTGGTCGGTGCGGTGGAGCCGGTCCACGATGACGAGGCAGTGCTGGAGCAAGTCTCGGGGCGGGGGGGGGAGTGCGCTCACTCGCCGAGCCATTCTCCGCCTCGCTCCCCAACGCTGCGGGTTAAAAATCGCTTTAACGTACTTGACGATTTCGACGGCGATGCCGACCTAGAAGTCGCCACAGCCAACGAGGAGGACGCTGTCATCTATCAGATTCTGCCTAGGGTGTCTGCAGCTACTAAAGCCCGAGTCCGCCACCGCTTCATGTCGAAGCGCCCAAAGAACTCGTCTGGTTCCCAAGACCCCGACGCCGATGAAGCCATCACCAAAGCTCTGCAGGAACTCGAGGAGACATCGCTAACAGCTCAAGCGGCAGTGGGCGCCGACGCCATAAGGGTGGCCGAACGCCACGTCGAGGCGGTCAAGTTGGAGTTATCCAGGGCCAAAAGCGCGGAGAGTCTACTTAATTCGATAGTGGCGGCTCCTCATGCCTGGCAACTTGCACTCCAAGCTTCCGAGGTGGTCGATCAGTTCGAAGACTTCATCTCGCTACACGCTCTAAACCGGCAATTGCTCCGCCTGCCAAACGCCAGCTCCAAGTCGTTTACAGCACGGCTCGCGACTGTCGATCAGTTCCACTCTGGGTCCCGCTCTCAACTCATTGCCTCTATCACAGCTGCGGCAGGGTCATCCGAAGAAGGTCGCATTGGCTGGCACCACGCGCGATGTGTCAGTCTCTTCGAGCTACTATTGATTCTTATGGCTACTCACACGTTTCGAGACGACTCGTGGCTCGCCATCTTCGCGACCAGCTAGCTCCCCGTCCTTCTTGAAGCGTAAAGGGCTGCGTCTTCTGGCGGAAGCCACGCTGCGAGATCTGATTTACTCCAGCTACGGTGTCACGGTTGTCACGGAAAGCCTTCTTCGGCTGCCAGGCCTCGCCACTCTACTCGAGCTCTCTGGGTTGCAAGCTTCCGTCGACACGGTCTGGATGGACCTGACGCTGTCAGAGGTGAACCCAGCGACGGCCGACCAGGATATGGGCCCCGACCGCAGCTAAGGTCTTGCCGGACTGGCAAAACCTCAGCGTGCTCTCCGCCAATTTGAACGGGATATCTCCAACTGGCACGGAAGTGGCCCACCTCGCCCGGCGCCATGCCATTGTGTGTATCCAGGAATCCAAGCTGCGTGATGCGTCTCAAGCCTCGACGTTACGTTTCGTGGTGGAGGCTTCGGCCAAGCGCAAAGCTTTCATCAATGACAGGAACGAAAATCACTCGGGCTCAAGGGCCACTCGTAGCGGTGGCATCGTGACGGTCATTGACCCCAGCTTACCCGGTTTATCATCTGCGGAGGAACTTGTTCAGCACCGTCGCGAGGGCAGATACTCAATCGTACGACTGGTGATCGGGCCTTCGGTGGTGTATATCCACAACATATATGCCCCCAATGACAGCAGGGAGCGCAATAACTTCTTCGCAATGTTACCTCGGTCTTTCCCTGAGGATGTTGTCCACATTGCGTGTGGCGACTTCAATTTGACGCTGAACCCCTCGCTTGACGCGCTACGACCCGCGTCAGACCCGAGCCTAGCTGAATGTCGGGACTGGATGACTGCCCTGGCACTGGAGGACTGTTGGCGGACCCATCACCCAGCGGACTATGCTTTCTCCGGGCCCACAAGGGCAAACAGGAATGACTACATCGCCGTCTCGGAGGACCTCTGCACTCATCAGTACGCTGACTCCGCGTACGTGAACCTGGACAAAGGAGGAGATCACCTCGGCGTCCAGCTCCAGCTAACCAGTTGGCATCATCCACGCGGTCCGGCTTCATGGCGAGTGCCCCGGTGGTTACTCGACAACGAAGGTATCCGAGAGGAAATTCGTACGACGGCCGCCGAGCTGCTGCGTAGCCTCCCTAGCTCTGACAATCCAGGCGTCCTCTGGTCAGCCTGGAAATACCGGGTCCGTAAGTACCTCCAACGCCAATGCAGTTTCCTCCGCGCGCGAAATCGTCATGTTCACGACGCCCTTGTCCGCCGTCTGGAAAGGCTGTCATCGCTGCGAGCAGCGGACTCCTCCCCAGCGGTGGCCATCGCATGGTATAGTGCCAAGCGGGACGTCGAACTCATGTTGGAGGAACGTGAAGTCTACAGGAGCAGCTATCGATTTGACTATTTAGCGACTGCGCAGGAGACCAACCGTCGGCCTTCTTTCGTCCACCGGAGCCTGCGCGGCGGGTACCGCTCGATCGCGTCGAGCTGCAGGATGGGACCGTATCCACGGATCCGGCAACCATCTACGAGACTTTCCAGCAGAAATGGGGCTGTATCTTCGGCGATAAATGATTTGTCACGGACTCACAAGACGTCGCTGTCGACCTGTCTGCTCAGGATCAGCTCGTCAATGCAGTGGAAGATGTGCTTGCACCAGCCGAGGCTCTGGACCTCGACAGCGAGTTCACCACAGAGGAATTTACAGAGGCGATCATTTCGATGCGGAGCGACGGTGCACCGGGCCCCGACGGATTAACGGCACGCTTCTATCAAATCGCTCCAGACATCTTTGGGGAAGTTTTGGCTCGGGTATTCGACGGTCAGTTCCAGCGCGGCACTCTGTTAAGCCACCAGAACCTTTCCGAAGTCTTCTTGCTGCACAAGAAAGGGTCGAGAGCGCGTGTGGAGAACTACCGACCGATATCGTTGATGCCAGTGGAGGTAAAAGTGCTCTCCAGGGTTCTCGTCGAGCGCTTAAAGTCTCTGATGCACAAGTTGGCCCATGAGGACCAGCAAGGTTTCATCCCCGGTCGCTCGCTCCATCACCACCTGTTGTTGCTTTTGGACCTGCAAGCCTTCTGCCAGTCCACGGGTCAATCGGGGTTCGCCGCTTTTCTAGACTTCGAGAAGGCTTACGACCGAGTCGATTGGAAGTACTTGCTTCGTGTCATGGAACGACAAGGGTTTGGTCCCCGCTTACTCAAGTGGATCCACTTTCTTTACTTGAAACCAGCTTGCTCCCTCATGCTGGACGGCTGGAGCCAACCCAAATTATTCCCGTCTCGTGGTATGAAGCAGGGGGATTCGCTCTCGCCGTACTTGTTCCTGCTGGCAATGGTCCCTCTGGGAGTGATGCTTCGTCGTCAACCGGGCGTTGGTATCCCTCTGCCTATGCGCCGCATTGCTACAAGCCTCTTCTTCGCGGATGACTCGTTGCTCCTCGCAGCGTCCATCGAGGGGGTACACGCCCAACTTCAGACAGTCCAAGTCTATTGCGCGGGCTCCGGAGCCAAATTAAATGCCTCCAAGTCAAGACTGCTTCCGCTGTCTGGCACCTCCGCCAGGATAACTTCGGCTCCGCTGCCGGTAGTCGCAGCCGATGAACGTGTTCGATACCTAGGCATCGACTTCGGGTATAATGTTAACGCCGAGGCCACGGAGCGGGACCTTGACCAGAAGCTGAGCCAAGCACTGCGACGATGGCAGTATCGCGCCCGCACTTTCGAAGGCCGCAAACTGATAGTGACGACGATGGTACTCTCCTTGCTCTGGTACAAAGCCCTTCATCTCGTCATCCGTCCGACCACGATCCACAGATGGCAGCGCATGATCATTGACTTCGTCGTTTACAAGAAAGTACCACCCGCCTCAGCTCGGATCCGCCTTACCACCGCAGAATTGGCAGTGACTCCGACAGCGCAAGGAGGCCTCGGTGTCCCAGAACTCGCCTTGTTCCTCACGCGCCACAAGATGCGACTATTCCAAGAGTTTGCAGCGACGGTCGAATTGTCGACCACATCTACGATTCCGCTCTGGGCAGTTCTCCCCCTTTGGGCCGCCTACGGCGGTGAGATTTCACACTCGACCCGTCTCGACGACATATTCTACCTATCCGCCCGGGGTCATCAACCTGGCCACGTCACGTCATGGTGGAAATGGGCGTGGCGCCAGTGGCATGAACTAGCTCCACGTATGCAACAGCCACCGATGCCCAACACCCTTCATCAACGCCGGCTTCTCCACGCGCCGCTGTGGTGCAGCATCCTGCCACGCTTGCAAATCCCATCAAGCTCACGAGACCATTTCGAACCTCTATCCGACGGACTGCCGACATTCCACGCTTCTGTGATCAACTGGAGCGTCTCGGTTACCGGTCTCTCTTCGACTTTCTGGATTGGAGCCACTTTCTCTCTAGCTGACTTCATGCACTGGTTTCTCGGCCGCCATGAACTGTTCCGGTTTCGTGATGCCCACGCTTTGTTGATGAGAGTCTTTCAGAGAGTGTCCGTGGTGATCCACGCCATTACAACCAGCACCGGTGGTCTACTCGTCGTTCTCCAACGTCCAGACTCAGTCGCTGGTCTACTCGGCGTCACGACACAGTCACGCTTTCGGTTCTTTCCTCATCGCCGCAAGCAAGATTGGACCGCGCTCCTCCGTCCCCGACCTCGGCATGGGAGTCTCGAGCCAAACGCCTTCATTGCGAAGTTAGCGCGCTCAAAGGTCACTCCAACCGACTGGCGCTAGTCAAGCGATGGATGCTGCCTACCACCTACGACATCCAGTTTCGGGTGCTCCATGAGCTGATGCACGTGAACAGCAAGCGTTTCTTTCTCCAAACCGGACGCCGCGACCCGACCACCTGCCCCAGACAAGATTGCTACCAGCGCGAGAGTCTGGCCCACTGCTTTTGGCTCTGCTCACCAACTCAACAGACGTGGTCTGCACTACGTCCAATCTGGTCCCTGCTACTCCGTTGCACGCCCTCCTACTTGGGCTTTCTCCTCGGGACCACGGAGCTGCTTCACTCGAGCTGGGCAGCGCACCACGAACTGGCATACGGCTTGTGGCTGATACTCCGCGGCATTTTCATGCGAGCCACCTGGATCAACCGAACCAACGACGCTTTCGGTCGGGAAGCTGCTAGCCCCAAGGCCATTGCTGCCGGCGTCAAGTCCTCCTTCATTGCCCATTTGCGCTCGCTCAACCGTCGACGCCACATGATCAAGGTCGACACAGCCACTCTGTACTCCTTCATCCAGCGCCTTGTCTCCGGCCCTAAGGATGACTCGACGAGCCGCTGCGCGGATACTCCACGCCCTAGAGTGCCGCTCTGGATCGCCCATCGTTAAGTTGCATATTTCCATACTTAGTCAAATCAGCATCAAACGAGGTCCACCCGTAATAGAACTCCTTTCAAGTCATCCCATGGCCGGCAAGCGTCCGGCGGGTTCGTCGGGGACCGGGTCTCCTGCTCGCCCGCCTCCGAGCGCCATGTCGCTGCCTGCCCTGCCGCTGCCGCTCTTCTCGCTGGTGCTGGAGTTCGCGATGTTCTACTTCACGCAGGACCTGGGGCCGGCGCGCCGCTCGCTGCACGCCAAGTACCTCAAGGACGTGGCGCTCGTGGCCAAGAGCTGGTACCGGGCCGTGGACGAGCTGGCAGCGCGCTTCCGACGCGACACCATGCAGCTGACGTTGAAGTTCGGCTCCAGAGTCGAAGTGCTGGCGATGCGACGCCAGGTTCAGCTCCGAGGGCGGGCGGTGCACGACCTGCGCGTCCGCATGGGGCGCTCCGACGGCACGCGGTTCGTCACGGGCGTCCGGTGGTGGATGGAGGACCGCGAGATCCCGTGGGACATTCTCTTTGCTCAGATGCCGGGGCTGAAGAGGCTGGACCCGAGGAACATGCCCCTGGAGAGCCGCCACTTGCCGCTGCTGCTGCAGATGGCGGCCAAGCACTGTCTGCAGCTGGAGATGCAGGTGCTGCCCCGGAAGCAGGACATGACGGCCATGGTCAACTGTGCAGCCATTCGACGGGTGATGAAGGTGCTGAGGGAGGCGATGCGGAGGTGGCATTTGAAGGGCAAGCGTGGTGGACTGAAGCAGCTCGCGGTGCCCACGAGGGAGGAAGAGGACAGGTTCCGCACCAGCACGACGTTCATTGAGGACGTGATGGAGTTCTGTCCGAACGTCGAGTACTTGGATGGCTACATCCATGCGATTGATGAAATGAATGATGTCACGTGTGAGGAAAAGTGGATGGTCTCGCTAAAGACGTGGGAGAAGTTCAACAGGACGTGCATCAACTTGCGGGGGCGGTCGTACCCTTTGCAGACCCGTTCTTCAGGGCATTTGGAGAACATGTTAAGCCGAGGATGAAGAAGCTTGTGTTGACGTCGAATCTGTCGTGGAATTGGGCGGATTACTTTAAAATGGAAGGCGCGCCCGGTGCGCCTGGTGAGAGGAGGCCTGGCTACGGCTTACTGGCGAATGATGTGGCTGCGTTGCTGCAAGGATGCCCTTCTCTAACTGAGCTGGAGATCCCAATTGATCAGGAGAAAAACGAAGCAGCGCTTGAGACGCTCCTGGATGCTGACGTATTTGGGGACGAGTTCTGGAAAGCGGGAGTTGAGCACTGCCCGCTCTTACAGTCAATTTACGTGCACGACGGTTCTTCATATGGAGGCAATCGCTCGGTCAGACCGATCCGAACCTTCACGGACCGCGCCCTCCTAGCGTTAGCAGATCACCTTCGTGTGGCTTCTATTGAACTTTCGCCCTTTGCTGTTCTGGAAACGGCGTATTTGAGTTTGTGCGACGCGTATATAAGACGATTGGGGGTGACGGTGGGAATCGCAGCCTCGACCTCAGTCTTGCCGGACCAAATGATCATGACACTGCGCTCCCGCATCCTTTTTACGGTGAGCTGCTCAATTTGCTGACTCGTTTAGCCGAAACAAGCGAAGAAGATCTAGGTGTTGCGTCATGCAGCCACAAAGCGTCCTTGAACGTATTTAACCCGCACAGTTCGTCCGTGGACAAGGAGTGGAGCATAACGTACGTACGCGATGAGCTCAAGCCACTGCTAGAGAAAGTGGCAGAAGCTCATCCATTATTGGATCTGCATATCGTGCTTTGTCGAGACAAGAGGAGAGTTTTCGCCGCATTGATAATATTGAGCTGGACTGGGGTCCCGGCGCGCAGGATGGCGATGTATTTATTGAAGACGAGTATATTGGCAATGCCGACAGCAACGGAGAAAGTGATGAGGAGGGAGAGGAATTCAATGATGATGGTCCACTTGATCCTCACGAGCTTTTCCTCAGGCGGCACGCCATGTTCATGGACGACTTCCAAGTCGTCTCTGACGAAGAAGGAGACGACGGTGGTGGACCCTGACCACAACACTCCAAGCGTGTCCGCGAATGAATTGTCTAAATGGCGCCGTCGGCATTCTTTCGGGCAAATAGATTTCAGGCGCCGTAGTCTGGAAAAGTACACGAGCACCGACTTGAAAAGCAGCTCGTTTCATCACCCACACCGTGTTGTACATGTACCTTGGTGGCGCTCTTAACCCTTTTCTTCTTTTTGGCCGAAAGGAATAGATCACCATTCGATTGACTTGCGAAAACGTAAGATGGATTCTGCGACGGTATCAAGGCACAATTTGATCGGCTAAAAGTTTATTGAAGTGCCATACAGGTACAGAGGTCCCGTGCAGTCCGGCAGGCAACATCGACCAAGCCGTGACTGCAACAGTCGACAGCCGAGTTCTAGGCGGCGACTTCACGAGCTACCAGGTTTGTGTTTGTTGTTGCTAAATGGCTATAAAACTTACGCTAACAACTTTGGTTTTAGGATACCCTGTACGCCAGCAAGGTTTGCTAGCTTTACTGTAACGGGGTTACACGGAGGTTACCCTTTTGGTTACCCTTTTGGTGTGCGATACACCAAAGGTTACTCCCTGGGCCACTGGCCAGTCATTGAGAATGGACTAGAGTTAGTTATGTCGATAGTAAGTGCAGGTATTTGCACCGTAGGCGGCGGAGCCGCAGATAAGAGAATGAATACAGTTTGCCTTTTGCAAGAAGTCTCTGACTTGTTTTCGTGGGTCCTCGGATAGGACCCTGTTGGACTCTTTGAGTCGTAAAGTCTTCCTATACGCAACGAGCTACGGCAGCCCCGCTGCATTTACGCTCCGTTGCACTACTGCGATCAGCTCGACTGTACTAACACGAATGTAAATGGGTGTACTGTTTGATTATAGCTACTACTAGCTTTGCCAATCTCAGACACTCGGATTGGCTTGTGTGTCTCTGACGCTTGGGCGGCTGACTGTCTTCTTCGTTTCGCTCTTGATTGGCTTGTCGGATGAGTCTCAAAACAGTTGTAAGCTTAAGCTGTTCAGCCCTTCGCTTACGTTTGCTTGGCTTTAACCGCAGTGTACCGTATCCAAAGTTGAAAAGCTCAATAGCGTGTTTCTTGTCACGGATTTCTGGCATAGGTGCGTCCAGCTTGGCCTCGATCCCATTCATAATGTGCCGCATCATAATTGACCATTCTGACAGCGTCGCTTTTTTCTGCGGTGTATCCAGGTCGTCCGATGGTATTCCTTTGTACGGGGGGTAGTTGAGCTTTGGATTTTCGAACCACCATAGCATCCATGCCCCAAGGGGATCGATACTCGGAAAACTAAATTCTCTAGGTAGCACATGAAATTTCCCGCCCCAGACAAGATACTGGTGCACTGGAACTGGCGCTGGCACTACGGCGTTGATCGACGGACGTTGTTGGAGCCCAACTTCGTCTAACAACGATTGAATTTCATCTCGCAATAACTCTCTCGTAATATTGCCCGCTGGCACACCCTTTTTCTTAAGTACATGCTCCATTCTCTGCTCCAGTTTGCCAGGCATCTCATCAATTGACCTTTGCTGCTGGTCAAGCTTCTTGTATAGCTCAATATAGGGCGGTATCCCCGTTGGTCGCATCCAGACAGACTCTCCAGCTACTAGTTGGCCTTCAAGCGTCCTAAGGACAGTGGGGCTTGTAAACAAATGTGTCGAAAGTAATGCATGGGTAGCCGGTAAATGCTGTTGCAAATATTCCGCGTGATGCACGAGTGATGCTAGGCACAACCGCAAAAATTCCTGCCATATTCGCTTCGCGAGAGAGAACCGGAAACATAGTCTCCACGCACGATTTCACATTTTTATCGGGGGGGGGGGGGGTATCCTGAAAATGGGGCGGTAAAGTAGCGAACTTAGAGTCATTTACGGGAAGTCCTGCCACTACTCGCCCCAGGATTGATCCCCTGCGACTTCATAACGCAAATAGCGATCTTGAACTCCACCGAGGCTCCATCCGCAGCGAAGACACGCACTCACGATCGAGGGACCACCTGTACTTCCTCCACAAGCGAATGTAGCCACTCCATTGCGTACCGTAACTTTTACCAGCGTCTCCTTGCTTCAAAAGGTTAGTCAGCACCTTGCTAAATTGTAGCTTCTGGTTTGAGCCTGGAAATAGTGCCCCCGGTTCCAATCGAGGGTGGCATGCAAGATAAATTGCCAAGGCAGTCACCCAGCACGTTGATGGGCTCAGCGGGTTCGCGTACAGGTGGAGTGGATCACGGGGCCCTGAACCCTCCTGGTTAGTCTTCGTCTTCACAAATATTACTCCAACGCTATCATCTTTCGCCACGAGGTGCTGACTTTGGAGAGTCTGGGCCGACATTGAGCGACACATCAAATTCCACTGCGAAGTCAAAAAAAGATGCGAAAACCCGCCATCACCCGCTACGAGAGTCGAATTGCACAACTCCTTATAAAGGGAGTACGTGAGTGGCTGCTTTCCTGATGTTTTTGGGGTGCTAGTCTGGTCCTGATCAGCCTCCATCCGCTTCATACCGGAGAACAGTTGCTTCATGTCATCACCGTACTCAGGAGGCAGCGCCACGCGCTTCACGCGATAAAGATCCTTGATAGCACTTCGGTACCCGCTCAGCGTAGCCGTCTTCACAGAAGCGCTCTTGAACATCAGAAAACGCTCAAAAACACTCTGTGTAAACTAACTTAGATTAATGTCATCATCAGCGTCGAAAAACCTGGCGATGTTCTCATCCTCCTTAGCGAGCTCGCTCCTGATCCACTTCGTAATCCCGTTGAGGCTGCTCTTGCACTTTTCTCTTGTTTGCTTGGTGACGCATGCATCGCGTATCGCCTCGACGTCAGCATGACTGGTACTCCGCGCTGAAGCAAAAGCGCGTTGCGAGCCTCCATCACTCATGTTGCTGCTGGGTTGATGTTCTTTGTGTGTTGTTGTCAAATTTTAGCCAATGAAGGACTTGATGTAAGCGTCGGCGGCTCCCGCTTACGTTTGCTCAGAAGAACTGGATGGCAACAGTCGCATAATGAAAGCCAGTCAAATCCCGTGAGGAAAAAACATTTCCTGCAAAATGTCAGCTGTCCACGCCGACGACTTCGCAGGAACCCCTATATGCTACTTACGAAAGCGAAGGAATCATTGTTTTCACTTCAACATGGCTGCACTAAACTGTCGAATCACGGTACCGTAAGGTGTTAACGGATTTGTGTCATCATTTCACGGTCTCTGCTGCGTCGAGCATGGCAGGACAGCAGCGTACGTGGCTGCTTGGCGCCGCTCTGGCCGTTGCGGCTGTGTCTGTGTGCGCATCCCTCCACACGAGCGTGGCCGTGACCATCGCATCGGCTTGCGTTGCTGCATACCTCCCGTCGTACTTGGACGGGTCGGAATACACGGGGGAGCGCTACTGGCCATGGTTCGCGACGTTCATCGGACGCGGCATGGCGCACATTCCAGGGTCGCTCGAGTTCGAAGAGCCCATTGACGCCACCAAGCAGCACATCTTCTGCTCCCACCCTCATGGACTGCTGTCCACCCACCACGGCCTGCTCATGTCAGGCCAAACAGTTCCACGTGAGCACGAGCCTGCCGATGGATATCTCTGCCTAAACCAAGTCTAATGTTGTTGTTGCTGTTGTTTTGCACCAGCATTCTACGAGACGGTGCCGCTCTCAACGCGCCGCCACTTGGCTGCGTCGGTTTGCTTCCGGGTGCCGTTTTACCGTGAATACGTGCTCTGGTCCGGGTGTGTTGATGCCCGACGCAATGTGGCGGAAAAGGTTGGTGGATAACGATAGAGCTTTGTGTTGCTGGTTGCTAACCTGTCGCTCTACTTGTGTAGATGCTTCGAGATGGCAAGAGTTTAGTTATCCTGGTGGGTGGAATCGCCGAGCAGATGCTGTCGCAGCGAGGAGACCACACGATCTACGTCAAGAAGCGCAAGGGCCACATCCGCTTGGCGCTGAAATATGGCGTGCCAATTGTTTCGGGCTACGCGTTTGGAGAGACCGACTTGTTCACACATTCCAGGTAAATTGATCTAGTTTTTATGCTAGTTTGTGGGAGGACATTAGAACTAATCGTGTATTTTTTTTCAGCGTGCTTCTTTCATTCCGTCAAATGATTGCAAAGAAGTTCTCGGTGGCGTTGCTTCTCGGATACGGGTACTCCAAGTGGCTGTTTTGGCTTCCGCACAAGGAAGTTGCCGTCAATCAAGTGTTCGGCAAGCCTATCCTTGTTGAGAAGAAGGCCGACCCGAGCGCTGAAGAGATCGAGAAGCTGCATGACCAATACGAGAGAGAACTCACCCGCATCTTCGACAAGTACAAAGAGAAGTACGGGTACGGAAATTGTACGCTGCACGTGCGCTAGAATGTCATGCATTTTGTATAGGGGGTTCCTGTCCTAGCTGCTGAATGAATTGCCTTAGATGCATCATCGAGTTTCCCTACGAGGTTTATGCCACGTACAAAAACCTTGTCTGGTCGTCGTCGTGTCGGCGGAGATATTCCTTCTGAATGAGGATCTCCACGTTCTGCATGATCGCCGTGGCAGTCGGGACAAACTGGTTGGCGAGCATTTCAGCGACTTCGTGCATAAGCTGCGCCTGGTGGATGTCCCGGCGTGTCTTGAGTACCCGCACAATAGCTGCCTGCAACGACATTTTGCGGTCCTCCTCAACTTCGCGTGTTGGAGCTTTCACCGCTTTCGGGGATTCGACTGGGCTATTTGGAACGGCCTGCTCCAAGCAATGAAACACATTAGCTGATGAGGTTGCAGTCATTGAAATAGGCTATAAAAAAGCGCACCGAGATTCGTAGTTTCCGGCTAGAGAACCCAAAATTGATCGCGTACGTTGGGTTTGCAGCGTCACCACCCATTGTGAGAACCTTTGCCTGTATCCGATATCAGCAGAACTTATTAGACAGACAACCCAAAAACCACCGGTACCAAGCCATACGATGAACAAACCTTGACGAGGCTTGCCAAGTGGTGAGTGCAATCTTGATCCGGGATATTTGTTAGCTGGACAATATCAGATCGTGTCATCTCTTTTGCCGTGTTGAACTGCGTAGGATCACCATGAAACACAGTAAGTAAGCAAGGATACGGACCCGCGCTTGTTGAGCATTAGGTACCTGGACGAGGATCAGCATTTGGTAGAAGCTGAGTAAGAACTCGTAGCGCTTCTCAAAGCAGTGACTTTGGATCATTCCAAACGACAGGTGATGAATCCACAGCAGCTTTCGTCCGGTGCTTCGTCCGGTGTAGAATTTTGTGAACAGGTTGGCGTGAGCTTCCAGTGCAGGTGGCAAAAAAATCTTGTGCTCTGCTACTGCACTAGAAATCGGCCAGGCTCCAGCAGTAAGAACATCGCAGTGATACGATACAGCGTGGTGCAGATCAATTGCAGAAGCATTGGCGGCATCCTCGGTGCGCAATTCAATGTCTTTCTCCTCCAGCCAAGCGGTGAATGAGTCCATCAACTCCTGTGAACGGAACAGCGATAAATTAGCAACGGTTAATGTTTAGAAAAGTAGCACCAGCACTAATATACCTTGCTGAGCATTTTGTCCTTGAGCATCTTCTGCAGCTTAGACACAAAATCGCACCCGCAAATTTCGCGTAGCTTCTGAATCAGCAAGATCTCCATGTCGTTTGAAGCAGAGGTGCCTACCAAAAAGCGAAATGGGGAATTATTTGTGTGAGCATACCTGATGTTTTACAGCAAGAGTTTCACCAGCCATTTACCTTTAATGAGCCGCTTTGCTAAAAACTTTGAATAATACTTCTTGAAGATGTCTTTGTCGTCAATGAGGCAGAACACCACACTGATGTTCTCGATTTTTTGCTCCAACATGTCGTCCAGAAGCGGAGGTAGTGCAGAGCTCGGTGATCCAGGCAGAAGTAGCGCCCGACTCCCTCCATGCTTTTTAGCACGGGACATCAAGTAGTGTGTATACTTCGCTAACAATTCAGGAAGTCGTGGGTGGGAGTTGGCAAACGCCCGACAAGCCTAACACACAAACGTAGTACCACTCACCAGTAAGCGTTTGAACTAGTGAAATTCATCAAATATAAAACCAACCTGGTCAAGAGCTGACCGCATCAGGGGGTGATAGCCAAAAGCGTCCTTGATGAGTTCAAAGTATTTGTTGCGAACTTGCACCAGCGCTTCAATATAGCCCTCCGGGTTCTTTGTCGTGTCTTCTTGTAGGAACTTCTGCACGACCTCAAGGCCACTTCGCTCAATGTACTTCTTCAAGATGTTCTGTGTACAGAGCATTCAAAGCCGATTGTCAATCAACAAGGATATCTAAGACGATATAAATCATGCGAAAATAGTCACCACCTTGAAGGACATCAACGCGTTCTCGTTCGTCAGCTCCGAGAAGAGAGAGAAGAGTCGGTGTAGATCCTCCTTTTGGTTATTTATCAAAAAGCTCTCCGCGTCTTCACAGATCTGATCGGCATGTTCATCCACCAAGACGCGGCAACACGCTTGTCTAACTTGGATGACAGTGCTGAAGAAATTTGGAACCCCACATGTTAAGTTTGGAAGATCAACCCAAAATATCCCAGCGCAGGTATGGCTCACGTTCGATGCAATCGCGACTCGCATCGCTTTTGTTCTTGGTCGCACAACAACTCAGCCTCGCGCAAGTACTCTGAGATTGTCACCCTCGACAGCAGCTCCGTCGCCTTCGCAGAGTAATATCTAGCAGCATCCTGGATACACGAAATTTAGATCTGCTATTCCCAGAATCCGCATGTACAGAACTCATAACTCGTACCTCCAAGAATGGCTGCTCCAGCTCCTCTCGGTAGAGGCTCATTTGATCTTGTCTGCACAGTCCTAGACTGAAGTACGTCTGCCAAGAGCCACAAATATTAGAACAACCAGCCACTCTACAAAATAGAGCCTTGACGCCAGCATCCACCTGAACTGTGGTCGTGATGCAGTCTCCATCTTCAAAACACTCGCTCCTGTCGCGTCGTGCTGCATGGAAGATGTGAATGATCGCCTTCACCAGGCGCTTCTTGAGCTTGGAGAACGCGATGTCGTGCCAAATGTGAAGTGCAAGCTACAAGAAAATAAAATACGCACAACATCACCACCAATATACTCCAAGCAGTCGCGTCTACTGTCGACCGCGATCATACTTCTGTGACGGGGTACACTCCAGGAACAGGAGCCTGGCCAGTCTCGCAGTGCGAGTACGAGATCCAGTAGCGATTCTACATCAACTCAACAGAACATAAGTATCCACAGAGCGTGCAATTTACTAAAGCTAGCTCCTCTGCACACTAACCAGGTAGCGGAAGAGCTCCGAGATGTAGCTTGTGCCCGTGGCGAAGGACTCGAACGACGTGCAATAGTGATTCAGGAACTCCGGCTCGCCGTCGATGGCGTTCAGCTCCTTCAAGATGGACTCGACGTGCTTCACCAGTAGCCCTCGCAGTCGGAAGAACAGCATCTCCGCCTGCGGGGCCCCCGGGTTCGTGCAGATCTTGTAGATGCCGCTGCAACACCCAAGATACGTGAGCTTAAGTCCAGCCAGCCTCACTTCAACTGCCTCCTATATCTACTACGTACGAGTACATCCTGAGCCACTTCTCGTTCGTGAGCGTCTGCGGCGTGCCCGTGACGAGCGACGCCAGCGGCGGCTGCATCTCCCGCCATTCGTTCTCAAAGTTCACCTGCAGGCAGGCAGCAGACAAAGGCGATCAGACGACGGCGTCGAGCGTCCGCCACGCTGAGCTCCAGTTCTGAGGAGGAAGAACCTAGTAAGACCTACCGTCGACGCCTTGAGCAGCGACATCTTTTGGCTCTCCCTGCGTCTGGAGTCGGAGTCTTGTGCGTGCGTGCGAGTGCGCACTGCCTGCCGCTTGCTTGCTTTCCTCTTCAAGATCCGATACAAACTTGCAGTCAAGCGACCGCTCAGTGCGGAATCGATTCGGCGGTTTCACCTACCCTGATACCGGTACACTGCACCGCCCTCTATTCGGGCAAGTTGCACTTCTTGCCAATACAAAGAGTGATGGACGCCGGGGCCGAGCTGGCGCAGGTGGAGCTCGAGCTGCGCGAGGTGGAGGAGGACCTGAACGTGCTGCTGCTGCGCCAGAGTGAGCTGCTGGAGCGCAAGAGGGAGCTGCAGCAGCAGCTGGAGAGCGAGCAGGGCGACGATGAGGCAGCGGCAGTAGCGGCCATTTCAGCCGCCGCGCCGGACTGGAAGGCGACGTTCGACTGGACGGAGCAGATCCACACGCTGCTCACCGACACAGTACGGGCAGCTACACATACCGTTTTATACTGAATGCACTCTTACGCTGGACTATTTGCTGCTTATTAGTTCCACCTGCCAGGCTTCCGGTCGGTGCAGGAAGAGGTGATCAATGCGACGCTGTCCAAGCAAGATGTGTTCGTGGTCATGCGGTCTGGAGGAGGCAAGAGTCTCTGCTAGCAGCTGCCAGCAATGCTCGACGGGGTGAGAATTTATTGTGGTCGTGTTAGTTGATGCAGTTCAGCTGACGGGCGTCTTTATCGTCATGAAGAGTTCAGGGTTCACGGTCGTCATCTCGCCGTTGATCTCGCTTATCCAGGACCAGGTACGACGATGCATGAGCTGCTTAAAATTATTTAATGATACGTCGGATTGGATTTTAATTTATCTTGTGTGACCTGTAGGTGATGCTGTTTAACGACATTGCGGGAGAAGAACCGGCGTGCCAATTGTCGGGCGAGCAGTCACGAGCCGAGGCGTCGGCAATTTATAAGACGCTGCTGGCATCCGATAGTACGCTGAAGATCCTGCTGATTACCCCGGAGAAACTTATCAAGAGCAAGCTCTTGATTTCGAGGTTTGAGAAGGCCTACCAGAGTGGGAGGCTGAAGCGGTTTGTCATCGACGAAGCCACTGCTGCAGTCAGTGGGGCCACGATTTCCGGAGCGTAAGTTACTGGGGTATGAATTCGTGTTGGGATGAGCTTGTTCATAGTTTGTGGGTGTATTTGTTGCGCAGGATTACTCGAAGCTGGGCATTCTCAAAAGGCAATTCCCCACAGTACCCATCTTGGCACTGATAGCGACCGCCACCCCACGTATGTAAAGAGTATCCTCGAGATCCAGAATTGCGTATCGTTTCGAACCTCTTTCCTCAGGAAAAACCTGCACTACGAGGTACGCGCTTGACGTCGATTATTGGGCCAGTTCTTTTTGTAAAGACCAGTTTTTTGTACTCTTTCAGGTCGTGGAGAAGCCAGCTAAAGACGCTACAGCGATTGATACGTTGGTTCGCCTTGTGAAATCTTTCTACCCATCGGACACGGGGATCGTGTATTGTCTTACGAGAAAAGAAACCGAGTAGGTGACAAAGCACCTTCGCCAAGCAAACGTTCGAGCAGCATGCTATCATGCGTACATGGAGGACAAGGAAGAGACCCACATGGCTTGGTTTCGCAACAAACTTCAAGTTGTAGTGGCGACGATTGCATTCGGACTTGGAATCAATAAGCCCGATGTTCGTTTCGTCATCCACTTTACACTGTCGAAGGTAATGTGTTCGCTCACTATCAGATTAATATTGCAACGTGCTAACCTTTTCCTGTTCGGAATATGTGTTGTAGTCTGCTGAAGGATACTATCAGGAATCTGGGCGAGCAGGTCGCGATGGCAAGACGGCACGGTGTGTATTGATGTACAAACCGTCAGATGTTATTCGTGTCTGTAACGTCGTGCAGGCAGAGGTCGGAGGCATGTAAAATATGCGTTCGATGATCAAGTACTGCGAGGAGCTTTCTCAGTGTCGTCAGTCCATGATGGCTGCATACTTTGGGTAGGTATTGTACTCGTGTTGGTGTCAGATACGGAGGTGATATTGAAGGCATTATATTGATGCCGTGCATGTGTGCAGAGATACCTCCGAATCTACAGTAATATGTGAAGGAGCATGCGGCAACTGCAAGCGGGATATTGACGCGGAAGATACGATTGATCTGTCAGAGCACTCAAAAGCTCTGATTTCAATCATAGAGGATGCCAAACAATTGTACGTGAAGCATTTATGGATCGAGTCCGTTCGTCGAAATTCACCCCGTAATTTGTTTAGGGAGAGGCGTCTCACACTCAAGCAGCTAATCGATGAATTCAAATCACGGAAGTTCGCCCAACAGTGGACCGAGCTTGACCCAACGATAGCTGCTCTGTCTCGAAGTGCGTGTGATAGTCTCGTGATCAACCTTTTGCTGAGGTGGGATATTTTGTGCATTACTTCTAGACACATATCAAAGACTGACCCTCTGTTGTGAAACTGCATGAACAGCAATGTTCTTCAGCCCGAAATCAGCTACACTGCTTACAACACGATCTGCTATTTGGTTCCTGGACCCCGAGCCCAACATCTGAAGAGGGACCGCTTTAAAATCCAGCTTCCACGATGTCTCATTGACGCGACCGAGAGCTCGGAGGACGCAATTCCTGTGATGCCAAAGAAGAAGCGAAAGCGGTCGCCTGAGGTCATTGAAATCGACTAATTTGACAGTGATCACTTGATTGAAAGTCATATTTGTTCACACTCCGTATGTTATCCGTGTGTTAAGTCAAAATGACCATACATGTAGAAGCAAACGAAATTCAGCGGGCTGCCAATGGAAGAGTTGCCGACTTCGTGGCAGCCTACGACCTGCCCCCATACTGCTACTACGACACAATACATGATTTTGCTGCGCTCACTTCGAAAAAACGTCATCACTCTGGCCGCAGTATCGACAATACGTTTTCCGCCGTCACCACTTGTGGCCCCTCGAGAGACGAAAGCAGTTGATCGCGAATCAACAGAAGTTCGTCGGTCAAGGCAAACTTAGTCCGGTGAACTTCATCCAGCATCTTGCCTACGTTGAACAAGTCGCGGCGACAGCCTGTCCCTCTGTAGAATGCAAGCAGCCCCTGTCGACCAGCGCATCCGTCCTGCATGACATCTCCATGTTGACTATCGTCCAGAAACAAGAACCAGCGGATGGAGTGCATACCACGTTTTCCCAGCAGACATCGCCGTGGTAATACTTCGATTCGTGCCAATATTTCAGACCAAATAGAACTCCGTGCATCCATCGATGCAGCTCGTCTACATTCTCAGGCTGTCGGAAAAATCCCATCGGACCCACCTCCACTCCGTAGCGATGATGCCAGGAAAGAGGTGCACTTCGCTCGGTAGTTCAAAATTAAGAGGGCAGCCCCAGTCGTCTTCCTGACGAAAGGCATACAGCCTGAAGTATTTGCCGCGAGTAACAAAGCCAAGGAGGTAGGAAAGCCCTCCACTGAACAACGAACTCCAACGCTTCATTTTGGGTCTCAACTCGGCCATTGTATCGTTCATCGTTGCAGACACGTCCCTCTCCTCGCCGCAAAGCACAACACAATCATTACACTTTACAATGACGTCAGGCTGTAGTATTGCTCGATCCGCACTCGCCGCATCTTCACAAATTGTTTTCTTCTGGACTTCCAAGCGAAACCCATTCGCATGACAGATTTGCCTCGCAAAGCTGAACAAATGGTCGTAAAACTTGCGGTGTGAGCCTGGTGTAGTCATTTCAGCCTCGTAATTCATCGTGAAGGCATCGATCGACGAAGACAAGTCGTCGCAACGAATCTCGGGGCCATCGCGCGCGAACAGGTATGACGCGATAGTTGGATCTCGCACTCTCACGCGGAATGGCAGGCGTCCCTGAAGAAAAAAGTTTAGCCGATCTGGATGGGGAGGGCTCTACTCGTTCAGGACGCAATATCGGCTAAGCTCGCCCAGAGCGATTTTTGCTTTCGTGGTAGGGTAGCGCGGGTGGTCCTTCACGATAGCGGCAAGTCCCGTAACACCCAGGTACTTCAGGTTGTGGTTGTCGCTCGATATGAAGCGCTCGGCGGCTGAGGCTCCCCCGCGTCCGACTTCGTGCTAACTTCCGTCTGAGGAAGGACTCGAACGATAACGTGGACTTCCTGGTCTGGCGGAGCATTTCTCGTAGCGAAGTAGCGTATTCTTACGGAGTCCGGCATTGCCACCAAGGTGCTGCTGTCGATAACGGACTCAAGAGAAAGGTCCAAGCCATAGTCATCCTCGATCCAAACCATGTTCGGGTTCTACAGCAGGACTTGACTCGCGAGAACATCCAGGTCTTGAGAGTTGGCTATGATCGCCCTTAGTTCCGCCACCCTCGCGTCGGGCGCAACTTCGACCCTGAACACAAACGCTTCCCCCTCGAATGTGCCGCAACGAAGCTCCCACTTCCCCATTCTTCTTTCAGGTTTCAACCAACGGAATGCAATGCTTGATTGACTACAGAAAGAGAGAGTTCGAAGAAATACACGCCCTTAAAAAATGACAAATCTGAAAAAAATCGGAATTCAAAGATTGCACAGTTTGGAGTTCACTGCTTTTTCAAAGCTTATAATATAAATGTTCCGTTGAAGCAAAAGGAAACTTGGGAGACTGCAAGCGTTGGTTTGTTCTTGTGTGTTGCCAGCCGCTCTCGATATTGTAGTCCGTAGCTCACTGGCGTGCCAGATCGGGAAGGAAGCGGCTCGGGCGGGGTAGGAGGCTTGATAGAGTGCTTTTGGCTCGAGTGCCCTAGCATCAGACGGTGTGCCGCAGCAACCTGCATCGGACCTGGAACAACGAGCGGCTTTTTATCAGCTGCTGCGGCTAGCCACTGCGCCTTATCAGTCCCAGAGAACCCGAAGCAGTCTCGACCAACCTGGTCCTTCTTCTGGGCACCTCTCAGGGGTGGCAGCACCACGCCGTTGCTATCTGTTTCCGGGCGGCGGTGCTGCAATGGCGCGGAAAACCGGAGCTGCAACTCGTCGATGTGCTTTTGTGATGCCTCCAGCATCTTCTGGTACTTTGATTCCTGAGGGGAGTTTGCAGGAGGGGGGTATATGCGAACATAGTCGATCAGATGCTCATCTTCGTCCTGTTGTTCAGGGTCCTCGTCTTGCTGTTGAGCATCAGCTGCAGCAGACTCGCGAGGTACAAATTCAGTGATACACTTGCCGTATTTCTGCTGGAGGCTGCGACTGAGCTCCTCCTGGTTGTCGGCGTACTTGGCAACAATCTTGTCGAGGTGGCGCAGTCGATCCGAATTGAAGTGAGCGTAGTAGTTGGTGAGGGCTTCACGAAGTTGGCTGGAATCTAATGGTAATTGGGCCCCCTTGTCGACTTGGTTCATGTCTTCTGGGCAACTTGTTCGCGGCGTTGACGGGATTAGTGGTGGTAGTTCACTTCGCTGATTGTCGCTAACCATTGAGCTCGATCCTGAATAGTTTGACATTGAGGACGCGGATCCCCCGTAAAGTCTTCGCTGGAGAGCGCGAGCCTGCTCGGATTCGTACCGCTCTTTGTCATTTGTCGAGATGTTCAACAAGTCGAACGTTTGAGAGATCAGGGGCTCCTTCACGCTCCAGTCCAGAGGAGAGTCACAGCCAAAACTTGGCAAGTGGTTGACCTCCAGCAACCAAGGCTTGAGCTGTTCGTCCACTAGCACGTCCATGCCCAGCAGCGCAAAAGAGCAAGACGGCGTCGTCGACGAGCTCGAAGCTTTGGGCGAGAAATTCGTATTCGTGTCGTCATCTGTGCTTCCTCCATCACTGCTACCGCTGATACTTTCGCTCGCACTCGTCGGACGCGCGCTCTTGGCACCATTATTGTCTGATGCGAAGTTCATATCACTCGTCTGGGGCCCCGACCTCGAGGCCGAGTTCGTACGGCGCACATACTTCGCAAATGTGGATTTGTACTCTTGTGCGAGCGTAGGCTGCACCGATAGGATCGACTTAAGGCAAATGTCACCGATCTGCTCCCACAATTTGTCAATGCGATCAGCAGGAAAGATTTCCTTTAACCACCCGAAGAACCATTTCAATGACCTCTTACTCCCTGTTCCTTCTGTGCCATTCCCCTTGTTCACTTCGAAGTTGTTGGAGTGTTTATTCACCGCGTAGTTGGTGAGGTGCATGAACCGCTGCTCGAGGTTGTCTGCGTTTGGGGTAACGTAGTCCGCTGTGCACATTCTCACCAGGCCGTCCTTGAAAATATATACGCGCAGTGGGGAGCAAGAGGTCACGAGCACGTAAATCCGCAGGTCAAACTTCTTCCCGTCAATGAGCAGTGGGCGAGCCACATACTGTTGGGCCACGAGGACGTCGCCACGCGGGATCTGCGAAAGCTTGCGAGTCAGGAACACACCTCGTCCTTGGCACATGTGATCAGGCTTCACAATGAACGTGCGTTGGCTCTCACCTTCCGAGTTGAAGTTCTGCTGGAACTCGTACTGGTCGAACGGCAGGATCCACGTCCGCGGGACGAAATCGTATTCGCCAGGGAAGAGCTTCTTCATGCGCTCGAGGTTTCGTGCTAGCTTGGACTTGCACGCCAGGTTGGCCATCCCTGGGAAGTGGTTCACCTTCTGGTAGGGTAGAAGCGCCTTGAACGTCGGTAGAATGTCAGGCACGTCGATCCAGTGAAGATTGCAAACCGACGGCTTGGCTTCAGGCTTCTCGTCCGTCACGAGCTTCCAGCCCCGAGCTCGCGCGGCACGACGCACCACTTCATACCTGCACAGAGTCACGTTTATCCGCACTCGCTTGGTCTTCCGCTTCGACGCTCGCTTGCTCTCCATGAGCGATATCCCTTAAAACTACTGTATCAGAGCTTTCCACTTGCAGCACAGGGTCCAAGCCGACTTTGAGCTGCCGACAGCATCAAGCTCGCGGGTCTATTTGCAGAGAGAAACCACAATTCGCGCATGCACATTTGCAGCACTATAAATATGAGTTCGAACTCACGCACGAGCTCAAGCATGAGCACCAAACCATTAAAACAGCTTGAGAAGCAGTTTTATTACCGGAGACGAATGCAACACACTCATGTCAGCTACAACCCATCACCACCCGCCTAGAGGACACTGCGGATAATAGTGTCGAACTCGGGTTTAAGTGAAGCTCCGCCCACGAGGAACCCGTCCACGTCCTCGAGTCCAATGAGTTCGCGGCAGTTCTTCCCGTTCACGGATCCTCCGTAGATGATGCGCACGTTGCTCGCCACCTTGGGCGACACGTTGCCGGCGATCCATTGGCGCAGCTTCTGGTGCGCCTCCTGAGCCTGCGCGGGCGTGGCCACGACCCCCGTGCCGATGGCCCACACCGGCTCGTAGGCGATCACCACGCGCGCCCACTCCTTCTCGTCGATGATGGCCGCCAGCGCCTTGGTCTGGCGCGTGAGCACCTCGAGCGTCTGGCCGGCCTTGCGCTGCTCCAGCGTCTCCCCGATGCAGAAAATGACTTGGAGGTCGAGATCCAGCGCGCGCTTCGTCTTCTTGGCCACGACCTCGTCCGACTCGCCGTAGTACGCGCGTCGCTCCGAGTGGCCCGTGATGGTCCACGAGAGCCTGAAGTCCACGAGCTGCTCGGCCGCGATCTCCCCCGTGTAGGCGCCCAGCCCCGTGAGACTCACGTTCTGCGCGCAGACGGCAATGTTGCGCTGCAGCAACTGCTGGACCAGCTCCAGGTGCAGCGAGGGAGGGGCCACCACCACGTCCACTTGGGAGGGGTCCACCGCCGTCTTGTTGAGGATGGCCACCAAGTCACGAACGGAGCTCCTGGTGCCGTTCTGCAAGGGACGATGCAATAGGTGGTGAGCCAACGTTATGTGGAGTTTGATGGTTAGAGGTGGGGGTGGCGTACGCATTTCCAGTTGCCACCGATGAGGTACTTGCGAGGCATCGTGGTGGGAGTGGCAGGTAGAACGCAAAAGCACTTGTGATACGACTGTCGCTGCGGCCGTTGCGTGTTGACGTCAGCGATCAGCGTTGAAGTGTAGAATGACATTTGACTTGGTATTTGTATGCTTCGTTTTGGATAAATATGAGTTTTATTTGTGGTACGGTAGGATACATATGGCGAAAGTCTTCACTTGTAATTTTCAAAGAAATACATTTGAGGACGCAGGATTTACACTCGCTGTATTCGTAGCCGTCCGGGAATTATTCGCTTTTCACTGGGGAATATCGCCACTCACTATGGCACTTGCTGTAGAGCAGGCACTTACTGTCATCGCATAATGGGGGAGCAAACCCGTCGTCCCGAGACCAATAGTAACCACAGCAGGTGAAGCTATAAAACTGGCTGTACCAAAGATCAGAGCAGCGTTTACACTTGCAGCAGTTTCCCCACCCGCCGCAACTACCGTTTCCACCGCACCCACTTATGATAAACCGGACGCACAGTGCTACTGCAATCCCAACTATCGCAAGACCGACTGCACCTTTAACCGCAAGCTCCGTAAAATTCATCGTACCATATCCCAACGCAATTGCAGCGTCGATGTAGACATACATGACCCCGAGGCTAGCTTCATTGATTTCAAGGTGTCGGTCCAGTCGGCGGAGGTCGAGAGTGAACCAACTCACCAGCACAAACTGGAAAACACAAGCCGAAGTCCATTCCCGACAGAAACTTCGACATGTAAGCTGCATACACCACACAGGACACAATGACCGTAATGACGAATGCAACGGGACCATCTTTGTGTATCGCCAAGAAGTCACTGCTTCCGTCAAAATACGCCTGCAAACACGTATCGGGCGTGCTGTCCCCGCGGTTCGGCTTCATCCACCCTGCCGTCGCAGGTCCACCAACTTGTACTATGCTTACATCGTGCACTTTAGTCCGCTTCCAGCCTCGAATCGCATCGAATAGGATCAGTATCAACGTCCAAAGCAGTGAGAAGCTGCAGTTGAAAAGTCGAATTGTCGTGTGGAGTAGCTTGTCAAAGCCGATCCAAATCGCCACCCCTGCAAGACTCAGCAGCAGGAGAGAGAACCACTTGACGACACTCGTGCGCCTCGCCAAGAAGACGCACCCGAGCAGCACAAGTAGAACCGCGACACCTCCAAGCAGCAGACCCAGACTATTCGAGTCGAAAGCCGACTGGAGAGGGCTGTAGAATACGGAGAGCGCGGCACCTATCGTGACCAACAGTCGTTGAAGTGCGAAACAGCCCAGTAGTACGCGCCTAAACTTTGCGGAAAGTGGTGCGCGGGTATTCATCACACTCTTGTTCGCTGTAGACTACGCGGGTCTTCTTGTCAGGAATGGCGAAATGGCGAAGTGGTTTACGTGCACATTTAGAATACAGGGGTTTCAGACCACAGAAAATTTGCACCTTCAAATATCGCACTTGGGGGCTGCAGTCAGTTCATTCAAAGCGGGAATGGAACTCCAGCCGAGGGGTGCGGCGTGGAGGGTTTCTCGAAGCAAATTCTAAACTGACCTACCAGGCTACCTCGCTATCCTTGTTGCGCTCACAGCCAACAGTGTGTGTAGGCTGCTCTATGTCGGCAAGCGCTTCTTCTCTTGTTGCAAAGCGAGATTTTCCTCAACTGCAAATCATCCAGTGTCAACAATATTGTTTTGGAGACGAGAAAGTTAAGAAGAGACCTCACTACAATAATGCCAAAAGCTTGATGCGATTGTGTACTGAGACTGTGCTGGCTTACACCGGTGGAGCGCGTCTACGTCTAAATCGTCGTGTGGACCCATCGTTTTACGCTGAGAGGATTGTAGTGCTGTTTGACCCCCTCGTATCCCTGTGCACCAGACAACACGAGTTAGCTAGATTTACACAACTGATCAGAAGTTTCCACAGTTTTAGCAGATCAAAGGCGCGTTAAACCCCCCAAAGGTTTGGGCAAACCTGAAAACAATATCGATACTGTGCGCATTATCAATGGATAAACTGCCTTCTCAATCAAAGCAAAACTACTGCTGCGTCGCTCATTTCATCACTATCCACGCAGCAACTATCTCAAAACACTACTCTCAAAGCGTAGGCTGCAACATCTGCGCCTCTCAATGACGGCGGCACGAAGACCCGGAAGTCGTCAAAGCACACGGCCACCCTCTCGTCGCCTGCCTCCCCACCTTTCTGCTGCCGTTGACTGCCCCGCTACTGGCCCCCACGCTGCTGCTGGAACTCGCGCTGCACCTCCTCGGCCGACTTGCCGTACGTCTCTGGGACGAGCTTGAGCGACAGCGCGTAGAAGATGGCCAGCAGCACCACGAACGGCACGTAGCTGTAGTCGTCGAAGGCGTCGGCGATGTACGGGTAGGCGACGCCGACGATGAGGTTGCAGAGCCAGTTGACGCCGATGCCGATGGACGTGGCGGTGGCGCGCACTGAGTCCGGGAACAGGTCGGCCGTGATGACCCAGACGAGCGGCCCGAGCGTCGCGCCGAAGGCGATCACGTAGAGCGCCATGAAGACGACGGACAGCGCCGCGACGTCCACGAGGAAGGCCACGGTCATGAGCACGGCCATGACGAACATGCCGGCGATGCCCCAGAGGATGAGGTTCCGGTTGCCGAAGCGCTTGGCCAGGAAGCCCGTGAAGAAGGCCGGCCAGATGTTGACAAAGTCGATGATGAGCGTGCCGACGCGCGGGTCCGAGATGCCGGCGTCCTCGAAGATGGAGTTGGAGTAGTAGAAGACGGCGTTGATGCCCGAGAGCTGCTGCGTGCACGAGAGCAGCATGGCGCAGGCCAGCGGCAGGCGGTACTTGGGCGAGAAGAGCGACTCCTGCTGCGCCGAGTCGTTCACGAGCGCCTGCTCCGGGTCGGGCTTGCTGGACGACTCGAGCCACGACAGCGCCAGGTACACGTTCTCCTCGCCGTAGAGTCGAGTGATGACCTGCTTGGCCTCCTCGCGCCGGCCCTTCATGAGCAACCACGCGGGGCTCTCGACGCACATGGACGGAGCCAGCAGCAGGAAGAGCACGGCGAGGACGGCCGGGAAGCCCGCCAGGTAGCGCCAGCCGCTGCTCGTGTTGGCGAAGAAGAAGCAGATCGCCGGGAACAGGATGCCGATGGTCACCGAGATCTGCAGACCCATGCCGAGCATGTTGCGCAGGTGCGGCGGCGACAGCTCGTTCGTGTAGGCGCCGAGTGTTCCCGTGGCGGTGCCCGAGGCGATACCCGCGATCATGCGGCCGACCGCAAACGCCCAGACGTTCGACACGGGCGTCTGGATGGCGGCGCCTGCGAGCATGAAGATGCAGTTGACGAAGAGCAGCTTCCTGCGGCCCCACAGGTCGCTGAAGTGGCCGCAGCAGAGCGAGCCGATCATGCCGCCGAAGATCCAAGCATTGACGGCGAACGTCCACTCGAGCTTGGAGTGGCCCGGGAACATCAGACAGGTGTCCTCGGCCACGGGACGCGCATTGCACTCGTCCGTGTTGCTGTACTGCGAGAGGTTGGTCTGGGACGACGACCACCCGCTCTGGAAAGGCTGCAGCAGCGCCACGAGCAGACTGGAGTACAGGATCCAGTTGGGCTTGACGTTGCGCTCGGCGGCTTCGTCGTACGCGGGGGCGAGGTCGGCACCCTTGGGCGTTGTGGCTTCGGAGTAGACCGGGTCCGTTAGTGCTTCGGACGGCATGCTTGGTTGGCTGGCTGGTTGGCGACTTGGTTCTTCTGGCTGAGTGGTAACGAGGAGCAGAAGCTTCCGGTCGTGGGAGGGCAAGCTTGACAGGCTTGCAACTTGGTTGGTTGAGCTTTGGATGACCAAATGGAAAGTGAGGTGGGGACGATGGAGCCTACAGTAGATCGGTTGCACGCTCGAGATGCATGGCTGGTGTGCCGGGAAGCAAGGGAGTGCTGCTGTTCTACTTACTGCAACCACGATAGTCGAGCAACTTGCTGCCGTGCAAGCCCTTGGGATACCGGCCACTTGATTCATATCGCGATGATGGCATGCACCACATCCACCACTCGTAGGGTCGTTATTTTTGCTAGTTTTGCAGGTGTATCGCTTTCGTGACAGCCCGGTCAATTTGGATTTGGGACTTCAACTTGTGTCGGCATTGGAGTAATCGCTGGTCAAATTTCAAATTTGACCAAGCGTGGACTGCGTGTCCATGCAAATTTGAAATTTGAAATTTCAAGCGTGGACTGCGTGTCCATGCACCAAATTTCAAATTTGCATGGACACGCAGTCCACGCTTATAACGGAATGTGGGACTACATGCATGTACCTCGATCTATCCCGCGCCTGAAGAAATCCAAGCTTTGTGGGGCACATTTGCGTGGGCCGACAACCCCTGGATACCGGACAGCAATGCACCGTCACTCCAGCGCAGCAAATACGACCGAATCAAGGTGACATCAATTGCAAGTTTAAGTATCGTCAGAGCTTCTGAAGATGTCTATGAGGTGAGAGTGCCCACCACACCTTCTACTTTCAAAAGTGGGCTCCCCCTAATACGAGAGCCAAATCTCGCACAAAACGGGCTCCCTCATGGTAAGTACGAGATCAAGGAGCCCTGGTTCGGGCTCCCCATTGGCTTCCCTCCAGGGCTCCCCAAATTTAGCTTCAAATCTATGACGGGCTCTTCATAGTAATATCTGATTGGCCAATTTTACCTAGACTTAAGGCGAGCAACTTCGCGTGATTGATGCGCCACGCTAGAAGATCGAGCTCAAAGATCACCAGACTAGAAGATCTCGCGCCGCTCATATGTGTACAGCCGCTCCGAGGCCACCCCAGCGTCGCCGATCGTCCTTCCTTCCCCTCAAGGAGAAGCCCTCTTTCCTATGCCTTTTCAGGTTAGAACCTGGAGATACTTCAATGACGGCCAATCATCAGCGAGATATTTAACACAGGTGAGGGGGAGCCCTTAACGAGGGCTCACAGTTCTGGAGGGCTCCTTTCACTTAACCTATTGAACTCAAGAGCCCAGGAGCCCGAGCTCGCGACTTTTTGGGTTCACCCAAGAGCCCAGGAGCCCGGCTCTCCCCAGGGCTCGTAGAAGGTGTGGTGCCCACTGCGGGTGGGTTCCCTGCCGGTCACACCATCGCAAAGCTGGAGAGGTGGCTCATAGCCATTCTACTCAGTTCACCCAGGCTCGACATCGGTCAACTGCTCGGACGACCGCCCGCTCTGGTGCTCAGACGGCCTCCTTCACTCAGTAACAGCTATACATGGTCGGTCGAGGTGGAAGATTCTACAGTACGCGGAATCTCCAACAACGGATCGGCAACTATCGTGCTGGAGCACAGGCCCAACGGCATTGAGTGACAAGTCAAGTCTCACGACGACGCAAGCGCTGATGCTAGCGCGCTCGAAAAGCACACAGGAGGACTTGTGTTCAAGGCAAACCCACAGATCCACGGATATCCGTGGCAAGTACCGGACTCGACGAGGAATCGCAGAATCCTTCACGTGTTAAAACAACAGCCCAACAAGCGACTCAGGAAAGCAGCAAGCCCGAACCTGGATCAACTGCTGACGGAATGGGCGGAGCGGAGCCGATGACTGAATTCGAGGCCACCAAAGCCAACTACCAAAGCATCTTTGGGCGCACGGCAATATGCTGACGAACGTCCAAGTGTGGGTCACCTACCGACTGGCGACTCATCGGCTGAATCTGTTCTACGAAGGTAAAGGTGATTATCAGGGGTGCCCTAGGGACGTGGCGTGTGCAGAGGTTCACATTACGAGCACGCATATCACTTGGGCCTGTGTTCGAGCACAGCAATTCTGGCGGCGCTGTCTCGAGCACTGGCTGGGTCATGAAGTCTCACCGGACTGTCTCGAAGGATACAAAAGCTACTTCGCGGCTCGGACAGCACCGCCACTGGGGGAACGGCTACAGCGCAGGATCTCTCAACGCTACGGGCAATGGAGAACAGAGAACGGGGAGTCTCTCCGCCAAATCTGGTGGGTACTCTGCAGCGCCGGGATTGCGTTGCTCTGGCAAACACGGAATCAGGTGGTGCACGAGGGACAAACGTGTATGCGCCAGCTCAACGCAATAGCTCGTCGGAAGCGCCTTCGAGCGCCAACGAAGATACAAGGAATGCAGTTTCAACTAAGCCTCGACTGTTTTGCAGACATAGGCCCAGAAGCGAATCCGATGGATACCCTTCCGCAGCCTTCGGCGTGGGTTAAACAGACAGAGCCCGCTCTGATCACTAGACTTAGAACATACCAGGCAGCTATTAGCTAAGGTTCAATAGACTACCTTCTCTCTCTCTCTTTCTCGCATGTACCTCGATCAAGTGCTGGTTGGTTTGAAAAGTGCAAAATAAAAACATTGCTTCGTAATTCTCTCTCTTTTTTTAAATATGTTTTACGACTGATATAGTTGGCATAGGTTTTTCTGGGAAATCGATAGTAGTGGCACGCGGTTGCTGCTGAGAGTCTCAGCCTGAGACCGTACAGCAGATCTTGAAGTATCTGCTGCGATTATTTATTGTGCTTTACTTGAGCAACTCTGATTTACCGCTAAGTACGAACACTGGGTAGTGCACTAAATAGGAGGGCAAACTGGATGCAAAGCACAATACCTACCTGGAGGGGCGAGTACACGTACTTGACTAGGGGATCGGCTTGCCGATCCTTTGTGTGCCATTATAGATAAATAAATATAACAGCGGCATGCCCTCAGCGGCAGGTCATTGAGTAGCTGCCACAAATTAGATGTTGTATGTACGCGAAAGCAACAACAAGCCCTTTTATGTCGTTGGATAGCTCCCAAGTTGAAGTGGTCAAATGAATGGTCAAGTGAGTCGATTACGGCTCGAGCTGCTTGGTGACCGCGTCAGGTAACAATCAAAGTCCAAGCGCGTTTATCGCGCCCACTGCAGCGACGAATAAATCAAGTGCATGTAGTGTAGGGCGGGTATCCGCACCGGCACAGCGTGTGAGTCTTCAACATGTCCCCAAAGTTATCGGAGCGGACTCGATGCAGCAAAAATATTTGGACTACGCTTGCGTGTTGCTTAAAATGATCCTTAGCAACTGAAGCAACGATACTTGTGATTTTGATCCACTATGCAGCTAAAGGACTGCGTTGTCCATGCAAATTTGACCAGCGATTACTCCAATGCCGACACAAGTTGAAGTCCCAAATCCAAATTGACCGGGCTGTCACGAAAGCGATACACCTGCAAAACTAGCAAAAATAACGACCCTACGAGTGGTGGATGTGGTGCATGCCATCATCGCGATATGAATCAAGTGGCCGGTATCCCAAGGGCTTGCACGGCAGCAAGTTGCTCGACTATCGTGGTTGCAGTAAGTAGAACAGCAGCACTCCCTTGCTTCCCGGCACACCAGCCATGCATCTCGAGCGTGCAACCGATCTACTGTAGGCTCCATCGTCCCCACCTCACTTTCCATTTGGTCATCCAAAGCTCAACCAACCAAGTTGCAAGCCTGTCAAGCTTGCCCTCCCACGACCGGAAGCTTCTGCTCCTCGTTACCACTCAGCCAGAAGAACCAAGTCGCCAACCAGCCAGCCAACCAAGCATGCCGTCCGAAGCACTAACGGACCCGGTCTACTCCGAAGCCACAACGCCCAAGGGTGCCGACCTCGCCCCCGCGTACGACGAAGCCGCCGAGCGCAACGTCAAGCCCAACTGGATCCTGTACTCCAGTCTGCTCGTGGCGCTGCTGCAGCCTTTCCAGAGCGGGTGGTCGTCGTCCCAGACCAACCTCTCGCAGTACAGCAACACGGACGAGTGCAATGCGCGTCCCGTGGCCGAGGACACCTGTCTGATGTTCCCGGGCCACTCCAAGCTCGAGTGGACGTTCGCCGTCAATGCTTGGATCTTCGGCGGCATGATCGGCTCGCTCTGCTGCGGCCACTTCAGCGACCTGTGGGGCCGCAGGAAGCTGCTCTTCGTCAACTGCATCTTCATGCTCGCAGGCGCCGCCATCCAGACGCCCGTGTCGAACGTCTGGGCGTTTGCGGTCGGCCGCATGATCGCGGGTATCGCCTCGGGCACCGCCACGGGAACACTCGGCGCCTACACGAACGAGCTGTCGCCGCCGCACCTGCGCAACATGCTCGGCATGGGTCTGCAGATCTCGGTGACCATCGGCATCCTGTTCCCGGCGATCTGCTTCTTCTTCGCCAACACGAGCAGCGGCTGGCGCTACCTGGCGGGCTTCCCGGCCGTCCTCGCCGTGCTCTTCCTGCTGCTGGCTCCGTCCATGTGCGTCGAGAGCCCCGCGTGGTTGCTCATGAAGGGCCGGCGCGAGGAGGCCAAGCAGGTCATCACTCGACTCTACGGCGAGGAGAACGTGTACCTGGCGCTGTCGTGGCTCGAGTCGTCCAGCAAGCCCGACCCGGAGCAGGCGCTCGTGAACGACTCGGCGCAGCAGGAGTCGCTCTTCTCGCCCAAGTACCGCCTGCCGCTGGCCTGCGCCATGCTGCTCTCGTGCACGCAGCAGCTCTCGGGCATCAACGCCGTCTTCTACTACTCCAACTCCATCTTCGAGGACGCCGGCATCTCGGACCCGCGCGTCGGCACGCTCATCATCGACTTTGTCAACATCTGGCCGGCCTTCTTCACGGGCTTCCTGGCCAAGCGCTTCGGCAACCGGAACCTCATCCTCTGGGGCATCGCCGGCATGTTCGTCATGGCCGTGCTCATGACCGTGGCCTTCCTCGTGGACGTCGCGGCGCTGTCCGTCGTCTTCATGGCGCTCTACGTGATCGCCTTCGGCGCGACGCTCGGGCCGCTCGTCTGGGTCATCACGGCCGACCTGTTCCCGGACTCAGTGCGCGCCACCGCCACGTCCATCGGCATCGGCGTCAACTGGCTCTGCAACCTCATCGTCGGCGTCGCCTACCCGTACATCGCCGACGCCTTCGACGACTACAGCTACGTGCCGTTCGTGGTGCTGCTGGCCATCTTCTACGCGCTGTCGCTCAAGCTCGTCCCGGAGACGTACGGCAAGTCGGCCGAGGAGGTGCAGCGCGAGTTCCAGCAGCAGCGTGGGGGCCAGTAGCGGGGCAGTCAACGGCAGCAGAAAGGTGGGGAGGCAGGCGACGAGAGGGTGGCCGTGTGCTTTGACGACTTCCGGGTCTTCGTGCCGCCGTCATTGAGAGGCGCAGATGTTGCAGCCTACGCTTTGAGAGTAGTGTTTTGAGATAGTTGCTGCGTGGATAGTGATGAAATGAGCGACGCAGCAGTAGTTTTGCTTTGATTGAGAAGGCAGTTTATCCATTGATAATGCGCACAGTATCGATATTGTTTTCAGGTTTGCCCAAACCTTTGGGGGGTTTAACGCGCCTTTGATCTGCTAAAACTGTGGAAACTTCTGATCAGTTGTGTAAATCTAGCTAACTCGTGTTGTCTGGTGCACAGGGATACGAGGGGGTCAAACAGCACTACAATCCTCTCAGCGTAAAACGATGGGTCCACACGACGATTTAGACGTAGACGCGCTCCACCGGTGTAAGCCAGCACAGTCTCAGTACACAATCGCATCAAGCTTTTGGCATTATTGTAGTGAGGTCTCTTCTTAACTTTCTCGTCTCCAAAACAATATTGTTGACACTGGATGATTTGCAGTTGAGGAAAATCTCGCTTTGCAACAAGAGAAGAAGCGCTTGCCGACATAGAGCAGCCTACACACACTGTTGGCTGTGAGCGCAACAAGGATAGCGAGGTAGCCTGGTAGGTCAGTTTAGAATTTGCTTCGAGAAACCCTCCACGCCGCACCCCTCGGCTGGAGTTCCATTCCCGCTTTGAATGAACTGACTGCAGCCCCCAAGTGCGATATTTGAAGGTGCAAATTTTCTGTGGTCTGAAACCCCTGTATTCTAAATGTGCACGTAAACCACTTCGCCATTTCGCCATTCCTGACAAGAAGACCCGCGTAGTCTACAGCGAACAAGAGTGTGATGAATACCCGCGCACCACTTTCCGCAAAGTTTAGGCGCGTACTACTGGGCTGTTTCGCACTTCAACGACTGTTGGTCACGATAGGTGCCGCGCTCTCCGTATTCTACAGCCCTCTCCAGTCGGCTTTCGACTCGAATAGTCTGGGTCTGCTGCTTGGAGGTGTCGCGGTTCTACTTGTGCTGCTCGGGTGCGTCTTCTTGGCGAGGCGCACGAGTGTCGTCAAGTGGTTCTCTCTCCTGCTGCTGAGTCTTGCAGGGGTGGCGATTTGGATCGGCTTTGACAAGCTACTCCACACGACAATTCGACTTTTCAACTGCAGCTTCTCACTGCTTTGGACGTTGATACTGATCCTATTCGATGCGATTCGAGGCAGGAAGCGGACTAAAGTGCACGATGTAAGCATAGTACAATTTGGTACGGCAGGATGGGTTGGGCCACCCCGCGAGAGCACGCCCGATACGTGTTTGCAGGCGTATTTTGACGGAAGGAGTGACTTCATAAAGATGGCCCCGTTGCGTTCATCATTACGGTCATTGTGTCCTGTGTGGTGTATGCAGCTTACATGTCGAAGTTTCTGTCGGGGATGGACTTCGGCTTGTCACTTGTTTTCCAGTTTGTGCTGTTGAGTTGGTTCACTCTCGACCTCCGCCGACTGGACCGACACCTTGAGCTGTACGAAGCCGGCCACGGTGTTGTCTACGTCTATATCGATACTGCCTTAGTGACGGGGTATATTTCGATGATCTTTGTCGCCATTGGGATTGCATTAGCAATCTGTGCAGGACTTGCCATGAGCGGTCCTCCCATCTTGGGAAGCTTGAAGATCTGTGGCTGTTGTTTTTGGTGTGAGTGTGATTGCAATTGTTGCCGCTGTTGCACGTGCTGTGACGACGACGTTTGTTCTCTGTCGGGCGACGACAACAAGTGCCTATTTATCAGCGAGCACCATAACGCATGGGATTGCTGTGATGCATTCCCCAGTAAACGGAGAATAATTCCCGTGCAGCTACGAGCACCACAACAGGATCTGGACGAGATAATGCAGCGAGTGTAAAATGCGCTTTCAAACCCACAAAAACAAATTATTGAGCTTTCCTCTATCGTATCACTCGATTAAGAAAATGTTTGACATCCTTCACCGTCGCCAGCTACGAAGCAATTGGGGGTCGACCGCGACCGAGACATCGCCTGCACTAAGTCGTTTGTCGCCAAATGTGAAACGACCGAGTGAGCAGCCGTGAAGCGACGTCGCCGCCAATACGAGACCCGACCACCCGATGACCACGCCGCTCTCGATCGACGCCTACAAGCGCAAGCAGAATGTGCTGGCAGCCAAAGCCCACGCGCGGCGAGTCGGTGCTTCTTCTGTCTCCAAATCGAAAGAGGCCTACACCGTTGAACAACGCCGATACCTGAACGCCTGCGTCGAAAAACACGCGGATCCCGATGAGAGGCTGCTGACGGCACTGCGAGACGCACGATTCGTGCTTAAACTCGACCGCTTTGGGGGAGAAGAGGTGATGATTGAGTCGGGGTCGTCATGTCTGCGTGCAATTATTCATTCGCTCTAACACATTCATGGCCCATATAGCTTAAGTTCCACATGGGTTTTCTTCAAAAGACAAAACACTGCAATCATATAAGCCTTTCACTGGGATCCGTGGCGATAAACCGAGGTTTGATACGATACAGTATGCAAAACTTCGACAGTATTGAAGTTATTCAACATGGTTTCCTAGATTTGCGCACCATGTTCGACCGTCTGGGCTTGAAAAGAGCATTCGCCTATGAAAACCAGGGCGCTTCAGTCGTCGTGAGGTTGGTACGCAGCCAGTTTTTCACGTCATACCTTCTCACTAATGAGGCTAACGAGCACTGTCTGACTTGCTAGATCGGCCTGCTCATCCGCATACAAGACGCCCGACTTGCTGCGCTTTCACCTCATTGGAGTGAAAATACTTCCTGAGGTCGTGCCTCCCCTCGCAAAGGTTCGTCCAAAAGGCTCGCGTTCGATACCCATTCCGTCCTGTAACTTGCTGTTCGGCAAATAGTCTTTCTTTCACTGTCAGCAGCTTGAAGACGTCAGCCTCAGTGGCACCCACCTAGGCGACGAAGGACTTGAAGGTACCGGTCTTCCTGTTACTCGCCCATGCGAATCGGACATTATTGACTATCCACCATCCCTCCGTTGGTCAATTTGATAGCTGTAGCGATGGCTCTGGGGAAATGCCCCAAGCTTCACTTGCTCTCCCTAGCTGGTTGCAACATAACTGACAACGCGCGAGATCATATCGCCAAAATCATCACCGTAAGCGATGGCATCCTAGTATCGTGAAGTTCCTTGGAGTATTCACCTATGATGTTGTGTGTAGCTTCACGGTGTGATCAAGGATGAAGCGGTGTGGAGTTCGAGCTTGCGAGGTGAAGCAGCCCCGAATACGTCAATGCCCGAGCTTCTGATTAATTTGTCCAGAAACAAACTCGGCGACGCGACAGCTGAAACAATCTGCGACGCACTTTACAACGACAAGTGGCTACTGGGTAGGTGGTGTACAAGAAATCAGCACAGTTTTCGATACTAATCGTTGGATTCAGGCCTCAACCTTGGTGAAAATCAAATCTCACGGCAAGGAACGGAGACGTTTATCGATACGCTCGCCAACAGCAATAAGACTCTCGCTGTGCTAGGTCTCGCAAACATGAAAGAACCAGGTAAGCACTATATTTCGCTTTGTCGGTGGCGGCGCGGTTCTTTGACAAGCTACTTTTGTTTGGTTGACTTGTAGTGACAACGAGCGCACTGGAAACTCTGGACTCCCTACTTCGCGTCCGAAACCGCTTTCTCCAGCAAGTGGCCACGGAGTCGCGAGAGAAGCGCATGACTCTCGGTAGTTTGCTCCTCGATTGGGGTCTCGATAAAGACACCATCGTCGAGATCTGCTACCTGGAAACACTCGGAAAGCAAGCCAATACGAAAAGTACCAAACTATCGATGGTTTCCAAGAAACCTGCCTTAGTGTCACCGAAGACCCAAAGCAGCTTTATCCCTCAAGCATCGAACAACGATATGACCCGTCAAAAGACTCATAGAAGCAACAATGACGACGACGACGACGACAACAACAAGAATGGTGAAGACGATAGTGGAAATGAAGACAGCGATAGCGATGGTGGCGAAGTTGCCGCTTCGACAGCAGATAGTCACGTCAAAACGGTGCGTTTTGCAGATGTGTTTCAGCAGGAATTTGCTTTTGATCGATTCGTTGTGCTACAGATCGAGTATCTTATCGAGAGACTGAGCGCGCTAGAATCAGAGAGACGAAAAACGCAAGCGTACGTGAGCAAGCTTGAGGTGGGTGGCGTGTACCCGTGACGATCGACACTTCAGTTTTCAGGGCAAATATCGCTTACTGATGATCTGCCCACACTAGGCTGAAAACCAGCAGCTTCGCGTCGAACTGGAAGCACAGTCGGCATCAGCTCCTTCACCTGGAATCTCACCTATTGAAGCTCAGATCATCGCACAGCTAGAAACTTCGATCAGCTGCCTCGCGGAGCAAGTAGAAATCATGGAGCATGAAAAAACAGCACATAGCGCATAGGACGGGCCCGCAACTCTAAGATCACTGGTATGTCACGAACTTTCATGAAAAGGACGTCAAAGAATTTGAATTCATGTCATTTCTAACTGAGTTGAGGTTCTCAAGTCCTGGTGTATTTGCGCTCACAAAAAGATACTTCTAGGTGATGCTGGACCTCAAATTGAATCGCAAAACAAGCCAACGCGGCTTTAATTATCATATACAAATTCCGCACTTCCTTTGGTACGATTTTCTTTCTTGTGTTCATGCCCACCTCGGATCGCTTTCAAGGTCTCAAAGTGTATCTGCCCTCGAGGTATAATAGTCGGAGTACCGTCACGGATCAGAACGCAACTTCAGCTCAATCCCAAGTTCATAACGAGATCCCTTCTTAGCTTTCTCCTCCGGCTTAAAACAGCGTTGTCGCTTCTCTGTGAGCCTGACCACTTGTACTGCTACGTGTAAACTATCCAGTCATTTCCCCATCTCAGACACAAGGGCCAACCTAACTCAGCCTACAGCTCTAAGGACAGCAAGCAGCAACTGTGATGAATTCATCAGCGAGTGCCTCCACGATATTTCGGCGCACACTACTTGGCTACCTCGCACTGCAACGGCTCATTGCAGGGCTGGTAAAACCTGTCGATTTTTTGAAATGGAATTAGGTTTTTGGTTTTACCTTGGTTTAAACCAATAGAACCTAGTTATAATGCAAATACTACTCTTCACTACTGAGTTCTTGGTCATTCTCGTAACTATCGCCGTTTACGCGCTTGTAGTTGTGGTTGGCCTTGATGTAAAGAAGCTTTTCGATTTTCGGTGCACTCAGCGCATTTCTAAGCTTGTTGTGGATGAAGCTTCTAGTCGAAAACGTGCGCTCGGATGCAGCACTCGAAGCGACTAAGCTGAACACATTCAAAGCCAGCTCTCTGAGTGTCGGCCACCGCGAACCCGTTGTCACCCAAAAGTCGTATACGCTTTTCACCTTCTCTTCGAGCTCCATATAACGTCGATCTTGATTCGTCTTCATCTTATTGCAGTACACTTGGAAAGCAGTCAGCTCGACGCTCATATTTTTGCTTCGTGTGGTGTCACGAGTGATGGAGCTGGTATCAGACGCAGGAAAGTCGACGATAATATCTTTTTGTGGTGTCACGAGTGATGGAGCTGGTATCAGACGCAGGAAAGTCGACGATAATATCTTTTTGTGGTGTCACGAGTGATGGAGCTGGTATCAGACGCAGGAAAGGAAGTCGCGATAAGCAAGCTGAAGTTCCTTCAATCGAACACTATGATGTATAATTCTGTGGTACGTACGAGCCTCATACCAGGATACTGGAACCTGATTGGTCGACATACTGTATTCGGCAGTTGTGATTCGCTACGAGAAGGTAACTTCAACTTGCCTTCCTTTTGTTTTCTGGTACCCTCCTAACACGCGTCGAAGTTAGAAGCTAGGACGTCGTGTACTTGTTGATAAAGCACAATAGAACAGATTGGTCAAGCTAGTTTTTCTTATTCCAAGTCAACTGACTCTGGGAAAAACCTGTTGGCTGTTTTGGTGGCCAACAGGTTTTACTATAAAACCTATATTAAAACCTAATGATTAAACCCGATGTGCCAGCCCTGCCTCATTGTGATGCTGGCCGTGGCGTTTTCAACGTTTTGTAGCCCTGATTCCTCGACTTTCGATTTGTTCGGCCTGAAGCTGATGATAGGAGCCGCCGTGGCCTTAGTTGCGGTGATTGGATGCGCCTTCCTAGCGCGGGAGGTGAAAGTTGCGAAGTGGTTTTTCCTCTTAATATTCAGCTTGGCAGAGGCGGTACTATGGATTGGATTGGACAAGCAATTCCACACAAACATTAGGCTTTTTGACTGCAGCTTGATACTTGCGTGGACGTTCGAAGTGTTGCTATTCGATGCGATTCGAGGCAGAAAGCGGATAAATATCCACGATGCTGCCATGGTAAAGGCTGGCGGGCCTGCGGTTGGTACGGGTGTCACTTCAAAACACGTCGAAACTCGCACGACTCTCAGCTTCCTGCGCAAATACTTTGCCGCGACTAGCGATTTCTTGGTAATCCATAAGGATGGCCCAGTTGCGTTCATCATCACGGTCATCGTGGCATGTGTGGTCTACGCAGTCTACATGTCGACATTTTTGTCAGCAATGGAGTTTGGATCGTCCTTAGTTTTCCAGTTTGTGCTAGTAAGTTGGTTCACGCTCGACCTGCGCCGATTGGACCGACACCTCGATGTAAACGAAGCCAGTGATGGGGTGATTTACGTCTACCTCGATGCTATAGTCATGGCTGTATACGCAGCAATGGCTCTAATTGCCTTCGCCACCACGGCAACAATTTGCGTAGGCCTGGCGACATCTCACGGTGCTGATGAACTCCGGGAGTGCGGAATCTGCGACGAGTATATCTCGTGTTTCATGTGCATTTGGCGCTGTTGTACCAGCCAATGCGTCTGGATTGACTGCGAGCTCTGGTATGACTGCCTTTACGATCGCTATAGCAAGCGACAGTGGTGCTGCTGCGACTGCTGTCAACTGGTACTGGATGACAGCAAATGCCCTTGTTTCAGTCAAAAGCACGGCGACAGCGATTGCTGCGAGTCTTACTACGACAACGGGAGGATCCACACAAAACCATCACTTCACCCGTCGGAGTTACAACAAGGAGGGCTGGACCAAGTGATGCAGCGGGTGTGAAGCTCAAGAAAACTAACTTTATCATTCAAATTTCACTTTGCTGGAAGTGCTCCATTACTTTTCCTGAAAATTAGTACTCTACAAAGTGCGCATTTTTTGTTCACTAAACCTTACAATTCATCTGATTGGTTTTCAATAACGGCCAATCCGCGCGCGTAGGAGAAAAGATCCTTTGAAGGGGGAACGCGCACACAACGCAAAGGAACCGGCCGAGCTGAGCAACATGAAGGAGACGGCGCAGATCCCCGTGCCCACCAAGGACCCTGCTGCGGCCAAGGACGACAAGACGCCCGATGCCGCCAAGGCCACCAACCCGGCGGAGGACGCCCCCGTCGAGGAGGAGCTCGTGCGTATTGACAAGAAAAGATCCTTCCTCTCTTCCTTCCTCTCTTCCTTCCTCTAATCTTTCATGTTTTTTATTGCACCGCAGTCGGAGGAGGACCGCAAGCTGAAGGAGGACCTGGAGACGGCCGTGGCGCGCGTGTGCGACAAGCAGGAGGAGCTGGGCGTCAAGCAGCTGGCGCTGGAGCTGCTGCGCCGCGAGATCCGCACGGCCACGTCGTCCATGACGTCGGTGCCCAAGCCGCTCAAGTTCCTGCGGCCCTCGTACGACGACCTCAAGGCCGCGTACGAGACGCTGCAGGCCGGGGAGACCCAGAAGCTTATGGCCGACGTGCTGGCCGTGCTGGCCATGACCATGGCCAAGGAGGGCAGCCGCGAGAGCCTCAAGTTTAAGCTGCTGGGCAACAGCACGGACCTGGGCTCGTGGGGCCACGAGTTCGTGCGCTCGCTGGCCGGGGAGGTTGGCGAGGAGTACAACGCCCGCATCACGGCCGAGGACGCCGTGGACCCGGACGTGCGCGACCTGCTGGAGATCGTGGACGCCATCGTGCCGTTCCACATGCAGCACAACGCCGAGCCCGAGGCCATCGACATCCTCATTGAAGTGCAGCAGCTTTCCAAGCTCCTGCAGAGCCCCGACATCGACGAGAAGAACTACCAGCGCGTGTGTCTGTACCTGCTCGCCTGCGCCGACTTCATGTCGGACGCGGACGACCTCGTCAACCTGCTCAACACGGCCTACTCGTTGTTCCTGCGGCTGGAGCAGTACCCGGACGCGCTGCGGGTGGCGCTGCGCGTGGGCAACGACGACTTCGTGGCCGAGGTCTTCCAGAAGTGCAAGGACGACGTGGTGCGCAACCAGATGGGCTACATCCTGGGCCGCCAGCGCTGCTTCTACGAGGACGAGAGCGAGGCGTCGGCCAACGAGATCATCGGCAACTCGGACCTGAGCGACAAGTTCCTGTCGCTGGCCCGTGATCTGGACGTCATGGAGGCCAAGACGCCCGAGGACATTTACAAGTCGCATCTGTCGGAGACGGCCAGTGTGGGTCGTGGCCGCGACTCGGGCTCGCAGCCAGCGGACTCTGCTCGTGCTAACTTGGCTTCGACCTTTGTTAACGCCCTGGTGAATGCTGGCTACGGCACGGACAAGCTCATGACCCCCGAGGGCAACACTTGGCTGTACAAGAACAAGAAGCACGGCATGATGAGCGCCGCCGCGTCGCTGGGTATGATCATGCTGTGGAACGTGGAGGAGGGTATCACGCAGATCGACAAGTACCTTTACTCTGGCGATGAGTACGTCAAGGCCGGCGCTATCCTGGGTGTGGGTGTTGTCAGTGCCGGTATTCGCAACGACTGCGACCCTGCCCTCGCGCTACTGTCGGAGCACATTGACTCGGGCAACTGCTCCATCCGCTGCGCTTCTTGCCTGGGTCTGGGCATTGCGTACGCGGGCTCGGCTCGTGAAGATGTATCGGAGCTGCTAATCCCGGTGGTTTCCCACGCCGACGAGAATGCTGACATCCAGGAGGTGTCGTACGCTGCACTGGCGCTAGGTATGGTAGAGGTGGGAACTTGCGACGAGGAGGCTGGCAGCGTGCTGATGCAGCGACTGATGGAGAGCTCGGACACTGAGCTGGACTCTTCTTGCGCGCGCTTCCTTGCTCTTGGTCTTGGACTGTTGTACCTTGGGTACGTACTGAGTTGCATATTCATTTACTGGAGTAAACGATGAGTAGGACACTTACTTTGTGATGTGTTGTGCAGCCGCCAGGAACGCGTGGAGGCCATGCTGGAAGCTGCCAAGACTATCGAGCACAAGATGTCGAAGTACTTGGCCATCACTCTGGAGACCTGCGCTTACGCCGGCTCCGGTAACGTGCTGAAGGTGCAGCAGCTCCTGCGCACGTGCGCTGAACACATTGAGGACCCTATTGAGGCACAGCACCAGAGCGTCGCCGTGCTTGGTATTGCTCTGATCACGATGGGCGAAAGCATTGGCAGTGAGATGGCGATGCGGTCGTTTGACCACTTGCTGCAGTACGGTGAAGTGGCAGTGCGTCGCGCCGTGCCGTTGGCGTTTGCGCTGCTCAGTGTGTCGAACCCGGAGTACGCACTGATTGACACACTGTCGCGCCTTACGCACGATGTTGACTCGGGTGTCGCTCAGAATGCTATTCTCGCGCTTGGTCTGGTTGCTGCTGGTACGAACAACTCGCGCGTGGCCGGATTGCTTCGTCAGCTGTCGGAGTTCTACAGCCGGGAGGCAAACCACCTCTTCGTTGTTCGTATCGCACAGGGTTTGCTGCACATGGGCAAGGGTCTGATGACCCTGCACCCGTTCCACTCAGACCGGTTGATCATGTCTCGCGTGGCAGTGAGCGGACTGCTGACGATCCTGCACGCGTCGCTAGATATGGAGCACACGATCCTGGACACGTCCCACTACATTCTCTACTGTATCGCCACAGCAATGCAGCCCCGTATGCTGATCACGCTGGACGAAGAGCTGAACCCTCTCCCCGTGTCCGTCCGAGTCGGCCAGGCGGTATGTGCATTTTATCTCTGCTCGCTATAGGTTGAACGCCAATACTGACGCTTCTTCTGTTGCTTTGATGCCTGCAGGTTGAGATTGTGGGTCAGGCAGGTCGCCCCAAGTCTATCACTGGTTTCCAGACGCACACTACGCCCGTGCTGCTGAATGTGAAGGACCGCGCGGAGCTCGCGACCGAAGAGTACCTCCCGCTGACGAACGTGCTAGAAGGCGTTGTTATCCTCCGAAAGAACCCGGACTACGAGCCGGAGACTTAAGTGAGGGGCGAAGAGGAGAATGGAGAGGCCGGGCCAAAAGAAAAGATGGCGCTGTTGTTCTGCAGCCTCCGGCCGCTCTGTCTCCTCTGGCTAGCTATAACCAAGCCAACACACAAAATACCTTTAACGCATATATCCTGCTTGTTGCTGCCGTGGCTCACTTGTCTTGACGTCTTGTGCTGCGTGCTGATCAGAGCTACCGAGGCTGGCCGTGCGGTGAAGCGTTTCACTGTGTCTCTTCGTGTGCAGCGCATTTGGTTTAGCCCCGTAGAGGACGGCAATGGAGACGGCTTATCTTTCTGGGTCCTCCTCGGCTATGATGTCCACCGCAGCCACGACAGGAGTCCCAACTGTTCCTAGGCGCGCTGAGGGAAATGTGGCACTTGGACTCTTCAGCAAGATCGCTGCGGCGCGCAAGGAAAACCTGTCGAGCTTCGTACGAGCTGCATTGTGTCCGCATGCCCTGGTCCTGCCATTAACTCGCCATTTTATTTTTCAGACGAAAGCAGCCGCTGGAGATCTAGGACCGCCAGGCAGAAGCTTTGACAAGAGGCCTGTGGTAGCGGGGACTAGCCAATTCCCAGAGCTCAGCGACCCCAGCAGTAAGGGCCATGCCATTTTCTATCCTGTTGCATGGACAGACCTCTCACCACAGCGCTTTTAGTGCGTAACCCAGCTCTGCGGACGCCAGTGCTTAATGAACGGAAAGCACAAGCACGATCGAACTCTCAGAGCGTCCGGTGGACAAAGCAAAGCGCCCCTGAAGATCCATTGGGGGCGGTGGGCTCCGCAGCTACTGTCAACGGCTCCATTTACAATACCGCAGGAGCCAACAGAGCTGTTTCTGCTACTTCCCAACGCTCGATTCCTGTTGGTTTAGCGGCTCCGGCTAGTCGAAGACGGCATCTTTTACCCCCGCATCAACAACTTTACCAACAACGCCGCTCCACAGTTGAATCGGTGAGTACAACCACATGTGCAAACAACAATGTGCTGGCGTGTTCACCCACCCTATCTACAATTTGTGTTTTTCAGTCTAGCACCTCGCGAGAACTACTAAATGGAGATCACGAAGTTTCTGTCAAGGAAACACCAATACGTCCAGCTACGGCTAGTGAAGTAGGTATTTGCTGTTGTGTTGAAGGAATGTATTGCTGGCACTGCATGAGCTAAGGTGTTTTGGTGATCATTAGATCCTTGATACGCGGTATTCAGCATATCAAGACAATGTTAGAGGATACGTGAGGTAAAAGCAGCCGATGTCTATGATGCATACGCGGTGCTTATATCTCGTTTCACAACAGGAGGCCACCTGAAGCTTTGTCTAGCTCGCTAGATTCGTCAAACTCTGTACGTGGCAACTAAAGGTTTCAGTGGTGGATACCAGCCTAACATGGTTTCAATGGGCCATAGGCACTTTGGCATCGTCATGGAGAGCTGCCGCGTACGCTCCAAGCCACTATGACCGATGGTCAAATAAGTGGTGTAGATGGCCGCCTCAACGCGAACAAAACACAAGCAGATGCGGTAATTTCGAGTGACTCAAAGCCGCCAGGGTCTGGGGAACACCCTGTTAGTGCTCCAAACCAAGAGGTACGAAGTGCGGCAAGCATGAATTGGGAACTGAGATATCGTATAGCCGCTGACCTGACCAAGGATAGGTGCACTTTGCAGTGACTGCGGAAATTCCCGGCGTGCCTATCGTTTATAGGAATCAGAAGGTGATCTGACTTCATCCTTACATGATCACGCCACCAGCACGAAGCTAACACTTGTCTTCGATGTCCTCGATCCAGACGAAAGCGTCAAATCCAGAGCGGTTGAATCTCGATCGTCGCAACCTGCCTGTGATTCCTCTTCTTGAGGGTGAACAGACTCTCCGACTGCTCAATCTTCAAAACAACGTCATCAGGCGGATTGAAAATCTGCTGGGGCTACCCAATCTTATATTCCTCGACCTTTACAACAATCGCATTGAGGTACCCACCTCGTCTAGCCTGATGATCCTCCCGTCAGTGGAAACTAACACTTCCCTTTTGTTATTCGCTTAGAAACTCGAGAATTTGCACTTAGTGCCCAACTTGCGAGTACTCATGATGGGGAAAAATCGATTACGCACGATTGAAAACCTGGAGTGCTTGAAAAACCTGGATGTGCTGGACTTGCATAGGTTCGCTCGATTTTTTTTACCGGATTGCTACGGGTCAACTAACACGCATGACATATTTTGTTCTTGTCTGTTTCGATAAAGTAACGAGATTGAGCAGATGCAGAACTTGAACGAGCTGAAAGAGTTGCGTGTACTCAACCTGGGCGGGAACATGATATCAACGGTGGAGAACATCGACAGGCTGATGCTGCTCACTGAGCTGAACCTTCGTCGAAATCGGATCAGCCGCGTCGCCCCGATCGGCAAGCTCCCATCGTTACTGCGGCTTTTCCTGTCGAATAACAAGCTGGAGACATTCGAGTCGATCGAGCCCCTCTTTCAGGTAGATAGAAGCCCTGCTAGCCCTCTTTATTATCAGAGCATTGCGAATTAACCACTTGGTGCTATCTTACCTGGCATAGGTAACCTCGATCAGCGAGCTGCGGTTAGACTCAAACGGAGTTTGCGCGTCGAATCAAACTGAATACCGTGGGCGCATGATTCGGGGATTTCCGTCGCTAAAGCATTTGGATCTAAAGCCGCTGAGTGATGCCGATCGAAGAGAGGCGTTGCTACACGCGAATTCACCAACTAAAGACGGTGATGATGCCGAAACAGCAGCCCGAGCGCACGCTATCTCGTGTGTGAAGGCGGCGTGGGAACGACGTTCAGAACTTGCTCACTCTCCGACCGGCGTTAAGGAGTCTCGCGAGTTGCTGTCGTCGTGGGGGCTTTCTGGAAAAGAAGAGGCTGTGTCACATGTGGGCTACGAGGAGCGCGAGGTGTCACCCACGAGTAGGGAAGAGTTGACGGTGTGCAACAACAACAATGGGTTCTCGGAGGTAGAGGTGTATGGCGACTACCGGGTCCTGGTGATCTATGGGAATGCCCTCGAGGTGCTTGAGCTGACCAAAGCGCACAGCCTCGTCAACGCCATCTCTTTCCGCTACATTGGAATGAGCAAGATAGTGTCTGCAGTCGCGAGCGCTACGAGCAACAATCTCAAGCTGTTCACGCGACTGAGAAGGCTCATTTTTGCGTACAACGATCTGCAGTCGTTTGATGAGCTGCTCTGGCTGAGCAGCATGGGCTCGAAAGCTGAAGAGGTTTGTTCCCGTGCCAGTGAATAACTTTGTCGTTCTTCACTTCATTTACGCGTCTGTTTCTTGCTTGCAGGTATTTATTTCCAACAACCCTGTCTGTGCCAAGACTCTTCTCAAACGCTACGTCGGCGCCCGAATCAGCGTAAGTCGCCTACTAACTTTAACAGGGCATATTGGGCACTTGCAGTAACCTGAAGTGGAATTCTGCACGTGGTAGAATACTTTGCGACTCAACGGCGAAGAGATCACTCCGACCGACCGGCATCTGGGCAAGCAGCTATTCCCAAAGCCCCTCGCCCCTCGCGTGCGGCCTACGGTCGATTCTTCTGAAGCAGGCTCATTACTTCCCTTCAAGGCGCGAGTGAAAGAAACCAAGGAAATCAGGCCATCCAGGTCCGCCTCGGCGCTGCATGGCAACCCCACATCCTCCGTAGTCACCGACATCTTCGACACCGCGTCCGACATCGAGAAGAAGACGGCCGTAAGTGCGCTCTGCACATCCAAACCGCAACCAGTTCACGCTCTCACCCCTCCATTTCTGTATATGTGACAGGCCTTGGACCAAGCGTGGAAGGACATGCTCCTCTCAATCGTCAAGGTTCGCCCACATATCCATCAATACCTGCTTTCTCTCTCTCACCTTGTGCTGGTGCAGGAAACGCTGCAAGACACTGAGCGTCGTGACAGCTTCATGTCCGGGTGTCTCGACAACCTCTAGCCGGCTTCAGACACACCTAAAGGCAGCACCACTCCCCCCCAGTTTTGACGCTCTGCAGCCACAAAATTGGCACAAAACGAAATGGAATTAAATGGGCGCGTCTACTCCTCCATCTTGTCGTCCTTGTCGCTCTTCTTGTCGCTCTTCTTGTCCTTCTTGGCCTTCTTCTTGTCGTCCTCGTCCACGTCCATCTCGCCGCGCGCCTCCTTCTCCATCTGGCGCATGCGCATCCGCCGCAGCACCTTGGCCGAGACCTTCTTGACCGTCTCCTTGCCCTTCTGCGCGCTGGCCTTGCGCTCGCGCTTCTTCATGAGCTTCTCCTTGCGCAGCCGCTCCTTCTCCACCTCCAGCTCGTACTGGGCCTTGATCTTGTTGCGGTTGTTCTTCCTCGACATGGCTGCGGCTGCGAGTGTCAATGCCAATGGCAGTTGTTTGACTTTGTGTCGCTTCGCTTCGAGACCACCGATCGGCGAGCATTACGTCGAAATTAATTTTGGCCAACGATGGTCATTATTGGTTTTATTTCATCCAATCACCACTCGGATACCCATTTGACTCAGATTTTGACAGTGGATCCACCCGTCCACTGTGCGTGTCAATTGTGCGGCGGGGAGGATGGCCAAGGGCCGGCGTCGGAGCGCGCAGGCGTCGCGCTCGCTCTACAACATGCTGCCGGCGAGCCTGCGGTACGACTGCAAGTCACCGCACAGCGATTTGCCATGCTCGCTGTACAAACATTAGCAGGTTGAAGGCCAATGCGACGAGTGGACTGACGTAGTGGACTAATGGATACGCAGGCGGACGCTGGCTGGAGTGTCCTTGGGCATCTCCATTGGCGTCGCAGGGACGCTCATTCTGCTGGGGGTGGAGGAGAACGACGAGAAGAGTGGAGGAAGCGCTCGACGCGTTCCGATCCCGACTGACCGCAAACCGCTGGAGCCCAAGACGCTGCTGAAACATGAAGCGCTGCGCTACGGAATGCCCTCGGACGCCAACGTCCACGTGCGCTCGGGATACGTCGTGTCCTACGACTATCGGTGCGGTGGCAACTTTGCACTGTGTTTTTTTAACGCAGAGTGTTGGTTGGTGCTGACGAGTTGAGATCTGGTGTCTGTGACGTGGCAGCACGCGCAATGCGGCGTGGGTGATGGAGTACCTGACCAGAGACTCGCTGCGCGTGGAGCAAGAGACGGATCGAGCCAACTCCAAGTTCGCGGTGGATAAGGACGTCCCTGAACAGTTCAGGGTGCATCCGAATCGATACCTCAAGAGCGGCTACGATAAGGGCCATCTCGCGCCAGCTCGTATGTGTGCATGTTCTATCGCTGCGATGGCAACAAGGGGCTGATGCTGACGCTTGCAACGCAATTGGTTGCTGATTACCAAAAGGCGACATGAGTCATTCGCAGGAGGCCATGGACGAGAGCTTCCTGATGACCAACATGTCACCACAGGTCGGCGTTGGGTTCAACCGAGGCTACTGGGCACGCCTTGAAGGCTTTATGCGTCACCTGGCTGGTAAGTACGACGCCATCTACGTTATCACTGGACCGCTGTTTCTACCAAAGGTGGGGCTACCAACTCTTGTTTTATTTTAATGTCGATCTCTTGTGTTTCCTGACGTATTGCGTATGTTTCGTAGAAAAACAAGCGCACTGGGGAGTACGAGGTGTCTTACCCTGTGCTGAGCTCTCCGCCGGACGCCATCGCTGTCCCCACGCACTTCTTCAAGGTTGTGTTGGGTGAGAAGCGTGGCGGGGAAGGCTTTGCCACGGCAGGCTTCATTCTGCCAAACAAGGTCATCCCGGAGAACAAGGACCTGCGCGACTTCCAGGCGCCGCTAGACGTCATCGAGAAGCAGGCGGGCCTCATCTTCTTCGACAAGGTAAGCTTACTGTTCGCTCACTATTGTTTGTCTCTCTATCTCGTGATTTTTTTCTAACGCTTCGGCTATTCAGCTTGATGGAGTTAACAAGGTAGACCTGTGCCGCGAAAACACGTGCACACTCGCTGCTGCCTACCGTCGGGCCTCTTCGGTCGATTCTCAGTAAACGGAATAGAAATGCACACTCGAACTCGTAACAAAAAGCATGTGCATCTTCACTAAGGAAGTCTTGAAAAATCTATAGGCAACGTTATAGCCGCCGCCTTGCCCTCTGAAAGGCGGATCGTGAAGGTACACTTTGAGAAAGGGGCTCCGGCCTAACGAACGCGTCCGGTTACCAACCAAACCGAACCACTGCATGGTTGGGTACTTGGGAACGTGATGAAAGGTGCATGCCATTAGCGGCGGGCCATTCTCGGCAAGCACAAGACCTTCTTTCCCTGTGAAAAAGAACACGCCACAAAATAGGTAACTAACTGTGAAATATGTAAGCAGTAATGACGATGAAGGACGTACATGGAGCTTGATCGATTTCTGCGGAACCTGTAAGGCTGCTGCTTTCTCGCGGAAAGTAACGAAACCGAAGCCTTTGCTCTCCCCTGTCTCTGTATCCCGCACCACATGAGTACTCTCCACTTCACCGAACTGTTCAAATGTTTCGCGAAGAGATTCCTCGGTAGTTTTTGACCTTGAGATGTGACGAACTATCAGCGACCGAGCATTCGCTTCTTTCAGGTGGTGCATATTTCCTTCACTAGCCAGAGCGTGAACGACATCGTGGCTCTAGCGAACAAAGCACATATTACACGTCAGCGAAGCAAGCAAGAAAAATTAACAAATATCCAAGGCGTACATCGATCTTCATCGCAGGAGACTTCAACGCGTTGTCAGCCCCGGCCTTCGCGCGATACGTAACGAAACCGTAGCCTTTGTTCTCGTTTTTTGCATGATCCCAGACCACAAAAGCATTCTCCACCATGCCGAATTTCTCGTACTCTTTACGAAGAGTGTCGGTTGTTGTCTTTTTCGAGAGAGAGAGCACTTGTAGTGTTCGATTGGGAGCTTCGTCGGGCGACATCCTCTTCCCTTCACCAGCGAGAGCGTACGCAACATTGTTGCCCTAGCAGTGAAGGCGAAAGCAGTAGCACACACGTTAGCAGGGCAAACAAAAATACAGGCAATACACGAGACGTACATCGATCTTCATCGTTGGGGTCTTCAAAGCACTGTCAGCTCCAGCCTTCTCGCGAAAAGTTACGAAGCCGTAGCCTTTGCTCGCGTTTGTTGAGCGATTCCGTACCACATGGGTAGACTCAACTTCACCAAACTTCTCGAAGGCCTTCCAAAGAGTGTCGTTTGATGTTTTTTTCGCGAGCGCACGCACCATCAGCGTTCGATCGGGCGAGAGGTCTGCAGATGCTTTCTTACCTTCCGCAGCGAGATTGTACTTCACATAGTTACCCTGCAAGCGACAGCAACACACAATCGTCAGTGGTACAAAAGGAGCAAACAACAATACAAAAACGTACATCGATTTTCACCGTAGAAAACCTCAAAGCGCTGTCAGCTCCAGCCTTCTCACGAAATACAACGAAGCCGCAGCACTTGCTCTGGTTTGTTGCATGATCCCACATTACGTGAACATCCTCCACTTCGCCGAACTTCTCGAAGGCCTTGCGAAGAGTGTCCTTACTTGTCGTTTTCGCAAGAAAGCGGACAAACAATTTTCGATCGACAGCTTCTACGTTGTTAGCTTGCCGCCCTTCCCGAGGCTGCTGCGGTGCCAAAACAGCGTTTGTTGGGGGCTTTTCGTTAGCGTCGTCCCCGGCCTTTGTGCACGACACCTCGCGACCCTGCGAAGAATTTATGTTTAGTGGTGAGCAAATCCGCAATCCATAACAACAGCAACTCACATCTACTTTGATCTTCAGCGTCCGGATTGCCTGCTGAGCAGCCTTGGACTCGGCAAACGTAACATATCCGAAGCCAAGAGACTTGCCCGACGACTTGTCACGGATAATTGTGGCGTCTTCGACCTTACCAAAGGTTATGAAGCGCTGTTTCAACTTGATCGTCTCGGTTTCCGGTGCAAGCCCATGAACAGCAACCTTCCGTTGAGAAAGAACATTTTCAGCAGTGGTCGTCAAATCTGCGTACAGTTCATGGTATTTTAAAGCACTACAGTCCGGAGGGCAAGCATGAAAGCAGGACAAGCACAATAACACGTTAAAAACCAGGACAACAACTCGCCCACTACCATCTCGCACGATACAAATAAACGTACGCCGCTATGATGGTCTCCAACAACTGGCCCTTGGACAATGGCTGTAAAATACGCCGCACCATCTTCTCTTCGTTGGATTTCAGCGTTTCGAGCTTGGCCTTCTTCTTCGGAGGGCATTCCTCCATCGGGGTGAGCACTTTCACCGGCTTCCTCTTCTCGGCGGACTGTCTCGTCGGCTGTTCTTGTTCCTCCTCCTTCTCTTCCTCACTATCCGAGCTGTCAGAGCTCTCCTGCTTGCTCTGCACCACCGGTTTCGCCTCCTGCTCCGCTTCATCGTCACTGTCCGAGCTGTCCGAGCTCTCCTGCTTGGTCTCAACCAGCTCCTGCTCCACTTCATCTTCGCTATCGGAGCTGTCTGAGCTCTCCTGCTTGCTCTGCACGACCGGCTTCGCCTCCTGCTCCACTTCATCTTCACTATCAGACGTGTCCGAACTTTCCTGCTTAACCAGTCCTCTCGGCTTCGTCTCCACTTCGTCTTCACTGTCAGAGCTGTCAGAGCTTTCTTCTTGTTGCTGCACCGCCGGCATAGCTTCCTCTTCTTCCTCCTCACTGTCCTCACTGTCCGAGCTCTCATCCTTACTCTGCACCACCGGTGTCGTCTCCTCCTCTACGTCCTCTTCTTCACTCTCCGAGCTGTCGGAACTCTCCTCCTGCTTCTGCACCACGTTCTCCTCCGCCTCCGCCTCACTGTCCGAGCTGTCCGAGCTCTGCTCCTGTGCCTGCACCACGGGCGTGGCTTCTTCTTCCTCGCTGTCCGAGCTGCTGCTCGTCTCCTCTTCCTCCTTCTCCTCTCCCTCTCCTCCTCCTTCTTCTCCTTCTCCGTCTCCATCCACCTCCATCTCCTCCGCTGCGTCCTCGCTCTCTTCAACTTCCTCCTGCTCCTGCTCCTGCTCTTCCTGCTCGGACTCAGACTCAGACGACGACGATGACGCGTTCTCAACACTCGGGCGCGCTAGCACCGAGTCGGACGAGGAGCTGGCGCTGGAGTCCTCCTCCATCTCGACGTCCTCCTGCTGCTCCCTGCGCTTCCTGGCCATCGCTGCTCCAGTCGTCAAATAGCTGTTTGAGTGGCTAATTTTCGCTTTTCCACCAATCAAAACCGAGTTTTTATTTACAGCGAATCACAGGCCGTCAAACTATTGCGACAAGCCGTTATTAATACAGCGGATCAGTATTGAAGTGTCGGGGAGCTAACGCTGTCGCTGCGCGAGTGCTGCATGAGCCTCAACGAGCACGACGCGGCCCTGTCCGGGCTCATGGGCGTGGAGGAGACGCCGCCGCCCGCGCCGCTGGTCAAGGCGCTGGGCCCGCAGCAGGCGGAGGTCGTGGTCAAGCGCAACCAGTCCAAGTACGACTTCGTCAAGGTGCGCGTGTGGGTGGAGGACCACGTCTACGTGCTGTCGCGCTACCTGCTGTGCCGCGCGCTGGTGAGCGCCAAGGTGAGGGGGCAGAGCTATTGGTGGAGGTGGGTGGGTGCTGCTGGTTGAGGGGCTGACGGAGGGTTTATTGTGTGTGCAGATCAATTCGAGGGACGCGGTGCAGATTTCTCTGGACTTGAAGAGGGTGAGGCGGACGAAGAGGAGGGGGGGAAGTGGGGTAATGAGAGGGGTGGTTGACCAGTTTGGCGTTGTTTACTGCTGGGGGCAGACGCTGGTGGACTTGAATTTGACGGATATCGTGCAGGTGAGGGTGGTTTAAGGTGGTTTTTGAGGGGGGGGGGGTTGTTGCTGATATCGAGTGTGGGTAGGAGCAATTTGAAGACTTTCTGTACAAGACCATGCTGGTGTTTGGCTACGGCGAACCGCAGATTTCCTGCTACAGGATGATGTCGAGGTAGGCAGCTCGGTACAGATTTGTGGTCGTCCTTGATGCTTTTGAACTAATTGGGCTTTGTGGCGATAGCTTCCATCGCAACCGCGTCCCGCTACTTATTATGCTGGCGGGAACTGCCTGCATCGGCAAGTCCACATTGGCAACAAAGGTGCGTTGTGTACGAATGGTGCACGCTTACAGGAATCGAAGTAACTGATTTGTGCTGCTGCTGTTTTGCAGTTGGCCGACCGTCTCAACCTCTCGAGCGTTCTCCAGACAGACCTGATCTTTGAGCTCATGTGCAACTTTTCTGGGTAAGTGAACATCGCACGAGCTTATTTAAGTCAACTGGCGATGACGCTAATGGCGAGTGTTGTCGTTGCAGGCAGGAGAAAACGTCCTACATAACGACGAGTTTTTCATCAACGGAAGATCTTATCGACGAGTACCAGAAGGAGTGCGAGGTGGTGCGCAAGGGGGTAAAGTCCGACATCGACAAGTGCCTTAAGGACGGCAAGTCCCTTATCATCGAAGGATTCCACATCGATCCCCGACTGTACCAAAAGACTATTGGCGCCCCCGAAAAGGGTAGCAACGCCACCTGCTCCGGTATCGTGGTGCCCTTCCTCCTGACTCTGGACGAAGCTGATCATCACAACTTCATGACCAACTCTCCCGACCCCCGATACCGCGGCGATCAAAATGTAATGGGCTTCCGCAACTTGCACGACGTGCAGAACTACCTTGTTGTACACAGCCAGGAGGAAGGCATGCTCCCCTTTACCGAGGTCCGTATCAACCTCCATTCATTCCACGACACGCTTGACCACCTCCACGACGTTGTACTCAAGCGCATCGAGGAGGTATTTGTCAGTAGCAAACGAACTCTATGCGAGTAAATACTATACCCGGATGTGCATGTGCTTATGTCGGGTTAGATTGTTCATTGCACTGCACAGGATGTTGTTGCTCATGTAGGAAAAGAGTGTCGCAACCTCAGTGTCGACCTTGAATTGAGGGGTCAGAAAATATCATGACGAAAAAAAACTTGTAAGTCATCTTCCTTCATATTTTTTGCTTACATCCGAACTTTCAGTTTAGTTCTCGAAAGGAAACCAGCACGTGGAAATGACGAAGCACCGCTCGTCGACCAGGCTTATCAACCAGAAGAAGAAGCTGAGGCAACAAGCAAGTGATCAAAACGATACTGCTTCTCGCCTTAGTTTCGTCGTCGATTTGGAAGCTTCCACCGTGTCCGATTATCTGTCCACTGCGGACATTTCGGCTCTTCTCCAAGCTTGCTCAAGTGAATTTTCCCAGGATTTCGTGAACTCACTATCGCAACGAGCGCCCGACCGGTTTGCCAGGGAGAACAAAACGCACCTTGGCCGACATTGTGCTTGCGACTGGCTGCGGCGCCTTGATGGTTTCTACCATAGTACGAAATGTGGTGGTGAAGAGCCTTTCAACGTGAATATGGCCATGCAGATTCTTCGGACGCCTCGAGGTCTTCACGCGCTAGGGCTGGCGGAAAGGCTACTGAGGCCATTCTGCGTCAAGAACAGTCGAGGCGAGGACATGTTCGCTCCGGTTGTATGTTTGCTCTCGGAGGAGAATGAAAGCCTTTTCACCCAACTGGACGTGACGAAGGCAATGAACCGCGTTTGTGATGGAGCGGGGTCGCGGTTCTTCTACAAGTTCTCGACGAAACGGAAATCTTACTCGATGACAGACTTCATCGATGAACACTGGGACGAAATCGACGGATCGTCGTGCCGCCATTGCGATAGACTGCCGAGCTACCGAGACAACGACCACTCTCGAATCAAATGGAGGGACAAGAACATCGAGAGCATCCGCGTCAACTGCAGCAAAGTGTACCGCCCGCTGAAAGCTGGCATGGAGAGGGAGCTCCAGTTCGTGCGGTATATCCCCAAGCCACACAAATCGGGGTGGTCTTCCAAATACAATGGACTGGTGGCGGGGGTATCGACCAGCGGGGTCTTCTGTGGTATGTATGTCGTGAACGGATATTGGCCCTACAATAGTGGGAAACGTCGATCGCAGCAGCAACGTTGAAGTGTGTGTGGTGGAAGGATTTCTGGTCATCTCGCTGCATTTTGCACACGTAGGATTGGAAGGTTTACAATAAGTTTGACACTTTATGCACCATAACTGCAACATTTATCGTTTTATTCGGACGGGATGGAGGAGAAGAGGCGTGCTGTAACGCGAAGTACCAAGCGAGGGGCGAAGAAGCAGAGACCGTCGGCCAAGACAAGAGGTTCTCCCCCTTCGGACGATTCTACGCTCGGTCTTCTATGCCAAGTGTTGGAGTTGGGGGCCGCGTGGAGGTTTCTGTCTAGAAGAGGTCTCTCGTGCCATCCAAGCTGCTGGAAGGGCGCTATCCCACGACTTGGTCGACTCTGTGGCGTTGAAATCTGTGGATGCATTCGCAGTGGAGAACAAGACGCACTTGGGAGGGGAGTGCAAATGCGACTGGGTGCGGAACCTCCACTTTACTACTGGCCTGGAAGCGAGGAACAAGTGCAACGACTCCCCACCTTTCAGCGTGAACAAGACGCTGCCTGTCCTTCAAACACCAGGCAGCACTGCGGCTCTGCTGGCTGCGCTATTAATTACCAAGGAGCTTCTGGGCACTGTCTCGTGGGCCAACAGATTCGTCAACCCCGCGTACTACCCCGTTGTGTGCCCCCTTCTAGCTGGCGGAGGTCAAAACTTGAAGAGTAAGGCTGCCGTCACTCGAGCGATGAACGCCGTCAGCCCTGGAGCGGGCTCTCATTTCTTCTACAAAGTCTCTAAAACCACGGGGTCCGCTAGGTCGCCCGATTTCCTATACGAACACTGGGACGGCATTGATGGAATGTCGTGTCAGGACTGCGATCAACTCGTGGTTGAGGAGGATGGACGGTGGACATCGAAAGAAATCGACAGCATTCGGGAGAACTGCAAGAAATTGTACAGGCCATTGAAGACTCAAATGCAGCAGAATCTGCGATTTGTGCGATGCGTTCGCAGACCTCGGCGACGTGTGGGGCGAGTCTTCGCTCCGTATAAGGGATTGGTGGCTGGGATAACGAGCGATGGGGTTCTGTGCGGACTCTACCTGAACATCGGATTTTGGGGTGATGACTAAAGAACTTTACGGACTGTTGGAACAACTTGACATTTTTAGCACAAGCAAGAAGAAGCTGAAGACGTCGTCTAGCGTACCGAACGCGTTCTTCCCAACGAACTCCTCTGCTGCGCGTATTGGCTCGCTCTTGGAGCTCGATTTCGCACCAATCTGGAACTTCTTAAGCGATGCCGACGTGTGCGTCTTACTCGAGGCATGCTGTGGAGTGTTGTCAAACGAGTTCGTTCGCATAATGTCGCTAAAGCAGATCGACAAGTTTTGCGAGAAGAATTTGACGCACCTGGGCCGACGATGCGGTTGCGACTGGATACGAAACCTTTCCTTTACCCCCCTCTCCGATGACACGTGCACGGACAACGCGCCGTACACTGTGGAAAAGACCTTACCGATACTTCAAGTTCCTGGTGGCGCTCGTGCCTTGCTGAGCGCGCTGTTTCAGGTGAAAAAGCTGCTTAAACTGACAAAAATGCGTGAATCCAGGCGCTCTACGTTCGTTCCGCTGGTCTTCCCCCTCGTAACGGAAACGAAGCTCAGTCTCTGCCCCTGTACCGAGAAAGACGTGAAGGGGGCGATGAACGGAGCTTGCGAGAACTGTGGAACTCGCTTCTTTCATGAATATAAGAGGAAACGAGGACGTGCAATACTAGATTACCTGGACCACCACTGGCATGGGATCGAGGACTCCTCGTGCGAATATTGCGACAGCCTTACAAGGCCTCAGAGAAATTTCAGGAGCTGGACTCTCGATAGAGTTGCGAAACTTCGATCGAATTGCACGGAGGTGTATCAACCACTCAAAGCTGCTATGGTGAAGGAACTTCAGCTCTCGCGCTTTGTCCCTCGGCCCCGAGGACTTCGTGCTATGACAAGTACGCTTCATTCTGGCATGTATTACGGCCCATACAAAGGGTTGGCGGCGGGTGTTACGAAAGACGGAATTCTATGCGGGGTTTATCTTGTGAATGGATTCAGCGCGTATTGAATGGTGACAAAGATTTTGACTCGTCAGTTTTTTTTTCTTGAATGCAAAACTTTTGAAGTCTAAGTCTCGACCGTGGTGTGTCTAAGCCTCGACGCTTATTCCGGTAGTGCGTCCTCTCGTGACGAAAGAGAAGCTCGATCTGTGTCCTTGCACTGAGAAGGACGTAAAGCGCGTGGTGAACCGAATCTGCCTCAACGCTGGATCACGCTACTTTCATGAATAGGGTATCTTGATTTCCTGGATCGCCATCGAAGGCTCCTCTTGCGCGTACCTTCGCATTTTGCCGAGAACTGTGGTGGTTCGAGGTGGGCATTCCCATCCGTATGAAGGACTGGTGGCAGGAATTACGAGGGACGGAGTTCTTTGTGGACTGTATCTGGTGAGCGGGTTGAGATATTTGCTGTAAGAGGCGACAGTGAGAGAATGACGCAATCCATGTCTTTCACTGGAAAAGCAAACCGTTCGAATCGACAATCAAATCAATAGACTGTAACTTGTGTGACAATCCTCCCGAAACACCCAAGTTGCACAATCGCGATCTATTGAAAAAGCGTCGCCGCCCCATGGAGAAGCCGCGTCGGAATCCGGCGAGAGCCGCCAGGGCCAAGAGACAGAAGCGGGGTATCGATGTCGCCGTCCCTGACAACTCTGCAGTCAACCGCTTCATCTACGTCCTCGACCTGGGGACGGCATCCGTCTGGGAGTATCTGGATCCGCAGAGCGTCTCCAACACGGTCCAGGCATGTCCCGACGTCTTCTCGCAGGATTTCATCGATTCCGTGTCGCTTCGGGCGGTGGAGTATTTCGCCGTGGAAAACAAGACGCACCTCGGCCGCCACTGCGAGTGCGACTGGATGCGGCGTCTTGACTTCCAGTACCAGTCCGACGACAGGTGCAAGGGCGCGGTGCCTTTCACAGTCGACAGAAGTCTGCCGATCCTCCAATTGGCCGGAGGTCCCAAGGCTCTTCTGGACGCTCTGCTGCTGACGAAGAAGCTCATGCAGCCGTTCGAGCAAGCCGAGAGGTGCCGAGACGCCGCGTTCGTTCCGATGGTTTGTCCGCTGGTCACCAAGGAGAACCCCAAGGTACCAACCAGAGCTGCAGTCACCCGAGCAATAGACCGAATCAGCGCGGGAGCTGGAGCGAGATTCTTCTACAAGTTCAAGCTCAACTCGCAGCCGTCGTTCGTCGACTACATTGAGGAGCACTGGAGCGGCATAAGCGGCTCGTCGTGTCACTATTGCGACAGTCTGACGGGTCCCGACGCTCGGAAGCCAAAGAAGTACGCCGGCTTAACCTCCACCGAGATTAAACGTGTCCGTGAAAACTGCACGAAGCTGTATCAACCACTAAAAGCGGCTTTGGAGGAGAATCTTCGGTTTGTGAGGTTTGTTCGCCGTCCTCGACGTCGTTCACGTCGAGAGTGGAGCTTTACAGGCAAGTACAAGGGACTGGTGGCGGGAATTTCGCAGGGAGATGTTCTGTGTGGACTCTTCCTCGTGAGTGGCTTCTGGCCGCATGAATAACCAAGCTGGATGAGCAAATGGCTGAACGGTATCGCCCTTATCATTAAGCTAAAACAGTTTTTCCATGCGCATTAAGTAGTTACCTAGCTACTAGTATCGTAAACCACAGTAAGAAAAAGCCATTGCTGCTGCAAATTCAATATTCTTCTAAACGCAGGGGGGGGGGGGGGGGGTGCTGTCTGAATCCCTTCACGAGACACAGCCCGCATAGAATTCCGTCCTCGGTGATACCGGCCACCAATCCTTCATATGGACGGTAGTATCTGCCTGGAACCAAAGTGCTTGGCACAGCGCGGAAGCCGTGGGTCGAGGAACAAAGCGCACCAGCTGCAGGTCCTTCATCACGGCAGCTTTGAGCGGTCGATACACCTTTCGGCAGTTGTCATGAATCAATCGCCACTTCTCGATCGTATTCCAACAATGACCCTCGTGGCTCTTGCAGTCGTTGCCGTCGATCTTGTGCCAGTGGTGATCCAGATAATCAGCGGATGCAGGTCCTCGGTGTCTTTTGTATTCATGGAAGAAGCGCGACCCAGCATTGTGGCCGATTTTGTTCATCACATGCTTCGCATCTTTCTCGGTGCAGGGACACAGGCGAAGCTTCTCCTCCGTCACGAGAGGACAGACCACCGGAATAAACGTAGAGAGAGTCCCGGGCCAAAGATCTTGTGGCCAACCGTGTTGTTTGCTCTCCTCCAGGAGCCTTTCCGTCACGACCAGCGCGCTTAGCATAGCACGAGCGCCACCGCGGACCTGAAGTATCGGCAGGGTTTTCTCCACAGCGTGCGGCGCGTTGTCAGTGTATATATCGTCGGAGTGAGGGACAAAAGCGAGGCTTCGCATCCAGTCGCAACGGCATTGGCGGCCCAGGTGCGTCTTGTTCTCCACGCAAAACGTGTCGAGAGCCTTCAGAGATATCGCGTCGATGAGTTCGTCCGACAGCAGACCAGCACGCGCTTCCAGCAAGTTGCACACGTCACTAGCTCCCAAAAAGGCCCAGACCACAGCTGCTTCGAGCTCCAAGATCGCACCAAAGATCCGAGAAGAAGAAGCCGTGCAGTCGACGAAGTCTTCTGCTTCTTCTTGCTGCTGCCAGTCATTGCGCTTAGCGGCACTGGAGCACCACCAAACAATGGATAGTACATGTCCGCCATCTCAACACTAGGTTTCTAGCTCTGCCTCTAGAGCTCGCGTTGTTCTGTTGGTAAAGTGCGACGCAAAAACCTGCTCAGTTTTTTTTTGTGGGGGGATGGGGGGTCATTTCTTGTTCCTCATTAAAAAAAGTGTTCATTTGTTGCTTTGCATTAACATTTTTCGCTACACAGTAGTCCTCGTTTGGATTCATCAATGACCTATCATAGCTTCTGTGCCGATTGGTAAAACTTTATCGATCGTATGGCCAATATCCGGACACGACATACATGCCGCAGAAAACCCCGCTGGTCGATACCCCCGCCACCAGCCCCTCAAATCTGTCGGGTGACCACCTGTGCGGCTTTGGAATAAACCGCACAAATTGAAGCTCCTTCTTCATAGCGGCTTTCAGCGGCCGGTACACCTTTATGCAGTTAGCGCGGATACGCTCGACTGCCTTGTTCTTCCATTTCATCCTGCTTCTAGCACGAACCCAGAGCTCAGTTTGATAGCATGGCAGTTCATCGCATTGACGGCACGACGAGCCCTCGATACCGTCCCAGTGTTCGTCGATGAAATCCGCCCTCGTGTACGCTTTATTCATTTTGAAGTCGTAGAAAAATCGCGTCCCCGCTCCTTTGCAAGCGCGATTCAATGCCTTCGTGACGTCTTCTTGCGTGAAAAGACCTTCGTTCTCCGTGAGCACGCACACGACCGGAGCGAACATGGTCTCGCCACGACTGTTTTCCAGGCAAAACGGCTTCAGTATTTTCTCCGCCAATCCTAGCGCGCGGAGTAGAGCTCGAGTGCCTCCAGGTGTCTGTAGAATCGGCATGGACGTGTCCATATTGAAAGGATCCTCCTGGCCACAGTTCTTCGGATGACAGATACCGTCAAGACGTCGCATCCAGTCGCAAGTGCATTTACGTCCAATGTGTGTCTTGTTCTCCTTGGCAAACCGGTCGAAGGCTGTTCGCGTTAGAGCGCTGGCGTATTCAGGCGAGAATATACTGGCACAAGCTTGGAGAAGGGCCGAAATGTCTGCAGTCGACAGATAATCGGACACGGAGGATGTTTCCAACTCGACGACGAAAGTAAGACGAGCCGCAGTTTTGTTTTGCTCACTCACGTGTTGCTTCTGCTTCTTTTTCTGGTAAGCAAGTCTTGTCGACGAACGGCGCTTCATCATGATGCCCACAAGTAAGTTTCCTCTCAAACGGATAAAATTGAGAGTAAAGCCTGACCAAGAACAAGCGGGAAAAATGAAGGAAGGCGACGAAGTGAAGCAAGTTGACTACTTGTCGTGGCACGACTGATTTTGAAAAACGAACGTCAGTTGATGGTTTTCGCCTCTTGCCAGTTGAGCACGTAAAATGCGCTCTCGTCGATTTTGAATTTGAATTTGTTGCGGTTTAGTCGGCTACCTACTCCCGGAGGCGCGCACGATCTCGTCGATTGATCCACAGCCTGTGGGCCACAGGTTTGGATCGTTGTTCCTGTCACTGTATTGAAATTCATAGAACATTTCCGGCAGCTCAGTCGTTTGAATTCTTGACCTGGTTGCCCGCACATCGATATACTGGCGTCGTCGCCGGCAATTGAACATCGCGCTCAAGGTGAGAGAGATTGCGCCCGGCGACCAGCCCTCGTCCTCGCAGATGACGGGGATACTTCTCCAGCCAATAGATTGCCAGCGTGGCAACCACTTCAACTTCCCCTGTCCAACTTCAAACGTCTCACAACTCTCCAAAATCCGCTCATTTCGAGACAAATTTCCCGGACACCAAGTGGTACATGGTACCTTCCTCGTCCCATAATCGGACTTTAGTGGGTGAGGGGTCGGACACGCCGACCGGCGACCTCCCTCAACCGCCCCCTTCAAACCGCAAACCCGATACAAACATAGATGTCGCCCCTCCCCGTGCCTCTCCACCCCTCGTTTAACACGTCGAAGATCCCATCCACCACGTCATTTGAGCTCTTGACCCCTCTCAGACACATCGACAATGCTTGCCTCCCGTGTGTTCTCGGCCGCCCGCCGCGCCGCCGGCACGCGCTCCATCGCGACCGTGAAGCTGCCCGACCTCGCCTACGACTTCGGCGCCCTGGAGCCGTCCATCTCGGGCCAGATCATGGAGATCCACCACCAGAAGCACCACCAGACGTACGTCAACAACTACAACGCCGCGCTCGAGCAGTATGCCGAGGCCGAGGCCAAGGGCGACCACGCCAAGCTGCTGAGCCTGCTGCCGGCGCTCAAGTTCAACGGCGGCGGCCACGTGAACCACTCCATCTTCTGGACCAACCTGGCGCCCGCCAACGAGAACGGCGGCGGCGAGCCCGAGGGCGAGCTGCGCAAAGCCATCGACCAGGAGTTCGGCAGCTTCGACAACTTCAAGAAGACCATGGCCGCCAAGTCCGTGGGCGTGCAGGGCTCGGGCTGGGGCTGGCTGGGCTACTCGCCCGAGACCAAGCGCGTGGGTGTCGTCACGACCCCCAACCAGGACCCGTGCAGCACCACGGGCTACGTGCCGCTGCTGGGCATTGACGTGTGGGAGCACGCCTACTACCTGCAGTACAAGAACGTCCGCCCGGACTACCTGAACGCCATCTGGGACGTGGTCAACTGGAAGAACGTGGAGGAGCGCTACCTCGTGGCCAAGAAGTAAGAAGGAAGTGAGTTTGGACTACCTACTGCGTGGGAAGAACAGTGAGGAGAAGTACTGCTGGAAAACAGTGAAACGAACAATGATTTACGGACTTTTACATATTGCTGTTCGTGTTGGAAACGGAGTTGGTTGAGGGGTGCAAGTACCAGAGATGAAGCAGATTGCCTTTTGAGGAGGCGTATTCGATGCGAAATCTGTTGCATTTAGGTGAAAATGTCGCCACTTCAACTCAAAGTTTTCATAAGTCGATTCATAAGTGCATCACACGCTCAAGACTCGGCTCGCCGCGCTGCTTGCTTCTGGCGCTCTAGTATCTCCTTTTGTACCCTAGCCATCTCACAGATCCGGTCCTCATTGATGGAGATCCGCTTCTCCAGTACTGATAGAGTTCGTGTAACGATCTCGAGCTGACCCACGATGTGTTGCAGGGTGTTATTCATATCCACAGAGAAAGAGAGCTGATCTCCCGCAGCACGGTTCGACGGTGTTCCATTGGGGCTCGTCGGGAACTTGGCCTCGCCTCCAGGCGACCTGGGCATCTGTAGAGGCGTTGAAGGTGGAGGTGGCGGTGGAGGCATCGACATCGCTGATCCACTGGATAACGGAGACCTCAGCGGTGAGCTCGTCGGTCGCACCTCGTATTTAGAAGCTGCGTACGGGTGCCTTGGCTTCAACTGCGGAGCTGGCACTGGCGTGGATGTCGGTGTCGGAGGAGGGGAACTTGCAGGCACTTCCACGGTTCGAGCTGCTTCGTCACCCCCAGCACTGACTCCATGCACCTCACTCCTGCGTCGCTCATCCAAAGCAGCCGTCGCCTCCACGCGTGGTGCCAGTCGCTCCACCTGCAGACACTTGTCCAGATCCGCGTCCCACACCAACACACACGAATCCACAGCCCCTGACGCCAGCAGCTTGCAATCCTGAGAAAACTCTCCGCAGTTCACGGCCCCATCATGCCCCTGCATCGTGTACAGCACTTGGCCCTCCCTCACATCCCACAACTTGATGGAATTGTCATGCGACGTTGACAGCAGGTAGTTCCCCGTCGGATGGAACGCCACCCACGTCACGCTGGCCTCGTGAGCCTTATAGTGGTGCACCAATCTGCCCGACCTCGTGTCCCACAAGTTCACACTGCGATCGTAGCTGCCGGAAGCCAACGTGTTGCTGTTGTCCGCCGGGTGGAAGGCCACGCTGTTGACGATGCCCGAGTGCTCGTAGAACGTCTGCAGACAGCGCTTGGTCTCCGTGTCCCAGAGCTTCACCGTCTTGTCGTCGCTGCCCGAGGCGATGCGCCTCGTGTCGGCGCTGAACCTGGCGCTCCTGACCCAGTTGCTGTGGCCCGTGAGGCTGCAGCGGAAGCGGCGTGTGGGCAGCGTCCAGACCTTGAGCGACATGTCGTCGGACGCCGTCAGCAGCTCGCGCCCCGAGGCCGAGAAGCTCACGGAGCGCACGGCGCCGGCGTGGGCCTTGATGGTGACCGAGTCCCCGCGCACCGTGGGCGTCCAGAGCCGCACCGTGCGGTCCTGCGAGGCCGAGGCCAGCACGTCCCCCGTGGGCGAGAAGCACACCGAGTGCACGGGCCCCGCGTGCCCCTTGAAGCGGAAGGCGCGCAGCTGCGGCTTGAAGTTCCACACCATCACCAGCCCGTCCAGCGACGACGACGCCACCTGTTGCACATTCGGGTGGAAGCTCACGCCCGTCACGGCCGACTTGTGCCCGCGGAACGTGCGCTCCAGCGACGGGTTCTCCATTTTGAAAGTCGCGATGGATACTATTTTTGCCGCTTTTTGTGTGCGTTACGTAAAAATAAGATATTCGATTTTGTTTTACACTTTTTTCGGCTGCTTATTTTGTCTTTATATTTTTAAGCAAACCTGTTAAAACAGGTTTTTCTTCAAACAACAGCTGAAAAAAAGAGTAAAAAGCAAACAAAATCGCGGATCACTTTGTACGATGCGGACTGACCACGGGTCGTTCCTGTGACTTTCCTTTGTTCCACCGGGGATTGACAGAAGAAATCGAAAATGAATGATAATTTTAAAGAAACTGTCAGTTCATCTTTCGAAGTTTTTTTTAAATACTACGGAGGCGAATATCCGCTCTTGAGGTATAGGCCACACAGCACTCTACCGTCGGTGATACCCGCAACTAGACCTTGATAAGCGATCAAATGCACGCGTAGGCCCTGCTTCCTGCTCCAATGACGTTGGCGGATAAATTTCACGTGCCGAAGATTCCTCCATTGCAGCCTTCAGAGGTCGATAGAGCGCTTCGCAGTTTAGCCGAATTCCCCTGATCCGTCTGGAGCTCCAGTTGCCAAACGTAAGATGGTCGCAATACTGGCACGTTGAGCCATCGATGCCTCCCCAGTGCTGCTCAATGTAGTCAGTGATGCCTCTAGGTCTGCTGTTCAGCTTAAACTTGTAAAAGTAACGCGATCCAGCTTTCGGGAAGACGTTGTTCATTGCTCAAGTGATAGCACTGCTATCATAGCAGCCTTGGTTTGCAGAACTGGGTTTGCTTTTGTCGCAAGTGGGCAAACAATTGGCACAAACTCGGCATCTCGGAATCGTTTGGCAGAGGAAAACGGCTGCATTAACTTCTTCGTCATAACTAGAGCGTCCAAAAGAGCTTGAGCACCCCCAGCCAACTCGAAAATTGGTAACGTTTTGTCCACGCTAAACTCTGTATCGTCGTCACACACATCGTTCGAGCGGCAAACAAACTCGAGGCTTCCAGCCAATCGCACCCGCATCGTCGGCCTAGATGTGTCTTGTTTTCCACAGCAAACATATCGATTGCCTTCAGCGCTACTGCGTCAGCAAAGTCTGAAGAGAATGCACCGGCGCACGCCGAAAGCGTAGTGGAGACTTCCTCTGTGGAAAAATACGCCCAGTTCCGAGCTCCAAAACGCGAACCAGGGCACAGACATCGCGACGTGGAGTGGACGAGACTTTTTGCTTCTTTTTGCCCCGGGCGTTTGTCGTAGCTTGCGCCTTCTTCACCATTTAGCAACTTGAAAAAGAGCGAACGACCAAGAAAACGTCACAAAAATCGAGTGATGGAAGGTGATTCCCGTTTTATATGCATTTAACCAAACATCTGAATCAACTCCTACTACTTCTCTTCAGCACCGTTTGACGCGTTACCTTCTTCTCTCGACCCCTTATTGTTCACCTTCTCCGTCGACGCTGTCTCACTCTCCTTCCCTGGCACACCCTCTGTCGCTGCGTCTTCCATGTTGGCGTCCTTTAAAGCGGCCGCCGCCGTCTCCACCTCGTTCTCCACGTCCGACTCCGACTGCAGTTGACCCTTCACTGACTTCTTCTGCGCCTCGCCGAACGGGGTCTGCTGCCACAGCGCCTCGAACTCTTCCGGACTGCCGCTCGAGCAGATGGACTCGTGACGACCCTCGTCTTCCTTGTTCTGGCGGCTCCACGTCGTGCGCAGCGTCGTGCCGTCGATCTCTCGCTCGTGCACGGCTTTGAGTCGACCTGTCGAGTCTTCGTAGCGGCGGCGCGTGGTGGTCACGCGACGGCCCTTGTCGTCTACGACTGACGAGTTGCTGAACGAGTAGGACGAAAAGGTGTGGCGCTCGGAGGCGTCGTTGGGCTCGTTAAGCGTGATCTTGCGCTCGGTCGTGGGCGTGATCTTGTAGGAGTGCTTGCGGAGCTGCTTGTTGCTGTGCTTCTTGTTCTTGTTGTGGCGTTTGGTTTTCTTGGTTTTATCCTTGGTGTTGGCCGTGGCGAGTTTAGGCTTGCTCTTGGTGCTAGTTGGGCCGCTTGACTTGTTCGCCCCTTCATCGTCGACCTCCATGTCCGTGCTGGAGTCCGTGTCGGACTTGTCACGAGTAGCAGCAGCCTTGTGCTGGACGATGCTCGTTGATTCCTCCTCCTTGTCCTCCTCCGGCTCAGTCTCTGGAACGACCTGCAGCTGGAACGCCGTCGGCATGCACTTGCGAGCCACCACAGGCAGGTCCACGAAGAAGTCGTCGTCGTCAGAGTCGGAATCGGATTCACTCCTGTCGTCCTCCATGGTCATGACTGGAGCATCAAGCTGCATACCGAATGGGAATCGAGGACGCATCATCAAGTCGTTCATCTGCTCGAGCTCCATCATGGACTGCTCCAGCGACGACATGGGGTACCAGAAGCGCGGTCGCACGAGATCCCACGAGCTGAACATGGTTGGCTGGTTGATTGAGGTTGGTAGTGTAGTGTTGCTTGGCTGTATTCTTGGCCTGTTGCTTGCTTTGCGTTGCTTGTAGCAAATTCGTTTATGGCGTCTCGAGTGGATCATTTCCTGGTGCAGAGGCTCCGTCAATAGAGGACACAAGTTGAAGTGGGCCGAGCCAATAGAATGTTGTCGAATGGGGGTCTTCAACTTGTCACATACAAATCCCCATATATTCGGAGGACTGGGTATCTAGAAGGGAGGGCGAAGGTTCGTCACGCCGCTCGAAGCAATAGCACTGCTATTACACCGAAGGCACTCCAGAAGTCGAAGCCTTCTTTGATCGAACTCGGATTGTCCAAGTCCATCGTACATACACAGTTCCCGCCGTGCCCTCGCAACTCGCTAGTCCGCCCATTTCGATGGTCGCATCCGTGCTGCAATCCCCGCAACGACGCAATGCCCACCTGCAGCCACAGCTTAGAGACTGGCGTCCGGGATCGAACCGCAGTCGAAGTCCGTGAAGCTGCAGTCGCACGCGCAGCGCTGCTTGGTCGGTGGCAGTCGTCACTCCAAGTCCGCGTATGACTCGAGCGGGTCGCCGTCGGTTTTCTCGCACTGTATCCATCTCCCATCTGATCATGCCTGTTCCTCATTTGACAAACGAGAACCAAGGCGGCAAGTCCCCGAGCCAAGCGATGTCCAGCAGCAGCAGCAGCAAGACGCCGTTCTCCTCGCCTGCGGCTCCGGTGCTGCCACCGCGCTACTCGTCGCGCCTGTTCCGGTCCTCGTTCGCCACGTGCTTCTCGGTGGTCGGCGCCGTGCGCAGCGAGCTCTGGGGCTGCGCGTTCGTGGCGCTCGTCGTGCTGCTCACGTCGCTCAACTACTGGCGCGATCCAGTCAAGGGCTGGCGCCGCACGTCCGACATGACGGCGGTCTTCTTCGCCGCCGTGTACCACGCGTACTGCTGCGTGGTGCAGTGCCAGGACCCGCTGGTGCAGGTGCTCTACGCGCTGGTGGTGGCCAACTCGGGCTACTGCTACATGCAGGCGCGCAAGGCGCCCAACCAGGACGTGTCGTCCGCCTGGCACTGCGGCCTGCACCTGCTGGGCAACGCGGCCAACGTGCTGCTGTACCTCGGCATCTCCATGTAGACAAGAGGGTCAAGAAGATTCTGGAGAGAGTGTATAAGGCAGAGGGGGATTCTGTCGAGTTTGGTAGTGGCTAAGTAAAGTGAATACTACATATCTATGAGTTTGATGCGAGAACGAAAAGGGTTTGCCTCATGTTGCGCGTGAAGCGCCGAATGACGAGCTCTCGATGGCCGTCAAGGCGGCTTGAGCAAGGGTGTTGACGCGGTCGCGAGAGAGTGCGAGGCTGGAAGACGAAATGTCGAGGCGGTACGTGACCGACTTGCGACCGCTCTTCTCGCAGCGATACTCGTCCAGCAGCGAAATGGAGACGTCCATCGTCTCAGCAGGGAAGTGCTCGCGGACGACGTCGTGCAAGAGTTCTTCACTGAAGAGCTGCTCGTCAGTGACCCAGAAGCTCACGTCGCGCGCCCACTCGATGGGGAAGCAGGACTGGCGGCTGGGAGCTTCGTGGCAGAACACGTGCGTGATGCCGTCCTCCGTCCAGAACGCCTTCTTTCGCGACTGATAGCCGACGCTGTAGTATCCGAGGTCAGCCAACGCGTCCACGGGGCAAAAGTGCGCGTCCTGCAGCAGCAGTCCCGGAGTGGCAGCGCAGTGAACGATCTGCCACGTATCCCCGACTGCTCGCTTCTTTATCTCCAGCTTGGTGCCTCCTTGTCCAGCACACAGCGTGACCCAGATCTGTCCGTCACTCGCGAGCACTTGACTCGCGCTGGCGAAGAAGTCGACGAGCAGTTGGCGGTGGCGGTGGATCTTGTTGCGCTTGTTCTTGTTGCCCACTCCGCCATCCGCCGCGTAGTGCGGGAAGTTGAACACGATCCGGTCAAACCTGAACGAGTTCTCATCATCACTGTCGTCGTCCTTAAACGAGTAGTTCTGCAGCTTCGTGGCGTTCACGCCGTGTCGGACGCGAACTCCGCCACTGTGCAGCTCGTCCAGGATGCCGCGCGACTTCGGGTACATCTCCAGCAACTGGCTCTCGGTATCCAGCGACGTGACTGTGACGTTGATCTCTCCGGCGGCGATGCGCGCGCTGTTGGCTCGCAGGAACGCGCGCGAGTAGGAAAAGTTGCCATCCCCGACCACGAGCACCTGCGCGCCGTGCTTCAGAGGCCCCAGCGAAGTCAAGTCGCCGATAGCATTGCTGCTGCTGGCAGGAGGTGCTGGTGTGGTTGACGTCATGCAGGAAATGTTCCTGTGGAGAGCTCGAGCGCGCAGGAAGGAGGTGCCGCGTCGAGCAGCAATTGACATCGACCGATGCTAATCAATGGAGCGCCGTGAACACGCCTACGTAACATATAACTGATATGATTGCAAAATGGTGTTAGTTAACCTTCCTGGGGGATCATGCTCCTCCTCGCCGCTGTGCGCATCGTCCTGGAGGCCTTAGGCGTTGTAGTGGTACCACAGCATGGCGGTGATGAGGGCGACGAGTGTGGGGCCGATAAAAGCCACCGCGACTCGGCCAGACTGAGCAGGTGGGGCTGGGGACACTGCTGGCTCTTGCCCTGGCTTGGAAGGAGAAACGCTATTCTTCTCCTTCTTCGCATCCTTCTCCTCCTTGGCCTTTGCAGTTTGGCTGGTCTTGCCCTCCTTCTTCTCTCGGCGCTGCTTCAGCTGGATTAACGCAATTTACACAGAGGAGAACAACATCAACAGCATGGAACATGGTCAAAAGGAGGCAAAAGTACTACAAAGATAATTCTCTTTCTGGCGGCCGTACCGTGAGCTCGAGGTCGTCGATGGTCATGCGGAGCTGCCACGGCACTTGCATCTTCTGCTTCTCCAGCTCGGCGACCAGCTGCTGGCGGCAGGACAGGAAGGCCTTGTATTTCGTCACAACTTCCTCGCCGAAGTCGTCGTCACGCTTGGCCTGCTGGTGCGCTGCCTGCAGCTCGTCGTCAAGAGCGTAGAGCTCGTTGAGCTTGTAGCGAATCGCCTTGGACTTGCTCCGCAGCGACTCCAGTCCCTGCGTCAATTGAGACCCTCCCGACATTTTCGTTTTGCGGGGCCTGACTGCACTTGACGACAAAGCTGAAATGATCAGCAAAAAGTCTGCAGGGAATATTACAGACGCGCCGTAATCGACAAGACAAAGGCGAGCTGTAATCAAATCCACTTCCGACGGTTGTAAACGTACGCAGGCTATCGATTGTCATACAAAACGTCTTGATGAGCGCGGTAAGACGGCAACTTCAAGGCATGGTGATGGAAAGCAAAATTCCATTAGCGTTGCGTTAAAGAAAACAAAAAAAACAAAATGCTAACCTCCGTCTTAATTACAAGCGAGGCCCCACTCGCGTCGTCGCTAACCACGACCAACACGATGAGGCCTCAGCACTGGATCACCCTTCCTCCTTCCTCTACGACACCGAGAGGTACGGTGCAACATTCACGCACAACGTCTACAGCTCCACAACGTCGTTGCGGCGCTGGCCGTACGTGTTGCGATCCTCCTGGATGTAGTGGTTGGCAGCCGAGCGGCGGCTGGCATCATACGTCTGCTGCTGGCGGCTGTCGTTCTCGTGTGTGGCAGAACGCAGACGGATCTCGTCCGCGCTGTCCACCGCTGCGTTGCCCTGGACGTACGGGTTGTTGTTCACGTTCGAGGTCTGCTGCTGGAGAACCGGCTGGCCCGAAGGGTGCTGGGCGTTGCTCGGGGCGCGGTCCTTGCCTCCAGCAGGCGTCTCGTCCTTGAAGTAGTCCTGCGCAGTTTGCTCCTCCTGGTCGTAAGCCGCATCACGCTGCAGCTTAAACTTCTGCCAGAACGTGTACAGCGAACGGATCATCAGCAGGGCCAGCACGAACAGGTTGAGACCCACAATGGCCACCGAGATGCCGTTCTGCAGACTGGTCGGGAAACCGTCGCTGGCGGCAGCGCTGACGAGGAAAAACGTCAGCACGAGGACGGCGATCTTCATAATGGACACGAAGCTCGTGGTGGTCTGCACGAACTTCGAGTGGTGCGGCGACTGGATCTCCAGGTAGAAGAAGAACAGCACGTTCAGCGCAAGAATGAGAGAGACCTGCGTCGTGCCAGACATGCCCGCGCAGCCAGTGATCACACCCGTCGTCAGGGCAAGCATCATCTTGGCAGCGAAGAAGTAGCGGTTCTTGAACTTGTACTCCTCATACAACGGGCCGTAACGCATGTTCACCGTCTTCTTCAGGTGCTGCACCGTGCCCACATCAGCGATCTCGGCCTCGTGCTTCTTGATTACGATGTAACCGTACACGAGAATACCCGCAGCCAGGAAAATAATGGCGGCGATAGCGAGCAGACACTTGGGGTCCGTGATGCTCTCATACTTGATCGAGTAGTAGATCTGGAACGTGGCCGTCACACCGATAGTGTACTGGGACAGGATCGCCACGAGAACCTCCAGACCGATCATCTTGTCGAAGAACTTGGTCAGGTACTCCTCACGAGGCATGAACAGACCAGAAAGCAGGTAGCCAAGTCCGAACAGACCCACCACGCACGCCATCACGCAGAAAACACCAGCCAAAGTCACGATGAACAGCATGTCTTCCTGGACGTTCAGCTGGCGAGAGTACTTGGCAATACCCGTGAGCTGGCTCGAGCTGCTGGAGCTGCCGCTGCCACTAGCGCCGCTGGCGCTCGAAAGTCGACGACCGGAGGTGCTACTGCTACCGCTACCCGAGCTGCTGCTGTCGGACTCGGACTCGTTGAGCTTGCCGAACGGCAGGAACGTGAAGGCCGCAGGGGCCATGGACTTGCCGAACTGCGACAGAGCTGACGACTTGCCATCCAGCTGCAGCTGGTTGACGAACACTCCAAACTGGCAGATTTCAATGGTCGTGATCGCCATCGTAGAGCCGGCGGCCGCAAGAGAAGCACCCGCAGAGCTGACTCCACCCACAGCAGTACTGGCGATTGCGGCAATGCCCGTCACAGCGACCGTCACGCCGGCAACGCTCTTCGACGTAGCCGCTACCACAGTGCCTGTAGTGGTAGTGTTGTCCTTGGTAATGACACCGTCCGCCTCATCCTGTTCGCGCTGCTGCTTCTTGGCAGCGTCGGCCACACTTCCCGAGGCCGAGCTGTCCACCAGCATGGCCGAGCACGTGCAGGAGGAGAACGAGGACTCCGACGAGTACGTGCACTGCTCCGAGTCCGACATGGTCGAGTTGGACAGGAAAGTCGACACGGTCGAGGAGCGCTCCTCCAGGGCCGCGATCACCTCGCTCGAGAGGAACGACTCGATGCTCAGGCCGTCGTAGACCGACGACGAGATGCCGTTGTCTGCGCCGTAGACCCACTTGTCGTTCGTGCACGCCGGGAAGGAGCAGATGGACACGCACGTGGAGCCCGAGGTCGAGCCAGCGGACCCGCTGTAGATGACGCAGCTGGACGCCGACACGGCCGAGCTCACGTCGATGCTGGAGCCGCCGCACCTGAGTCCGAGCGTGTCCCACGTCGAGTAGAAGGTGCTGTCGCACGTGAGCACGTCCGAGCTGGACGAGCTCGAGCCGACGGAAGCCGTCGACGAGCTGGAGCCTGCCGTCGTGGTGGATGTCGTGCCCGTCGAGGATCCGGTCGTCGTCGTCGTGCCAGTCGTAGACGTCGTCGTTCCGGTCGTTCCAGTCGTTCCTGTAGTTGTCGTACCGGTTGTCCCCGTGGTGCCGGTTGTGCCAGTCGTTCCTGTAGTCGAGCCTGTGGTGGTCGTCGTCGTGGTAGTTCCGGTTGCCGTCGCCTGCAGCTTACGAACGCCCAGAGTCAACGACGCCGTGGTTCCCGCCGCAGTACCCGACGATCCAGACGACGTAGTGGTCGTGGCTGTAGCCGGAGCCGTGGTCGTCGTCGTGCCCGTCGTCCCCGTAGTGGACGCACTTCCGGTGGTGGTACTGGCCGCTGTCGTGGTGGACGGCGTGGCCGTGGTGGACGACGGGGTCTTGGTGGTGGACGACGGCGTCGTGGTCGTCGAGACGCCGGCGCTGCCCGTCGAGTCGTCGCTGCCCGTGGTGGTCGTGGAAGTGCCGCCGCCGCTGGAGCCGGCGGCCGTAGACGTGGACGAGCTGGAGCTGCTGCCCACGTCGGCGTTGTGCGTGCCGTCCTGGCTGCCGGCGTCCGAGAAGTTGCTGCCCGAGCCGGAGGTCGACGAGGTGGAGGTGCCGCCATCGCTGCTGCTGCCGCTGGCGCTCGAGGTGGACGACACGATCTTGGTGATGGGCGTCGTGAGCGTCGACGTCGTCTGCGACTGCACGTACACGGGGCACGTGGTGGTGGCCGACGCCGAGTGCGCCAGCGCCGCCGCGCCCAGCAGCGCCAAGAGCCGCGCGTTCATGCTGTCACTGCCTGCTGAGTCTGTTACAGGGGGCTAATGTGTGGGTGTGTACTCTTCCCTAATAGCCTGCGCACAAGGGAACGAGTGGGGGAATTCACTTCTTCGTCGGCCTGTGAGCTTCAGAGGGAGAGAGAGAATGTGTCGCTCGGCATGTACAAGGGGGCGCCAGTTTTCCGCCATACTGAAACCGAGTCAACTGCCCCCTACACGCAAAATTGCGTGCCGCTGACGACTGGGCGACTGGGAATGGCTGCGTACATCGAATATCCCGCTGAAATCGGATGCATTAGAAGTATACAATATTGGTGACAATAGCTGTTTCTTGGTTGTAAGCCTCACTTCAAACGTAATATCCGATTCGCCTTCGAAACCTGATGGGATAGTCGCCGCACCGCGAAGAGGCGCTGGGATTTCGGTCAATGAGATGCGGCCTGGCTCTGGCGCTGGTTGCACACGCTGCCTGCTTGACCCGCTCACATGGAGTGGATGGATTTTTCCTTCAGTTCCGACCTCGGTGGCGACGATAGCGGTGCTGGGGCACAAGCGGTGGCCCAACGCGCGCGACCGGCTGCGAGCCTCGTCCGGTTCAATCTGGGTGACGACGGTGTGGAAGGGCGACGGGCAATGTAGCGCCCGCTTTGCAAAAAATTGGGAATGGTGTGCGCCACACTTGCCAGTGTGGCTCACTTGAGCTCACTATGACTGCCCTATCCCTTCCAAGATGTGTGTTATGTTAATTGACGACCCTTGATAGATCAGAGCGCCGTTATCGAAAGCTTTGGACGCCGTGAATGGACGACCGCTCTACCCGCTGTGGACGACGGCGTGGTCGGCTGTGTTTCCTGTTCGTGTTTGATGCTACAACCGTGGCTGAGGTGGGAGTCCGCAATGGCTAATGTTGAAGTGCACTTCGCACAGCTGTGCTGGATGGTCTGCGTGCAAGCGCAGCTGCAGCCTTCCAGGTGCTGGCTGCCGAAAGCAAACCGACAAGAACTATCGTAATACTGTACTCAAATAAGTGAGTTGAACGTGGTTGTGTTTTTTTTTTCAGAGGGTCGTAGCGAATACATGTACATGTAGTGCCAAAAGATTTAGCGAGTATGTGTACGTGCTGTCTAAAAGACTCTCGCGGACTACACCCGTGGTAACCTCAAGCCATGCGTTGTCCTTGAAACGCTTACCGAAGGTGTTGCCTTCTAGTGCTATTGCTTCGAGTGGCATGCCGAACCTTCGCCCTCCCTTCTAGAAACCCAGTCCTCCGAATATATGGGGATTTGTATGTGACAAGTTGAAGACCCCCATTCGACAACATTCTATTGGCTCGGCCCACTTCAACTTGTCCTCTATTGACGGAGCCTCTGCACCAGCAAATGATCCACTCGAGACGCCATAAACGAATCTGCTACAAGCAACGCAAAGCAAGCAACAGGCCAAGAATACAGCCAAGCAACACTACACTACCAACCTCAATCAACCAGCCAACCATGTTCAGCTCGTGGGATCTCGTGCGACCGCGCTTCTGGTACCCCATGTCGTCGCTGGAGCAGTCCATGATGGAGCTCGAGCAGATGAACGACTTGATGATGCGTCCTCGATTCCCATTCGGTATGCAGCTTGATGCTCCAGTCATGACCATGGAGGACGACAGGAGTGAATCCGATTCCGACTCTGACGACGACGACTTCTTCGTGGACCTGCCTGTGGTGGCTCGCAAGTGCATGCCGACGGCGTTCCAGCTGCAGGTCGTTCCAGAGACTGAGCCGGACGAGGACAAGGAGGAGGAATCAACGAGCATCGTCCAGCACAAGGCTGCTGCTACTCGTGACAAGTCCGACACGGACTCCAGCACGGACATGGAGGTCGACGATGAAGGGGCGAACAAGTCAAGCGGCCCAACTAGCACCAAGAGCAAGCCTAAACTCGCCACGGCCAACACCAAGGATAAAACCAAGAAAACCAAACGCCACAACAAGAACAAGAAGCACAGCAACAAGCAGCTCCGCAAGCACTCCTACAAGATCACGCCCACGACCGAGCGCAAGATCACGCTTAACGAGCCCAACGACGCCTCCGAGCGCCACACCTTTTCGTCCTACTCGTTCAGCAACTCGTCAGTCGTAGACGACAAGGGCCGTCGCGTGACCACCACGCGCCGCCGCTACGAAGACTCGACAGGTCGACTCAAAGCCGTGCACGAGCGAGAGATCGACGGCACGACGCTGCGCACGACGTGGAGCCGCCAGAACAAGGAAGACGAGGGTCGTCACGAGTCCATCTGCTCGAGCGGCAGTCCGGAAGAGTTCGAGGCGCTGTGGCAGCAGACCCCGTTCGGCGAGGCGCAGAAGAGGTCGGTGAAGGGCCAACTGCAGTCCGTGTCGGACGTGGAGAAAGAGGTGGAGACGACGGCGGCTGCGTTGAAGGACACCAACATGGAAGACGCAGCGGCGAAGGATTTGTCAGTGAAGGAAAGTGAGAAAGCGTCGACGGAGAAGGAGAGGACCAACAAGTCGAGAGATGACACCGAAGAGAAGGAGTGAGAGCAATGCATGCATAGCCGTTGTTCAGTCAAATACAAGTAGATGATCGTTGGTAAGAAGCCTGAAGTTCGAGAATCGGTGTGAGATGTTCTCGGTTAAGTATCCATTGTGATAGGTATACGGTGTACCTATCTCGGTACAAACTGCCACACATCCACACACTTCCACCATGGCGCGCAAGGTGGCTTCGTCCGCTCTTCGCCGTAACGGAGCTCGCATCCGCAAGGCGCTGCAGGTGTGCGACCTCGCCGAGCACTCGCAGCAGCTCGTGCGGAGCTCCCCGCCGCTGCGCGTGCTCGGGCTGGATGTCAACACCAATAGCACAGGTTTCGTCGTCGTGACGGAGCGCGGTCGCGTGTGTCGTTGGGGACACATCCCCACTGCGCAATTCGCCAGCGCCGACGTCTTGCACATCGGCGGCGCCATCGACGAGTTCCTTGCTGCAGTTCGAGCTGCAGAGCACCAGTCGCAGCCAGACGCCCAATGGGTTGTGGGCATCGAGGCGTTCATGCGCATGTTCCGTTCCGGACGCTTCCACAACGCGGGCATTTTCCAGTTGGCGCAGCTCAATGGCATCGTGTCCTACGCCTGCTGGAAGCGCTTCGACGTGCTGCCACTGCACACGCACCCGTCGGCAGCGCGCGGCTTCTTCGGTCTCAGTGCGCCATCGTCGGCCTCCGCGAGTAGCAAGAAGAGCAGCATCAAGCAGCAGGTCATGGGGTTCCTGGAGCAGCAGGAGCCCGAGCTCACGAAAGCCGCAGGTCAGCAGGAGGACATAGAGGCATCAGCTGCGCTGCCGAGCTTCGAGCGGACGCGGACCGGTGCGGTGGCGGACTCGGCCTTCGACATCGCTGACGCGTACGTCATCGCGGCGTACACTCGGTGCGCGCACCTCCAAAAGCAGTTGGAAGTGCAGCAGCCTCAACTGGTCGAGCACTTCTCGACGAGGTATTTGGAGTTGACGCACGAAGCAGCGGCGAAGACGAAGAAGAGCTCGTTCGAAGCGGAGACGTTGGACGCTATGAGTGAACAGGAGAAGCTCGCGTACACGCGCGACCTGTTCGCGTTTGGAATTGAGAACTGGTTCAAAGAGAACAACACTTGCTTCATGTTGCAACAAGGGGTTAGATAAAAATAATCGTGTTGATGACATGCTTCTTAGCGCTCTCCACGAAATACTCGACTCATTTTTCATGGTCTCTTGCTGGTGCGCTTAGTGGAACTCGTGCACGTCCGTCCACGCCTCCTCCTCCTTCTCGCGCTTGTAGTAGTCGAACAGGCTGTCCGGCTCGAGGCCGAGCATCGGCTTGCTCTTGTGGACGGCCATGGCCTCCACGAAAAGCTGCACCAGGCTGATGTTCGTGAGCAGCGGGATGGAGAAGTCCACCGCGGTACGACGGATCAGGTAGTTGTTCTCCGTCTGCTGGCTCTGGTTGTTGGGCAGGTTCACCACCAGGTCGATCTTGCCGTCCTTGATCAGGTTCAGCGCGTTGTTCTCGCTGTCGCCGTCCGACGGGAAGTCCACCTTGGTCGACGGGATGTCGTACTTCTTCAGGTACGCGTGCGTCTTCTCCGTCGTGTACAGGTTGTAGCCCAGCTCGTGCATCTTGTAGGCAGCGTGCACGAACTCCTCCGAGAACTTGTCCTGCATGGACAGCAGGATGTTCTTCTCCGGCAGCTTGAAGTTCGATGAGATCAGCGCCTTCAGGAACGCCTCGTGGCGGTTCTTGCCGAAGCAAGCCACCTCGCCCGTCGAAGCCATCTCGACGCCGAGCAGCGGGTCAGCGCCACCCAGGCGAGTGTACGAGAACATGGGCGACTTGATGCCGACGTAGCCCTCCGGGCGCTTGGGGCCGTCAAGAGGAGGCAGGTTGTCGTTCTCCGTCGATTCGCCAACCATGACCTTGGTGGCGGCGTTGATGAAGTCAGCGCCCGTGGTCTTCGACACGAACGGGAACGAACGCGACGCACGCAGGTTGCACTCAATCACGCTCACATCAGCGCCCTTGGCCAGGAACTGCGCGTTGAACGGACCGGAGATGTTCAGCGCCTTGGCGATCTTCTCGGCGTTGCGCTTAATCTGGTTCGTGTAGAACGAGCTGGCCTCCACAGGCGGCAGCACCAGAGTGGCGTCACCACTGTGAACACCAGCGTTCTCGACGTGCTCCGAGATGGCAGCGGCAATCACCTTGCCATCCTTGGCAACAGCGTCCAACTCCAGCTCCTTGGCGCCCTCCACGAACTTGGTGATCACGACGGGGTGGTCCGCAGACACCGCAACGGCCTGGTTCAGGACGTTGTCCAGCTCCTCGAAGTTGTACGCAACGTTCATGGCAGCACCGCTCAGCACGTACGAAGGACGCACCAGCACGGGGTAGCCGACACGCTCAGCGAACTCGCGAGCGTCAGCGTGGCTCGTCAGCTCCTTCCAAGCCGGCTGAGGCACACCAGCCTCGTCCATCAGCTTCGAGAACTTGTAACGGTCCTCGGCGCTGTCGATCATCGTCGGGTGCGTGCCCATAACCTTCACGCCGGCCTTGTGCAGCGGAAGCGCGAGGTTGTTCGGGATCTGTCCGCCCACGGACACCACCACGCCCTGAACGCCCTCACGGTCGTTGACGTCCATCACGCGCTCCTTTGACAGCTCCTCGAAGTACAGCTGGTCACACTCGTCGTAGTCCGTGCTCACCGTCTCGGGGTTGTAGTTGAGCATGACAGCACGGTGGCCAAGCTTGCGCAGCGTGCGGATGCAGCTCACAGCGCACCAGTCGAACTCGACAGAGCTACCAATACGGTAGGCACCGCTGCCAAGAACCATCACGCCGTCGTTCGGGTCCTGAGCAGGAACATCGTGCTCCGTACCGTTGTACGTCATGTACAGGTAGTTCGTCTGAGCCGGGTACTCAGCAGCAAGCGTGTCAATCTGCTTCACGGCCGGCACAATGCCAAGCTCCTTACGCTTGGCGCGCACCTCGTCGTCCGTGCAGCTGAACATGCGAGCAAGCTGACGGTCCGAGAAACCGAGCTTCTTCGCCTGGGTGATTTCAGCAGCGGTCACCTCGTTCACGTTCTTGCCAGTCAGGTTCACGTCGCAGTCGGCAATGGCCTGCAGACGGCTCAGGAACCAAGTGTCAATCTTGGTGATCTCGTGCACCTGCTCGATGGACAGCTGGCCGGTCTTCAACGCCTGCGCGATCTGGTAGATACGACGGTCCGTGGGCTTGCTCAGAGCCTTCACCAGCTCATCGTGCGGCAACTCGTCGAAGCGCTGCTCGAAACCCTCGTTCGAAGGCTCCACCATACGAATAGCCTTCTGAATGGCCTCCTCGAAGGTGCGGGCAATCGACATCACCTCACCAACACTCTTCATGGACGAACCGATCTCAGTGCTGACGTTGTCGAACTTGGCTAGATCCCAACGCGGCATCTTGGCAACACAGTAGTCAAGCGACGGCTCGAAGCAAGCCGTGGTGCTCTTGGTCACCGAGTTCTTCAGGTCCGGAAGGTTGATGCCCAGAGCAAGCTTGGCGGCCACGAAGGCGAGCGGGTAGCCTGTAGCCTTCGACGCCAGAGCGCTCGAACGCGACAGACGAGCGTTCACCTCGATAATGCAGTACTCCTCGGACTCGGGGTTCAGCGCGTACTGGATGTTGCACTCGCCGACAATGCCAAGGTGACGCACCACCTTGACGGCAGTCTCACGCAGCATGTGGTACTCGCGGTTCGACAGGGTCTGCGAAGGAGCGATAACGATCGACTCGCCCGTGTGGATACCGAGGGGGTCGAAGTTCTCCATGTTGCACACCGTCAGACAGTTGTTGGCGGCATCACGCACGACCTCGTACTCAACTTCCTTCCAGCCCTTCATGGAGCGCTCCACCAGGATCTGAGGGCTCCCCGAGAAGGCCTGCTTGGCCATCTTGCGCAGCTGAGCCTCGTCCTCGCAGATACCCGAGCCCAGACCGCCCAGCGCGAACGCAGAACGGATCATCACCGGGAAGCCGATGTTGTACGCAGCCTTCACGGCGTCCTCCACGGACTCGACGGCCTCACTCTGGGCGATCTTCTCGTTGATCTCCGCGAGCTTGTCGTTGAACAGCTCACGGTCCTCCGTGTAGTTGATCACGTCAATCTGCGTACCCAGGACCTGCACGCCGTACTTCTTGAAGATGCCGCGCTTGTCAAGCTCCACACCGCAGTTCAACGCGGTCTGGCCACCCATCGAGATAAGGATACCGTCGGGGCGCTCGCGCTTGATCACCTGCTCCACGAACTCGGGGTTCACCGGCAGGTAGTACACATTGCTGGCCTGAGCCTCGCTCGAGCGGTCAATGTTGGTCTGCACGGAGGCGATATTGGGGTTGATCAGGATCGTCTCGATGTTCTCCTCCTTCAGCGCCTTGATGGCCTGCGAGCCGGAGTAGTCGAACTCACCGGCCTGGCCAATGGACAGACCACCGGATCCGAGCACCAGTACCTTCTTCACCTTCGGGCGCTCGATGTGTGGGCGCTGCACCAGGCTCTTGATCGGGCCCTTCTCCTTGGTGCGCACGGCATCAAGGAACGTGTCGAAGAGGAACTCCGTGTCCGTGGGGCCGCCAGCGTGCTCCGGGTGGAACTGCGCCGTGAAGTACGGCTTGGACTTGTGGATGATACCCTCGTTGGTGCCGTCGTTGAGGTTCACGAACAGCTCCTCCCAGTCGCTGGGCAGGGTCTTGCCGTCCACGGCGTAACCATGGTTCTGGGCGGTGATGTAGCTCTGGCCGGTCTTGAGGTTGTGCACGGGCTGGTTCTGGCCACGGTTGCCGAACGGCAGCTTGTACGTGTTGGCGCCGGCGGCAAGACTGAGCAGCTGGTTGCCCAGACAGATACCGAAGATGGGCTTGACGTTGTCGCCCTGCAACTCCAGGGCCTTCTTGAGTTGGGCCGTAGTCTCCTTCATGATGGCCGGGTCGCCGGGGCCGTTGGAGATGAAGAGACCGTCGTACCAGCCGATCTCGGACGAGATGTCGTGGTTCCACGGCACGCGCTTGACCTCGGCGCCGCGCTTGACGAGCTCGCGGATGATGTTGTACTTGATACCGCAGTCCACGGCCAGGATCTTGAGCGGGTTGCCCTTGCCGTACGTGATGACCTCCTTAGTGGACACGAGCGAGGCGAGGTTGGCCTCGTTGACGTCCACGAGGTTGGGCTTGTCGCTGCCCTCGACAATGATGCGGCCGGCCATGGCGCCGTGCGCGCGGATCTTCTTGGTGATGGCGCGCGTGTCGATGCCGGCGATACCGGGGATGCCCTCGCTCTCGAGCCAGTCGGAGAGCGACTGCGCGGCGTTCCAGTGGCTGTGGTGGTTCGAGTAGTCCTGCACGATCATGCCGGCGGCGTGGATGCGGTCGGACTCGATGTTCTTGTTGAGGCCGAACTCGTCCAGCGCCTTGGTGTCGGGCACGCCGTAGTTGCCGATCATGGGGAAGGTCATGTTAAGGATCTGGCCCTTGAAGGACGGGTCCGTGAGCGCCTCCGGGTAGCCCACCATGCCCGTGGTGAAGACGACCTCGCCGGCCATCGACTTCTTGGCGCCGAACGACACGCCGTGGAAGCGCGAGCCGTCCTCGAACTCGAGCACGGCGGGCGTCTCGAAGCGCGGCGCGTTGCGGCGGTCCACCTTCTCGCGCGCGGCCACCAGCAGGCGGTTGCCGCTGGCCTTGTACAGCGGCACGCGGCGCTTCGCCGAGTGCGTCAGGCGAAGCATCTTGGGGGAGGGATGAAGCGAGGGCGGGCGGAAGGCGGAGGGCGGGGGCCTCTTCGGGCTCTTGTCCGCGGCGCTTCCAGTTGGGAAATGGCATTCCGGCAGGAGGATCGCGAGCTGGAGACTGAAGCGGCGGCGGCCAGCCAAGATCGCAGTGTACGTGGCCGCTGTGCATAGAAACCGCCAGCTGCGGCGTCCTGAAGCGAAGCTCGCGAGCGATAAATCCGCGTCAGAGGCGGGCGAGCCGCACCAGGCAGAATTTATGTACGCACCCAAAAACGAGCCACGGGCTCCGCTGACGAGCAAAAAGGCAACTTGACCTCGTTGCCCTTTGCGGGCGTGCGCACTTCCCTCCAGACCATTAGAACTCAAACCGAGTAGGTGATCTATTGCGAAATTCGTTGTTGTATTTGTGCCCACTCAGTGATTTGGTTCGTTGCAAAGTGAAATGGTGGGGAAAGCAACAAAGCAACGGAGATTTGATATTTCGGAAGTCACTCAGTATTTTACGACCATACTCGGTTCTAATCGAGTGCATGGCACACACAAAGTCGCTTAATCTCTTTTTTCGGGTAGACTACTTAGACTCACTTATTTAAGATGCTAAACACTGTCGCGTCATTATCATCCCTCCTGCACCTGCTCCTTCGATGTCGCGACGGATGCTGCGGATGAGGACCGCAACGGTTGCGGTCACGCTTCTTCGCATCGAAGCTCGCGGCAGGCTAGCAGCAGACGCACGCCGTGCAGGCTGGGCTTCATTGAGCTGAATTAACCAGGCAACTGTCGACTGCTTCTTCGCGGGGCGCTCGAGCTCCACTGTATGCAGGCATGTCGTTTGTTAGTTAACCAGGCTACTTAAGTACATGTACACAAGTGGACTCGGCGCCTGTCGGTGATGTCGAGACCGGCGCCAAGTACCGTAATTTAGATCTCATACTACATATAGCTGGTTATTGAAGTTGTTGTGTTGCAAAGTGGACACGAGATGTACATGTACCGACGATTTTATGTTCGTATTCTGAAGTGCATCATGCAAAGTGGTATTTACCGGTACCCTTAAACACTGCTGTCTAGATCTATCCACTCCACGGCAGCTAGCGTCACGCTGAGCTTGTGTTGAAAGGAGACAGCAACACGCTTAAACTGCTTCGGCAGCTTTCCTGTTCCTGTTGTGCGTGTCTGCCCTCCCTGCTGACCTGGAGAGCGGGACATCACTTTCCGCGGACTTGGCGTGCGCTCCATGGTTGTTCTCTTGCAATGACTGGCCCTCTTTTGCTGCATTTGCTCTATTTATACCCTACGTATTATGAGAACTCAACTGATGAGCTGGGTAAATGGCGCGATATCATTGGCTAATGCCTAGTATGAAGTAAGAGATCTGTCTGTAGTATGAGATCTAAATTACGGTAAGGCCAGAAGTGTCCAGTTTGACCGACAAGTACAGCGTGCTGGGTGGTTGCGAAGTCATTGAGCAGGTCTATTGTGAAATTTCCGATATAGCGCCAAACTACCGATTTTGTAGATCAATCCTACGCCCCGAACTAAGCTATTCAGACTTGCTAAAGTATTTAGCGAAGATCGCCTTCAATAGCGAGTAGATAATCTCGGTTGGAACGACCTCAGTCTTCGACAAGTGTATCATAGCAAAATCGTGTAGTGCTAAGAGTCTGACAGAGCGCTGACAAACTCGTTTTAAGGTCTATTGGTGCGGAGAGGGCTACAGTCATGACCCGCTGCATACATAGTACTGTACGTATCCACCGGGTGCACGGCACACCGCAATAATGCGACGCGGCAGAAAGCTGGAGGTGTTTCTGCACTGCGGACGCCTCGCGCTTTGGATCCGAGCATGCAAGCGCACTTCAAGATGGCGGATAAAAGCCGCGTCCAGATGTTGGGCAGCGCGCCATGTTTCTGGTTTAACGCCACGTAACAGCGTCGATTGAGAACGGCGGCGCATGAGCGACCAGCGGGGGAGAGTGAGCGAGCCGAGTTGTAGCGGGGCACATCGGCGAGCTAAGTATCCATACATGTAGCGACAACGCCGCTTCCAGCGGAGCGACGGCCGGCTTCGTCGCCATTCCCGGACTGGCGTCAATGCGAGGCTTGCACGTGTCTGATAACCGGCCCGGGCATTCAGCTCCGAAGCGCACGTTCCGCCGCCCCTCTGGCCGCCAGGAGAACGTTCACCCGGGCGCCAGAGACAAACGCGGAGCGTAAGCCGTACCTCCTCGGCAGCCATTTCCCAGCCCAACGCTCCATCATCATGATGTTGAGAGGCAGCCGAGAATAGCCTCCACGCCACTCAATTTGAGGAATTGCTGAACCGAAAGTGGGATCAGCAGCTGGTCCAAAGTACGCGGACGGGACCGCAAGGAAACAACCCGCGTACCTAGCGTGCTCCTCTCGGCCAATGGAAGCCGGATCGCGGAATCGCGATCCGGCTTCAGCACTAAGTTCGGTGGCGTCTGACCTGCGCGAACCGAACCTATCGCGTGGCGATCGTCGAGCACAACACACACGTTTTGCCACACTTGACTTGCACAAGAAGCGAGTACTATTCCAAAGTAATATTTTCGTGTGAATCCTCCTTGAAAGGCATCCTGCTGAAATGGCAGAATATGAGCTGTACATAGCGGTCTACAGCGCCTTCAAATCGCTATATACATGTTGGAGCTCTAGCGATACGATCGAATGTATGCCGATGCCGCCAACTGCCTACAGAGTGTGAGACCATCATGGCCGAGGATACCTCAGCGTTTGAGCAACGGCAACCTTTCGAACTGGGATGGTGATGGTGTGTAGATTGTCGGACTGGAGCAATCAACATGACTTATAGTGCTGGTACCAGCTCGCTCGCCGGCGGCGGCAGTTTTGCAAAGGAGAAACCCAAGACTTCTCTTCTCTGGTCCAGTGTACGCTTACTACTGCTAACTCTGACCAACATGTGGTGCCACGAATTGTGCAGTTTCAAAATTAGTAGTGTGACCAAATACGTACTGTATTAGTATGCGTGATATCATTCATACTATAATTAGAATATCTCGCACAGAACGTATGTTAATATTACACTTACTAATGAATTACGCATGTCAAAATATTAACTACCTGTAGCATTTACTAATATTTCCGGCTGTATCACCAGCCCGGCATCGCAGGCCTATCGTCAAGCATGTACTATTTCGTAAGGAAGGTTTTGGGGCTTCAAGGGGAGCCGCTCTGGCGGGGTTACGTACGCCAACGGCTGGCGGCATTACCGAAGAGTCCTCTTGCAGCGCGATCTTCCTGTCCTCCTCCGCAAGTATGTGGCGCTCCGTGGCCAAGCAGATGCCGGCGCTGACCCGCGCCGCTGCGCGCAGCTCGCAGGTGGCGGTTGTCCAGCTGACCGCCGCGCGCAAGATCGCCGTGCAGACGCGCGCGCTCTCGTCCAGCGCCACCGACGACTACGCGCTGAACCTGGCCAAGGTGCTGGCCCCGGAGCAGACGCTGGAGGAGTTCAAGCAGCTCTACCGCACGCCCGGCGTGAAGCACACGACGGTCATCAAGATCGGCGGCGACGTGATCATCCACGAACTGGACACGCTCATCGAGTCGCTGCGCTTCATGAAGGACACGGGCCTGTTCCCCATCCTGGTGCACGGCGCCGGCCCGCAGATGAACGCCGAGCTGGACAAGCAGGGCGTGGAGCCCCAGTACGTGGGCGGCAACCGAGTCACGGACCAGAAGACGCTGGACATCGCCAAGACCATCTTCATCGACACCAACGCCACGCTCGTGGCTGCCCTCAACAAGGCCGGTGTGCCCGCCAAGGGCATCACCAGCGGCGTCATCAAGGCCGAGTTCAAGGACAAGGACGTCTACGGCTTCGTGGGCGAGGTGAACGAGATCCACGGCGACCCCGTGCAGGCGGCCATCGACGCCGGTGAGATCCCCGTGCTGTCCTGCCTGGGCGAGTGTGCCAACGGCCAGACGCTCAACATCAACGCCGACGTGGCTGCGCGCCAGTTGGCGCTCAACCTGCAGCCGCTCAAGACCATCTTCGTTAACGCCAAGGGCGGCTGGGTCGAGGACGACGGCACGAAGCTCAAGACCATCAACATGGCCAAGGACTACGAGCGCATGGCCGCCCGTGACTACACTGGCCGCCAGGGCACGCTGCTCAAACTGAATGAGATCAACACGCTTCTGCAGGGTCTGCCGTCCACCTCGTCCGTGGTGCTTACGTCGGCCTCGCAGCTCATGCGCGAGATCGTCAGCAAGAAAAGCGCGGGCACGACGTGCATCAAGGGCGAGAAGCCCGCGGCTGCCAGCTCCAAGAGCGATGCCAAGGCCTCGGCTGTTCCGCGTGGCCCCAACGGAAAGTACCGCGTGGGTCTGCTTGGCGCGCGTGGATACGTTGGCCGCGAGCTCATTCGCGTGATCGGCCGTCACCCGGAGCTGGAGCTGGTGTGCGCCAGCTCGCGTGCCCTTGGAGGCGAGAAGGTTGCGAAGGTTGCTGCTGCTCCTCCCCTCAACCCGCACACGAAGCTGCCTGCTAAGCCCGTTGAGGATGTGAAGCTGAACATCGACCCTGAGCTGGAGTTCTGCGAGCTCGGACTGGACGACATCGCTACCTCGCCGTTTGGTGAGAGTGTCGACGTGTGGGTGCTGGCGCTGCCCAACGGCTACTGTGAGAAGTACGCCACTGCCCTGGACGCGCTCCGCCGCAAGGACAAGATCATCATCGACTTGAGCGCTGACCAGCGTTTCAACTCGGAGTGGACGTACGGCCTTCCGGAGGCCCCGGGCGGCCGCACGCGCCTGCAGGGCGCCACGCACATTGCCAACCCCGGCTGCTATGCCACGGGCGCTCAGGTCGGATTGATGCCGCTGCTTGGTGGCAAGCCGGAGGTGAGCGGAAACCTTCTGGATGAGAGTGTCCCGCCGCACGTGTTTGGTCTCTCGGGCTACAGTGGCGCTGGCACCAACCCCTCGGCGGCCAACGACCTGAACGTGCTCAAGGACAACGTCATTGCGTACAAGTCGGTGAAGCACATCCACGAGCACGAAATTAGCCACCAGCTTGGCACGGCGGTTCGGTTCATGCCTCACGTGGCGCCGTACTTCCAGGGCATCCACCTTACGCTGTCGGCGCAGCTTGCGGACAACGGTGTCATCACCTCGGCGAAGCAAGCCGAGGAGCTCTACCAGGAGTTTTTCGCTAACGAGGCCCTGGTGAAGGTTCAGTCCGGCATTCCGTTTGTGAAGGACAACGCGTACCACCCGCACGTGACTGTGGGCGGCTTCCAGCTGGACCCGGACACGGGCCGTCTTGTGGTGATCTCCACCATCGACAACCTGCTCAAGGGAGCAGCTACCCAGGCAGTGCAGAACATCAACGTCGCCCTTGGCATCGACGAGTACGCCGGCATTGACCTTGAGTAGAGCGTCATTTGGCCCTTATCATTTTGACGAGCTTAGCCCATTCTGTTCGACCTTTCTCACACTCTGTCAAATACACGAACCGTGGAATAAGGTGAACAACCCAGAGCAGAACCTGTATCAGTGCGCTCGGCCATTTATTTCACTGCAAAGAACGCTTGGATGTGGACTGGGAACAAGTACTCGAGACACGGCTGCTTGAGGTCGGCAGGACAGACGCATAACTCAATCTCTCTCTCACTTGGGAAAGGTTAGCACCACGACGCACAGGAAACAGCGCGAGTATGAACAGTGAACAGCGCACGCGAATGTACCGTACTAGACGTTGAAGCGGCGTGGAGAGCCGAGTCTTCTGTAGGTGGCGAGTTGTCTCGAAGTGGTCAAGATTGGGAGATTAGTACTGGAGAATCGGGTCGCCGACGCGATCGATGATGGGCACCGTGCACTTCAAGTCGAACACCTTGCTGAGCACTACTTTAAACACTTTCTGCACGTTGATCGAGTGCGATGCCGACGTAAAAATCAACGGCGCCTTCATGGCCTTAGCAAACTTGCGGGCCTACCACCAGCCACGAAAAAAAACATAAGACTCTCAACACCATAGGCAACACAACGCAGCACTACCCACCTGCTTTGTGATATCCTCCTGCTCCTCCACCGCGAAATTGGCAAAATGGTCGTACTTCATCCCCACAAGGAACGGAAACGCGTTCTGCAACAACAACAACGTCAGTCATACCATAACCATAACGCTGCATACTGATCCCCACCAGAGCCATCAACCCACCTTGTTGATAGAGCGCACTTGGCGATACCACTCCTTGATGCTCGTGAGCGTGGCCTTACGCGACAGGTCGAACATGAAGAGGATGGCGACGGCGTCGTTGCACACGAGCGGCAGCATGCTGATGAACTCGCGGTGGCCACCCAGGTCCCAGATGCTGAAGGTGATCTCCGTGTTGCGCAGCGCGATGGTCTTCTCCATGAAGTTGACGCCCAGCGTGTGGATATAGTCCTCGTCGAACTTGCCCTCCACGTACTTGACCATGAGGCTCGTCTTGCCCACCTGCGCGTCCCCCACCATGCCCACCTTCACCACCACGTTGTTGCGTCCGGAGCCGCTGCCGCCGGCGGACGCTGCGCCTGCCGGACCCACGCCTCGGGACGGCCGCTCCACGCGAGCGCTGGCGCTGCGAGCGTCCTCTCGCTTCTCCTCCATTTTCTCGCTGCTCGTGCTCTCTATTTGCAATTGTCCAATTGCCGTAAAAGTTGTGTTGCGATGTCACTATCTCGAATATAATTGGCACTAAAGTGAAATAGATCGGTCGACACGAAATAATGCCCGGCTTATAATATGGTGAACTTCATTGAAGTTACTTCAACTTTACCGTAACTTCAATTTACATACGCACTAAAAAGATCTATCATTTGCATGTCAAAGGGTTTGAGATGTTTTGAATGGATTAACTAACTGTGCGAGACGATTCCTCTCACACAACTATCTTGTACTAAAGTATCTCCGCGTGGCACTTTCACCCAAAAAGCTGGCGATACGGAATCGGCTGCTCGCGCTTCATTCGACGCGTTCGAAGCCCCATTTCACCTTCCTCCAAAATACCGATCGTAGCGATACGCCTATCGTACGGGGCTTCGTTCATGACGGCTTGCATGAAAGGATCGACCTCTATGATAGAGAGGCGACCCAGCATTTGACTGAAGTGCTGCACCGAGTTGGATACAAGCACAGAGACTCCGAAGCTTTTATCGTCCCGGTACACACCATTCTCCAGGAAATAAATGATATCCCTGACAAGCGTGGCGGCTATTGTCCACGGCCTCTTGGTCCGTAGCCAGCGCGGGGGCTTGGGCAGCTCGTCAGCTCGTGACTGCGTTGCATTTGCACGAACAACAAAGTCCTGGGAAATTCCAACTGATTAAAATCGCTGGGGCGTAGCTTTTGGACTGATACAAAACGATAGTTAGCGGTCAATGAAGCATAGTCGACGCATGGGTGTGCTTACTTCTTCGTTTAGCTCCATACTTGTGTTATGCCACAAGCGAAGAAGAGGAGTGAGTCAAAAACTTCAGTTGAAAGAATGAGACTACGAAGAAGATTCGGGAGTTTTCATTGATAAAATAAGACTGTTGAAATCCTTTTCCCAAGCCGAACGGCAACGCTAAATCTTTCATTCCAAGAGTTCAAGTCCGAGAGATACCACTGCAAGATGGCCAAGGATACGGTGTTGACACCAGAGGATGATGACGATGTAAGGGATTCCGACGTATCCGCGCTAGAAATCGACGCAGTCTTAACTTTAATGTTCCTTACAAATATTGCAGGATTGGCAACTGGAGCCGATATTCACTGGCGTATTGGTCATTGAATGGCACATCAAGGAGCTGGGAGATTTTTTTCGGCGTGCGAATGGGGCCAATGGAGCTCCGCAGCCGCCCCGTTGGATGAAGACTTTCCCCCTCACATTACTACTACAACGCTTACGACGGACATTATCCAGTTCATCGCTCGAACCGCTTCAGAGCACTTCGGAAACACGGTCATCGTCTCGAGGATCCCGTCGTATTTCAGTGTAACGAGCGATTTGATGTTCAGCGTTGAGGCTGATCCGTTCATGCAAGCAGCCATGGCGGGTGCCGAGCTAACGGATAGGCTTGCTACAACGTGTCTCGTGCAGAAGCTTCCGAAGCACAAAGTTCTCGCCTTAAAGGTAGCCTTAAAGGCTCACAATTGCCTCTACACAGATCCAGATAAATTACAGCTTTTTGCTTAGCGGCTTGCGAGTGCAAGTAGCAACTAAAAAAAAACATAGCGTTCGTTGTGAACCTGAATGAATTACCTCTAGCATACTACATCTAGTTTGCTCAAGCCGTGAAGATGACAAATTGATATCGAGAAGCCTGGAGATTTGTTTTAGCCCTGTTACCGTGCATGAATTGGGATTAAGATTGAAACACAAAGAAAAAGAAAAGTAAAGCTGGTGTTGCACAGCTTCGTAACTACTTCGAAGTACCATACCACCAAGAACTAACCACAGCTCAGTTCACCCCCCTTGATGGATAAAGCCTTACGCCTTGTACCCGCTGACAAGGTAGAATCCGCATAAAACTCCGTCTGGTGTTATACCTGCCACCATTCCTTGGTAAGGGACCACATCTGCGTTCGAGCCTCGCAGTCTTCGCGGCTGGGGGACGAATCGCAGGAACGTCAGATCCTTCTCCATGGCAGCTTTCAACGGGCGGTAGATCTTTTCGCAGTTCGCTTTGAATCGCTGAAGTGCCGGATAACTTGCCCCCTTCACTCTCTTTGGAGTCGAAGAAAAAAAACCGTCACAGTTCCGGCATGACGAGCCATCGATCTCGTCCCAGTGGTAATCCAAGTAATCCACGTATGAGCGTCCTCTCCTCTGCTTGAACTTGTAGAAGAATCGAGATCCAGCATTGCGATACACACTGTTCATTGCGCGTGTCAGGTCTTCCGCGGTCGGGTTCTCATCCAGCTTCGAGAGCGGACAAACCACAGGAACTAGCAATGTTTGCCTCACATTTCTTCTCAACGGCTCAAGCAGTGTCTTTGTCAGCAGCAACGCCCTGAAGAGGTTCTGCGCACCATTTGCCTCTTGGAATATCGGCAGCGTTTTGTCCACGCCGAAAGGGAGATCTAGGTTGCAAACACGATTAGAATGGAGGAAATCCAGACCTCGCATCCAGTCGCAGGGACAGCGCTGCCCTAAATGGGTCTCATTCTCCACAGCGAAGGTATCAATTGCTTTCAGTGACACCACGTCGAGGAAGTCTTGCGAAAATGCATTAGAAAATGTCTGCAGCAAAGTGCGGACGTCGTCTATGGACAAATACTCCCAGACCAATGCAGATCCCAACTCCAAGACGCGGCAAAATCGGCCAGCGGGAGAGTTACTTGGCACAGCAATCTCAGGCACAGCGAGCTTCTGCTTTTTGTTCTTGCCCCTGGTACTGTACGGATGAGGGGCGCGCTGGGTTCTAGGACGGAGAACACGGTTCGACGACTCGGACTCCATCGTTGTAAACGGGCTCAGCGACGGTGTGGAAACGCCAATGCGGCTGGATTGTACTTGGAGTTTGCTTGATGTTAGCGGACAACAACACAGCACGAATCACTTTTTGTCATCGCGTCATTTACCTTAAACAACTAACTGATCTATCTCCTTTTGCCTTTGCCCTTCCGTCTAGTAGACGAAGTTGTCGAAGAGTTTTCTTTAGCGGCCGGCTTAGATTCGATCTCGATCGTGCCACCCTGCATGTAGAGCGAAGGGGGGCTGTGCGTCAACGTCACACATATTTTGTAAGAACACAATAAGAAGCACACGTACCATGATGTCCTCGCGATGTGCACTCTGCTCGACTTTATTCTGGGTATCTAGATAGAACATGAGATCGCGAACTTGGCCCTCCAAATCACCGACGCGCACCGCCGTTTCCTGTTCAATGCGAGTGTTTTGCTCCTCCAGAATCCGAATGCGCTCCTTCCACTGCGCCTGGTTTTGGAGCAAGGACTTGTTCAATTCTCTATGTAGGGCACAAACAATGAATTAGCCTTTGGGAGTGGTGCAGGAACAACGTTCAACACACCCACCTGACGAAGGTCAGCTCTTCCTCCAGCTTTTTGGCCTTCTCTGCTAACGCGGCGTTTGCCTTCTTCAGATGCTTCCGCTCGTGCTCATGGGCGTTCAAAAGCTGCCGGCTTTCGCCTTCTTCCACGCGCGCAAGCAACCGCTCGTAATACAGACGCTGCTCCTCTAATTGACTGATACATGCCCACGAAGAGAGTGTTAGGTCTACTAAATCATATCGGCAAACCCGCACCAACAAATACATACCTCTTCAGCAGAAAATTGTACTCAACCGCCAGCTTTTCGAGTTTCCGGTGCTCGCCCTCTTCTTCCTCGGCAGCGGTAGTAGGCGGGGTTTGCGAGCGCTCGCCACTCAAACTGTGTGGACTCGGAAACTCAACAAACTTGCCATCCTGCTTGTTCAAAATCAGTCGGTGCACGTATCCGTCGCCAGCGTAATCCCACACGCGCTGAGTTTCCAGCTCCAGCGAGTACGTGTGCAGAGTCTCCTGGTAGTGCTGTTTGGCATGTTCTCCGGAGTAGCGTCCGCAGCCCACGTGTCCACAGATCAAGCAAATCCAAAGGTGCTCCGTCGTGCCGCACACCTCACACGAGGAGCCAATGTCACCATGGCTGTACCGGCACACGGGGCAGCTCGATCCCTCCCACCGGAACAGGCAATCACAATGGAAGGAATGGTTGCACAGCGTCGTGAGAATACCCGACGCCGACGCGTCTAACCTGTCCAGACAGACTGCGCACGTCGGGATCTCCGTCATGCCAGCGGGTGGCGGTGGGAACAGCTTCCTCATCTGTGGACTGCTCGCTCTTCTCTCAGACCGCGGACTCAGCGGCGCCGCAGCGACGTCTTCTTCCTCATCTGCATGCTTCTCCTCCAGCGCGTCACTGTCGGGATGGTCCTCACTCACCACCGGGTCGAACTCGACGCTGCGCACGAACACGATCTTACAGCGCTCCTGCTCGATTGAGTTGAAGTACTTGCCATTATGGTCCTGCACAAATACGAAAATGAGTACTTACCAAAATTCAACATAGCAGAAGTGCATTATAGTCAGTTTACCTGGAAGAATTGGTCAGCTCGCTCCTGCGAGTTGAACTGCATGAGCACCATGCAGTTGCTGCGCTCCGGGTCCTTGAGGATGCGCACGAGCGCAATGTCCTCGCGGAAGCTGGCCAGGAACTCGAGGATCTCCACGGGCGACATGTGCGACGGCACCGTCACCACGCACACGAGCGTGCTACGCTCGCTGGGCAGCTGCTGGCTGCCGCCGGCGGAGGCGGAGGCCGAGTAGGACTTGTCGGCCCGGTAGAAGCGCAGCTTGCCCGTGGTCACGCGCACCTGCGGGTTGCCGGCCAGGAAGGGCGCGCCCTGCATCTCCTGCACGTCCTCGAGCGTCTCCTCCTCCTTGGCCTCCTCCTCCTCAGCCATGTCGGCGGCCTCCACGCGGATCTGGAACATGTCGCGCGGCGATCGATGCACAAGTGTGAAATGGAGAGAGATCAGATCGAGTGAGTGTTTTTGTGGCGATGTGGGTGCAGATTGTGAAAAGGACCCAAAAATGGTGGAATCGTGTGACGGCAGACTATCAACCTTGTCAAGCAGATGAAGAGAAATACCAGTGCCAGATACAAGCCGCTGAGATCGCGAGATATGCTTGCAATGCGTCTAATAGGCTTCAAGAGACGTGGAAGTCACGAAGTCAAGGACGCAGCTAAGCGGCTTGGCAGACCGGGCTTCACTTCGCGGTGGTAAGCGCGCGTGTGCCTCTGAATGAGCATTTTTATCTTGTAGAGTAATAGCTATATGCATGCGAAGCGTAGTTGCGCCGACTTGTGATTACTAGGCACGCTTGGTATGTCACCAGTCATTGTGTCAACGCTCGACAGCGATCGAATCTTGATTCCTACTAGTAAATTGTAGGGCGAGGCCGAAATGAAAGCAGCTGTCAGCAACAAGCGAGCTAGGTATTGCTGTGGCGGCCATGCTACTCAACGCTAACAGAAGTCAAATGCGAGCCTTGCGAGTCCCGCCAGCACATTTTGCCGGTGGACACTCGGCTCGCCAAGGGCTCATTTTCTGGAATAGCTCTGGATTTTCCGTACCCAAACTCGGACCCATAATTTCGACAAGGCAGCTGGGCTCATCCCACTTTTTGTCCCGCACATTTTCACTCATTCGCAAAACGTTGACCCAGCGCACGCAGCGACGAAGGAAGGAAGGAAGACCAAAGCAACCGACAGAAGACAGCGCGCACTACTAAGCAGGACACCGTAGCGCAATGTTTAGCCAGCCGTGCGTCTCCTTCTCCTCCCTGCGCTCGCAGCTATGAGCCAGCCAACTAACCGTCACTAACTGGTGCAGGTACCCAACGGCCGAGCCTCAGGTCCAGAGCGCGCCGGACGTGAACCCCATCAAGCCGTACGTCGTCGCACTAACTATCGCATCCTAGAGCCCGCTACTTATCCTACTTGCTCTGCCTGTGCTGCTGCAGCGACCAGAAGACCGTCGAGGCCAAGGCCGGCTGCCAGGACTGGCCGTTCGCGCTGCTGTTCGTGGTGAATGTCGGCGTCATCATCGCGCTGATGGCGATGTGGGGCGTCAAGACCGTCACGGACCCGGAGAACAACTCGAGCGAGCTGCTCTCGGGCGACGACACGAAGGTCGTGGTGGCCATCTCCGTGGGCATGGCCGTCGTGTCCATGGTGCTGGCTCTGCTCATGGTCAAGCTCATTGTGGCCTACGCGCGGGTGATGATCCTGTTTGTGCTGTGGTTTAACGTGGGCATTTCGTTCGCCCTGGCGGCGTACGGATTCGTGATTGGCAACATCTTCATTGCCATTATCGGAGCGCTGATTGCCCTGCTCAACCTCTGCTACGCGCGCGCCGTGCAGCACCGTATCCCGTTCGCCGTTGCCAACTTGCGCGTGGCCGAGGGAGCCATCGCCAAGCACTGGTCCACGTACATTGTGTCGGTTGTGTTCACCATCGTGCAGATCGCTTGGGTGGTGATCTGGGCCATGGCGCTGCTGGGCGTCGCCAACAAGATCGCGGAGGATAACCCGAGCAGCACCAACACATCGACGACGACCTCGACGAAGTCCACGTACAAGCAGTCGGGCAGCTCCTACGCCGCGTACTTCTTCCTGCTGCTATCGTTTTACTGGGGTCTCCAAGTTTTCAAGAACGTGGCCCACACGACTGTTGCGGGCACTGTTGCGACGTTCTGGTACAACGCTGAGTCGGGTGGGGCTACAGCTGCCTCGCTGAAGCGCAGCACTACGACGTCGTTCGGCTCCATCTGCTTCGGCTCGCTTATTGTAGCTTTCCTGCAGGCGCTTCGCGCGGTACGATCTCCTGTTTCCAAGTCGGAAGCGTGGTTGCTTCACTGTACTAACAGTAGTTGATGCATTGCTTAGTTGGCGGAGAGCGGCCGTCAGGACGGAAGTGCGTTGGCCTGCTTTGCCGAGTGCATCCTGGGCTGCCTGCAGTCGCTCATGGAGTACTTCAACCGCTGGGCCTACGTCTACGTCGGCATCTACGGCTACAAGTTCACGCAGGCTGGCAAGGCTGTATTCCAGCTCTTCAAGCAGCGCGGCTTCGATGCGATCATCAACGATGACCTCATCGGCAATGTGCTTGGATTCGCAGCACTCGGTGTTGGTAAGTCCTGTCTCCGAGCTGTTGCTATCTGGTCAAGCACTAACGTTTTGTCCACCCACAGGCCTTATCTGCGCTGGTGTTGGTGCGCTGATTGCGGAGACGACCGACGCGGTCACCTTCCAGAACAGCACCGCGTTCCTGGCGATCCTCGGCTTCGTGATCGGCATCGGCGTTGCCGTCACGCCGCTCGCCGTCATCGACAGCTCAGTGGCCACGATCTTCGTCTGCTTCGCCGAGGACCCCGCTGCGTTCCAGCGCTCGCACCCGGAGCTCTACGCCCCGCTGGTGCAGGAGTGGCACAACCTCTACCCGGAGATCATGGTGCAGGCAGGATACTGGTACGCGTAGTCCAGCATCAATGTGTCAAGCATAAGCTCCAGCCTGGCGGAGCGGAGCTGTTCTCATTCTCAGCCAACAATTCTATTCATACATTGGTCCCTTCGACCCTTCAACCGTTGCAAAAGCCTATTCCGACCTGTAGTATCTTTGGGTATCCATGCTAGCTGACGAAAATAGAACCCAAAACAACATAGCTTACTTCAGTTCAGTCTTCAACTTACCCAACTTACCCCAACGTCGTGCCACGACGACGATGAGGCGAAGTCGCGCTGCGTTGCTGGGCGCCGCCCTCTCGACGCAGCTAACGTCTGGCATGGCGTCCTCCATGACGTCGGTGCTCGTCCGAGCAGCGTCCGCGACTCTCGTGGCGCGGCGCATCACTGACGTTGCGCACCAAGAGGCAAGTGAAGATGCAGACACTGCAACTGCTGGTTCAGGCTCAGACTCAGGCGGGTCGGACATGATGAAGGCCATCCACTACGGGGCCATCGTGCTGCTCATCGTCATGTCGGCCATCTCTTCGGGTCTCACGCTGGGCCTCATGTCACTGGACAAAGTGAGTCTCGACGTGATCATCCGCGCTGGGGACCGACCGGGAGCTACCAAGGACGAGATGAGGAAGGCCAAGGCAGCTCGACGCATTCTGCCGGTCCGAGTCGACAGCAATTTGCTGCTCACGACGCTGGTGCTGACGACTGTGGCGGTGAACAGTTTGCTGTCGATTCTCATGGCGGACTTGACCAGCGGCCTCGTGGGCTTCATAGTGTCGACGATCCTCATCCTCATCTGCGGCGAGATCATCCCGCAGTCGCTGTGCTCGAGACACGCGCTGTCCATTGGCTCGGCGCTCGTGCCGGTTGTGCGAGTGCTGAGGGTGATGCTTTATATCTTTGCCAAACCGGTGAGCTTCGTGCTGGACAAGACCGTGGGCGAAGATGTAGGCACCATGTTCACCAAGAGAGAGCTGCAGAAGCTGGTGGACATCCATGTGAGGCAGAAGATCATGCACCCCGAGGAAGGGTATATCGTGCGCGGCGCCATGGGCTACAAGCACAAGGTCGTCAGTGACATCATGATCCCGGCGGAGAAACTCTTCTCGCTTCCGATATCCTTCACCACGCTGCAATGTGTTGATTTTGTTGCGTGTTGCATATCTTGTTGCTGGTTTTGGTTTCCTTAACCTGTAGGTTTCTGGATTGTTTGATCGATTGTTGCCATACGCCAGTACGATACTCAATCTCGAGACACTCAAGATGATCTACAACAACGGATACAGCCGCATTCCCGTGTGGAATAAAGACCCGAACGACATTGTTGGCATCATCTTCACCAAAGACTTGATCTACGTGGACCCGAACCAAGATGTGCCACTGATAGCATTCGCACGCGTATTTGCGGTCGCGGCACACCGCATTTGGCTCGACGCACAGCTAGGTGAGGTGCTCAGCGTCTTCAAAATGGGCAGCACCCACATGGCACTTGTGTACGATGTCAACAACTCGGGACCGGTAGGCTCTTCGTACTGCATCGGGTTTCAGAAGAAAAGGTTGCTAACCGTGTCGACTATCCTGGCCAGGGTGACCCATTCTACGAGCTCAAGGGATTGGTGACGCTGGAGGATATCGTCGAGGAAATCCTGCAGTCCAAGATCATCGATGAGACCGACTCCCCAGAAGCCAGGAAGGAGCGCCAAAACTGCACGGACCAAATTGGGTATTCCGATGGGGGTGAGTTCGTGGCCCACGCCGTCGTCTTGCTTCCACCCACCAGCTCTCGCCGTGACTCGCTCTAAGTGCTGACACCGTTCACCTTCCTCCGCCCAGTTTACTCTGAGGACGACCCACTCCTATCCGAACCCAAGTCGACATTCGGCACTGCACTTTCAGCTTCAAGTTTACAGATCCAGTAGTACTACAATAGAGCAGCGTGGCTGCTTATCATACACGGTGATATCGCCGTAGTCAGCGTTGCCCCCACCGACACACACCAAGAACGTTTATAAGCCCGTGGGGCTCAAGATAATGAAAGACTCACAAACTGCTTTCGTCAACGGGCGCGTCTTCTCGCGTGATTTGGATATCCACGCCGTAGTCATGAGCAAACGTTGCAATGCAAGGCGATGGCCGTCGCTAGCGCTTTTAACTCTGCTGACAATCTGCATTATTGGTGCAACGACAGCTACCACCACCACTACGCTGGAGTGCAACGCCACTGCGGCTGGCCAAGCGGCTATAGAGCGGTGGTCTTTGCTCTCCGAGCTTACCTTTTCCCGAGACTGTACGAGTAACACCACTCTACAGCAGTATATCTTCGGAACGTGATCTAACGTGGGTCGGGTCTATTTGGTTTGTGCGCAGCTCACGCAGCGGCAGTATTCGCCGACCGAATCTGGATTGTCGGTGGCGTATCAGCTTCCTACTACACGAAGCGTTTGGAATACACCACCACGCGCTCGGATGTCGTATCCTCTCCTGACGGCGTCGAGTGGACAGAAGTGCTGGAAGAAGCTCCGTTCCGTCGACGTTTTGGGCATTCGTTAATTACCTTCACGGACTCGAGCGATAGCGAGGAGCGGCTTACATTGATAGGAGGCTTCTCACCCGAGCCAGCGACCGATATCTGGGTCACCACGGATGGAGGTAGGTGAGTGTAGATTTCTACCTATCAAATACGCTTCGGGTTGCTAACAGTGCGTGCTGCGTGCGATTTACAGCGTCTTGGACTCAATCTACTGCCTCAGTTCCTTGGGCAGGTCGAGGTTATCACTGCTCAGTGGTGTTTAACAGCAAACTTTGGATCCTTGGCGGCAGTCCGATCAACAACGAGGTTTGGTCTACGTCGTCAGTGTTGAAGGGGCCGTGGAAGCAACAAGCTGGAGTGCCTTGGTCACCACGGTCAGCTCACGCATGTGCCTCTCACGAGACTATGGATGCAACTGTGGGGGATTCAAGTCGTGAAGAGTTTCTTTTTCTAATGGGCGGGTGGCGCGACACAAGTCTGCGCGATGTCTGGCGCATGGATTCCTCTGGTAAATGGAAAATGATGCTGGAGGCTGCGCCTTGGGAGCCACGAGCGTGGTTCCCGATCGTATCGTTCGACTCCAGGACAAATGGTGATGTCCAACTTGGACCAAGACTTTGGGTGCTCGGAGGTGGAATTGTCGGAAACGGGATCGAGAAAATGTATCCGTTCTCGGACGTGTGGTACACACGTAACGGGGTTGAGTGGGTAGAGTCTAGCTCCAACTCATCGGGTATATCGACCGCCGAATGGAGCATGTTGACCCAGAGCAACGAGGAAGTGTGCATGGGCAAGTGGGGTCATACCGTTGTTCCCTTTTACCGCACAGTCAACCGGGCGTACTATTGTCACGAATCTTGCATGAACGAAGAAGGCACTATCAGTCTCGCGAACCAGCTCATACCAGTGTGCAGCCCGTCCACGACATTGCCGGAGGCACCCGCCTTGCACACAATTCTGTTGAATAACTCCATGATCACCAAGACTCTGTATCCAGACGGCTGTGGACTGTGCGTGGTGGACTCCAATGCACGATATGAGAACAGCACACGCGTGCCTACGCTCTTCCTTCTTGCTGGGAACGTAGGCGTCCAGAAAGTAAACGACGTGTTTCAGAGCAGCGATGGAAGTGCGTGATGCATTTGAAGCTCCGATCACTTCGGCACAAAGTGTTGTTGTTAACCCGGGATTGTTTTGCTTGACTTGGTGTAGTGTTGTGCGAGCGGGAGGGCACGATCTGCTCGGGAGAAGGCGTGTGTGTGCAAGGAGGCACTTGCCTCTGCAGCAACGGGAAGACGGGAGCTTTCTGTGACAGCGAGCTTCCCTATACGATCGTCGACTCAAGTGCGTGCCGAAAAGTTATATCGAGTCCTCTTGGTACTAATTGATCTTTGTGGCTAAACGATGCAGCGAGTTGCTTCCCCGAGTCGGCTCCGGTCATCGTTGCGGGTGGTAAGACAAAGCGTTTGGGTGACGTAAAGATCGGAGACTCGGTGCTGGCGCTCGATTCAGCAGGAGAGCTCGTGTACTCCACCGTCTATTACATTCCACACGAAGGTTTTGTGGACAGCGCCACAGACTTCATCAGCGTGGAGCACGAAGGCCTTGGCAATGTACGTGCCGACCAGATACGGTCGTGGTCGTGTGTCTGCATGGTCATCATGACCAGCCCTCCCTCTACTGAAAATCGGCCCTATTGTTGAAATCTGTGACTTGTGACGGCCATGTGTGACGTGTGTGACTTTCGTGTCGAGCAGGACTTTGTTGAAGCGCTGCAGCTTACCCCGGATCACCTCGTGTTCTATCTCCCAGAGAGCGAATTATTTGAAGCGGATTTCTACCGGAGCGATGGAAAAGCTTGGTCTCCGGAGCTGTGGATGGCCAGCCTGGCCCAGAAACCAGCGAGCGAGCTGCGGGTGAACGACCTGCTCTTGACGTTGCCCTCGTCCAAATCTTCGACGCGATCATGCCCGGCGAGTAACACCGAAACCGATCCACCGCCCAGAAATGCATCAAGACCCCGATGGATCTGCCCGGATGGCAGGCATGGGGTGCTCCCACGTCAAGACGGCCCTCCAGCTGGCCCTGCCAGTCTTGTCAGGGTCACCAAGCTGACTCGTGCCAGCCACCGCGGAGCCAAGACAGTTTACACGATGACGGGCAACCTGTTTGTGGCGGGGGTGCTCTGCAGCAACTTTGGCGACTACTACCCCACCCTGCCAGGTCAGCAACTGCGGGATTCGGTAGCCTTCAAGCTGTTCGCGCCGCACCGCGCGGTGTTTAAGCTGCTCCCTTACCGGAGCACCGCTGAGCTCCTACGCGCGCTCATGGATCAGCTGGTGCTGCCCGCGTTGAGATGGCTTCGCCCGCCCCTCTCCGAGATAACCCAAGCGAGCTGGGATGCTCGGGTCGCGTCACATGAGCTGTGATCGGGGCTTCTTCCCGGTCGCCCCACCGAGCTGAGACCTTTACGCGAAGCAAAGCTGAAGATGGAGAGAGTTTCCTGCAATTTTTTAGCGGCAATACTGTAGCTAACCTACAACGGCAAAGCGCCGAGAGCTTCGAGACGGAACTGCCCAACGCGTTTCGTTGCTTCCCTCTGTCGTCCACGAATTGGATAACCTCGACGTTTTTGCTGTGCGAAATGTACAGGATCACCATGAAGAGCTGCCGAGGTCGTAGCCATGCTCCTATCGTTGAGGAAGTTCCTCAGAGGAACCTTTGTCCCGGGGGCGTGCCCTGACTTGACTTGCCCTGCCTTGCCTCGGCTCAAGTCAAAGAGCTGGAGCTTCAAAAAGCTCGACCAGCCACCTCCCAGTCTGCTGCAGAAGCAGTTGGCAGGGCGCTCTCGAGGTTTGGAGGGATAACTGCGCCGACACCCTGCGCCGAGCAAACTTGCCCGACAACGGCCGGCGCAAGCCGTTACGTGGCAGCTCTGCCCTTCAGCTTGGAGCCCGCCTTGGGACCAGCTGGATACGGGCTAGTCGACCATAGCGCTGCGCTCGAAAAAAGAAGACGAATAGGGACCGAACGCCGATAGAATCGGCGGAACGCGGCCGAGGCGTTCCAATGTGCAATGCGTGCGGACGTTGGGCTGTCGTGCTGCTCGCGGCGCCGCCGCCTTCTGGCTTTCGTCTGCAGGCAGTGGATTCTCGTCCTGGACAGCGCTTGTCATGTGCGTCCATTCCGTCCTCGCCCCACGCGACAACGTCTTATTACAAACATGCGGCACAGAGCTGGTGGGCAGCTACATATGACCAAGAGAGCCACCTGCCTGCAAGTGCATGCTGGTTCTGAAGCAGCAGGCCCACGGGCGTTAAACTCCGGTAAAGACCGTAGCCTCAACGGTTATCAAGCATATGTAATGCGTACAGTCTGGTCCCCTGCGCGTTCGGCGCGAGCGGCTGGAAAGGCAAATTCTCCGTACAGGCCACAAGCGACGAGACCTGCTGCTGGCAAGTCGCTACGGCCCGTAGTACGGGTGCTGGTGAGCAGCGACCGAAATACCAGCCCAGTGTGCATTTTGCCAGCATCTTCGCATTTGCACTTTTACCGCCTCCACCACCAGAAGCCTCAGACAATCATGCTCGGCAAGCGTTGCGCGTCGGAAATGGAGGCCTGCCTCACCGAGTACTACCGCCAGGAGTGCCTGCGCGCCCTGTACGCCAAGCAGGAGCGCCCGCGCGACTGCGCCTGGGTCAGCAAGGACATGATGGCCAAGCCCCCGCGCCGCGCGCGCAAGGGCGTGTCGTTCGCCATGGCGCCCGAGATCATCGGCAGTGCCGACCCTTCCGTGGACCGCAGCCCCATCGACGTGTCCCCGATCTCCAAGCTCGAGCTCGTCGTGCTGCTCTCGCAGCGCACCTTCCCGGCCCACGCTTAAGCGATGCAGCACCAGCACCGCGACTCAACCTGCACAGGACAACCAGACTACACTCGTAGTACACCAGACAACGGGCGACGACAGCCGTGCACTGCACTGCACTGCACTGCAAGGCACCAGCTCTACTTTCGCTCAGCTCTGGAAACACCTCAACTCAACCTCTCCCACTCATGCTAGGGTGGACCTAGAACACCGGGCTAGACGCCGTCCACATCACGGGTTCGGCACGCTACCCAGGCAGCAGCATGTAGCTTATTAGAAGAGTCATGAAAGAATTGACTCGATATTTAAACCGCAATAAATGCCGATGCTTCATCTCCACAACGTTCTGGCTTCCGCATTCATCAACGTAACATGCCAGCAATAATTTCTGGCAGCAAACCAAAGGGATCAGTTCGATGCGGTCCGCTGTCACAGCCAGGCTGTGCCCCGAGCGGGTCGGGGATGCGTTCAGATACCGAGCGGCATGAGTCGATCGACCTCTCGCCGCGACACTCCTTGGTCGAGTAGTTGTGCTCGAGCTTTGGCACGAGCGACGAGTGCTCGATCGCGCGCCATTTGCAACTCCAGCTGACGCAGTGTGAGCTCCACGCGGGCCTTTTCCAGGTCAATTTCATCAATCGACCTCAGCGCCGGCCGCTTCTTCACGGGATCGGACGGAATGTCCCGTCGGCGTCGAACATGCCCTCGCTCCTCCTCCTCCTCTTCCAGCTGCATAACTGAAATGGACTGCATCGCCAAGCTCTTGCTCTTCCTCACTGGACGCGTAGTCGGCGGCGTCGGGGGAGTAAATGGACCCCTCACGCCACCAACGGACTCGTTGTCAAAGTCCCAGACTATATCCTCCGTCAGCGACTCCAGCCCTCGTCGATCTCGCAGCTGGTAGTGAGACTTCTGTTTCTTTGCCGGCGAAGGTGAGCGTGACCGCAACCTGGCAGGCGAAGGACTAGCAGCGCAAGCAGGAGCAGGAGCTCGAGCTGGAACTGGCGCTGGAGGAGGAAGGTTCGCAGCCGCTACTGGCTGCTGAGCTACCTTCACTGACTTCCGCTTCGTACTAAGTCTCGGCCTCTTGGACGGCGGCGAATCCACCTCCTTGTCAATGTCCTTCATAATGGGCTGCAGCAGGGCAAAGTAGCGGCAGTGGCGCTCCAGCACGCGGCGCAAGTTGCGCTCCGCCGGCGTCCCTTCGGCCGCTTTGAGCTCGCGCTTGGTGCTGGCCAGGCGTTCCGCAGCTTCACGGTACGACAGCTCCAGCTCCGCCATCTTGGTTTGTACCTGGTTGGCCGTGCGGTGCACCAAACCCTCCGTATGCAGCCGCTGCACGATCTCGTCGGCCAGCGGTCGGAGGCTCTCGCCGGTGTTACTGCAGCTCCGCCAGCGGTCGTAGTTGCCCGGCGCGACCAGCCAATCGAGTAGTACGCCCATGGAAGACTTACCCCCCGCGCCCGAGTGGTCCGACGTCCACTTGGTCTGCGAGAGCTGCTTGGACGCCTGCCGCGCGCGGAAGAAGCTCGGCTTGATGTGCATCTTGGTGCGATTCTCTACGCTTCACTATGCGCCAGCCACGCGCCCCCTCGCATTTTGCCAGACGGGCTTTCAGCCAATCCGCATGTTGAAGTCGTTCTCCGCGCGACGATTGGCCGAAAACAGTTGTTGCGTTTGGTGACCATCACTCCGACACCTGTGCGCATTTTGGCGGGGATCAGTTTGAATCTCTCATGGCGAGGCGCGGCATCTGCAGCTCGCCGCTGTCGTCGGCGGACGAGGCCGAGGAGGACGTCGGGGCGCCCTCTTCGTTCCCGGCGATGTCCCCGTCTCCTCCTGCGTCCAAGCCCGCGAAATCCCGAGCGACGGGGGCGAAGAGGAAGCCCAGCAGAGCCAAGAAGACGCTCCTCCCACCCGCGAAGAAGCCCAAGCCGAGTGCTGCGACAGAGCGAAAGAGTACCAAGGAGCTCGTACACGACGCGTCACAAGAATTTGTCGAGTACTTGGCAGAGCAGCTGAGCGCGATGCAGCAGGCCAAGTTCGAGACAGAGTTCGGTGGGGGTCAGGGATACATCGTGAAGCTGCCGTCATCGAGCTGGAAGACAAAGCGCAAACGGGACGAGCTGCAAGCATGGATCAAAGCGCTGGGCTTCACGTCTGGCGCGTCATTGAATCGGCATGCACTGCGAGTCGCAAGTCTCAAGGCGGATGTGATTCTGAGTGAACTGAAGCAGCGGCTGCCGTCGATTGCCGAGTACGTGCGTGGTGGGAGGGCCGAGTTGCCGGCTTTTTGGGGGTGGATATATGCTTATTATTGTTTTGGTGCTGTTGTGCATCCGCAGAGGAGAGGACAAAGAGGAGGAGGTTGAGGGTGAGGATGACGAGGCTGCGGATGGAGGTGATGAAGAAGAGAAAGACCAGACCGGGGACTATTTAACGGATCCTGCCATGCTGCGGTTGAAAAAATACTTTCAAAAGTTGGAGTCGCAGACATTGGAGGTCGTGTCGTACTCGGAAAACCACCGATTGCTGTCCTCAACGCAGCACATGGCGATCGCCGACGCGATGGAAGACGTGCTGGCACAACCTTCGGTTCGAAGAGAACGTCGTTTGGCAAGACGGCTTTCGAAGCTGGGACGGATATCGGGCCGGCGACTCTCTTCAATTGCTATGGGACCTTCGTCTTCTTCTTTTCTCCCACCAACGGAAGACGACTGGGTGTGGGATCGCGAGATGAACAAGATGTCACTGACTCCTGTCAAACGGCATATTTCGCTCGGTGAAAGTATCTCTACAAAGAAGACAATCACGCTTGGAGAAAGTGTGCTGCACCTTGTTCTCCACTCTGGACTGGTAGATGTGAAGACCTTGAAGGAAGTGCTCCGAAAGGTTTCCACCGTGTGGGAAAAGATAGCGGTCATGTAAGTTATTGGATTGCTCGCTGTCGTACTATTTCTCACTTAAGCTAACTTGTCTGGGGACGTTGGTTGTGAGCAGGGCATACGCATGGATGATCGCGGATTACTCAAAGTACGTACAGAGTTTTTTTTTTCGGGTTGCTTGCCGATGTACTGTGATGGCTAACGAAGGGGTACCTGATTCTTTTGTTTTCTTTCAGGAAAACCAACTTCTATTCGATGGGCCAAGTTTACAGTCGTCACCCACGTGGCCACTACCTCGCGAATGGTGCATACAAGGAAGTGTTCAAAGTATTTTCATCGGAAAAGAAGCGTTTGGAAGCTATGAGCGTCATGGATATCAGTGCAATCGAAAACACCGGCAACCAGGTATGCGAACATCGACTGCTTTGTACGGGTGGATAGAATAGTAGGCCTTTCGAACTCATCACTTGATTTCTTTCGTCGTAGGGTGTTATTCGGCAAGAGGTTGCCCACTCAGTGCTGCTATCGAACGCAACAGAGCACGGCATATGCCCGAACTTCCTCCGCATCTATGATATTTTTCTTGCGGAGGAGCGACCTCGACAAGAGCGTTGGGGCAGCAAAACGCATCGCAGGCCAGTCGAGTTATTGGCAGATGGAAACACCTACTCAGCAGCCTCAAGCAGCCAGCAGAGTGCCTCGTCACCTCGCAGCGAACAAGGCAAACAAAGCGATCGTTTGTTCCAGTACATCCGGATGGAATTTTGTGACGGTGGCGATCTTGAAGATTTCATCGGTCTTCAGAAGGACAAGGTTCTTCCTTTGGCGTCAGTTGCCGTGCCATTTTTCTTCCAGATGGTGTTCGGTTTGTTTTGCGCTCGAGAGAAGTTTTACTTACGGCATGGTGATGTCAAGGTTTGTTACCAGAGGATATGATCTTTTGTTACGATTGGTGGCTAACGGGCTTAATGTTTACCATGCAGCTTCTTAATTTCTTTCTAAAAGATATTGGCCGCTCCAGTCTCAGCAAAGAGCCAGGGGCCGATGCCGTTTTGCATTATCTTCTGGAAGACTCCTGCTTCGTTCTTCAAATGCCTGCGTCCTTTTCGTATTGGGTGAAGCTAGCAGATTATGGCGCTGCTGACTCGAATTTGGAGAATCTGGGAAAGCCTGTCACGATTGATCAGTTCGCTACACTGGAAAACTCACCTATTGAGTACCTGCTGGAAGGAAATGCCGCTGAGCAGTCATTCGCGGCCGACACATTTTCGTTGGGGCTGTGTCTATTGCACCTGTTTACTGGAAGGTGCGCACGCCATTGAGCTTTAGATCCGCAAAGCATTTCACTGACTTGTCGTTGTTATCAAAGCGCTCCATATGAGGAGATTTTGGAAGACGTGCAGTGCCCTGCTGAGCTTCTGAAGGACCTGAAGTTCATCTGGATGGTGAGTACATGTAAGATAAGCTTAGCGTGTATGCTTTCTAACGACCCAGTGTGTGTACTCTGTTGTTATCTGTCACTGCCACGTTAGAATCCTCGAAAGAACTCGGAGTTTTCTGTGATCAAGAGCGTGGCCCGCGGCGACGATGAAAATACGCTATGCCACACTCTGTACAGGTTCATCGTACTTTTTGGGTTACCGGAACAAAATCCTAGCAAAAGCAAAGGCATTGATCGGGTGTGGCAAGTCCTGCTAAAGCATTCACGGCCAGAGGATGCGGCAATCTATCACCCCCAACGGCGAACCAGGCGAACAGGAGGCGCAAACACGGCCCCGAGCCATGGGAAGACAACAAAGGACCAATATGCTCATGACCAAGCGCTATTCTCGCTGGCAAGCGGATCTAATGCCATTATTCGTCGATGCCGTGAAGGACTAAACGCAATTCCGGGCGCGATGGACTTGCTGATGAAGCTGGTTGACTTTGATCCCTCAAGACGCCCCACACTCAAGCAAGTAATGTATCACCCGATGTTCTCATGCCTACGCTCGGCCTCAAGGGAGAAGGAAGCCCAAGCAGATTATGTGATTAGTCACTACAAAACCCGGGGCCAGCGTTCTCGATTGATACCAGACATATAGGAGACTGACCTGCCGACACATAAATTTTGTGAATCAGCATTTACATGCTCTAGGATTATCTAACAGAGGACCCCCCAGTCCTTCAAAACACTTTCGAAGGTACCAGGAACCTCGACGCCCTGCCTCGGATGACAGCGACGTTTTGTGATCTATGTCAGCAGCTCCATCGAGATCAATCGACCTCGGCTTAGCTGCTCCAACCTCTCATAAGCCCCTCCACGCGATGCACTGTTATCTTTATCGGACGCTGAGCTGTACAGATTTCTCGGATCAATTCTTTCGGCTTCAAGTACTTGCGGCCATTGACAGCCACAACTCGCGAGCCAACCAAAATGCCATGCCTTCTTGCGATGCAATCTTGATCAACGCTCCGCACGACACAGTTGAACTCGTTTGCAGACAACGAGCAGCCAAGCTCTTCCTTATCATGCAGCGTCACGTTAATCTCGACGGTCCGAGGCTCGGGGACCGACGAAATCACCGTCTTTGAGCCCTCTGGCGCCATTTGAGAGCGGAAGACGAAATGGAACAACACGGGCCGGGGCTGCGTCCGAAGCGTATCCACGACTTCGTCAAACTTCAAGTTCTTCACGCTGTTCAGACCGATAAGTAAGCTCCCGACTATCACGTTGGCTCGTTCAGCAGCACCACCCGGGAGAACCCGTGACACCTCCGCATACCCGCTCTTCGCTTTAGCCAGCGTAAAGCCTAACGGTTCACCAGGAGCTCCTATCTTGCGCTCATATTTTCTCCATTCCACAGCGCGCTGCTAATCACAAGACGTGTATGACACCATTAGCTCTCGTTCAATAACAAACATTTGCGTTACTCCAAGTCATTCAGGACGTACCGATGCTGTGACGGTGCAAGCCTTCGAGTGTGAATTCAGCTGGTCTAGTGGTACCATTGAGCAGCACGTCGTACACTTGACAGTGGTGCCGTCCACAGGTTCATCGGGACTCAGTGTCTTCGCTACCAATGTCGGGGACGATGCAGGATCCTCCTTCACAGTTGGAACCGGGTTCTCTTCGACAGTCGGAGATGCAATGCCAGCCAACATCGACAGAAACGATGTGGCAGTGAACGCACACTCCACGGACGGGTCTTTCGCAGCAGCCAGCTGCACTCGGCTCTTGTAGGCTTTCGCCACGCCGGACGCGTACTTTTCCACCATCGGAAGATCCGATATCCCCGTTCCAGCGCACACTGCGATCCACTTGGCGTTGCCGCCCAGCTCCAGTGCGCGAACCTCACTCGCGGACCACGCATCCATGACCAACGACTTGACGAAACTGGTCTGCACGCCCAGCGAGCGGTGCTTCCCGGCGCACGCCAAGCACAGCAGCACGCCGAACGAGACGCCCGCCCACTGCGGACAGATCGCCTTGCAGTCGACGCAGCGCTGTCAACACAACAAAGATCACACCCGAGAACATTTAGCACAAGCTCATACAATAAATGTGGCGATGGCGCCGCAGGAAACGTACGTCGTTGCCTGGCAGCAGACGGATCGCCACTTCGGTCGCGGGCGAGAGGCGCACCATCGGGGTGGGCTCGGGCATCACGCCGCGCTTCGAGCCAGCTGCGCCGACCATGGAGCTGCTGTCCGTGGAGGAAGTGGCGGAGCTGCAGTCCGAAGACGCCGGCGAGGCCGGTGCGTCGTCCTTGAGCAGGGTCATGGGATCCCGGGCCCTTCGGACGTTTCGACTGCGAGTTCTATTCTGAAGGCCGTCCGTTCGCTGTCCGCGATTGGACGCACAAAACTCAGAACGCTATGGCGCTCTGGTCCGAAATAACTGCGACATGGATACACATCTGGATACAAGGCTAGTGTGTAACGGTCACTTTGCACCAGTCTTTGCGGACCAAAGCACGAATTAATTGTGTACACAACACTAAGCGGTGTACAGATACGACCCACAAACTGCAAAGAGTGGTACATCCAAGTTCCTACAGGAAATTATATAATCTAAGTAGATAAGTGATTGAGGTGCGTACTACCACTATTTCCTCAAACTTCATTTTTACTTCTAAGAGAGAGGGTGATACTCCTCAATAACATCGCACTTCTGCTGGATGGCTAGCCACACACCCTTGGTACGCTTCTGGGTGCCCTTAGAACGCTTCTGGAGGCTGGGCGTACTGTGCTCAGTGCTGCCTTGAGTTTGTCTGTGGAAAAAGTGCGCCATGCTTTTGGCGGGATGATTCAAATGAAAATGGAATGTGTAGACCACACAGTGGCGGTACTTCAATGTGACGGGCGCTCCCTCCTGAGATGATGTCCCTTGATATCATGATTCCACAAGGGTATTAATTTATACGATTTGCAGTTTCTGAGTGGTATCTGTATGCAACTAAAATTGGGGTGGTGGACCCGGGGGGTCTCGCAGGTCGAAGCTAGCTTGCACGGATGCCCTTACAGGGATACGATGTACTCGGGCATCTCCTGCGCCTGCTTCGCAGCCGCAGCATCTGCATCTACCACTGTACAACCAAGTGTACCAAGTTTGATTGCTTCTTTTCAAAGGCATTGCCAGTTCTCTCCAACGAATTGGTACTTCAACTCTTGGGTTTGACAAACCCACCGTGGTGATTCTTCCTTTTCCTGCTCGTTGGATTAGGACTCCACGGATTTAGTTTTAACTTTAGTTATTTTGAGAACGGTTATCAACAACTAGCTAATCAACGTAATTGTATTCCTTCCTGCCTTTGAAACGTGCGCTGATGCCCAGGCAGAATCCTATATTTCTTAGATTGCATGGTGTGCTCGGAAACTTACAGGCGGCGAAAAAACAGAAAAAATACGTGCATTCGAACATTTAGCGCTTCCAGGCGAACTGCCCAACCGAACTTGCAGGGTAACCCGATGAAGCCAGCAATTTGCTTCAAGTTTGATAAGTTAAGACTGAGGTCTAGCAGATCTCGATCGCGTGTAGGAGTTGGATACACCGGGTGTTTGTCCTTCGCGTTGACGATGTCTGCCCGGGCTTCCTCTCTCACAGGAATCCGGGGCGTACAGAAAACGTAGGAGCATTCAAACTCTGTTTGATAAAACATGGCGCAGCCGCACACAGACTTTGTCCGGATCGCCTGAATATCTAACAACAACAAAAACTCCCGGCTTCGATTCGTCCAAGTGTGTTATTGCCATTTATCTAGTATTAAACTGAACGAGCCGCATTCATGTAGCATTAGGATGATCTGAACTAATATTGGTAACAATGTACTTTGAAGTTGTTTTAACAAGAACAGGATAAAGTAGAAGATTAGTCTACAGTAGTAAATGGGCTCGGTGGATCTCTGAGGGTCGCAATGTAGTTAAGGCAAGCTTAATCATCCAAAGTCTTCGTAGATAAAATGCCTAAGCGAGTGTCGATTTTTAATGGCCCCACACGAGCCATTCATATCTCGATTGATTTGAACTATACTTCTCCCGATTTCATACACGGTCGTCATTCTTCTTGCTGTAGCTTTTAGCCTTTTCTCCGGAGAATACATAACACCAGGTGCAGCTCTTTTGAGTCTCCGCTGAATGAATTCGTTCGCCACCGTATAGGACGTCACCGCATTGCCGGCGGATAGATTTGGCTTTGGATAAAAATATGTTGAATGAAAAAAAATCAAGTTATATTTCCCATCTTGGATCGCATAACCTTAAAAACGTTAAGTAGTTTATGCGAAGTTTTAGTGGAATGTTTTATCTAATCCATCCAGACACATTTAAGTCACGGCAAACTCAGGTGACCAAAACATTTTCAATAAATCTCTATGCATGCAGAAGAAAATCTGTGTCTGAAAGAGGAGGGTATAAGTTATGACCCAGGACTGAACAGATTGAATCGATAGCTTTAACACTAATGAAATGAGTGAGTACTATGTTGAGTGCTCTGGAGCCGCATGCAGTTTAATACGATGCAGTGATGTGGTAATGACACCAGTTGTGCTCAAGGTCAGCATCGAGGTTTGTAATTGTCACAGACGCCATTACTACGACGAACAACGTACATGTACATAACGTTATCTGTGCAATAGCAAGAATTGCATAATCTAGAAGGAAAAGAAGCTCCGAGGCGAATAGGCATCTATCAAAAGCTGTAAGTGTAATTCAGACCGGATTCTATTGAGTGCTATATGATGTTGTGTGAATGTTGTTTGATGCCATTCGCACGGGGGTGAAGTGACGAATGTAGCGTGAATGTCGTTCGATGTCATCCAAAAACCTTCCCCAATCGACAGTTCTTCAAACTGCGAACACCCACTAGGTACAGTGTACCACCCAAAATACCACCCAAGGTACCATCTATGTACTGTTTCACCCAGTATTAATCACCCACATAGGTACATGTACCGAAACTTTGGCACACTGCTTCCCGGCTTCCCGCGCATTTCGTAGCCATTTCACGAAACAGCTGATCGACTGGCTGAGCTGGCTGGCTGCGCTCGCCCGTGTCATTCCCAAAGTCGCCAGCCGAGCAGCAGCGCACTCCCCGGTCTCGCCTTCCTTCGCATCACATTCCCCCGCCCGACCCGACCATCATGGACTTCCCGGCGCTGGTGGCCGCTCTGATGAGCAACGACAACGCGACGCGCAAGCAGGCCGAGGCCTCGTACGAGGCCTTCAAGGCCGAGCAGCCGCAGACGCTCGTGGCCAACCTGGTGCAGCTGCTGCGCGCCGCCCCCGAGCCCGAGGCGCGCGCCTTCGCCCCCGTGCTGCTGCGCCCGCTCCTGGAGGTCAAGGCCGGCGTGTACACGCAGCTCGACGCGACTGCGCAGGCCACGCTCAAGGCGCAGCTGCTGGAGGCTGTGGCCAGCGAGCCCGTGGCCCACATCCGCCGCAAGCTCGGCCACCTGATCGCCGAGCTGGCCGCCATCTCAGAGAAGTTCGAGCAGGCGTGGCCCGAGCTGCTGAACGCCGTCTCGGCCCTCACCACACACGCGGACGCCCTGCTGCGCGTCACGGCCTTCGACCTGCTGGCCAAGCTGGCCGAGTACGTCGGCGACCTGCTCGCCCCGCACAAGGAGAGCTTCCTCACGCTCTTCACCAACGCGCTCAACGACGCCAGCGGAGAGGTGCAGATTGCCGCCCTCAAGGCCGCCTCGGCCTTCCTGCTCACGCTCGAGGACAAGCAGGAGCTGTCGGCCTTCGCCATCATCATCTCCCCCATGCTGCGCATCATCCAGGCGCTCGTGAGCTCGGGCGACGAGGTTGCCTTCCGCGAGGTGCTGTCGGCCCTGGTGCAGATCGCCGAGGTGCACCCCAAGTTCTTCCGCAACTCGCTGGACGACGTGGCCCGCGCCATGATCTTCGTGTGCTCGAACCAGGAGCTGGACTCGGAGACCCGTGAGCTCGCGCTCGAGTTCCTCATCTCGATCTGCGAGAACGCCGGCGGCATGGTGCGCAAGTCGCAGTTCATCGTTTCTAACGTGGTGCCTCTGGTGATCCAGCTCATGTGCGAGGTGGAGGAGGACGATACGTGGGTGCAGAAGTTCGACGACCCGGAGACCTTCACGGAGGCCAACGACGCCGACAACTCGATCAGCGACGCTGGTGCCGCCGCGATTGACCGCCTCAGCTCGTCGCTGGGCGGCAACGCTGTGCTGCCTGTCGCCATCCCGGTCATCAAGGGCTTCCTCGGCGACGCTGACTGGCGCAAGCGTCGCGCTGGTCTGTACGCTACCTGCCTGCTGGGCGAGGGCGCCAAGTCGCTCATGACGCGCGAGCTCGACAACGTGGTGGGCATGGTGCTGCCGTTCCTGAACGACCAGCACCCGCGCGTTCAGTACGCTGCTCTGCACAGCATCGGTCAGATTGCCGAGGACTTCGGCGAGGTGGAGAAGGGCAAGAACTTCCAGGCCAAGTTCCACGCCGTGGTCGTGCCGGCCCTCACGGCGCTGATCCAGAACGAGCAGGGTGTGCTGCGCACGCGCGCTCTGGCCGCCAGCGTGGTGATCAACTTCTGCAACACGAATGTGTGCAAGGCCAAGTACGTCGCCCCGTACAGCCAGGCTCTGCTCGTGGCCCTCTTCAACGCGATGCGTTCGTGCCCGCGTCAGGTCCAGGAGCAGGCTATCACTGCCGTGGCTAGCGTCGCGAAGGTGATCGGCGGCGAGTTCCTGCGCTTCTACGACATTTTCATCCCGCTTGCCAAGGAGGTTCTGACCAACGCTCACGGCAAGGAGTACTCGCTGCTGCGTGGCAAGTCCATGGAGTCGATTGCCCTGATTGGCCAGGCTGTTGGCAAGGAGCGCTTCGTGAACGACGCCAAGGAGATCATGGAGATCCTGGTGCGCGTGCAGTCCAGCGAGGAGCTGGAGGGCCCCGAGGTGCAGTACGTTGCGCAGTCGTGCGTGCGCATTGGCAGCATCCTGAAGGAGGACTTCGTTCCGTACCTGCCCCACGTGATCCCGGCCCTGATTAAGCAGGCGCAGATTCAGCCGGACATTCAGCTGTCCGACGTCGCCGACGACGATGTCGAGGAGGACGGCCAGACGACTGATGGCAAGGACACGATGACGCTCGAGATCCGTGGTGTGGGCAAGAAGCGTCTGGAGATCAACACGAGCGCGCTGGAGGACAAGACCAACGCGTGCAACATGCTGTACCAGTCGGCCCTGGACCTGGAGGGCTGGTTCTACCCCTACGTCGCTGAGGTGGCGCAGGTGATGATCCCGCTGATTGACTTCGAGTACGTTGAGGACATCCGCATTGTGAGCAGCCTGACCATGGCTAAGCTGCTGAATTGCGCGGTGGACGGCACGCTCAACCACGGCCACGGCGCCACGGCGCCGCAGTTCCCCCAGCAACTCTTTGAGAAGTTCTTCGAGCCGATGCTGAAGGGCCTGCAGGAGGAGGAGGACCTGGAGTACCTCGGTGCTCTCGCTGAGGCCATGTCGGCCGTCCTTGAGGTCTGCAAGGAGAGCCAGGAGAAGGGTTTCCAGGTGGGCATTCCTCTGGAGCACGTTCCGCGTGTGGTGGAGATCTTCAAGACGGTGGCGTCCAACAGCGCTCAGCGCCTGATGACCCAGCACCAGGAGAACCAGCAGGACGAGGACTACGACGCCGAGGCTGCCCTGCAGCAGACGGAAAACGACGAGCTTGAGGAGGGTGTCTTCCGCTCGATGGTCGACTCGATCGGTTGGATTGTGAAGATCCAGAAGGAGGCCTTCTTCCCTGTGTTCCAGGCGCACCTGCTGGCGTTCGTGACGCCGCTGCTGGAGCAGAAGACGGTGCCCATGCTGCGCGGTCAGGCTATCTGCATGATCGACGACATCATTGAGCACTGCGGTGCTGCCGCTCAGGAGCTGGTGCCGCTGTTCCTGAACCACCTGGTGCAGGGTCTTGAGGACCAGAGCCCGTCCGTGATCCAGGCGTCCGCCTACGGCATCGGTGTCAGCGCTGAGAAGTGCGGTGCTGCGTTCGACCCGTTCTGCCAGAATGCGCTGGAGAAGATGGTGCACCTGATCAACGTGTCGGCTAATGTGGACGATGATGAGGTCGGCGCCGCGCGCGACAACGCTATCAGCGCTGTGGCCAAGATCTGCCTGGCCCGTGAGGGCGCTGTCGACGCTGCCAAGATGTGGCTGATGTGGCTCAGCTGGCTGCCGCTCCGCACGGACGTGTTGGAGGCCCGTGACGTGCACGCTCGTCTGATTTCGCTCGTGAACAGCGGCAACGCTCACGTTATCGGCGCTGACTACGCCAACCTCCCCCAGATCCTGAAGGTGTTCGCGTCTGCTCTTCGTAAGTTTATCCCCTGCTTGATGATTTCTCCGTGTGGAAAGTGTCTAACTGTTTTGTTTGTGTATTGCCAATATCCAGTGTTCGACTTGGCGGCTGCGGAGGATGCCGCGGACGACGAAGACATGGCGACCATTTCGGAGGAGACCAAGCCGCAGCTCCGTGAGCTGCTCGCCAAGCTGCAGTCGCAGCTTCCTGGTCCGGTGGTGCAGGGTGCCTGGTCCAAGCTCAGCGGCGACGAGCAGCAGGCGCTCTCTCAGCTGTAAGGCGTCACGGGATTAACTTGGTTATTGATTGACGACATAGGGCATGCATATAGAGATACGAAAACGATAAGTAGTAAGTAGTTTTGTCGCGTTCGCAGGCTGCAGCCGCTGCGCTGGTGGTCTCGTGGCCTGCTAATGAATAGAAAAATAAGTCGGCGTTGACGATTCATCAACATGTACAGTCGCCTCAACAGCATATCATTTAGCTTTTCCATTGTTGAAGTTGACTTACTTTGGGACGTTGTCACTTGTATCTCTCTCCTCCGTCCTTAGCGTCGTGCCTGTGGCATGTAGTCTTCTTGTCTGTCGCGATAGTATAAGAGTTCGGGTATCCGAGTATTTTTGCAGCTCTCAGTGTATAACTTGTTGCTCGATCGGAAGCTGGAGAGAAGAGGGACTAACATCACGTTACTGCACTTGCCTACACATATCCACGGCTTATCTCTTGAGCAAAAACTTGAGTGCTAGTCCTGCCACCACCACCGCCCCGACAATGCCCACTCCTACCACGCTGTCTTCTGCTCCAGACAGCAAAAAACAAACCTTCATTAGTCTCCACCTTAACATACAAGCCCCAGCCAGCGTACGGACCTTTTGCGACGACCTCCTTGATCCTCTTGTGTAGTAGCTGCGCCTTCATGTGTGACGGCTCCATCCGGAGCAAACGCTCGCAGTAGCTGCGGCTGGAGCGGTAGTCTCCCAGTCCGCACAGCGTCAGCGCGATCCAGTACAAACTCTCCTTGGGGGCGTAGCCCTGCTCCAGCAGATCTGGTAGTACGAGAGGTCGTTAGCGCTTCAACTTGACTTCAAGCCTTCCAGACTGGAGTGCCCGTTACCTTCGAGCAACCCGATTGCACGGTACTTGTCGTCGCGCTTCCTGCTCTTTGCCAATGCAATGGCATAGCGCAGTTTGACCTGCAACCAGCTCAAATAATTGTTAACGTAATCGAGCAAGTTTGAGGCTGAGATCGTCGGAATTTGTATGAGGCAATACCTGGGGCGACGGCTGCTCCTTCTCCTGCTCCTGCAAATATTCCTCGCGCGCGGCCGCCAGCTCCTCGGGGGAGAACCACTCCACGTCCGTCTTGGCGCCCTTCATGGTCATGGCGCCGGCCTGCGCCTGCCTCCCTGCGCTTGGCGCCCTGGCGGGTCTGCTTCTCTTTGTGCCCGTTTCTTCAACGCTGATGAAAGTGGTGTGGCGCACACGACGGACCGTTATAACATAGCTATTTTGTTTCACAAGTCACAGATCGGACGAGCGTTGAAGTTGAAGCGAAATCTTGATTTGAATTGGTGAACGAGCTGCTGCGGCGGAAATACCTCATAACGTGCTGCAGATACTACCAAGAGGCTGCGTGCTTAGAAAGTATTGGTCACTGGAGCGGGCGACGGGGGGGCCTTGGGAGGAGCGCAGTCCTTGCGGTGTGCCTTCCGCACGTCAAAGAAGAGCTGGATCAAGCAAGATGATACGATTAGCAATGATACAGTGTAGTCTCTAAGGAATATGTAGACGTACGTGGATGTTGAGAAGGTTGATGAAGATGATCCCACTGAACGCCATGAGGAAGTGCAGCTACAAGACGCCAAGACGAATGCAGCACCGTAAGAAGACATGCCAAGACGATCAGGACAAATCAGTCAAGTACTGGGGGCTTACCTGCTGCACAAAGAGGTCTTTAGCTTGGTAAGTCAATACCGCGGCGGCGATGTGCGGTGCAAAGCGGGCTACCACAAATGAACCCCACTGAGCGCTCCAGACCCATCGTAGGAGTGCGGAGTGCCGCACCGTAAAGTTACTCATCGTCAACAGCTTCCGGGCGTGCATGAACACCGAGTGCAGCTCGCAGACAAGGGCCAGCGACAGCAGCGGTACGCCCACAGTCTTGGAGAGTGCGGAGATGTAGCAAATGAGCACCACCACGTGGTGGAGGACGATGCCCGGCGACTTGACGTACAAGCCGTTCAGCATGTAGTCAAACAAGTCGTACGCAAAGTATCCTGGACAAAACAGAAACAGAAGCAATCATCAGCACCGCAGCAAAACTACTCAACACCCAACGAAGCAATACTATACCGGTGGAGACGGCGGTTGCCAGGAACTCGCCCCTCGTCACCGTGTTGACATAGTCGCCATCCAGCGAGTGCGCTGTGAGCAGTGCCGAGATCGCTAGCAGCGACGACAGCGCCGAGTGCAGCATCGACACCGCCGTGTTGCTAAACAGCAACTGGCCGAAGGGTGACAATGCCGGGAACGCTTTCACTTTGGCGGACGCCCGCGGCACAATCTCCACCCGGACCACCGCGAAAGCCTATGACACAAAATCCAACGAACGACGTTCGCATCAAAATTATCAACAGGAAGGACGCAATTCGCCGTACCAGCGAGGAGGCCGCGATGATCCAGAGCCGCGGATCCGTGTACAGCTATCAACATCCACCAGCGCACAACGGTCGAGTTCGTCAGCACTAAAAAGACCAAAACAGAGCCGACTGCCGTCCCAGAGGTCGCACCATGGCGGCGCACATGCTGATCCACGTGACCACAAGCGCTTCGGTCAGCATGGCGTATTGGCAGACACAGTTCGGGCGGGTACTGCGGTCGATTCAGGCGCGGAAGCGGGACTGCGCGCGCTAACTTCTCGTGGCCGGACTAGCGTCGGGTTCTTCGGCGTTCCGACATGGCGCCCGCCTATCAATACCGGTCGGACGCCGCCGCCAATCACAGCGCCGGATGCGCCTATTTCCGCCAATCGTGGCGCTGTTACGACCAGCAGACCGTTGAAGACGATGATGTCACGGACGACTTGACATGCGGACATTTGAGTCAGTAACGTAAATTCCCAAATAATACCCCTTACCCGTATAGTACCCTCTAAAACGTAACCCACTGCGTAGCCCAGGGTTACATGGTTACTTCAATTCAAATATCAAGTATAATTTTGTGGGCTTATTGTCGAAAGCATATTTATGCATGGAATACTGTATAATATACGTAATTTATCAGATTTTGTTTGAAAACGGGAGGGTACTAATAAATAGTGCCCATGGTATTATTCGGTAATTTCCGTTACATTGCGATCGGATCGCCATGACATGCTGCGCTTCTTCGGCTGGAGGTGACGACGAGAACGACTGTAATGCAGAGGAAACGCGATACGATTCCAGTCTATTGATGACTGTATCAGATACTCATCTACTGTCGCCGACTTGCTCACGCCACTACAGCAGGTTGAACTTCTACCATCGAAACTCGAGGCAAGACAGGTTGGACTGTAGACTACACTCTACTCTTGGTTGCTTATGGGGTTGGCAATAAAAACGTTTTTCTTTGTAAAAATGCTACAGGCTGGAGGCGGGGAAATGAAAACGAGGCTGCCGTCAATCCACCGACGCAGTTATACACACATTTTCTCTCTCTCTTCACATCCAGTTGGGGGGAGATTTGGGGCTCTCGTCGCCAGCCAGCGTCGGCGTCGAAGCCTGACCTTCTTGCTTGTGTCGCTTCACGTCACTCTCATTTTTGTGCACTTGGGGGTCGTCTGATAAATTATGATGAGGCGGGACGAGAAGTTTGGTGCTGCTGGCTGGTGACGTGCCACAACAACCGCACTCTCTACTCGTCCTCGCGGCAGATGCGCTGGAAAATCGTCAGGCGCGAAAACTTGGACGTCGCCGACTCGGTGCTGCTGGCCGAGCGCGGCGAGACAGCGTTGAGCGCCTCAGCACTGCAGCTGCTCGTGATGCTGCTGCGCAGGCCGAAGCTGCCCAGGTCGCTGCTCTGGAACGAATAGTCTAGGAACGGGTCGCGGCTCAGGTAGTTGTCGAACTCCGGCTTGGGCGGGGACAGACCAGCTAGCGGGGCCAAAGACATTTGCTGGTTGAAGCCGCCGAACGGCACGGACAGATCGATGGGCTCGAGCATGGTGCCGTACGGGTTCACCAGCAGATCCTTGGACTGGGTCTCCTGATCGTCCGACTCGCTCGCAGTGCTGGACAGGTCGCTGCTGCCGTAGTCCACGAACCGCTGGTCCTCGTCACCCGGGTGCCGGGTGTGGATGAAGCGGCAGCGCGAGCCGTACATGCACTTGCCCGTGGACATGAAGGCCTTGCAGCGCGTGGTCTTGTACTTGGGGTGGCGCAGCACACCGCGCAGCTCTTCCTCTCCGTGCGCGAACTGGCACTTGGATCCGTAGCGGCAGCTGCCGTTTTCCGTGTAGTGCTTGCAGAGCTCGGTCTTGTAGAGGTTGTTGCGGGCGGTCTGCGGCAGGCGTCCGCAGTCGATGATGTCGCCGTTGGCCAGCACGTGCATGCGATTCGGGCTGCCGTAGCTCGGGGTCTCAATGGGGCCCATGTCGGTCATCCGCATGGTTGCTGGAGGCGTCGGCGGGCGGTCCTTGAGTGTGTGTGTGGTGGAGTCAATTAAATTATGCCTGCCGGGTGTGCTGGGGCGAGGCGAGCTGGCGTCCGAAAGAAGAGCGAGCCGGCTGGGTTGATCGGTAAGTAACTCGGTGCACGCGTCCGCGGAGGCGAGAGGAGTCCAGAGGGAGACGCGGAGGGGGGAAGACGACGAGCGCGCGACGCACTGCACGTATCAAAGGCGACAGTCACCGCCGGGTGTGGAGGGAGGGCGAGCGGCGAGGCGCGAGGGCGGGGGCAGGCGGAGCGAGAGCACGGGGAGGGGCTGTCGGTCCCCGATACGAGCGAATTGCGTTGTGACGTGCCGGGCGCTCGTCGCGCTGCACTCGCTGCTCGCTGCTCGCGGCTCCAAGCCGGCCGGCCGGCGAGCGACAGTGATAGAATTTCTCACCAGAGCTGAACCTCGGGTAGAAGCGGCCGGCGCCATCCGCTCGGCAATGTATCAGGATTGACGACGGACTACACGGCGTAAGTGCGCAGCACAACCCTGCCCCTTCTGCCTTATCGGGGCCCACATACAAACAACAAGCCAAAGGGTAGAACACAGACCTTATTCCGGTTGTGCGAGCGAGCCCTCTTCCGCTGCTGTTCGCGGTGAGGACGCGCCGAGGCCCGAAGGTTCCTCACCCTCAGGTCCGCGGGCGCCTGCAGCCCGAGCCTGGTATTATACTCTCGGCGTTAACTCCACATAGAGATTGCTGGATGTGCTGCCATGGAGCTGATCCGGGCTCCACAACTTCAGGAGCTTGTAGCTTTTGCCCCGGGATAGGCACACGCGAGCGACAGCCTCGGCCCGCATTGCAGCGCGGCGCGCTTGGTGCGCGCGGAGCAGGGATGGGGCTCAGCGGCGCACAAACGCTGCTGCGGCCATCATCGATGCCCGAGCTCCACCCTCCATCTGGCGCGCTCGGGCTCGCGCTCTGCTGCCGGCTGGGCCCGTTTCTTGCTGGTTGCAGTTCAATCGACACTCGAGCGAGAGCTCTCGAGGCGAGACTCTCCGTGTTGTGAGCGCGCTGCTGCTGCTGGCGTCGCCGCTGCCGCAGCGCCAGTAGCAGCAGAAGGGCAAACAGAACAGTAAAACTTGGCAAAGCAGTCGCCTGTCGCGTTGAGGGCGCGGACGGTCAACTCACGGCGGCATTCAGAAGATGTCAAGCACCATCCGTGCACCAAGATCCGATCGACGGGCTCGACGATCGATCTCCGAGAGAACGGAGCTGAACAGGCTGGGGCCTGTCGGGGCGAAATGCGTGGGCCGGATGGAGTGTCGATTGCCAGCGCGGCACGTGCGTCCTCCGAACAGATGGCGCGAGGCTTACTTGGCCGTTGCGTTCCGACGTCCGCGGCTGGATCGCAGGAGCTGTCGGTGCGGACAGCTTCTTCCTGGCAAGGTTGAGGCCACTATTGCCGTCGCCGCCGCCGCCGCTGTATTTTTCCGCTGCGGAGACTTGTCTGTCTGCACCGAGCCAGGTGCACCGAAAACGCGACCGCCGCGAGCGGATGACGATGATTTTTTGCTGCTGGCTATCGCTGCGGCTGTCGCGAAGTTGACACTCGCTCCTCAGTCTCTGACCGCCGGCTTCAACCAGCGCGGTCTTAGTCGCGCTGGCCAAGCCGTCAGACGCTGTCGATGTCGTTTGCATCCCGCAAGCCGCTCGTGATAGGCGTGACGAGGCAAACGCGGGCGTAGCAGGAGCGAGCGCAACGATCGCGACTGGCGCTGCGGCTGATCAAGAGCGCTCGCTCGCTCGCTCGCGCGCTCCGTAGCTCTCGCCCGAGCTGTGCCCCCCTCGCCGCCGAGCCCGGCAACGCAACACAAAATCCGCCACGCTATCGGATAGAGATCGCGGCGCGGCCGTAGAAGAGCGCATTCCCTCTAGCGTTAGGAATATCCGCCGATCGCTGCAGTGGCGGGCACGCCAGCTCCGGCATGAGCCGACAGGAGATTAGCTCCAGCTGCCCCAAGGTGCACCGCACCGCATGGCAGGCTTGCCTGCCTGCATCTTCAACGCCAGCAGCACGGGATCAACTCGGTTGTACCGTACGACTCGACGGGTATCTTTGCCTCGATGATCGCAACCTTCGGAGACCGAGTCAACGCGACGGCAGCGAAGACAACTGGACGACGACACCCCGCCACGACGACACGGCGTCCATCTCAATGCGCGAAGCGCCGCAGGCAGAACCAGGACAACGGAGCACTGCCGAACGACGTGTTTCTGCCTCGGTCGGATCGAGCCGCGCCCATGCAATCGTAAGATAAGGATGACAGCAAAACCAACTCGTTCGTGGATTCTGTCTGCTTGCTGCATCTGATATCGACTACACGGCGCTAGCTCTATACAATGCGTCACGGGGCCGCCGCCGCGGTCTCCGCGGACTTCTCGACGAGGTCCCAGTAGTGCACGACGTTCTTGGCCTCCATGACCTTCCGCGCCGTCACCGTCGTCCGGCACTCCTGGAAGCGGAAGTTGTTGAACGCCTTACGGGCCACCACGCCCTGCCACACGAGCAGGCACCCGTTGCCGCGCTTGGCAGCGTCCTCGTCCTCGCTGTCCGACTCCTGTTCGGCCTCGCGAGCCCCGAGCCAGTCGATGCGCCGCATCATCAGCTTCGTGTACTGCTTGATGGCCTTCCTTCCGCCTTCCACCACCACCATGTTGATATTGCTGTCCTTGCAGATCAGCACGCCGCCAGTGAGATGGTACTGCTGCGCATTGACATCGACCTTGAATCGATGTTGCGGGTTCGAGAGATCCGGCACCCTTTTTCAGTAGTAGAAATTGAACCGGGTCAGTCGGCATGACACAATACGCCGAGGAACTGGTGGGCCCCAATGAGGTCGTGGAGAAATAGCAATAGCATAGAGCACGTACTTGAAGAGCGCCACGTGAATGTCTCCGGCGGCGTCCTCCTTGATCTTGCGCAGTTTCTTCTCGCGACGCTCCTCGGGTGTGAGCTTGCGCGCGAGATTCCGCATTTCGTGGTTCTTCTCGCGCTGCGCAATCTGCTCCCGAACCTTGCGCTCAATCGCCGACGGATCCGCCACGGCTTGCTCAGACAGCACACGCATCATGTTTGACAGCTTCACCTTGGGCTCTGGAGGCGGAAGCAATCCTAGCGCGATCTTGTCCTGTTTCTCCTTCTCGCGATCAGCACGGTTCTGCCGGCGGATCTTCTTGCGCTCCTGTAAGGATCAAGATATCAACAGTAAGGAGAATGTTAGCACTTGCACTTACCACGCGCGTGGATTACACGCGACAACGTACAGCAGCAGTGAGCAGCAGTGGCACAGCCACCGGTTTGTCGTCTTGCTTCACAATCAGATTGAGCCGAGCCGGGTGTTCGATGACGTGAGCAGTGCCGCAGCACTTGAGCTTCATGTCAGTGTAGGCTACCGTCGATTCGGGATCTTCCTTGCGAACCTTCGCCTTGATAAAGCCGAATTTGTCCACCATCGAACGCTTGTCCTTCGGAAGGTACTCCACATCCCACCACTCCACGTCGGGTGTAGACATCTCTGGCTTGGGTGGAACTTCGACGCTGTCGACTTCCATTCTGCTAGCTTTCTCGTCATCCTCGGGTGTCGGCTCGGCAGACTCGTCGATGGGCACAATCGATTCCTTCTGGTACCCGCGCGGGTTGCGTCCCGACGTGAATCCAGCCATCATCTTCTTGGCATCGCGAGCGCGTACCTGCTCCGCCTGCTTAACATACGTGCCTTGGGCGACAAAGTTAAAGGTCTTGCGGGCGCGCCTGCAGTTTAACACAATCCAAACCACATGTCAGCAGCCCCACCTTCAAGAAGATACGTTTTCCTACTCCACTTCAACTCGTCACGTACGTTTCTCTCTTGGTGACCTTCAGCCTGGGATCCACAGCTTCCAGCTTGTCCTCCTCGCCCACTGTGAGATGTGACAGGTACGGGTTTTGGTTCTTCTTAACTGCGTCGCTGCCTCTTGCTCCCGCTTGATTGGCCTTGAGCGTCGCTACAGGCGCCACCGTCGGCTTCTCGGCGACTACATTACCCGCGGCGTCGATCTCCCGTCCCTGTTCATCCAGCAGCAACGGCGCCGGCATGAACGTTCCGCTGCCAACGCCTGCAGCCTGTGCTGCGGCGGTCGCAGCAGCTGCAGCAGCAGGACCAGGCTTCCGCAGCAGCGCCTTGATGTGGCTCATTTGGCTCTGCACCGACTTGTAGATCTGGTCCGTCCTGCGCTTCTTCTCCTGATCGATGCGGCGCAGCTCCTCCGGGTCCAGATGCGCCGGTGTGGCGCTCGCAGCGGCTGCTGGGACGGAAAACGCGGCGGCGGCGGCCGCGGACCCGGGGATGGCGCGCGATATCTTGGCCGCTGCAGCACGCGCCAGGGCCGCGGGGTCCAGCGCGGGGGTAGATCCATTGCTTCCGACGGCTGCGCGCTTCGCCGCGGGCGCGGCGGCGTCTGCCGGTGCATCGCTGAACCTGCTCTTCCGCTTGCGGCGCGGCGCCTCGGCGTGCGGCTCCATGTCTTGGTGGGGAAATATGGTGGCCCCTCTGCTTTGGAATTTGTTCTCACATACGTTCCGGTCTCATAAACTTACACAAGGGTTGTCGGGTTCTCCACGGCCCACCCCCGTTTAATTGTATCGGGGCTGGCCACAATTCGTGAAGAACCCGGGTTCTATGGGGATTGTCTCTCCTCCGAGTCATATATTATACATCGGGGTGATTCTGCCCAAATGGTCAAAGTCCATCATGGCTTCTCCGCTTGCATTCTAGATAACATTTGGCGCATAAGATCTAACGGGTATTTCGGTGACACAGCACTATTCTATCTCACAGTGCTGGGGAGAGAAAAAAAGCCAGCGCAACCGCTATGAAGTGGGACAGTTCGTGTGGGCGGTACATTGCGGGCCTCAGAGCCTCGTTCTTGTCGGTTTCGATGGGCCGGAAAATGCTGTTCGCGAGGTTCATATGGTCCGGTGCTCTTGAAGCTGTCAATCTATTTCGGCGATGCATGTGTTTCCGGAATCCTCGTTCCAAACAGTATTTGTACCGTTTACCCGTATAACCCGATCGACGGTTATGTATCATTTCTGAACTTAAATGTATTCTCGCCTCTTCACATTGAAGCCCGCCGCCCCAGGGCCGAATAAAGCCCCACACAAGAGAAAAGAAACCGCACACGGCAAGCCCCAATACGAGCCGGATCCCTCAGCGCGCGCCACGAGCGACACGAGTAGCACGCAGCGCCGCCCCATGACGTCCAAGACGTCCAAGAAGAAGCCGAGCCTGGCCGAGGTGATGGACGAGCTGCAGAGCCGCTTCCTGGTGAACCTGCCCGAGTCGGAGCTGGCCTCGAGCGAGCGCCTCTTCTTCCAGATCGAGCAGTGCTACTGGTTCTACGAGGACTTCTACGCCGACCAGTACGCGCACCTGCAGCACGTCAAGCTCAACGACTTCGCGCGGCAGATGTTCGCGCACTGCCCGCTGCTGCGGCCGCTCGCGCACCGCTGCGACGAGCTGTTCCAGGACTTCAAGACGTACCAGCGCCAGGTGCCCGTGGTGGGCTGCATCCTGCTCAACTCGGCGCGCACCAAGCTGGTGCTGGTGCGCAACTGGAAGGGCACGAGCTGGACCTTCCCGCGCGGCAAGGTGAACGAGGGCGAGTCGGACCTGGACTGCGCGCGGCGAGAGGTCTTCGAGGAGTGCGGCTACGACGTGGGCGACAGCCTCGCGCCCAAGCAGTACCTGGAGTTCGTGGCCAACGACCAGCGCATGCGCATGTACATGTGCCCGGACGTGCCCGAGGAATACGCGTTCGCGCCGCAGACCCGCAAGGAGATCAGTACCATCAAGTGGTTCACGTTCGACGCGCTGCCCAAGAAGACGTGGAGTGTCATGCCCTTCATGTCGAGATTGAAGCGGTGGGTCAAGGGCCACAAGGCCACCAAGAAGAAGAGCAGCAACGCTGCTACCAACAGCACAGGCCGTGCAGCTTCAGCGCCGCGGAATCGTCCGCTGACGTTGATCACGAATGGCGCGGCTCAGCAGAGCTCGGAGGGCAGCGGGGGAAAGAAGAAGACCGGCCAGGAGGAGCGGTCAGTTTCCACGCCGCACAACGACAGACCAACCTCGAACGGATCCAGGAAAGCCAACCGCGGCCACTTCGGCACGGAGTTTGACACAGCCACGTCGTACGACGGGCTGAATGACGAGACGTTCGGCAACGTCAAGACGGGCTTCAGCGTGGAAGAGATGTTCAGCGTGAACGAGCGCCTCACGGGGCAGAAGTTTGAGTACGATGGCAACCCGCACGACTTCGGCAAGCAGGCGTCGCGACCAACTGCAACGAGAGCAGCCGCTCCACTATTTAACCCAACGGGCCCGACCCCGGTGCAGATTCTTACGCGGCCTTCGTCAGCGCCGCTGAAGCGCGTTGAAGAGGAGACGTGTCCGTCGCCCAGTCCGCCTCGCCAGTCAACAGGCTCGTCACCGTTCGGGTCCTTCCAGTTTGACGCCGTGGATATCATGGCCGTCGTGACGTAACTTGAGAGTGGCGTCGACGCCTGGATTGGAGGAACGTGCTTGCCAGGCAGGGGTGAGGTGACTGACAAGGACAGCGCGACTGCTAACTATCGTGCTTCGTGCTCCCATAAGGCAGGAGTGCGAGTGTCCTGTCCCCCTATAAGTGCCCCGCCCCTCACCGCACTCAGGCGAACCGTCCTCCGTTCGGGTGTCATTTCGTATTTGCATATTGTTTTCTAGTTTTGTACCATAGTAAAGCTGCTGGTCGCCCCAGTGCTCACAGAAGAGGGAGGAGCATGCGGGAGGTGAGTCGCTAGGTGTTTTTGAACACCGCCCAGTTTGATAGGAAATCATGTCGCGAACCTGTACTGACGAAGCAGTGTACACAAGGCAGCTCTGGTGCTGAAGATCACAGGCAAGTGGAAACACAAGAGCTTTTATCGAGAGCTGCGCGCCAAATTCGAGAGCAACGCGGCTTCGGTCATTATCAGAATCTCTTACACACGGGAAGCAGCTAGCGACCGACGTCAAGTTCCTACAGGATTTTTACCTGGCTGGTGCTTGATGGAAGCTGTTGCGACTTCGTTCGACCGCAAAATCTACTCGCCGGGCGCGGTAGTGTACGAAATCCAGCACACAAGGATGAGCTGTAAGCATGACACGCTACAATTTTCAAGCAGACAAGTAACCACAAAAGTAATGGTGAGAACAGCACTCGGCATATAGGATGGATAAGAGTTGTCCTTACCCAAAGAGCAGGTAGTTTCGGAAGAGGCGGTTTTCGGGAGTAGGCTCCGCTACGCTTCCCTTCATGCAGTTGAGCTGTCACACCACAAAATCGTTAGGACTCCAAGATACAGACAGATCGACTGGGAGTTCAGCACGACTCACCGTGAAATAGGAGACAGCCACGCCGGTGTACAGGAGCGACACGTAGTATGCAATGGAGCCGAGCAGCTGAAAGACGACCGTGTTGATCACCAGCGGGATGTACTTGTAGCCGGAAAAGGATACCAGGTCCAGGAACGAGATGGAGCTGTTCAGCACGTAGAGGCAGGCAGCCAGCACTCCGATCTCGATCAACTGCATCACAAGGCAGTAACTCGCGTCCTTGGTGATCACGTCTGGGCTAAACCTGTGGCAAAAGTATCGTTAGCAAACGCACCCTTTTTCTCAAATCCAACGAGTGCAAATAATCTAGCGCTGCAACGTACTGGTTCGAAGTGCCCTTGGAGTAGCCCACGATCAAAATGTACGTGAGAAAGCCCATGAGCGGAATGTACAGATCAGGTGCATTGCAGTCGCGAGTTGGGGGAGCGTATTGCATCTGATAAATACACAGACAGCAACAAGTTCGTAAGAAGTAGTCACAACAGCAGGATTCCCCTCCACTGTACTCACCGGCTTGGACTCGTCTTGTTCACCGTTCCCCATACGGCGCCAGTTCTTGTGTCGGAAGGGGAGCAACAAGATCTACACAATCGAAACCACGGTACAATTCCCTCTATCAGACACAAAATGTTAATATAACAACCTGTCCAAGCCCTTCGTACCTTGAGACGGCTCTTCACGTAGGAGTTGTTGACGGTGAAGTAGTACTTCAGACTTCCCCACACGCCATAGGCGCCCGGCAGATACATTTCCGACTGCTTCTGCAGGAAATCCTGCGCGCTGTTCATCGCCAATCCTGCCATTGGGTTGCTGCACACATGATGAAAAACATTAATTCCATCACTTGCGTCACCCATTGTAAAAGCTAGCTGCTCACCTGGAGAACTGGTTAATGAAGTCAGGCTGCTGTGCCTGTTGCATGTGCGGCCGCGGGTTGCTGTTCGGCGGGGTTTGCTGCGGCGCGTTTTGCCCGTACCCACCGAAGTTGTTGCCGTGCGTCGGATGGCGGTGCTGGAAGCCCGCGGGCGCCGACTGGAACTGCTGCTGCGCAGGCGGCATCGCATTCATCCCTGGCTGGTGGAACTGAATAATGGATACAGCATAGAGTTGTCCGTCAGCATACCTGCATGGGTCCTAAACATTCTTCCACTGTGCACTCACGTCCTGCGAGAAGGCGGGCGTGGCCTGCCCGCTATAGAATCCTGCATCCTGCACAGGAGCCTGATTCTGGGCCTGCGGAGCGGCTGCCGGCTTCTGGTAGAACTGGTGCGCGGGTCCGCGCTGAGGCGCGCGCTGCTGGCCCACAGCAGGCTGCGACGGGAACTGCGGCGCGTTGCCGAAGCCTGGCGTCGAGCTGAACTGCGGCCGCTGGCGATTGTTCGGGTTCTGGAACGAGCCTGCGGGTAAGAGGGAAGTCAGGGACGGTGGTGGCACGCAGGCGGCGGCTCTAAGCTGCACACAGGGAGAGGCGCTGGCGGTGCAGTACCTGGTTGAGCCATGGGCGTCTTCCTCTCAAGTGCACGACGTGGCACAAGAGCGTTAGTGATGTGGTGCACACTGAGGAACTATGAAAGAGCATTCAATTTTGGTCAGACACAAAATGTCTGCAGGACCAAATAGGACTAAATGTTCGGTTGAACTTGTGAACGCCACTTTTTCAGTCGATGGACTTCCTGGCCGACGACGCGGATGCGTTCGCGGCTGTGCTGAGCTTCGTGGACACCTTTAGCGCTGATGATTCCTCTGCTGAGACTGATTTGGTTGATGCTGCGGCGGTGGGGGAGCTGCTGAGAGGCGACGAGCTGGACATGCCGCTGATTGAGGATATGCAGCTTCAAGGGGACGCGGAAGTAAGTACCGCGGCTGCTGCTATTACCACGGAGAGCAATCCACCATTACGTCGGTCTTCAAGACTGGCCGGCAAAGCAAGCTGCAGCAATGATGGTATTGTCGCGGTGGCCCCAGAACCTCTGCGTTCCAGCCGTCGAGCGGCCACCAACGCCAAGAAGAAAATGTTGCGCAAAGCTGGAGTCTACGGAGACCCCAATCGCGCTCACAACGAACGCAAGTTGGAGATTACCTACCTGCGAGAGAAGGTGGGTCAGTTGGAGACAGAGCTACATTCTCTGCAGGAGCACTCCAGTCCCACAGCGGGTACAAAAAGCATCGAAGAGCGATGTGATTCTCAAGCAACAACGGTCTCTGCTGATGAAGCTTCGAGTGAGAGCCAAGTATCGTCCACGCCAAGTGCATGGGGGGAATTTGCTGCTCGTGAAAAAAGCAAACGAGAAGAATCGGAGCGCGAGAACGTCCGACTGAAACTAATACTGGCGAGTCAGATTAAAGTGGCAAAAAGTTTGGAGGCCATACTGTTGAAGCGAGCTCAGCAGCAGGTAGACAACGCCCATCTCTTGCAAACCATTTCTTTACTTTGTCTTCAGAGGTTAACCGACTTTTGTGCTTTGGCTGTACAGATTGCCGAGTGCTCTGCGTCAATCCAGAGATCAGTTGATGTAGCATGCCCTTCAGGCCGCACGTTGGACTTCCGCGCCGATGCCTCAGATTTCCAGGAGCTTTTGGAGTATCTCAATGCTACTTATCGCGAAGTCGATTCGGTGCTGGCCAGCAATGGTCTCGCTTGGATGGAGACGACGCAGCAAGACGTGCAAATGCGCGAAGGGGTCGGTGGCATGTACCTGGAAGTGTTTTCGAACAAAATCATGCCTTTCGGACTGCATGCCACCGCAGAGGCGACGTGGAACTATTTCAAGGGCTCGAAGAAGCACCGAGGCACATTGTACGCGAAGGCTGCTCAGGTATAGAAGGTCTGATGACTACTGTCTGATGCGGGTGTGACTGACAACCGTGGGTGACGTTGATGCTATTGTGTGCTATGATTCAGAACCTCGACACGCCTTACACGATCATCGAGCACTTTTCCAAGGAGCTGGTCGCCGGCAACTCAAGCACCGACGTTCGCATCAAGCAAATTGTGCGTCGCTACGTGGAGGCCGATCGCGAAGTCGTCGTATGGGTGGCGTCCATTGAGCCCGTTGATATGACGCAAAAACCCTTCGGTGGATTCAAGTCTCGTCACCGGAACTACGCAGTCATCAAGCGTGCGAGGGCCTCGACACCTCAGCACGAGCTTTCGTTGCTGCAACTCGTCTCTCATGGCATGCTCGACACACAGGCAGGCACCATGTACGACCCCAAATACGTCAGAGCACTCACCGACTTCCTGCTGAACGATGCGGCTCGCAACATCAAGGCTGACCAGCAGCTCATCGAAAATGTCCTCATGGACCAGATGCTGCGGCCCTGACAAAAACTGTCCACATTTTGTCCAGTTTTTTTAAAACACACATGCTACCAAATATTTTACCCAAATTGGAATAATACCCTTTTGGGGCGGTAGAGTTGACCCAAAATGGAAAATGCTGACTCATTTTTGGCGGTAGGGCCCATGGCGTTCCTCGCGGAAGATGAGGATGCCATGCGCGCGTTTGAGGCCGCGCTGAGCTTCGTGGACGGCTTTTCCGGCGACGAAAACACGCCAGAGTTTACTGCACTGAACAAGACAGCAGAGGCGCTATCTCCGGTCGCGAATGGATTGGAATTGCCGTCAAACGCCGCTGCAGACCACGAAAGCGATGCTCATTCGGCCGGACCTGTAGCAACTGTGAATTCCGTTGTTGACGCTACGATTCAAGGGCCCCGGTACACTTCAGCAGTGCCCAATATCTCGAGAGCCTCTGGGACGGCTGCCCGCCCGGTGTCCGAAGTCGTGAAGGCGAGACATCGAGCAGCGGATAATGCCAGGAAGCGGATGCTGCGGAAGGCTGGAGTCTATGCATGCTCGCAACGAACGGAAGCTCGAGATTGCATATTTACGCGAGAAGGTCGGGCAGTTGGAGATGGAGCTGCGTAGTCTACAGGAACGGCCGGGTCAGACAACCTCAGAGGTGACGGAGGCTCTAGACGAGAGTGAGGCGAATGGGGGTGGTAGCAGCACCTGCAAGAGCTCCAAAGATGCTCAAGTCGCAAGTATTTGGGAGGGCTTTGCAGCTCGCCAGAAAAACCGAAGAGAGAAGGCAGAGAAAGAAAATGTGCGGCTGAAGCTCGTCCTTGAAGGCCAGATTAAAGTGGCCAAGAGTTTAGAGAACTTACTGCTCAAGCGCGCTCAGCAGCAGGTATGTGGTATTCACGCTTTTCGCGTTCGCCTTCGTCGTATATTAATTCACTCATTATATTGCATGCTAGATTGCCGAGTGTTCTTCTTCGATCCGCAGACCGGGCGACATTTTGTGCCCCTCTGGCCGCACTTTAGATTTCCGTGCGGATGCCGCAGACTTTCAGGAGCTACTGGAGTATCTTGACGTTGCATACAGCGAGGTAGACGCGGTGCTAGCTGGCAACGGTCTCGACACAATGAAAATGACGCAGCAAGACCTGCATATGCGCGAAGGCGTGAATGGCATGTATCTCGAGGTGTTTTCCAACAAGGTGATGCCCTTTGGACTGCATGCCACTGCGGAGGCCACGTGGAACTATTTCAAGGGCTCAGAAAAGCATCGTGGGAACCTGTACGCGAAAGCAGCACAGGTATGACCACTACGCAGGCTTACTTGGAAGTAAATGTGCTCTAACGACTGACATTTTGCCACCGTTATGATTTTGCAGAATCTCGACACGCCATTCACGATCATTGAGCATTTCTCTTAGGAGCTGTTTGCAGGCAATTCAAGCACCGACGTCCGCGTGAAACAAATCATCCGCCGCTACGTCGAAGCTGACCGAGAACTCGTTGTCTGGGTCGCAACGATCGCACCAATCGAGATTAAACGCAAAGCGTTCGCTGGGTTGATCTCCCACCACCGCAACTACGCTGTGATCAAGCGAGCGAAGGCCTCTACCCCCGATCAAGAACTGTCGCTTTTGCAGTTGGTTGCGCACGTGACGCTCGATACGAAAGAGGGAACCATCTACGACCCCAAGTACATTCGAGTGCTCACCGACTTCCTGCTGAGCAACGCGGCAGGCAACATCAAGGCCGACCAGGAGCTCGCGACTGTTCGTCGAGTGTGCAGTTGCTCTGGCACCGTCCGTGTACTGCTGCACGGTGATCTGCGTTCCCACCTCATTGTTCTTCTTGGAGAAGTTGCTCAGCAGGATGCCGTTTACCCGCCGGAACACCCACTTCGGCGGTGCTATTATGAATCCCGTTGAGTAGAGGGCTGGCGGTCCAATTAGACTGGATTAATATATTGGTCTGTGCAAGCCCACAATTGACCGGATACTGCTTGCCCGGCGATCGTTTCTCGTCTCGAACAACTAGACGGTCATCGTGGCGTGCTTGGTCATGGGGTTTCTTCTTCCGGCCTTTATTAGGTGTCTCGGCGCGTGTCGTGGTTGGTAGTTGCTTGTCAAGCGTTGGAAGTCGATGCTGGGCGTCTGGTGAAGTTGGCTTCTGCTCGTTGGGCGCAACGGGAGGTGAGGTGACTGGTTGGCTATCAGTGGGCGTGGCGACGGCCGATCCTAGGGCGAGTTGGTGCTTGGTGACCGTGATGAAGTCGGGCCGTTCGTCAGAAGTGGTCGTATTCGTTTGATATTGCAAGACACACCCTTCACAGGTCTCATCAACAAGTGAAGCTCAACGTGTTTTTATTTCATATTTTCATGATAAGTTCTCCACCATTTGATTGATTTGGGTTTAATATACTCTGGTAGTCGAATAATGAAAGCGAGTTAACATATTTCAAATTCTCTATTTTTCTTCGAATTTGAAGGGTGTTTAAATTTTTAGTGTGGTAGTATGACAAAGCTACTCTCAACTAATCCCGATTTTATCTAATGAAACACCCAATCCACCAGCTCTCTGTCTATTCTTAATTTATCTTACAAAACGCCAGGGCTTTTTGCTCAAAATAAGTAACGAACGAGATGTGCGTAACCACTACATTTTTTCTATAGATCTTCCCAAACGAAACACCCGACCCTTCGCTATCAACTAGATTTCTACGAAACCCCTCCAGGTAGTGCGTTGTGTCCGAGGCCTCGCATTCCTTATTATTCAACTCGCAGTCTCTAAGTCGCCCCCCCCCTCAGTTCTTCGCTTCTGCGCTGGTTTTTCTAACCATGGCGGACAGTGCTGATGATGTCAACAGCGACGACAACAGCTTAGAGATCAGCAGCCTAGGTTCTTCCAGTTCAGAGAGCGACTCGGCCGACACAAGTACACCAGCGCATGACTTTTTGCAACTCGGGACGTACACAACTCGCCGACAAGCCAAGTCGCAGATGGCTGTACTCTGCGGCGGAAGATTTCGGTACCAGTACAACTACACCACAGCTACCGGGGGTGTAACTGTGTTTTACTGCGGTTCTCATGTTGCCTGTCCGTGTATGGCTCGGATCACCCACGAGAACGGTGCCTACAAATTGTCCATGGCCGGTACGCACACGATGGAAGACTCTGAAGAAACCCTCACGGGCATCGACGGCATTTTTCAGCCTGAGGTCGACAATATTCTAGAAGGCGGTGCTGGACCAGAGGGATGCCTGACTATCCTGCGCAATCGATACGCTGACCGCCCCGAGATGTTGGATAGACTCCCCTCGCGATCGATGTTGAAGTCTAGAAAACAGTACATCAGCCGCGAAGATCGAGGTAATTTTTTTTATTTGCTTGTTTAACACGTGTTATTAACGTCATTTTGCCGAATGTAACAGCGGATGCTATCTCCAACTACGCCGAGCTTGCCATGTGGGCGGGGCCTCGCGAATGCACTACGCGCGACCATTCTTCGGCCATAGTGAGGTGTACGACGCAGCACACGATCTAGTCGAGTTCAAGGCAAGGCCGGCCGATTTCCTCTACGAGCTGATCGTTCTGAAGTGTTTCACGTACGGTGACAATGACGAGGAAATGGGTGTTGTCGTGACTACACGTACTCTGCTACGGAACGTCGTCGGGGCTGTCAACGGACAAAGCGATCACGGCGTCGTCGCAGCAGCTGATGGCACGTACAAACTACACAGAGGTGGCTGGACACTCGTGGACTTCGGCTCGTATGCTTTGCACCACGCACGCGGGGCGTTTCAGCACAAATTCATCCCCTGTGCGAACATGTTTGTCCGATCTGAGACTACGGAGACATACCAGGCTCTGTATGCAACTATCCGGTCAGCAGTGCAAACCTTCTTCAACATCGATTTGCAGATTGCCTTTGGATCACTGGACCACTCAGACGCAATCACCAGCGCGTTTACTGTAGATTGGCCGGTGATTTTACTATTGAATTGCTGGCCTCACTTCGTCCGCAAGGCCAATGAGAAAGGGCGCAGTATGCTGAACCACGAGGCTGCCTGGGAAAACGTCGTTCTACCTTCACTGAACTGGCTCCATAAAGCTCGAACGACCAAACAGTTCATTGCTTTAGCCGCGGTGGTCACGCGGCAAATCCGTGTCGACAACGAGGCGCCATACGAGGCGTGGCTGCCCGAGGAATATCTTGCAGAACGATGGCGCGCTTGGTTTGTGACGTGCAGTGGGTGCCCGGGCATTGTACCGAACCAGAATCCTATCGAGGCGTACCACAAGACGATCAAAACCGCGAATGTCCTATCTCTACGAGCCTCTACCGCCTATGTCCTCAACCAATCTTTACCCAGAATCCTGTCAAGCGCATCAGCCAACAGCATCGTCGGTCTTCCAATCACCACTTTCTGCACTGGGCCCATCCCACCCGAAATGGTGGCGGCGGCGGCACAACTGCTGAGCCAAAGCGAAAATCACCGCGTCGTGTTCAAGCCTCGGGCGCAGCGCAGAGAGAAGGAAGCGGTTGTGTTCAACGCAAAGGCGTACGTCGTCGGAAACACGAATCTCAACGGCGTCGCTGTCACTCAAAAGCGAGTGCAGACGTTTTTAAAGTCGCTGGGGGGAGTGCTCAAGCCAAATGCCCAAGTGAGCACCATTTCGATCGACTATTTGTCGCTCCACAAGGTTGCCGTCCTGGAAACTACGCCGTATCAACACAACTGGGAGTCACCAAACTGGTCCATGGAAGAGGTACGCAGTATATACATGTTTTGGCTCATACTATCGATATGTACTAACGACGTATCTCTTATATTGTCTATAGATCCGTGCAGTTCGTAACAGATACCGATGCGATTGCAAAGCACACTACTCGTCTGGTTGGATCTGTAGCCATGTGCTGGGCGCATTAGCGATTCTGGACAATTTCGACTTAGGCCGCATGCTTAAGCGCCTGCCAGCTCGACGACCACCCGGCAGACCACGCAAAAGTCCACGCGCCCTACAGAAGGATGGTGAGGCGTATTTTTCGGCAGTGCGTCTTCAGCGAGAGCTGCCGAAGCGCCCCGCGATGGCTCTGAACTGGCAGTGCAGTGTGGAGTTCAAGGAAACTGTCGACGGTGTGGTGTCCTACGAAAACTACAAAGGTAAGGTGCGCTCCTGGAGTAATCGGGCTGGTGTCTACCACTGGAAGGTAGAGTTTGAGAACGGAGTCATCAAGCAGCTGAAAGCGCAGGAGCTGGCGAAGGCGCTAGAGTACGCTGACTCTACTGGTATTGCTGTTGCTGGGCCGTGAAGAGCTGGCCACCCTAGCAAACACGCCATGAGATGCAAAGATCAGTGTAACAACACTTCATTCATACTTACACAATACACGTATGCATTCTGCAGGAAATGGTGTTAAGCGCATCCATGTTCAACCGGCCGGTATGACCGCATGGCATCTACAATGCCCAGGGGTATTCATGTAAGCGTGAAGTTCGTCCTTCACACATGCTATTCATCCGTTTGAGAACCCCGCGTGGTGTTCGTCCGAATGACACGCGGTTTTAATCTTTTTTCTGTCACTATGAGTCATCACCACATCATTCAAGCCGTTTGCTACGAAAACCGCACCCAACTCTTGATACGCGTTATCCAAGTGACGGAAGAGGCCGTGGAACTCGCCCAAATGTCCACGCACGTCCAGCGCACTTGATTTCAAGCTATTCCCTTCCGTGAAGAACAAACACTCCGAATTCTGAATCAGTCACAGTGCCACGAGACCAGAACACGTCAGTCCTCGTTATCTTAGTACATGCAAATGTCCGTTCTTCATCAGAAAACTTACCAATTGACTCGCTTGCTTCTGCAGCAACGCACGCAAGTTGTCCGCCACCTTCTGCTGGTGCTCAATCACCATCTTCAGACGGATTTTCTCGCACTCCGCCTTCTTCCTGCGGCATCGCTGGCTGTCGGCAATGTTCACCCACACAGTCGACATCGTGGGCGCGTTCACAGCGACAATAGCCTCGGCACTTGGCACATGACGGGTCTGGTTGTGCAGCTCTGCTGGTGGAGCAGCTCTCGTCTTCGTTCTACGCGTGGAGCCTTCTCCCTTCTGCTTCTTGAGCACTTCCAGGTCGATCTGAAGCTTCTCTAGCTGCTCTCGGAGGTAGGCGATTTCGATGCGGCGGTTGTTGCGCACGTTGTTAGAGTTGCCGTAGACGCCGGCAGCCCGCAACATCTTCTTCTCTCGTTAACCCGTTCTCTTCTCTTGGTTGTATCTTTATCCAGCCCTTGAACGAGAATCGACGACTGATAGCTGCCAATTGATGCCACGGACACCGGGGAGTAAACTATCGCGTCTGAACGTGCAGGGGGCGCGGTCTTCGGCAAAGGTGAATCAAGTGAACCCGATAAAGCCGGTATGTCAGCTTCACAGAGCCCAAAGTTATCCAAGTAGGACAGTGCGGCCTCGACAACTCTTTCGTCGTTGTCTCCCAGGAAAAGATCCATGACTGCAGTCGAGTGTCCTAGGCGGAGAATCTGCAAATGAACTGGAGCTTGGCTAGGATATCCCAAGTGCAATTTACAGTTGTTTGGCTACAGGGATCTCACCATAAATGTACTAATCGCTACTCGCGTCGCATGAGACTAGACTTGGTATGACACCACCATGCGTTTACACCTAGTATTTCTTTAAATACTCTAGACGTGATATTTTATGTATATATAATAACACATAATACCGTATGCCGTCGACTAGCAAAGCTGAGCCTAGCGACAGCATAGTGTGGCAACGCGAAAACGTAATACATTACATAATACCGTACTGTAGACATGGTATGGCGACCGCTTCAGATGTGATAGAGGGAATTCCCTCCGTACAGTATTAGTACGGAGTCTGTACGGTGCCGCCAAAAGATTACGCGGACATTTTGATGGCGTTGCCGTGGTGTACATGTACAAGGCAAGTATGAACTTCAAGTGAACAGCTATCGTGTGTAGTTCTTTTTACTTTGCTTTAAAAAGAAATAAAATATAATAAACTCACCAGCAGAACCATGCCTTGACGTCTGAGCACCTTGCGGGACTTTATCCATCAACGGTATGGTCAGGTGAACCTCTAGCAGAATTTAGTGGCTTCGCTACCGATATCTTAAACCAAGCACGGCAGTATTTTTGCTTTAGCTTACTCGCTGTTTTCTTTTACTTTTATTGGAGCGATTCTGATTCAAGAATCGCTGAGAATCAAGTAGCTGGGTCACGTTTGTTTGAGTGTGTATATAGTCTATCTCCTTCTACAGATATGCTTTTGTATTACCGTCGACACCGCATGAATTTGCATATCGCGACGTAAATAAATGCATCAGCCGACAACAATGATGCAAAGCGCCAGCGACGCAAATAAATGCATGAACCCACCGCATGTTTATAACCAAAGCGATTTGTGGCTCGGAGAGGGTTACCCTCTCGCACCTCACAACACAAACCGTCACCAGCAGCAGATTCACCTATCCTCCCCTCCTAAACCAAACATGAGCACGAGAGGCCGCCCGCGTGAGCTTCCTTCTCAGCTACCGCGACTGAACCCGAGTATCGCGCTTGATCCTGCTCTAGAAGGTATCAATCTCCGCTCCCGTGGCGCTATCTTGGAGGACTCGTGGCGTCAGCGACGGCAAGCCAAACAGACCGACCGGGCGCGAACACTTGCACGTCAGCGAGGCAGACGTCAGATTGAGGAGCTTGCTTTGACATACCAGTGTGCGAAGGCGGCAGGGGTAACGGACGAGAGTAAAGCTATGCTGAAGCGCTGTCTCGCGGAGGTGGTGCTGCAAGTTACTGAGCATGACGTTAGCCAGTTTTACTTCCACGTGGAGCACTTTATGCGGTATGTAGTTGATCGAACGCCAGTGTTCACGCAGCCAAACTACGAGAACAGTCATGGTGGTGACGAGCTTGGATTGTGTCCAATTCTGCCGGACAAAGTAGAGGCGTTGCTGGTGAGCTATCTACCGGACGAGTTTGGCCAATTTACACCAGAGCAGCACCGTCAACTTGAGGAGGCCTTCGGAGTTCAGCGATTGACCATGCAAGCTATAGAGGCTCTCGTGAACGGTGGGCAACCATCGGACGTAGAGCAGTCTGTAGCTCTTTAACGTCAATGAAGTCGTTTCCTTACTGTGCAAACTTTGCTTTTTGACCTTCGCTAACAACACCACGAGTTCCCTGGTTGTCTGTTTGTGTCGGCTTGTCTCAGCCACGCCCGAATTGATGCATTGACACGTCCAAATAACTTGCATCATTGTTGTCGGCTGATGCATTTATTTACGTCGCGATATGCAAATTCATGCGGTGTCGACGGTAATAAATATTATAGTGAGCGAAGACATATTTCAGCTGAAAATGACCACACGCCAGGTTGTTCTCATTATTGCAACCATTTTTCTGGTTGCCGAGCAGAAACACACAAAAAATTAAATACCTACAAAACATACTTCGAAGTACTCTAAATTTTATCGGGTTAAACGTCGGAGCTCCTGTAGTCGAGACAAAACATGGAAATCAGTCCAGCTTCTCACTAAAGTTAGCCCCTGCTAGCAGCTCATGAACCACAATTCTTTGCGTCGGTTGGTTTTTTAAAACCAAGCTGTATTACATGTTCTGGCAATTGGTCAATGTTTGGACAATTGCTTCAATGTAGCTGCTGTAGAAGCACAATAATGCAGAATTCCAAAACGTTTTTAGACTCACTAAACAAATTTCTCTCCGCCACCAATCCTTAAAATGCAGGATGAAGAGTGTTATCCATCAACGCGTTCTCGATGCATTCCTGGTGGTCTTGCTTCTTGGCTACTAAACTTACGACCAGGAAATTCGTAAGTGCGCGAACGGCATCAGATCCCAGCTTCGCCTCCGTCTCTTCGTCAAACGAAATGAGCGAGCAGCACTGCAGCTGGGAAACCGGTGTTGACGCAGGCGACCGTTTTGTCACCGCATAGGTCCGTACTTGGTACCGTAGTCCACAGAACATCTTGTGCTTGACTTCAGCTGGAGTTACGCTTCTCACAGCGACCACCACATCTCGGCTGGGCTCGACGTATCGTCGAACGGTGTATTCCCGGGGCGAAGCCAAGGGAATTATGTTTTCTACATAAAATAGAAGTACCGATATACTGGTACATCCACCGGTTACGCCTTGCCTGTTAAGGTCTCTGGGACCACTCGTCGCGAGCTCTCCCTCCGTCACTTCGCTTCTAGAAGAACAAGCATCAAGCCAATCAAGAAAGAGGGGGTATCTACTCCATCAAGCTGCACCATGATCACCCGTGGAGCTCCTGAGTCCGCCAGCGCGTCTGCCTCGCCTTCATCCCGTGCCCCCGCGGTACCTTCGGATAGCGAGGCACCTGCTGCCACCGCTGTCGTCGTCGACGTGACCGGCGGGGAAGAGCCCTGGACGGCGACCTCCGCGAGGCGCACGTCTGACCCTCCCCCGCTGCGATCGAGCAAGTGAGCGTCTGCGCGTAGCGCGCCTGACACAGCGGCAGCTGAGGCCCGTAAGGGCAAGAAGAAGGTGGCTAAGCGGCTGACTGCCGGCACCGCAACTTCAGCTGCGAAGCCCCCGACGCGCGACACAGCGCACGAGTCCGACAGCGAGCTGGAGGAGAAGGCTGCGCCTCCCCCGGCGAAGAAGACGAAGAAGACAGCTGCGCCAAGCGCTCCGGTCACCGCGGAAGCCAAGCGTCCGGCCGGTCACCGCTCTGACCAAGGGTTCGACCTGACAACCTTCATGGCCTCGTTCCAGCCCGGGCGCGGTGGTGCGACTGACGATCCCTCACAAGCTGAGCGCGGTGCACCCACGACAAGGCCCGGCCCTGATGTGGCCTCGGAGCTGCACGCACTCCGCGACGAGGTGGCGCGCCTACGCGGGCTCCTCGGAGCCCATGGCCCACCTGCTCGAGACTGTACATGCCTTGGTGCCACGACGGATCCCAACACCAGAGGCGAGCTGCCACCGGCGGAGCTACGTCAGCTGACGACAGCGAGCTTCCCCGAGGGCGCCAAGAAGGCCAAGGGAGACTACAACCCGCCGCAGGCACACCTGCTAGCAGCGAGCCGCATGTTTCGTGCCTTCGGGACGGAGACAGCGGAAGGCTCGGCTCGCGTGGACTTACGGTCATGCACTTCAAGGAATCGAGCGAGATGGAGACACTCGAGGACGGATCTACCAACGTCAACTACTCGAGCGACTTCAGCGCTACGGCCGCTCTCCCGACGGCATCCATCCGCTGTACGACCTACGAAGACATCCTGGATGCCATACACGGTCTGAGCGCCCTCGGTCAAGAGGTGTGGTACGACCACATGCGAAAGTTGACGTCTCGGCTTCGCGCCTTCGTCGCGAAGAACAAGTCCGCGGACCCTACCAATACTCCGGCTCGCGTCCGCCTTACACTGCTCTACGTGCGCGGGCACCGCGCTGGGCGCGGGGCCACATGCAAGCCGACGATGGAGCGGCTTCTGCGAGGCGCTTCGCTCGATCGACTACCAGTCTCCGGCGTGGACGATGGCACTCCTAAGTACTCTGACCCAAGCCAGCGAAGGCGACCGCCGTCAGGGCCAAGCCCGTGGACGGCGCGACAACGAAGGGCGTCGCGAAGGCAGCCGGCGCCCCGCGATCCCAGATGCCATCCGCCGTCTAATCCCGATGAATCGCCGCGGTCAAGAACCCTGCCTGCTCAACGTCGCTGGTCTCCCGTGCTCTGGCGGCATACGTGAGCGCTGCGGCAACCCGCGGCGTGTCCATAACTGGTCGGTCGCGCGAGCGGGAAATTTTCCGCGATAGCAGCCGTTTTGCCCCTCGCTCAGCGCCTCCGGACACCGAATTTTCAGACGGCGCTACGCATCACCCAGTCGCATCCAGCGCTGGCTCTGAAGTAGACGCAGTAACGCCCTCGCAGACTACGGCTATACAGCCACTTCAGACCTTACGGTCCGGGTCGACTATACAGTCACCTTCGGCTATACAGCCCGTGCTCGCTATACCGCCGGCACAGACATTAACGCAACCCAAACAACTGGGTCAGCTGACGCGAATTTCATTGCTTTCTGCGTATGAATGTAATATTAACCCACTTGCGTACACATGTACTACCAGCCCAATGGCTACATCCTCGGGAAGCCGGTCAGAGCCTACCGTGCCACCAGCCCAGGTGCCGCCCGTTGCTGCGACGCGCGCATCTCCAAGTGCCACGCCCAGGCGACATCTGCGACCCGTTGATAGCAGTGTAGTTGCCATGAGGATGCACACAAATGCGGACGTGCGGCGCGGTCTAACTCATCGGGCGCGTAGGACCACACTGGCCACAACAATGGCAGAAGCTGGCGTATAGCTACCGCGTGATACCTACCCCAAGTCTCGCGGATCTGGTGCTGCAGAAGAATTCCTGCTCGACGTACCTCTGCAGCACGCGCTTTCGGAATATGTCCGCCGGACGGGTGTTTCGTTACCAGCATTTGTAGAGCTGTTCAGAAGACTATCGCCCAAACAAGAATCTAGTCCCCGCAGTGCTCGACGAGATCGTCATCAGTCCCTTCGGGGTAGTCGACAAGGGCGGCGAAGATTCGAGTGTTTCCGGTCGTACGATTCACGACCTCTCGTATCCGGAAGGCACCTCCATTAACGACTGCACAGACCAAGAGAGCATCACAAGACCCGACTACGCTCACTGCGATGCCGTCGCTACCGAGATAACCCGTGCAAAGCAGCTCCAACCCGGTGTCGAAGTCAAGCTAATGGCCGGAGACGTAGCATCGGCCTTCCGCAACATCAGCATCCACAGCAAGACTGTCTTCCTCTTCGCTGGGCTGATCGAGGAGGAGAACGTACTGGTGATCGAGCTATCCGCGCCGTTTGGATGGACTGGCTCCCCAGGTTTTTACGAGGTCGTCGCTGGCACCATATCTTACGTTCACGGCAATCACACCAACGCCGCGTACCCGAATGGCTTCTTCAATTATCACTGGGTGAACGACCACATCAATGTCGCGGTGGACGTTGGGTCCTCGTGTGACGACGCCGACCGGTCGCTTCGGTTCGCTATGGTTGCCGTGCTAGGCGCTGACGCTATCAACGACAAGAAGTTTACGAGTTGGAACACCCGCCAACGCGTGCTCGGTCTGGAATTTGACTCCGTCGCCGAGAGCGTTTCCATGCCACCAGAAAAAGTGGAGAAAGCCCGTCGAATTGTCGCCGCGGCCTACATCGCGTCACATCTCAACCGTAAGGCGTACAGGTCACTCATGGGGAGCCTTCGTCATGTGGCTACATGTATCCGCGCTGCCCAGCCCTTTCTCCAGCGACTCCGAGTACGAGAAAGCCAACTCCATCGCTTCCAGCGCGTTTCCATCACGGACGACATGAGGCAGGATCTACTGTGGTGGTGGCAGATTTTACATACTCCCCATCTCAATGGCGTTTCGTTGGAGTAGTTCAACGCACTCCCTCCGCCTGACACGGTGGTCGAGATGGACGCTTCTGATTTTGGTCTATGCGCCTTGGATGTGTCATCTAGCTCAGCGTTAACCTACGCGTTCTCGCCGGACGAGCTGGATCATATTCACGCGTTCAAGTCTGGCGTCGCTAACGGGTTCGACATCAACTTCCGAAAACTGCTGTCGTGCGCATTCGCGGTTCACGCCTGGGGACAACGATGGTCTATCCTCGCAGGGCAAGACGGCCGACCTCACCATGTGCACTTCCGGATTGACAACACTTCCGCCGTCGCCTGGCAGAACAAAATGGCATCACGGAACCCCCGCGCTCAGCTTATCATTCGGCTCCTTAGCTGGTAAGAGGCATCATATCATCTCCGGTTTTCAGCGTCCCACGTCGCCGGATCCGACAATACTCGCGCAGACACCGGCTCCCGCTTACCAGCTAATTCGTCTTACGCAGAGCTGTTTGCTTCACTAACTCCGGGCTGGTCGCAGATTACTCCGACTGTGGACATACAAGGGCTGGCCAAGATCTGGCAGCGTATCTCCGAGCTCACTCCGTTGCAGACTCCACGTTTGATCAATACCGTCGATCTCTAAGCAAGTGGACGGCTTGGTCTACCCGCCGGGGAATTCCTACATGGCTCTCCGGCGTTCCGCTTCAGGAGAAAGTACAACACATCTCCGACTTCGTGCTCCACGGTTTCCAGTACGGCTTCGGTTCGGGTGGCCCCATCCGCAGTGAGTCTATCATGGGCGTTCTTCAAGGCGTTCGGCTACGAATTCCCGCTTACACACCCGCACATTCGCATGCTGCTCAAAGGGATCGGCCGCCTGGACGTCGCCCGTCAACGCAAGGCGCCAGTGTCTCGGGACCTACTGGAAGCGTGCTTCCACAGACTCGCATTCGACGATCCCTTTGACCAAGCCCTCTGGGGGGTGCTGTGCTTGGTGTTCTTCTTCCCTCTGAGGCGTTCCGAAATCGCGGCGATCAGCAGTCGCTCTTTCAAGTGGTTTGCGCTTCGAGCCCAAGATTCGTCGTTCTCGACTCGACGGGCAATCCGACGCTCTCGCCGCAGCTTGCCCAAACCGTGTGCCTGCGCCTGATCGGGTCGAAGACGAACCAAGGTGGCGCGCCGACGACAAGAATGCTCTCACGGTCTGGACATCCATTTCTCTGCCCAGTGTTTGGCGCGCTCATCCTTCTTCAAGCACGAAAGAGTCTCCCCGTCAGTATCCCAGCGGCGGTGTACCTGTCTTGGAGAGGGATCCCGGCATGCGTTTCGTCTGCGGACGTCGCCGACGCGATCAAGCATGCAGCCTCGTCCACTGGGAAGGACCCATGGCAATTCAGCTGCCACTCCCTCCGCTCCGGCGGCGCGACGCATATGTATCGCTGCGGCATAGACGCACTGACTATCCAGTTCCATGGGCGTTGGATCTCTGATGCATTCAAGTCATACACCAGGCTCTGCGAGGAGTCCATCACTACGCTGGCGGCGGACATGGTGACCGGTACTACGGGGGATTCGACTCTGCATTAGTGCGGCACACTTGCACGACCATTAGGGGGCACCGCTCTCCTCGACCCTTTTTCGGGTTGAGCTGATGGTCACAGCATAAGCCGCACAATAATGTAATTTCGTTTGCCCCCGTAAGATTGTGGAAAGACCTGTTTAATGTTCGCATCGGTGCGGGAGCTGTTTGAGTGAATCTCCTTCGTAAAGTCCTCCAGAATCGTGTCCGCCACATTGACGCCCTGGCCATTTTCCAAAATAAATTAAAAGCATACATTCGTTAGGTTGTTCACCCCCGAAGTATTTGCCCCCACCCCGCCTACCTTTGCTGTTTTTGAGTACACGACACCGTTGCCCATGTGCTTCTCACCTCCTCTGATTCCATGTAGCTTCTGCCGCGTCCTTCAGCTTGAAAGGCAGCACCTTGTTGAAGAACAGCTCCACGTACTTGCCGCGCACCCTATTCCGAACTCGGACTTCACTTCGCGTGACCACCATGTCGCTTAAACCGTTTGACGCAAACACAGCGTTCACCTCTCGATAAGCACTGTCCAAGTGATAGAAGAGGTCTTGAAACTCGCCCAGGTCCCCACTGAGGTCCAACGTGTGATGTATCGGGTTCTCAGCGTCCTCAAGGAAGGCGCACTCCGCACCCAGCAGACTCGCTCGTTTCTGGATCAAGGCGCGCAGGTTGTCCGCCACCTTCTGCTGGTGCGCAATCATCATCTTCAGGCGAATACTTTCGCACTCGGTCTTCTCCCTGCGGCTGCGTTGACTGTCTGCGATATTCTCCCACACCGTCGACATCGTCGGGTCAGCGACAGTCTCTGCACTCGTCCGCTTATGATGCGAGGCCAAAGGAACAACTTGCGTAACTGTGTTCGTGGCACCTTTCTGGCTCTTAAGCACCTCGAGATCAATCTGCAGCTTCTCCAGTTGCTCTCGAAGGTGGGCGATCTCGATCCGGCGGTTGCGACGGACTTTCTTCGAGTTGCCGTAGACGCCAACAGCTCGCAGCATCTTCCTCCTATCGGGGATGTTCCACTCCCTTTTCTTCACTGCATCACTTCCATCTTTCTCGACAACGTCCAACGAGCTATCGCTGGTCGATACAGAGATTGGGGAATATGTCACCGGATCTGGTGCCCTGTCGGACGGTGTCGCCGGAGCCTCCGGTCCAAAGGTATCCAAGAAGGACAGTGCGGCCTCCACGACGCTGCCATCGCCTTCTTCCAACAAAAACGCCATAGCTGTATTCATCCTGCGAGGGATATTTTCCAATGAGACGGTGAGCACAGTAGTTGCTTTGAGAGGTTGAGATGAGTGCAGTGATTAGCCTCTTCACCTCCTGCGAATAGTCGTCTGGATGATTAGTATTTGCCCAAAGTGTCAGCTTGCGCACCACCACCATGACAGCGATTTGCCACTTGATTAGAACATCATCTCCCGACGCAACGCTTGATCGACCAAGGCGCTTTCGATCCGGTCTTGGTGGCCCTGCGTTTTCATTGCCGAGTTCACGATCAAGAAGTTGGTGAGGGTTCAGATGGTATCCGGGCCGTACAGCGCTTCAGCCTCCTGGTCGAACGTGATGAGCGAGCAGCATTTGAGTTGGGACAGTTCTCGCTCTGGCGTTGACGCTGGAGACCGGATTATCTTCGCGTAGCCGCGGAGGTGATAGGTGAGTCCTCGCAGAATTTTGTGCCTGATCTCAGCAGGCGATACTTGAGCAACCCAGATCACGAGATCGTGGTCCGCTTCTACGTAGCGCCGCACGACCTGCTTCACCTTCACGTCTGCACGCGAGTTGTTGGAGTGCATTTCTTTCGTAAAGGCCTCGATTACAGTGTACGCCACGCCAAGATCCTGCACGCAAATGATCAAGCGTTAGAAATTGCCCAGGGGGGATGAAGTTGCGTTCATGCGGACTACCTTTGCAGCTTTTTCATACAGACTGCCATTGCCCATGTGCTTCTCGGATCCTTTGAAGTGGTTCCACGCAGCTTCGGCCGTGTCGCTCAGCTTGAAAGGCAGCACCTTGTTGGAAAAGGCCTCGAGATATTTGCCCTCGTCTCCTTCGCGAATGTGAACGTCGCTCGGCGTGATCACCATCTTGTCCAGGCCGTTGGATGCGAATACGATGTCTACCTCGCGATGAGCAGCTTCAACCTGTCGGAACAGCCCTTGGAAATCGCCGATATCTCCGCAGAAGTCCACAACATGCACGATCTGCTGCTTCGGAGTGACATCCGCAAAAGACGAACACTCACTTGTCTGCAGCGTAAAACAACAACAGATCAATCCCCTACGTAGCTACATTCTATGAAGTAAATGCCCGTACCAACTGCCGTGCTCGCTTCTGGAGCGTGCTACTCAAACTGTCTGCCACCTTCTGCTGGCGCGCTGCGACTATCTTCAAGCGCACATTCTCACGCTCAGCCTCCTCCCGCCGCTGCCGCTGCTTCCTCGCCACCACCTGCCACAAACTCGGCACCTGTGGCAATGAGCTCGCCGCTATTTGTGGCTGCAGAGCCCGCGCTCGAGGCTTCTTGCTCTGTAAGTTCCGCAGGTCGATCTGCAGCTTCTCCATTTCCTCTCGGAGGTAGGCGATCTATCGCCTCCTCTCGTTCCGAGCGCGGTTGGGGTCGTTGTAAACGCCCGCCTTGCGCAGGATTCTCTTCATGGCGTTTACCACCGCACGTCGCGTCAATTCGCCGGCTTTCGCGTCCACCTGTCGTACTGTTGATAGCGTTTGAGGTGGCGCGACGTCCGTCCGGGAAGTCGATGCATCAAGCTCAAACTTATCGACGAAGGACAGGGCCGCCTCGAGGACGCGGCCGTCGTCTTCGTCGTCCAGGAGGAACGCCATGCGTGCAGTTTTGTCGGCAGTCGTCGCGACGTGCGCAATGCCCAATGAGCGCCCCAGCTCAGCGAATGCGCTCAAGTGATTGGCTCAGCAACGAGGCTAGTGCTGATGCTGGTGGCGCAGTGCTTGGTCGATGAGCCGGTTCTCGATGCCGCTTTGGTGGACGCGCATGTTCTGCGCCGTGTTGACGACGAGGAAGTTGGTGAGCGCTCGCATGTTGTCGGGCTTCATGTCCTGGTCTAGCGAGATGAGGTAGCAGAACTGCAGTTGGGACAGCTCTTGGGCTGCGGTTGAGGCGGTCGACCGCTTGGTGAGCGCGTAGCCCCGCAGGTGATACGTCAAGCCCTTGAGCATCTTGTGCTTGATCTCCGTTGGCGCCACGCTCGCCACCCAGATCACGACGTCGCGGTCCGGTTCCACGAAGCGCCGCACTACCTGCTTCATCTTGACGTCGGCTCGAGAGCTGTTGGAGAACACCTCCTTGGTGAACTCTTCGATGATCGTGTACGGCTCGTCCAGATCCCTCTTGGCCTTGGCGTACAGACTCCCGTTGCCCATGTGCTTGTCGGTCCCCTTGAAATGGTCCCACGCAGCCTCGGCCGCGTCCTGGAGCTTGAAAGGGAGAACTTTGTTTGAGAACACCTCGAGGTACCTGCCACCGACACCTTGGCGGATGTGGACGTCGCTCGGGGTGATCACCATGCTCGATAGACCGTTCGCTGCGAACACGGCGTCGATATCGTGATACGCTGCGTCGAGGTGACGGAAGAGGCCTTGGAAGGAGCTGACGTCTCCGTGGTAGTCGAGTACGTGAACGATTTGGTGCCTTGGACAGTTAAGACTCGAGAAGCACGAACAATCGCTCTCCTACCAAGCAACACACAGGAAGTTAGTCCAACAGCTCTGGATACTATGAAGCGGGGCGGAGAGTTTGTACCAGTTGACTAGCGCGCTTCTGCAGTAAGCTGGACAATGTGTTCGCAACCCTCCGCTGGCGCTCCATGACCAGTTTCAAGCGGATGTTCTCACGTTCTGCTTCCTTGCGGCGGCGTTGCTGGCGGTCTGCGATCTCCTGCCACACGCTGGATATCGGCGATGTCGAGTTCGTTGTCAATATCAATGCGTTCGCTGGCGGATGATTCGATCTCGGCGCATCTACATGTAGTCGTCCGTCCTGGTGAGTTTGAAAGGTCTTCAAGTCGATCTGTAGCTTGTCGATTCGATCGCGGAGGTAGGCGATCTCCAGCTTGCGCTCGTTGCGAACGCGGTTCGAATCTCCATAGATGCCAGCTTTGCGCAGCAGCTTCTTCCTCGCGTTCCTCGCAACAATCTTCTCTCTCCGCGTCATCCCGCTCGTGTCCAAGCTAAGGATCGACGGCACAGAGCTCGAAGCAGTCGGCTTCGTCGCATGGCCACTATTGCGTCTGCGCAATTTCACAGTATCGATCGCGTTAGGAGCATAACTGGGTTCTGGAGCCGTCGTCACCGAGTCTGCCTGGGTCTGCATTTGCTGCGCAGGTGCCTTAGACGCGGAGACACTTGCAGAAGGCCCACGCTCGGGCTCGGGTTCATCGAACGAGAACTCGTCGATGAAGGACATGGTCGCCTCCAACACTTTGTCGTCGTCGTCTGCCTGCAGGAGCGCCATGCTGTCTCTAAATCCTCCCCCCGACGTTTTCAATGGAGGCAAGGGGAGGAGCCGCGAGTTGTCGGCGACAAAGGCATGTTCCCTTCGGAGACACGAAGGTGAAGATGATGTGATACTGAAGCAGGATTTGCTCGGTTCAACTCAACTCGAAGCAGAAAAGGAATGACGTTCGTCTACTGCATGTGCTCCCATAAAGCTCGATCTACCAGCGCGCCTTCGATGCGATCCTGGTGATTGCGAATGTTCTGCACTGTGTTGCCGATCAAGAAGTTGGTGAGCACGCGCGCATTGGCAGGGTCGAATCTTGTGCCAGGCTCTTGGTCTAGAGAGATCAGATAGCAAAACTGGAGCTGCGATAGCTCACGCTCGACGCTGGCGAACGCTTTGTAAGAGCGTATCCTCGGAGGTGGTAGGCCAACCCACGGAGCATTTTGTGCTTGATCTCCGTCGGCGACACGTGCGACATCCAAATCACAACGTCCCGGTCGGGCTCGACGTAGCGCCGCATCACTTGCTTCACCTTGATATCGGCTCGGGAATTGTTGGAATACAGCTCCTTCGTGAAGTCCTCGATGATCGTGTAGGGCTCGTCGAGGTTCTGTTGGCTCACAGCAACGATCCAAATACGTTAGCGCAAAACAAATTCCGCTTTGGTACCAATGACGTCGCCACAGTCTCTCCTACCTTTGCCGCCTTAGCGTACACGTTGCCATTACTTGCGTGCTTTTTGATCCCCTTGAAGTGGTCCCAGGCTGCTTCCGTGGTGTCGCTCAGCTTAAACGGCAGGATTTTGTTTGCGAAGAGCTCGAGATATTTGCCGCCGACGCCTTCGCGGATATGAACATCACTTGGTGAAATGACCACGTCAGCCAGACCGTTATCCGCGAAAATTGCGTCAACCTCTCGATACGCGGCTTCGTTTAGCCGGAATAGCGCTTCAAAGTCGGCAATGTCGCCACGAAAGTCCAGCACGTGGACAACGGGAGGTTTCGGGGCGCTCACGTCCATGAAGGATGAGCACTCGGTCGTCTACAGCGCGAAGTTGAAATGAAAAGATTGTTAGTAGATCGTCACGCTTACAGGAGTGATGTCGAAGTCTTACCAATTGCCTTGCTCGTTTCTCCATCAAGCTGCGGAGATTACCCGCTATCTTCTGCTGTCGATCCAGGATGAGCTTCAGTCGAACGTTTTCCAGCTCAGAGCCTTCTCGACGCTTCCTCTGGCTGTCCGCGATAGCTTGCCACATACTCGGAATCTGAATTATCGAGATTGCTGCCGAGCTCTTCGGTGTTGCAGCCTTCCCCTTCGACCGATCTTTCTGGCCCTCTAAGGTTTGCAGGTCAATCTGCAGCTTCTCTATCTGCTCCTTGAGATGAGTGATCTCCACTCTGCGAGCGTTCCGTGCTCGGTTCGGGTCTCCGTAGACTCCAGTCTTGCGCAGCAGCTTCTTGCGTTCATTGATCCGCTTGCGATTAGTCGCTGCGTCCCCGTTTGCTTCCAGCAGCAACGGAGTCTTGCACCGAGGGGCACGCGCATTCAGCACCGACCTCGAAAATGTACCTCCAGAGACCGCCGTCTCATCCGTAAGCAAGTCTGTGGATCCTATCACCGCCACCTGCGTAGCTGACAGGCCTTCGTCGCTCGAGAACTCGTCGATGAAGGACAGCGCCGCTTTGAGAGTTTCGTCATCGTCGGGGACGAGCGCCTTGCCTGCCATGGCCTGGTTCCTACGCGATCTTGGACGAAATCCAGATGGCCAAATGTGTGAGTCATGTCACGGCGATTTGACGGGCTCAAGGCCAAGTTGAGGGAGGACACCGGTACCAGGGTGAACGTTGCTGCCGCAAGAATGCGCCGATTCGAAACCAGCACATAAACTGAAGCTGAAGCGTGTGAGCTCTTCAGATATATATATATATGTATATATATATATATATTATATGCTCGCACTCTACAGTACTTGATGGACATCAAAACGCTACAGTACCAGTCTCAGACTAGCAAGCTGGTTGCGCGCGCTGATTCAGAGCTTGCCCCACCAGCAGATTCTCGATGAGCTCCTGGTCAGCCTTGATATTGCCGGCTGTGTTGCCTAGCACAAAGTTGCTGAGAGCGCGCATGTAGGCGGGATCGTACGTCTGGACTTTGTCGTCCAGCGACGCCAGCGTGCACAGCTGCAAGAGCGACAAGTCGTGGTCCTTCGTGGCGGCGGCAGCACACTTGATCAGCGCGTAGCACCGGTAGTTGAAGGTGAGCCCAGCCAGCAGCTTGTGTGCAATCGAGACAGGAGAGACGCTGGCTACGAGGATGACGATCTCACGGTTAGCTTCCACGTAGCGCCGCACGATCTGCTTCACGCGCACATCGGCACGCGCAGTGTTTGCGAACAGTTCCTTAGCGTAGTCCTCGATGATCGTGTACGGCGTATCAAGACTCTGCTCGCAGCACAAGTACAGCGTCAGACCACGGTTCTTCCCAGCTAAGTCCTGGTTCCTATCTCGCCTCACCTTAGCAGCTTTGTCGTACAAATTCCCATTACCGCCGTGCTTCTTCATGCCCTTGAAGTGGTCCCACGTCGCCTCTGCAGTGTCTCGCACGTTGAACGGCATCGCCTTGTTGGCGAACACTTCCAGGTGCATCCCCTTGACTCCCTTGCTCGACCGCAATTGCACGCCATGGTGACTCGACTCGGTCGTGCTCAACCTGTTCGCAGCGAACACCGCATCCACCTCACGGCGAGCTTTCTCCAGCTCTCCTAACAGCCCTCTGAAGTCGTTGATGTCGGCTCGGAAGTTCAGCGTCCGTCCGGTGAAACACCTTCCCATCATGGGGCTCGGCAAGGCTGAGAACTCGGCCATCTACACAAAGAATCGTTTGAGAATCACTATGTCCCTCCTTCGAAGCAAAGGTATAAACACCGACCTGCTGCTTGATCCGCGCCTGCACGAGCGTCTCCAGCGCCTCGGCCAGCTTGTGCTGTCGCTCCATAATGAGCCTGAGCCGGACGTTCTCCTTCTTGGCCTTGTCCCTCTGCTCTCTCTGTCGACTCGCCACTTCCTTCCACGCGCTCGACACCTCTGCATTAACCTGCTTCGTCACCAGCGCTCGCTGCTGCCTGTTCTCCTCCTGCCGCCTGTGCCTCTGCGGGTGCTGCGCCTGCAGCGTCTTGAGCTCCAGCTGCAGCTGCTCCACCTTGCGTTGGAGGTACGTCATCTCGAGCTTCCGCTCCTTGCGGGCGCGGTTGGGGTCGTCGTACAGTCCCGCCTTGCGCAGCAGCCGCTTCTTGGCGTTGGCGCGAAGGCGCGCGCGGCGTCCTCGTCCTGCAGAAACGCCATGATAAATAGGATTGCCCTTGACCTGGACGTCTCTCTTCCCTTTCTGAGGCTCGTCACCAGTCTGCACCGCTCACACCAGCTGATGATTGCAGGAAACTCATTGCTGTCCCACCAGCGCTGGTTATTGCATGGCTTAACCACCCTCTTAAGAAATAATGTACCACTTTAGTGGCACACTAGCCACTGAAGACCTACAGAGTTTGTATTTTATAGTCATAGCGGCATCTAGAAGATAGTACGAGTCTCTACATTGTGATTGTCCGGCTTTTTCTGGGGGTCGTCAACTTCGTCGAGAGAAGTTGACTCGCCCGAGGTCCACTTCCTACTTCTCAAGAAGATTGATGCACTTAATGCACTTCTAACGTTGCAGTTGGGAAGCGTTCAAAAGCGCTGTACAGTACCATCGGCTTGATTTGGTGTACAAGCAGGGCCACTTGATACCTTCGAGTCAGTGATGCAAGGTCTGATCCATCAGCACGTTCTCGATGAGCACGAGGTTCTAGATGATCGTGACGACGAAGATCTCCACGAGCACCAACATGACTTTCAGTACGCGACAGCCACGCGGTCACGCCCGTGTACTCCAGGACATCGGCCTGCGGCACCAGCGCGACGGAAAATAGCAACATGATGGACGCGATGGCTACCATGAGAGTCATCAGCAGTAAGCACAGCATCTTGGGCCACAGTCGCGGATACATGCACGGCATCGTGAGCCACAGTGGCGGATGCATGGCGAAGTAGGTTAGGCCCTGTACGACGTAGATGGACAGCGCCTCTGAGGAAAAAAAGAGGGCGTAGTAGATGCCTGCAGAGCTAGTCTTCCTAGCTGTCTTTGTCGGTGTGGTTGTAAGTTGGACTGGTTCGAACTGCAATGCAATGTGTCGATTGAATCGCAAAACGTTTGAAAATGCATCGAAATGTGTCAATCGAAGCGCAAAACGTTTGAAGACGTTGGTGGGCCTGCATAGTCGTATGAAAGAGCTAAACGCTCGGGCGATGGAGCCCTGTGTAGATGTTAACCTTCAACGGAGACAGCTGTCGTAAAAAGAGTGCTTTGACGCGCCATCCAGAAGCAACAGCTAGAGGTGACCAAAATCCATGCGCTCATGTCGGAGTAAGCTCTCTTTGTATCTGTGTGAAAGATTCATTGACTTCGAGCCATGCGGATTAAACTGTGTATTCATACACACTGTAGAGTACACTCAGCCCACGAAAAAACCTTTAGGTACCAAAAGAAGATATTTTGATTAGGTCCAAGGTTAGTGTTGTCTCGGGTCAGGATCCACACTATAGGAATCGTGATACTTTACTTTTTTTGCAATGGACATTTCCTAAACACGTAATTTGATCAAAAAAACGTTTTTTTGCACACGCGTTTCTGTAATAATCCTGAACCCCCTTCGGAAACCTGGAAAACATATGAGCGCGTGAAATTATGCTTCGCACATGGCATTCTACCTTTTAGTGCTTGGGCGTGGAATTCGTCCGAATGACACGTGAAATTAATCCGCGCCCATAGTGACATTCAAATTCGGGATGACGTGGGAGGCAAAAACGTCGAGTTGTTCTTCAACAAGGTGCTTCCATTCAAGCTGCAGGCGACGAAAGAAGCAACGTGGGAGCACTTTAAAGGATCGGACAAGCACATGGGCAATGGCAGTGTGTACTCCAAAACTGCGAAGGTGAGTGACTCAACGAGTTGGAGATGGGCTCTCGAGTGGTTTCTTACGTCTTGGCGTGCCATGCTATCACAACGTTGTCCGTTCAGGATGTCAACGTACCCTATACGATTCTCGAAGACTTCACCAAGGACATGCACTCGAACACCGCCCGCGCAGACGCGAATATGAAGCAAGCTATCCGCCGTTACGTCGAGCCTGACCGCGACGTCGTGATCGCAGTTGTGAGCGTATCACCAGCCGCAGTCAAACACAAAATGCTCGACGGTTTGAGGTATCAAGTGCGAAGCTACGCGGTGACGAAGCGGTCTTCTGCGTCGACGCCGGAGCGCGAGGTTTCCCAGTTGCAGTGCTGCTCGCTCATTTCGTTCGACGAGGAGACGGAGGCGAGACTGGGTTGTGATGCCGTCCGCTCGTTGACGAACTTCTTGATTGTGAGCTTGGCAGCGAAGATGCAAGGCCACCAAGACTGCATTGAGAACTCGCTGATGGACAGCGTTCTTAATCCTTCATGTTAATAGTTATGAGCGGGAACTGTAGTCTGGATGGAGGCTCCTGTATTGAGTACTGCGGCAGATGCACTGAGTTTGAAGTAGAGTAGCGTTGAAGGCGATCTACACTTAGCCTCAGCAACTTGAACGGAAGCTTACGAGCGCATTCGAGTTCAATGTGGTTGGTTATCTATTGCCAGTGGCTGGAGGAAGCAGCTCACGATATTCCACTGAGACTGACAAGCGTCCATATTAATTGAAAGAATGGTAACGAGCTCCACTTAAGAGCTGACTGGCAGTGCCAGTGGAAGACAGTCGGTCGGTATGACATCCATACCAAAGACGGCAACAGGCCGACACCAGCCGTACATCGATTGAGCCAAAAAACTGTACCTACACACAAATTGATTAGGTAAGTGATGGCCTTCTTCCTGGACGACGACGACCAAAGCGTCGTCGCCGCGGCGCTCTCCTTCGTGGACGAGTTCGCAGGTGCTGCGCAGACGCCCCAAGGCGCGTCCGTCGCCGTGACAGCGCGTGGAGACCGCGGCCATGTGACGAGTCAGACGCCTCGACAGGCTCCAGTGACAGAGGCAGAGATGGCGAGGAGGGAGAAGGTCAACGAGAGGAAGAAGATGCTGCGGGCTGCCGGCGTCTACGGCAACTCTAACAACGTGCGCAACAACCGCCGCATCGAAATCGCCTACCTCCGAGAGCAGCTGGAGAAGCTTCAGATCGACCTGGAAGTGCTCAAGAAGCAGAAGGGAGAAGGCTCCACGCGTAGAACGAAGACGAGAGCTGCTCCACCAGCAGAGCTGCACAACCAGACCCGTCATGTGCCAAGTGCCGAGGCTATTGTCGCTGTGAACGCGCCCACGATGTCGACTGTGTGGGAGAACATCGCGGACAGCCAGCGACGCCGCAGGAAGAAGGCGGAGTGCGAGAACATCCGTCTGAAGATGGTGATCGAGCACCAGCAGAAGGTGGCGGACAACTTGCGTGCGTTGCTGCAGAAGAAAGCGAGTCAATTGGTACGTAGATTCTCTGGTACTGGCGATGTATTGGAGACGGCAATGGGAGATCTAACGTGTTTGCTCTGCCTCAGAATGCAGAGTGTTCGTTCTTCACGGGCGTCGATGGTGGGAGCCCTCAGGCACTAGATCTGCGTGGAGATTTGGGCGAGTTCCAGGGCCTCTTCCGTCATGTGGACAACGCATATCAAGAGCTGGACGCCGTATTCGCTGCGAACGGTCTGAACAATATGGTGGTCACACGAAGCGATGTCAACGTACGAGATGGAGCGGGAGGCAAGTACGTCGAGTTGTTCTTCAACAAGGTCCTTCCATTCAAGCTGCAGGCGGCGACGGAAGCAACATGGGAGCACTTCAAGGGGTCTGAAAAGCACATGGGCAATGGCAGTGTGTACTCCAAAACTGCGAAGGTGAGTTCTTGGCGACGATCTAATCGCGTTAGTGGCAGTGTAAGTTCTAATCTCTTGGCGTGGCCAATGGCAAACAGGATGTCAACGTGCCCTTCACGATCCTCGAGCAGTTTACCAAGGAAATGCACTCGAACAGCGCCCGCGCTGATGCCAACATGAACCAAGTCGTTCGCCGATACATCGAGCCTGACCGTGACATCGTTATCGCCGTCGTGAGCGTATCACCAACCGAAGTCAAACACAAAATGCTCGGCGGTTTGAGGTACCAAGTGCGGAGCTACGCGGTGACGAAGCGGTCTTCTGCGTCGACGCCGGAGCGCGAGGTTTCCCAGCTGCAGTGCTGCTCGCTCATCTCGTTTGACGAGGAGACAGAGGCGAAGCTGGGTTCTGATGCCATCCGCTCGTTGACGAACTTCTTGATCGTGAGCTTGGCAGCGAAGATGCAAGGCCACCAGGACTGCATCGAGAACGCGTTGATGGACCACGCACTATTGGTGCACTAAGCACTATTAGGAACAGTAACAGTCTACGCGTATATAATGAGTTTTATCAATGGAGCATGGTGGCGGCGTGCAAGTTGACCCTGCGTCTTTTGCGTTGCTCGGTGGCTCTGACTCCGATGTTTGGCTCCTTGAGGTTCGGTGCATCCAGCACTGCACCGCCAAGAGACAATGCAGGCACGTGTCAGAGCATAGTCTGGCCCGGCAAAACCACTGCTGGACAACTTCGCACCGCGAAATTCTTTGCCAACGCCTCGAGCTGCGCGTGTACTGCAGCCATGGCGTCGTCTCTCGTGGACGAGGACGACCGCGCGTTCCAAGCGGCGCTGTCGTTCGTGAACGAGTGCGTGCTGGATGACGAGGAGCTGGAGGATGCTGCAGCGTTCAGGACCACCGCCATGATGCAGCGCGAGGATGAGTGGGCCGCCATGTCCTGCGGCCTGGCGCCGACAGTTAACATCAGCGGAGTCGAGACGTCATTGGGGGCTCTCGGCGGCTACGAGATGGCAGCCACCGTCTCAGCTCTCGCAGCCAAACCCGGAGCGTCCAACAGAGACAAGCTCAGGCGACGAACGGAGACCAACGAGAGGAAGAAGCTGCTGCGCAAGGCCGGTATCTACGAGGACGCCAACTGGATGAGCAAGGACAGCAGACTAGAGGTCGCCTACCTCCAGGAGAGGATCGAGAAGCTCCAGCTCGACCTGCAGGTGCTGCAGAGTCGCAAGAGCAGACGACCAGCCATCCAACCTGGAGCGCAGGACCCAACAGACGACGCGCTGCAGATCCCGAAGGTGTGGGAGGACATCGCCATTCGGCAGCAGCGTCGACTGAAGGCGGCAGAACGTGAAAACTCTCGCTTGAAACTCGCCGTCCAGAACCAGCAGAAGGTGGCGAACTGCATGACCAACTTGGTGCGGAAGCGAGCGGGACATTTGGTACGTAGTTCATGGCTTGTATTACTTAATCTACGCTGCGTTGCTTACAATTTATTTTGTGTGCTCTCTTTCTTGGACTACAGACGAACGACTGCGCTTCGTTCATGAGTGTGGACTTCTCCATGTTGAGCTCTCGCGGGATTGCAGGCGACTTCCCGCTGTTGTTCCGCCACCTCGAAACTGCGCACCAGGAGGTCGACGCCGTGTTTGCTTCCAATGGGCTGGCCAACATGGTGCTCACACCCAGCGACGTCCACATCCGAGAAGGTGTCAACGGCAAATACCTCGAGGCTTTCTCCAACAAGGTGCTGCCCTTCGGGCTGCGCGCAGCAACGGAAGCTACATGGGACCACTTCAAAGGAGGCGAAAAGCACCTTGGGAATGGAGTTATCTACGAAAAAACTTCCAGGGTACGCCCAGAAGCACCGACATCGATAATATCTGAGTGGATCGCTCTAACATTGTCATTCTTCTCTAACAGAACCTCGACGACCCGTACACGATCCTCGAGGAGTTCACCAAGGAGATGCATTCCAAGAACGCTCGCGCGGATATCAAGGCGCAGCAGCTGATCCGGCGCTACATGGAGCCCGACCGCGACATCGTCATCTGGGTCTCCGTCGCGGAGCCGGCCGAGATCAAACACAAGAAGCTGCGCGGACTGACCTACCACCTTCGAGGCTACGCGATGACCAAGAGATCGCCAGCGTCGACCCCCGAGCACGAAGTCTCCCAGCTGCAGTGCGTCTCGCTCATCTCGCTCGAGCCCAAGGCAGAGGCGATGTACGGACCCGAGACTGTCCGTGCCGTCACCAACTTCCTCATCGTCACAGCAGCCCAAAAGATGCAGGCGCACCAAGACCGCATTGAGAACGCGCTCATTGACCAACAGCTAAGGCGGCAGGGGATCATCCCGCCCGCATAATGTAAATCCAAAGTGAAGAGCAAAGTGAATTCGTCGCCTTGGGCAGTAAAGACACGAAACAACCACCCAAGCATTGGTTCGGTTGCCAGGATGCGACACAGACTCTGAGCCAGGCACAAATGCTTTGCACACGGCACTGAGAGACATGGTGTTCTTGCTCGAAGATGACGACGGGGTGGCGGCGGCGGCGCTGTCCTTCGTGGACGAGTGCGCGCTGGACGAGGTGGCGTCCGCTTCGAGCACCGAGTCCTCGACGGTATCCGTAGGTGGGGGCGACAGCAGCTCCTCCGAGCCATCGACCGACGCCCGCGTGCCCATCGTCCAGTCCGCTCGATGCAAAGCCCCGGTGCGCGTGACGTCGCGCGAAGAGAAGATAAGGCGGAGGATGGAGATCAACGAGAAGACGAGGATTCTGCGCAAGGCTGGAGTCTACGCCGACTCGAACCGTGTGCGTAATGGACGGACGAGGGAGATCGCCTTCCTCCGCGAGCAACTGGAACGACTTCAGATTGACTTGGAGACGTTGAAGAAGCAGAAGAAGGTCGGTAGACTCTCAACGACTGCAGGCACGTCGTCGGGGCAGTCTTCATATGGAGAAGTGTCGAGCACGTCCCAGAATTCCAAGATGTGGCAGGCGGTGCTGGACATCCAAAGGCGGCGTCGGGAGGAAGCGGAGTGCGAAAATATTCGCCTGAAGCTCATCGTCGAGCGGCAGCGGAAGGTGGCGGACAGCATGACTAGCTCGCTGCAAAAGCGAGTGGCTGGGTTGGTGAACGATTGTTCAGGCTTCATCAGGCAAAACTGCGTCCAGCATCCTCTTGTTCATGTGCTGGCCTTCTGTGGAGACATGGGCGATTTCGGGGAGCTCTTTCGACACCTCGAAGCCGCCTACCAGGAGGTGGACGCCGTGTTTGCAGTCAACGGGCTCGTTCACATGGTCGAAACCTCGGACGACGTCCACATCCGAGCAGGCGGAGACGGAACCTACGCCGAAGCGTTCTCGAATAAAGTTCTTCACTTCGGCCTGCAGGTGTCGGCTGAGGCAACATGGGACCACTTCAAAGCGAACGAAAAGCATTTAGGAAATGGGAACATCTACGAGAAGACTGCAAGGGTACGTTCGTGGCTTCAAGTGTTTGAAGCATGGTCAAAGAGTTATCTGTCTAGCTTCTAACAATCGTATTCCTATTCAGTACCTTGACGAGCCCTACACGGTTGTGGAGGAGTTTACCAAGGAGCTATTCTCCCGACGGTCTCGCGCAGATATCAAGGTGAAGCAGGTCATCCGACGCTACGTGGAGCCTGACCGAGACATCGTCATTTGGGTGGCGCGCGTCTCGCCTGCCGAGATCAAACACAAAATGCTCAGTGGGCTCACGTACCAGCTTCGTGGTTACGCAATGACCAAGCGGTCTTCAACGTCAACACGATTCAACGAGGTCTCGCAGCTCCAGTGCTGCTCCATGATCTCGCTCGACCAAGACGCTGCGGCCAAGTACAGCCCGGAGAACATGCGCGCGCTCTCGAACTTCCTCATCGCCAGCACAGCGCTCAAGATCCAGGCCCACCAAGACCGAATCGAGAGCGCGCTCGTCGAGCGAGCGCTCACGCGGCAATTAACATGACTAACTGTAAACCGTTAATACAATTTCTACACGATATATACGCAAGCACACGTTGATCACCGAGTTGGTGGCGGTGGCGTTGCGCTGCTCAACCGCAGGGTGATCCCATCCCATGATTCACATGAGCTCCTCTGCGCCGTGTGTGGCAGTTGCGCAGAACTGTCAGTGAGTGAGTGACTGACAGACACGTGATTAAGATGGAGGACGGCGACGACACGCAAGCCTTCAGGGCGGCCCTGTCCTTCGTAGAGGAGTTCTCGTTCGAGGAGGCGGCAGGCGACGGGCTCCTGCCTTCCCCCCTGGACAACGCACCAGCTGAGACTGCGCGCGCGACTCAGTCGAAGGCTCTGACCAAGCGCTCGTCGTCGAGCGAGGAGAAGAGGTGGCGCCAGAATGAGATCAATGAAAGACGGAGGCTCCTGCGGAAGGTCGGCATCTATGGCGACTCGAACCGCGTCCGGAACGAGCGCACGAGGGAGATCGCCTTCCTGCGCGAACAAATGGAGAGGCTGCAGCTCGACCTGAAGGTTCTGCAGGCCCGACGGGCTCAGGAGCAGCGAGAAGCCAAGCGGGCGAATGCCTCTGCTATCGTTGCGAGAAACCATCCAGCTTCAGGACCAGGGAGCTTGTGGAGAGAGCAAGCTACTAGACAGCGACGTCACCGCGAGGAGGCTGAGCGAGACAATGTCCTATTGAGACTCGCTGTGGAGCGACAGAAGAAGGTGGCGGCCAGCCTGAGAAGCTTGATGGGCAAGCGGTCGAGTCAGCTGGTAAGAACCTGGGACTCGTTCCTCAGGTGGAAGATGAGAACAAACTTGATCCCCCCTTACTCTGCTGCAGACGAACGGGTGTGCGTCGTTGGTGAGCTTGTGCTCTTCAAAGCGCAACACTTTCGACGTCCTGGACTTTCGAGGGGATATCGGCACCTATCGTGAGCTCTTCCGCGACCTCGATGCTGCCTACAGGGACATTGACTCAGTGTTCGCTGCCAATGGCTTGGCAAGTATGGCGATTTCGCCTAACGACGTTCATGTACGCGAAGGCGTCCAGGGGAAATACCTCGAGTTCTCTACGTACAAGGATCTGCCGTTCGCAGTGCAAGACACTGCTCAAGCTTCCTGGGACCACTTCAAAGGCGTGGAGAAGCACCAAGGCTACGGCAATTTGTACCAAAAATCAGCAAAGGTGAGCGTGCTAGCACGCTCAAGCTCATTTCGCTTAGCAACACTAATGCTAACTAACGTTTTAAAATCGCTGCTGACTAGAGTCTCGACGAGCCGTACACGATCATTGAGGACTTCTCCAAGGAGGTCTACTCGAACAGTTCTCGCGCCGATATCAAGCTCAAGCAAGTCGTGCGGCGCTACGTCGAAGACGACCAGGACATCGTCATCGGGGTCTCCCACGTCACGCCGGTCGAGGTCAAGCACAAGCTGCTTCGTGGCCTGGTCTACAGCTTCCGAGGTTACGCCATCTGAGGCGCTCTCCTGCGTCCACAGCCGACAACGAGTTGAGTCAACTGCAAATGTGTTCAATGATCTCGCTGGACGAAGACGAGGGCGCAGCCTACGGCCCCGACAACGCCCGCGCTCTCAAAAACTTCCTCATCATCCACGCCGCCAAGAACAGCCTCTCGCACCGTGAACGCATCGAAAACGCCCTAGCAGACCGAGCACTGAGACTGACGGAGTAGATAATACACGGACCCTTCAACCTTGTTCCTGTTCATGTACTTGCACACTTCCAGCAACCTGAGCGGTATCTCTTGAGACAGGCGTCCCTGCAGAGTTTTTGTTCAACAGCGGTGGAGGAGTTCAAGCTCGACGACGAGCCCTCGTTCTCGGCTGTGAGATCCCACGTCCAGGCAGGCACTAGGAAGCCGACTGTCCACGCTGACGACACCCTGACCAAGAGAGCGAGAGCCAACGCGAGGAAGAAGCTGCTTCGCCGGGCTGGCATCTACAGCGACCCGAACCGAGCTCGCAACGTGCGGACGCGGGAGATCGCGCTCCTGCGCGAGCAGATCGAGAAGCTCCAGATCGACCTCCACACTCTGCAGAGCAGACAAACGCAGGGACAAGACGGTACGAAGTCGAAGAGCGACTGCGCGTTGGTTCGCAAGAGCTGCAAGTCGCAGATATCCGGTATGTGGCAGGACCAAGCGCTCCGACAGCAACGGCGCCGTGAAGAAGCGGAGCGTGACAACGTCCGCCTGAAACTCGCCGTTGAGCGGCAGCGGAAGGTGGCCAACAGTCTGCAGAACTTGATGAAGAAGCGAGCGAACCAATTGGTACGATGATGGGGATTGTAGCTACGCTACAACGCAGCAGGAACGCATTAACTTGTTGTTGCTGTGATTGTGGCCAGACGAACGAATGCGCGACGTTGATGAACTTGTGCTGTTCAAGGCAAAATACCGTCGATGTGCTGGACTTCTGTGGCGATATCGACGACTTCCGAGGGCTTTTCCAGCGCGTCGACGACGCGTACCGGGAGGTGGATGCGGTCTTCGCAGCCAATGGACTCCAGATCCACGATTTCTCCGGGCGACGTACACATGCGCGAAGGCGTAGATGGCAGGTATCTTGAGTTCTCGACCTATAAGGACGTGCCTTACGAACTGAGAGCAGCAACCGAAGCGGTGTGGGATCACTTTAAAGGCGTTGAGAAGCACTTGGGCGTCGGGAAAATCTACGAGAAAGCAGCGAAGGTACGCAATAGATAGAGCGAGGATACAGTTGCATGGACTAACCTCCTCCTTCTTGTGGTCTGGCGATAGAATCTCGACGAGCCTTACACGATCGTCGAGGAGTTCTCTATTGAAATGTACTCCAACAATTCTCGTGCGGACTATAAAACGAAGCAAGTTGTACGGCGCTACGTGGAGGCGGACCGAGATATCGTGATCTGGGTGTCCCACGCCACGCCTGTGGAAGTTAAACACAAATTACTCAGCGGCCTGGCCTACAACTTCCTTGGCTACGCGATAACAAAACGGGCGACGGCGGAGCAAGAGCTGACGCAGCTACAGCTTTGCTCAAGGATTTCTCTCGACCAGGATTCTGACACAATCTACAGCTCGGAAAGCGCTCGCATTCTCGCGAACTTTTTGATTGTTCATGCTGCGAAGAACATCGTCGCCCACAGAGACAGCATCGAGAACAATCTAGCTGATCGAGTGCTGAGGCAGCGATTGCAATAAGGGAACTACTTGTATAAATGCAAGTACATGTATAAATACTCACTCTTCAGCAGTGCTTTGTAACACTTTATCGGCAGAATTGCGTAGACTCAAGTGGAGAAGTGCACTCCAACAAGAAAGCGAAAGACCTCGATGTCCTCACCCCTTATCAAGTGACATGGCGGGTACTTGATCATCCGGGATGAGACAGCTGTGCAGAGTTGCGTCTCCACTGTTGTTCAAGCACTGCTCGAACGGACCTGCCTCAAGGAGGTCCGTTTTTTTTTTTTAACTCCCTGAGGAAGCAAGGCATGAATTTACTCTTGGGAGATGAAGACGAGCAAGTCAAGGAGGCGGCGCTGTCTTTCATCGACGAGTTCGAGCGCAGCAATGAGAGCGACGGTAACGAGACACTTCTAGCAACTGCTCACGAGAGCGTACCGTCGACTCGATCAAAGTCACGCGCAAGGAAAGCTTCACGCGAAGCGAAGGCCAGGAAGCGAGCGGAGATAAACGAACGGAAGAGAATGCTTCGGAAAGCTGGCATCTATGGCGACCCCAACAAGGCTCGGAACGCGCAGACGCGAGAGATTGCCTTCCTTCGAGAAGAACTGAAGAAACTCACTCTTGACCTGCAGATCTTACAATGCCGGCGATCGGAGGCTTCAAGAGTCATAGTGCCTGTGAACGCGTCGGCCCCTCTGATTCCAAGTATGTGGCAGAAGCTAGCAGAGCGACAGCGTCTCCGTCGAGAGGAAGCAGAGACCAGGAATTTACGCCTAAGACTCTCTGTGGAGCGCCATCAGAAGCTGGCAATCGATCTCAGCAACTTGGCTCGGAAGCGAGCACGCCAGCTGGCCAACGAGTACGAGTCGATGATGAATCACTTTGCTCATCCGGACCATCATATCGTACGAGCTTTGAACTTCAGCGCAGGGAACAGCGATTTTCTAGAGCTATTCCACCATCTCGCTGCTGCCTATCAAGATATGGACTCCATTTTCGAGGCGAATGGTCTTGCAAGCATGGATATATCGATCGGCGACGTTCATATGCGAGAGAGTACCAAGGGCAAATACCGCTACCTCGAATTCTTCAGCAACAATGTTCTTCCATTCGAGCTGCAAGCAACGAAAGAGGCTACATGGGATTACTTCCGCGGTGTGGAAAAACATTTAGGGTACGGGAACTTCTATGAGAAGGCAGCAAAGGTAGGTGGGCTATGTTGTGGTGGTGGTATCGATCCTTCATTAACCTTTGTATTTGGCGTCGATAAGGATCTGGACGAACCGTACACGATCATTGAAGACTTGACGAAGGAGCTGTACTCCAACACGATATCCGCATCAAGCAGGTCATTCGACGCTCCGTTGAAGCTGAGCGCGACGTCGTGATCCGGTTTTATCGAGCTGTGCCTGTAGAGATCAAGCATAAGCTGCTGAGCAGACTAACATATCACCTGCAGGGCTACGCAGTGACAATGCAGGCACCCAACTCAACCCCAGAGCACGAGCTGTCCATTCTGCAGTTGTGCACACTGGTTTCTTTTGACGAAGCAGAAATCGAGGCGGTTTGCGACGCGTGTAGCCTCCGCGCGTTTATCGACTTTCTCGTCGCCCACACAGCACAGAACACACGGGCACACTGCGAAATAATCGGGAATGCATTAGCTGACCAAGCCATCGCACGCCACATGCAAGGCAGTGTTCGCTACTAAAATACCTCTGAACAATAGCTTTTGCTGAAATTTGCGCAAGTTCTTCGTGCCCGTCAGGGCATTTTTCTGGAGGATAGATTGATTGATAATTTATGTTGTATTGGCCAAGGAACTTTGGTGCGGAAGTTGACCGAAACGCACTGCAACTCTCAACAAAAGTGTCGCACTCTTCTTGAACTCATCATGACCCTCTTCGCGTCCACACGAGCTCATTGCGAGTGTCATCAAGGACAGCTGTCACGATTCGTTATCACGAACCCCTTCATTTCCGTTATTCTTTTACTTACAACCGTGATAAGCCATGGCCTCAGAAGACGACGAGGAGGCCTTCCGGGCCGCACTGTCCTTCGTGGACGAGTTTGTGCTTGACGAAGATGTCACTGGCGGGTCTTCCTCCAGTGAACAGCTCCCAGGGACCGCGTCGATGCAGCCGCGGTCCTCGGCTTCAGTGGTCGTGGACCCGAATGAGCTCAAGCAGCGGCGGCGCCAGCAGATCAACGAGAGGCGGAGGCTGCTGCGCAAGGCCGGCGTCTACGCAGACCCCAATCGCGCGCGCAATGGACAGAGGGCAGAGATCGCGTGCCTTCGAGAGCAGCTCGAGAAGCTTCAGCTCGACCTCCAGGTCCTGCAAAAAGTGAAGACCAAGCCAGCGAGGAGACCGCAGAGACAACAACGGTCCGGCGCAACAAGCGTGACCACGCTGACGTGGCAAGCCCCTTGTGTGTGGCAAGAACTAGCCAAGCGACAGAGAAGTCGTCGAGAGGAGACAGAGCGGGAGAACATCCGCCTGAAGCTTGCTGTGCAGCACCAGCGGAAGCTGGCGGAGGCGCTGAGCGACTTGCTAAGAAAGCGAGCTGATCTCGTGGTAAGGTTTGCTGCGTTATCTTCTCGTGTTGTTAGCTTGTCTGGAGCTTGAGCTAACGGTGTGGTGGTTTGGCGCTCTAGACGAAGGAGTGTGGAGCTTTGACGAGCCAACCATTCTTAGAGCACCATATCGTGAACGTGCTGAATGTGGACGGAGACATGGAAGAAGACTTTCGAAGGCTTATCCGACACCTGGAGACTGCGTATCGGGGCTTGGATGCGGTGTTTACAGCCAACGGTCTGGCGAGCCCGACGCTTTCCCCCGGTGACGTTCACTTGCGCGAAAGCGTCGACGGCAGATACCTCGAGTGCTTTAGTCACAAGTCGCTACCTTTTGATATGCGCGCGACTACCGAGGCTATCTGGCAACACTTCAAAGGAGTCGACAAACACTATGGCGCCGGCAGTCTCTACAAGAAAGCTGCAAAGGTGGGTGCCAGGTACTGAAGTTGGCGCTGGCTGCATTGATACAGAGCTAACTGTGCGTTGTGTTCTCCATGGCCACAGAATCTTGACGAGCCATACACGATCATCGAAAACTTTACGAAGGAGCTATACGCTGACACGTCTCGAGCTGACATCAAGGTTAAGCAAGTCGTGCGGCGTTACATGGAGACTGACCGCGACGTCGTGATTTGGGTCGCACAAGTAGCGCCCGCCCAGATTAAGCACAAGCTACTTCGTGGCTTCACATATTATCTTCGCGGCTACGCAGTGACGAAGCGGTCACTGGACTCCACCACAGGTCATGAGCTCGCGGAACTTCAGCAGTGCTCGCTGATTTCCCTTGACCGAGACGCCCACATGAAGCTCGGCACAGCAAATCTGCATGCTCTGACCAACTTTCTGGTGGCGAACACCGCACAAAATATCCGCTCACACCGCGAGTGCATTGAGAACATCCTCCTTGACCAGGCTGTGGCAAGCCGCATAGCCAAAAGTGGCTAGAAATTAATGACAATATTCGTCAGTGTACAATTAGACGCATTTTTGCACTTCCCGATGGCATTTCTGCAGGATGACGACGACGCCTTCGAGGCTGCGCTGTCGTTCCTGGACGAGTTCGCGTCTGGATCGTCAGTGGCGGACGACGCCTCGCCCCCATGCTGGGGCGTGTTCAACCAGGATATATGGGCGCTGGAGACTGAAGATCCGCAGAGGACCAAGCGCACACGCCACGGAGGTCGAGGGAGGAACCAGTTGAGCGCAGAAGACAAAGAGAGGCGGAGGGTAGAGTTCAACGAGAGGAGGAAGCTGCTGCGGAAGGCGGGGGTCTATGGCGACGCGAACAGGGCGCGGAACGAGCGGCGCGCGAGATCGCCCAACTGCGGGAGGAGGCGGAGAAGCTGCAGATCGACCTGCAGATTCTGCAGACACGGCACCAGAACACGGATACCACCCAGAGCACGGAGAAGAAGGGGGAAAGACATGATGCGCTGAGCAAAGTGAACGCTGGGACGCAGCCCACGAGCATGTGGCAGGGGCTGGCGGACCAGCAGCGTCGCCGCCGCCAAGTGGCAGAGCGAGACAACGTGCTCTTGAGGCTCGCTGTGGAGCGGCAACGGAAGGTGGCAAGCGACTTGACCAGGCAAATGCAACGGCGAGCGGCCCAGTTGGTACGTGGGATATTGTTCCTAGTGTTTGTCGGTTGGGAGACCATCACGTTAACATGTTTGCCTTCTTGTAGACGAACGAGTGTGCGTCTCTGATCACGACGGCGCCTTCCAGTCACCACTCCTTCAATGTGCTCGACTTCCATGGCGACTTGGAGGGCTTTCGAGGCCTTTTTAGCCGCCTGGACGATGCGTACCGAAACGTGGACAACGTGTTCATGACGAACGGTTTGGCTGGAATGACGGTACCTCCTGGAGACGTTCACGTCCTCAAGGGCGCCGACGGTAAATCTCTTGAGTTCGTGAGCTACAAGGTGCTTCCCTTCGACGTGCGTGCCACTGCAGAAGCTACGTGGATCCACTTCAAAGGCGTCGAGAAGCACCTAGCTAACGGCAATCTGTACGAGAAGGCGGAGAAGGTTGGTGTCTGTCGTCCTAACTGCTCGATTGTAGTCCTGCCAAACACTCACAAGTTGCTTTGTGTGCTGCTTTATGTGGGGAACAGGGCCTCGACGAGCCGTACACGATCATCGCAGACTTCAAGAAGGAGGTCTACTCCAGCAGCTCTCGGGCGGACATCAAGGTGAAGCAAGTCATCCGTCGCTACGTAGAGGAGGACCGCGACATCGTGCTCTGGGTCTCACGCGCTGTTCCCATCGAGATCAAGCACAAGATTCTTCAAGGGCTGACGTACAGTCAAACCTGTTTATATGAGGCCCTGTTGGTGACCATCTACTACAATGACTCATATAAAATGGACTCAGTTAAAATAATTATGTGGTGCACGTAAAGAAATCGTGCATAGTTCGCTGCCGCTTTGCCTTCACCGTAGTCTCTCGAACCAAAGCGGTCACGGTCTGTAAAGCTCTTCGTTCTCTGTCAGTCTGCTCTCCGCATTGCAGCAGAAATGCAGCCAGCTCCATGCAGTGTCTCAGAGCAATGGCAGGTTGAACTGCGGGTTCCTGTTCCTCCTCTTCCTCCTAAGCGCTCCGCCAGCTCATGCGCCTTCAGCAGGAGCACGTCGTCAGCCATCGCCGTTTTAGCTTCGTTCTGAAAGAAAAATTCCCTCAGTTCCCGCTCGAACTGAGGGAATTTCACTCGGCGCCGCTTGGTCGCACTCAGGTCGACGTGGCTGAAGTAGGAAGAAGGCAGGTTGCGCAATCGGGCGAGTGTGGCACGGCTGACCCGGGCCTTGAAAGTTGCGTAGATCCACTCGGCGAGCATGGGGTTGTTCATGCCAGGATTCTGCTTGAGCTTTAGGTGCACTTGGAGCTTTTGTTTTAGCGTCAGACAGGTGCGAGGAGACATGGCGAGCGAAGAAGGCTTGCGGTAGGCGTTGAGTGTTGAGCAGTGGTGCTTTGAAGAGTGTGTGGCCGTGAGCAGTGTGAATCAAATAAACAGGTGAGACCTAATTTGGTCCCCAAAAATGTGACTCATATACCTTGTATGCATATAAACAGAGATCATACAAAAACTAAGTGAAATATTTGGTAGCGACAAAGCCTGCATCAAATAAACGGCATGGCTCAAATAGAGAGGATCATATAAACAGGTTTGACTGTACCATCTTCGTGGCTCGCGGTGACCAGGCGCTCACCCGAGTCCACCCCAGACCGAGAGGTCTCCGTCTTGCAGCTTTGCTACATGGTGTCTCTCGACCAAGACGTCGACGTACAGTGCGACGCCGTCAACCTGCAGGCGCTCATCAACTTCCTCGTGGCCACCACAAAGCAGAACATCCGGGCGCACCGGGAGCGGATCGAGAATGCTTTGATCGACCGATCTCTAGCACAGCGCAAAATATAGCGGTAGACAGCTGACATTTTCCCTAAACTGCAGCCGACGTTCCTGTGGGGGCAGTGCGTGGCATGGCGCTAGTAGATGACGACGCGGCCTTGGAGGCTGCTCTGTCGTTCCTGGACGACTTTGTACCGAGCGCCGCTGCGCGTCAAGGCTCATTGTCTCCGCTTACGGACGACTCGAACAACTCGAACGACTCTGGCGTGTGCACCACGCCGAAGGCCAAGCGGGCGTCTACGGCGACGCCAACCGCGCGCGTAACGAACGCTCACGCGAGATCGCTTACCTCCGGGAGCAAATGGAGAAGCTGCAGATCGACCTGGAGGTTTTGAAGACTCGGCAGGCCCAAGAGCAGCAGCAGAAAGAGAAGGACGAAGCGAATGCGACGGCGTTGGTCAGGAGTCGACGCAGATCAGGGGCATGTGGAAGGGACTCGCGGAGCAGCAGAAACGCCGCCGGGAGGAGACTGAGCGAGACAATGTGCTCTTGCGACTCGCTGTGGAGCGCCAGACCAAGGTGGCGGACAGTCTGCGCAGCTTGATGCAGAAGCGAGCGGTGCAACTGGTACGAAGAGTATGCTCAACGCTCTCATCGGAGAGTTTTTTTCACTCACTTGTATGTGCGCGTGTGTGCGTGCGTTTCACTTGCAGACGAATGAATTCTCGTTGTTGATGACTTTGGCGCGCTCGAAGCACCATGTAGTAGACGTGTTGCGGCTGGGTGGCGACCTGGACGACTTTCACGGACTCTTTCAGCGCCTCGAGGCTTCGTATCGGAGGCTTGACGAGGTATTCATGGCGAATGGCCTCGCTGGGACGAGGATCTCGCCGGTCGATGTGCACGTTCGAGAAGGCGTTGATGGCAACTTCTTTGAGCTGTCGGCCTACAAAACGCTGCCTTTTGACGTGCGCTCAACCGCGGAGGCGTCCTGGAGACACTTCAAAGGAGTTGAGAAGCATCAATGCAATGGCAGTCTGTACACAAAAGCCGAGAAGGTACACGCTAATCCCCTGCTTGTAGCAGGTAGAATGGTCTGCTAATATTGACTGCGGTGACCTGTTCCTCGCTCTTGTCAGACGGATCTCAACGAGCCGTTCACGCTCATCTCGGACTTCAAGAAGGAGATCGTTTCCAACAGCTCTCGGGCCGACATTCGCGTCAAGCAAGCCATCCGACACTACGTGGAAGAAGACCGCGACATCATTGCCTGGACTTCGCGGGCTGACGTACATCTTGCGGGGCTACGCAGTCACCAAACGGTCTCCAGAATCGACTCCGGACCGAGAGCTCTCGGTACTGCAGCTCTGCTACATGATCTCCATCGACCGCGACATCGAAACTACGTACGGGGTCGACGACGCGCGTACCATCACAGACTTTATGATCGTCAGCATCGGCCAGAACTTGCGAGCCCACCGCGAGTTCATCGAGAACGCCCTGGTCGACCAAGCTCTATCATCTGGTCGCACCCTAAAAACCTAATTTTTGTCGATCGAAGTTCACCGAACAGTTTATCCGTTGATAACACAAGCTTACGTACAGTTGAGATGGCTCTGCTGGACGACGACAATGCATTCGAAGCTGCGCTGTCCTTCCTGAATGTCGGAGACCTTGAGCTTTATGCGGACAGGATGAGACGCTCCTGCCGCTTCATAATGCGCACGAGTCCTCTCCCAGCCAAACGACACAGACGCAGACTCAAGTACAAGTACCGGCAAGACAACGCTCAGAGGAAGAGAAGCTGAGGCGGAAGAAAGAGTTCAATGAGAAGAGGAAGATGCTGCGCAGGACCGGCGTCTACGGCGACCCGAACCGGTCGCGCAACGAGCGTAAGAAGGAAATCGCGGTCTTGCGCGAGCAGCTGCAGAAGGTCGAAGGCATTACAGAGTAGAGCGACCGAGCATTCAAGCCAACAAGGTGCTACAGGAGAGGGTGGAGATGAAGTGGTGATGATACCGAGAGTGTGGCAGGAGATGGCGGCTCGGCAACGACTCCGACGGGAGGAGGCTGAAAGCGAGAATATTCGCTTGAAGGTGGTCGTGGAGCAGCAGCAGAAGGTGGCGGACAGTCTGCGCAGCTTGCTACGGAAGCGAGCGACTCATTTGGTACGCTGCGACCTTCTTGTGAGCTACATGCACTTGTTACTGACCCCACTGCGCGTACTTCTTCCTGCTACAGATGAAAGAGTATTCAGCTTTCACAGACCCCGCTTTCACGAGGCACTACATTGATCGAGTCCTGGACTTTCGTGGAGATATTGGGGGCTGTTCAGACATCTTGATGCTGCCCGCTTGGAGCTGGATACCATGCTTCTGGCCAATGGTCTGGCAAACATGACAATCTCGCCGGGTGACGTGCATATTCGGGAAGACTTCGACGGCAAGTACATGGAGTTTTTCACCTACAAGGAGCTGCCGTTCGGGCTGCAGGAGACTCAAGAGGTCGCATGGGACCACTGGAAAGGAATGGAGAGGGCAACGGTGGCCTGTACCAGAAATCGGCAAAGGTGTGTTAGTCCTGAGCGACCAGTAAGTGCATGGAATCTCTAACCAAGTGCTGCGTTACATTTCCCCCTTCGGGATATCGATCAGCCGTACACGATCATAGAGGACTTTACTAAGGAGCTGTTCTCAAACTGTGCTCGAGCTGACGTTCAAGTGAAGCAAGTGATCCGACGCTACGTCGAAGGCGACCGCGACATTATAATCTGGGTTGCACGGTTAACCCCAGTAGAAATCAAGCACAAAATGCTGCGCGGCTTGACCTACAACCTTCGAGGCCAAGTGGTGATCAAGCGGTCCCCTCACTCCACTCCAGACCAGGAGGTTTCTGTGCTTCAGCAGTGTTCGCTCATCTATCTGGACCATGAAGCCCGACTTCGATACGATCCGTCGAGTCTGCGGGCACTTGTAAACTTCCTGACCGTCCTTGCAGCGCAAAACCAACGAGCCCATCGTGAACTCATCGAAAACAATTTGCTCCACCGAGCTGTCAGCAAAACGCATCTCACGCGTAGGCCAAGCTCACAGATTGCGTTTCGAACTCGTCTGGACAGGAAACATTAGATATGGAAAAATACATGAAACGGCATGTTTTGTATTAGTGTACGTGCAACAAACATTGGGAGGAAATGTAGGCGTCATGGGTGCATTTTGACCGCCTGATCCATCAAAACGTTCTCGATCAGCTCCTGGCTTGCCGTGATGTTGCCGGCTACAGTGCCCAGCATGAAGTCAGTTAGTGCACGCACAGCCGCAGGGTCGTACACGGTGTGATCTTCTTTCTCGGGTGACACGAGGGAACACAGCTGAAGAAGCGAGAACTCCCGGTTTGGTTTGGATACCTTTGCTCGCTTCGTGACAGCATATCCCTGATGACGGAAGCCAAGACCTTTAACACGTTGGTCGTCAAATTCTAGCGGAACAACACTAGCAACCCAGATCACAATTTCGCGATCTTCCTCCACGTAGCGCCGCAACACCTGCTTCGCATGGAAGTCTGCGCGTGCACTATCAGCGAAGAACTCTTTCGCAAAGTCTTCGATGATCGTGTCCGGCGTATCTGGGGTCTCCAAATGCTTTATGCAACCACAGAAACGAAAGGTCAATTAAATACTAGTACGCTGATCGATCAATCTGTGGCGGCTTCTCACCTTTGCCACCTTCCCCTCGTACATGTTACCGCGATGCTTCTCCGCCCCCTTAAAGTGGTCCCACACGGCTTGGGCCGTTGCACGCATTCCAAACGGCATGACCTTGTTCGCAAAAATGTCCAGGTACATGCAGTCGGCGCCCTCGCGCATTCGAGCGTCACGGTGCGTGGTCTCCATTGTCGCCAATCCGTTAGCAGCGAAGACAGTATCCACCTCACGGTACGCCCTGTCAAGATGAGCCAACAGGTCCTTGAAATCGTTCACGTCCGCACGGAAATCCAGTGTGCGTCCCTGCGAATACTTGGACTTTTTAGTTTGTGATAGACTCGAGCACTCCACAACCTAAATTGCCAACAACAACGCAGACACCACTCCATCATCATCAATAGCCAACCAGCCAATACACAAACCGTGCCTGCACCGACCTGTTGCTTTGCTCTCTTCTGTAACAGACTCTCCAGCCCTTTCGCCATCTTAATCTGGTTCTCCAGGATGAGTTTGAGCCGGACATTTTCACGCTCTGCCTTCTCCCTCCTCCTGCGTTGGCGACACGCCACTTCCTTCCACACCGTCGGCACTTGCACAGGATCGTACACTGACATGGTCGAGTCCATGGCTTCATTCTCTGCCACAGTCTCTGTGCTCTTCTTCTCCCCATCTTGTCGAATAGCTCGCGTCTGCGCCCTCGGGTGGAGCTTTATCGCCTTCAGCTCTAGTTCTAGCTGCGCCACCTTCTCTCTAAGATACGCCAGCTCGATCTTCCGCTCATTTCTGGCTCTGTTGGGGTCTCCTCTAGTCACAGGCTTCTTAGGCCCAGTCGTTTTCTTCCTGCCTCTGGTGACGGTCTTCCTCTTCGTCGACACTTGTCCCGCGGCTGGCAGGCCGAGTTCAAGCCTCGCAGTCGGTTCGTTCGAGAGATTGAACGCGGGCGAGGAGGGAGATGCCATCGATGTGTCGCTTCCTGCCCCGGGAGACGCATACGCGGCCCCTAAAGTAGGCGCAAGCGGCGGGAGACTTGGTGATAGCAGCTCGATGTCATCGACTGGTCCGGACGCTAGGAACGGAGAGAAGGCGGCGCCGGCAGCTCCGGACATGGAGGGGGAAGCCGTGAACAGGGAAGTGTCGATGGAGTAGTGCTCCACGAATGACAGCGCCGCCTCGAAGGCGCTCACGGCGTCATCGTCCTCCAGGAAGGCCATGCGTTGATTAGAGTTCTACACGATTGTACTGCACTTTTTGCGACGCGAAAAAGACAGTTAAACGAATCACCGGAAAAATGGCACATTCTGATTGGACCACGTTGAATACTGTAGGTCCATACATACATCGATATTCTAGATTCAGATTTGTTTAGTTACGGTATCCATTTGATTCACTCACTTTTACGTCGCTTCTTATAGGGCCCATACCCTCATTTACTTATTGTGAAATCGCTAAATTTGCCTATTTTGCTCGTAAATCGATCGATTAAGTAACAGAGCTCATAATTCGCAGATATATCATAGTTCACAGCACCGACTGCCCAATCAAAATTCAGTTGTGTTATAAATAAAACGCCAATTTTTTTACCTTTAATTCAATGCTATAGCTCATAGAATCCCCAAACCAGCCATCTATAAGAGAATTCGCGCCAACTCGCCCTCACAATTGCATTTCGCGCCAAGCCATCACCTCGATCAGCAAAACCCAGCTAGAAAGCCTGCCCTACCGCCATGCCACGCACAGGAAGAAAGAGGACCACTGGCAATGGCTCGAAACCCAAGGTCTACAAACGAGTGGCAGCGCTTCAAGCTGGGTGGCGGTGGTGGCTCCCTAAGCTGGTCGCACACTTAGCCCCAATCAGCTCTCCAGAAGCATCCATGTGTAGCAAAGCCTCTTCTTAGAGCCCACCTGAGAGCGCTCTAGGCTTGGATTGAAGCGGGTAATCGTTTCCTCCATGGTATGACAGTCAAGGTAGGGGCGCATGGCATAGGTGCAACCCTGCCCACTGTCGCTGAGGAACAGCTTATGAGGTGGGTGACTGACCTGCGAGCAGATAGCGTTCCTGTGACAGGGCTGATGTTGAAGCTACAGGCTCGTGATCGTTATGCGGCAACCGGGCTTCCATGTGGAGCTTTTACGGCTTCGTGTTCGTGGAGGAAACACTTCCTACGCCACCACAAGCTGTTAATTCACAGGAAAACGCACGAGGGACAGACTACCCCGCAAGAGCAAGCGAGAAACTTGCCGACTTCAGCCGCTAAGTGCAAGAAAAAATGAATGAGATCAAGATCACTAAGGTTTACAACGCGAACCAGACGGGTACGCATCAGCCTAGACTGTTATGATGACAAGTACTAACCTATTGTATGAAGGTGTGAACTATGAGTACGTTCCTAAGGCAACTGTCAACAACAGAGGCGCCAAGACCGTCTGGGTGAAGTGCGCAGGAAAGTTAAAGGAGCGCGTGACCGCGATGCTGCTGGCGGATAGTCACGGCAACAAGGCGGACCCTTCCTGGTCTTCAAGACGCGGCCATCCAAAGTTGCTGAGAGAGCAAGATAGATCACGATTTTCCGCCAAGGGTTTGGTCGCCAGCTCTGGGACGAACTCCACACCCAGCAGGTAGGTGTCCAGATCTACGGCAACCTCGCTGGGTGGTAGAACAACGAGTTGTCTATCGAGTTTCTGTGCTATCATTTCGGTCGCCGGGAGAATATGCACGAACCCGTGCTGCTTCTATGGGACGACTTCTCTGGACATTAGCGCCAAGATGTACTAATCTGTGCTAGAATGCTCAATGTCGAGCTCATGAAGGTCCTCCCAGGCTACACGTACGTGTGCCAGCCGGCGGACGTGGCTTGGAACCGCCCGCTCAAGGAACACCTGCGCAACCAATGGGTCCAGTTTCTCCTAGCACAAGTCCGCTCATCAAGTCGCGAGGCGGCATTCAAAATGACCGCACCCTCAAGGTCTGACGTCATCGCCTGGATCAAGAGTGCATGGACATCTCTAACGACGGCCACAATCATCGGTGGCTTCAAGAAGGCGAGGCTCGTTGAACTACAAGAGCAGGAGGAACAGGCTACGCCCGAGCCAAATTGGAGCGCGCTTATCAGTCTTCTTCAGCAGGAGCGCGTGCCAATGTGCAGCGGGGCTGCCGTAGCTATGCGTCAGAGGAAGCTTAACAGACTCACAGAGTCAGCTTAAGATAGCCCGTTCTAATACCAGAACGTACGAGTCCGTACACCTAACGGACTCCAAGAGTCAACCCTTAACTCTTAACTGTGTGAATCTCAAACTGAATGTATTTCCCTTTATTGCGGCAAAACCGCCTACGGTGTAAATGTATCCGGTTCACTATCTAGCATAGTGAACCCTAGTCATATGCATAATCAGTGGCTCTGAAGGCATGTACTGATTCTCCTACTGATTTAGGTTAGACAGTGTGTACCCACTTCGTAACCCTTCGGGTAACTCTCGTGTAACCCCGTTACACCCTTCACCAAACCGTGGACACGGGTATTCACGCTTAACGGTCAACCACCGGGTCTTGTTCCGTCAAGCCTCCTTCTCGAACGAGTCAATCCACATCGCGTGGACTTCTCTGAGAACTTCTCGGCGCAACGCGCCCTCACATGACTTCAAGTCATAAAGCCTTTTGGTCTTTCGACCGCAGACAGCCTCTCGCGAGATCCGCCTCGGAGCCTCGCTCCTCTCGTGCTGCTGCACTGTGTGCCTCCGCACCTCCGCGAACGCCAGCGCCCGCGCGCACACCCTCGACGCCTTCCAGGCTCTCGGTGTCCGAGTACTTCGCGGCGCAACGCCTGAAGCGCAGCTCGCAGCGCACAAGCCCCAGCTCTCCTCGAGCATCAACCCGCCAGATCATGGATCCTAGGGAACTCTTTGGTGAAGAGGGCGAGGTGGACGAGTCCATGGAGGGTTCTCCGAACCGAGGAGATGCGTCCCCACTCACGCGACGCTCCCGGAGCCGCGGTGACGCTTCGCCCACAACGTCGACACGCCGTGAAGCAGGCTCGCCGGCCCCAGTTGGCTCTCCGAGCCGTCGCGATCAAGAGGGCCCCGCGCGCACGCCTCCTGTGCGCTCGCCGAGCCGTCCACCTGCAGAGCGCGGTGCGCCGTCGAGGGAGGGGCCGCGGCCACCGCTGCGAACTCCGAACCCGTTCCCTGAACGCTCTTCCGGCCTCTACGAGCTGCGCGCGCTCACTGAGCCACGATATTCGCCATCTCGTGGTGAGGGCGTGCCCCTGGGCCCCGTCATCTCCAACCCTTTGGACGAAGCTCAGTCCGAGCAGGTTGCGGCGCAGATGGCTCCCATGCGCTCCCAGCGCCCCGAGCTGCGGCCTCTGCTGAACCCCAGCACTGCCGACTACGGCTTCCGGCCTCGCGACCCCGCGGAGGCTTGTCGCCAGGCGTTCCAGCAGTCTCTCGCGCTGCACACCATTGGGCCCGCGGCCCGTACTCCGGAGGAGCTCTCACTGCGTACATCTCTGCGAGAACGGCTCCTCACTCCACAATCTACGACTGTCGCGGAGTCGCCAGGCGTTCCAGCAGTCTCTCGCGCTGCACACCATTGGGCCCGTGGTCCGTACTCCGGAGGAGCTCTCACTGCGTACATCTCGGCGAGAACGGCTCCTCACTCCACAATCTACGACTGTCGCGGAGTCGCCAGGCGTTCCAGCAGTCTCTCGCGCTGCACACCATTGGGCCCGTGGCCCGTACTGCGGAGGAGCTCTCACTGCGTACATCTCTGCGAGAACGGCTCCTCACTCCACAATCTACGACTGTCGCGGAGTATCGCGAGAGGCTGCGGCTGCAAGCCCAGCAGAAGTCCGTGCCCGCCATGTGGACGTACCAGGTGGTACTTAGCCCGGGGGAAGACTCAATCGAGTACGAAGCTCAGTTCGAGTCTTGGGCCGAGCACAGCCGAAAGCTCAGCTCCATGGACGCTCTCCGAGCCAGCTTCAGTGAAGTGGATGTTCGCATTGAACGCGAGCTCCGCTTCGATTTCGCGAAGGTCCGAGCCAAGCGCAGCCTCTCGGCACTCACCCAGCCGCAGACCCAGTTTAGCGCTGCGCGCTTCGCTCCTTCGAGCACTCCAGCCGCTCCTTCCCGCGAGGGAGTGAGCGCTGTGGCTCAGGGTCAGCCTCGGAGCAATGTGGCTGACCCAGCAGCTCCCCAGCTTATTGCCGGGAAGCGCGGGACGGCCGGCGTGCCGCCTTGAGCCCTCAGGGCGCTGGTGATGAAGCTGATCAAAACCGTCCACGACGTCTGGGCAGTCTTGGCGGAGGGGCACCTCAAACTCCCATGAGTTCTCGGAGTGAGGGTACCCTCCCCATTTCGCCAGATACTGGTTTTGACCCCGGCACCGCCGCTTCGCCAGGAGGCGCTCCACATGGTAATGTAGATTCCCATGCTCATCGAGCAGGGCCGGTGGAGGCCGCTGTGGGGTCCTTCGCGACTCAAAGTGAGCTCTTGGAGGTGCGGCAGCAGGCGGGTCCCCTTCGGGATCATATCCACGACGTCGATGCACGTCTGGTCCGGACTGCCACCGAACTCGACGAGCTCGCCGAGCGGACGCGATGGATCGAGGTGCCTCGAGCGGTCTGGGACCGCCTTGGGGCCCTGGAGGACTGGGTGCGATACTATCGCGATCGCGATGAGCAACGTGGCCGGGAGCTCGGGGAGATACAGCGTCAGCAGGCTGTGCTTCAGGGTCAGCTCGACCTCCTGGCCCGCATGCAGGCTCCGACTGCCGCGACTCCTGGCCTGCGGCTCTCGCTGTGCCCGCAGCACCTCCGGCGCCGATTCTTCCGCCTGTGTCTGCGGTGCCCATGTGGGTGGTCGCGTCCTCGACGCCTGCGACTGCGTCCTCGACGACCGCGACCTCCGCGCCTGTGACCTCGTCACCCTCGGTGCACCTGCGTCGGGTCCTGGTATGGCTTGAGCAAGCCCACGTAGAAGACGGGGTTCGTCCGCATCTTCTTCGGAAGATTGAGCGTGTACGCAAGGCCCTTCTTGGCCACAACCTTGAAAGGTCCGATGAAGCGCGGGCGCAACTTCGTCTTGAAGACGGCAGACACTGCATGTGTAGGTAGGTTCTTAGCATTAAGCAACACCAGGTCCCCGACCTCATAACTTTCAACATTGCCTCTGCCCCTGGCATCTGCATGTTCCTTTTGCTTGTCTTGGCTCTCAGCCATTGTGTCACGCACATGTCGTAAGACACTGAGACGCGACGACAAGAAAGCGTCAACCTGTTTACGAACAGTATCCGGGCTGACATCGGCTAGCCGATCAGCTAAATCGGCTTCTCCTCCCCCATCAAGCCCGAGGCCACCACGTGGCGGCGTCAGCGGGACGCGGGGATGAGACAAACTGTTCACGTAGAACGGCGTGTAGCCTGTCGAGGCGTGTACGGCGTTGTTCAACGCGAACTCAACGAGTGGCAGTATGGCGCTCCAGCGCTTCGGCGTCTCGGCGCAAATGCTGCGGAGCACGTCCTCGACGACGCGATTCACGCGCTCTGTCTGACCATCGGTCTGCGGATGGTCCGCCGTGGACATGTCCAGCTTGGTGCCAAGCACCGCAAAGACCGCGCTCCAGAAGCTGCCCGTGAAGCGGGGGTCTCGGTCCGAGACAATTGACTCAGGGAGTCCGTGTTGTCGAAACACTCGGTCCAAGAACAGCGTTGCTGTACGTTTACCATCGATGGTATCCGGCACAGCCGCAATGTGAGCCATCTTGCTCAGTCGGTCCACGAAAACCACTACTCCAGTGTTGCCCGCCGCATCCGCCGGCAGGCTAAACACAAAGTCCATACTCATGGATTGCCAACAGCCCGAAGGGACAGGCAAACTCTCCAACGGCGCTGCAGCATGAGGTGACGACTTCGCTCGCTGGCACGTCTCGCACGTGCGCACATAAGTGCTCGTCCACTTGTACAGCTTCGGCCACCAGTAGTGGGTGCTCACCGAGCTGTAGGTCTTCTCACGGCCAAGATGACCGGCCAGCGGCGTGTCGTGTGCCTCATAGAGGATGCGGTACTTCAGATCCTCATCATGAGGGACGACCACGCGGGGCGTATCCTCGGGGCCAGTGTTGTAGAACAACAGGCCACCATCGAGGGAATAGCGGTGTAGCCGCGCGCGTAGCCGCGCTGACAATTCCATGACCGAGTCTTGAAACTCCTTGCTCCCCAGAGCCTTCACCAACGCGACACAGGTGTCGTCCTTAGCATAAGCCGTTCGGATCAAATCCGGTAATGACGAAGTCACGGTCGTTAGATGAGCCAGCTCATAATCCGGCCTGCGCGACAGCGCGTCCGCAAGGACATTCTGCCTGCCAGGCTTGTACTTCACCTCGAAGTTGTACTCCGCGAATAAGGACAGCCAACGGGCCATCCTTTGCGAGAGGTGAGGCGACTGAGTCGCAGTGCGTAACGACGCATGATCCGTGTAAATCATGAACGGCTGAGAGCCCAACAGGTGCACCCTGAACTTGACGAGCGCATACTTCATCGCAAGTAGCTCTTTGTCATGGACAGGATAGTTCTTCTCCACAGCCTTCAGCTGGCGAGATTCGAACGCCACCACGCGCTCGCGCCCCTCGGCGTCTGCTTGCAGCAGTGCACAGCCGATGACAAAGTCCGAGGCGTCACAGGCGACACTAAACGGACGAGCGGGGTCTGGCAGAGCCAGAATAGGCGCATGAAGGAGACTGTCCTTAATGGCCGCGAACGCATCTTGATGCTCGGTGTTCCAACACCACTCCGCATCCTTCTTCAGGAGATTGGAGAGTGGCCGAGCCATCTCAGCGTAGTTCTCGCTGTACTTGTGCAAGTAATTGGCCAAGCCAAGCCACGTGCGAAGATCCTTTTGGTTCATGGGAACCGGCCAGTCAACAATGGCCTTGACCTTGACCGGGTCGGCCCTCAGGCCACGCTTCCCGATGAAGCACCCTAAGAAGGGGATCTCTTCCGCTCCGAAGATGCATTTGTCAATGTTGGCGTACAACTTGTTTTGACGCATGCATTCGAGCACAGCACGCAGGTGCTCGACATGGTTCTCCATATCAGTCTTTCCATGCTCCGCACGACTGTGGACAAAAATGTCATCGATGTACGTTTGCGC